AAGAACTCAGAGTGGGAGACAAGTGTGGGAGACAGGAGTGGGAGACAAGTGTGGGAGACAAGTGGGAGACAAGTGTAAACTCATGCGCTCCCAGACATCCAGAGTGGGAGATACATGTGGGAGACAAGTGTAAAATCATGCGGCCCAAGACACCCAGAGTGGGAGACAAGTGTGGAAGACAAGTGGGAGACAAGTGTAAACTCATGCAGCCCAAGGCACCCAGAGTGGGGGACAAGTGTGGAAGACAAGTGTGGGAGACAAGTCGGAGACAAGTGTAAACTCATGCGGCCCAAGACACCCAGAGTGAAAGACAAGCGTGGGAGACAAGTGGAAGACAAGTGTAAACTTATGCGGCCCAAGGCACCCAAGTGTGAGGGACAAGTGGGAGACAAGTGTAAAATCATGCAGCCCAAGGCACCCAGAGTGAAAGACACGTGCGGGAGACAAGGGGGAGGCAAGTGTCAACTCATGCGGCCCAAGGCACCCAGAGTGGGAGACAAGTGTGGGAGACAAGGGGGAGACAAGTGTAAACTCATGCTGCCCAAGGAACCCAGAGTGGGAGAAAAGTGTGGGAGACAAGTTTGGAAGACAAGTGTGGGAGACAAGTGTGGGAGACAAGTGGGACACAAGTGGGAGACAAGTGTAAACTCATGCGCTCCAAGACATCCAGAGTGGGAGACACGTGTGGGAAACAAGTGGGAGACAAGTGTAACATCATTCGGCCCGAGACACCCAAGTAGTGAGAGGCAAGTGCGGGAGACAAGTGGAAGACAAGTGTAAACTCATGCGGCCCAAGGCACCCAGAGTGGGAGACAAGTGTGGGAGACAAGTGTGAGAGACAAGTGTGGGAGACAAGTGTGGGAGACAAGTGTGAAAATCATGCGGCCCAAGGCACCCAGAGTGAAAGACAACTGTGTGAGACAAGTGGAAGACAAGTGTAAACTCATGCGCCCAAGGCACCCAAGTGTGAGGGACAAGTGGGAGACAAGTGTAAAATCATGCGGCCCAAGGCACCCAGAGTGGGAGACAAGTGCGGGAGACAAGTGGGAGACAAGTGTAAACTCATGCGCTCCCAGACATCCAGAGTGGGAGATACGTGTGGGAGACAAGTGGGAGACAAGTGTAAAATCATGCGGCCCAAGACACCCAGAGTGGGAGACAAGTGGGAGACAAGTGTAAACTCATGCAGCCCAAGGCACCCAGAGTGGGGGACAAGTGTGGAAGACAAGTCGGAGACAAGTGTAAACTCATGCGGCGCAAGACAGCCAGAGTGAAAGACAAGTGTGGGAGACAAGTGGAAGACAAGTGTAAACTTATGCGGCCCAAGGCACCCAAGTGTGAGGGACAAGTGGGAGACAAGTGTAAAATCATGCAGCCCAAGGCACCCAGAGTGAAAGACACGTGCGGGAGACAAGGGGGAGGCAAGTGTAAACTCATGCGGCCCAAGGCACCCAGAGTGGGAGACAAGTGTGGGAGACAAGGGGGAGACAAGTGTAAACTCATGGGGCCAAAGGAACCCAGAGTGGCAGACAAGTGTGGGAGACAAGTGTGGGTGTGGAAAACAACTGTGGGAGACAAGTGGGAGACAAGTGTAAACTCATGCGCTCCCAGACATCCAGAGTGAAGGACACGTGTGGAAAACAAGTGGGAGACAAGTGTAAAATCATGCGGCTCAAGACGCCCAGAGTGAAAGACAAGTGTGGGAGACAAGTGGAAGACAAGTGTAAGCTCATGCGGCCCAAGGCACCCAGAGTGTGAGGGACAAGCGGGAGACAAGTGTAAAATGATGCGGCCCAAGGCACCCAGAGCCGGAGACAAGTGTGGAAGACAAGTGGAAGACAAGTGCAGACTCATGCGGCCCAAGGCACCCAGAGTGGGAGACAAGTGTGGGAGACAAGTGTGGGAGACAAGTGTGGAGACAAGTGGGAGACAAGTGTAAAATCATGCGGCTCAAGACACCCAGGGTGAAAGACAAGTGTGGGAGACAAGTGGAAGACAAGTGTAAACTCATGCGGCCCAAGGCACCCAGAGTGTGAGGGACAAGCGGGAGACAAGTGTAAAATGATGCGGCCCAAGGCACCCAGAGCCGGAGACAAGTGTGGAAGACAAGTGGAAGACAAGTGTAAACTCATGCGGCCCAAGGCACCCAGAGTGGGAGACAAGTGTGGGAGACAAGCTTCCCAAGGCACCCAGAGTGGGAGGCAAGTGTGCGAGACAAGTGGGAGACAAGTGGGAGACAAGTGGGAGACAAGTGTAAAGTCATGCGGCCCAAGGCCCAAGGCACCCAGAGTGTGAGACAAGTGGGAGACAAGTGTAAACTCATGCGGCCCAAGACAACCAGAGTGGGAGACAAGTGTGGAAGACAAGTGTAAGCTCATGCGGCCCAAGGCACCCAGAGTGGGAGACAAGGGGAAACAAGTGGGAGACAAGTGCAAACTCATGCGGCCCAAGGCACCCAGAGTGGGAGACAAGTCCGGAAGAAAAGTGGGAGACAAGTGTAAACTCATGCGGCCCGAGGCACCTTGAGTGGGAGACAAGTGTGGGAGACAAATGGAAGACAAGTGTAAACTCATGCGGCCCAAGGCACCCAGAGTGCGAGACAAGTGTGGGAGACAAGGGGGAGACAAGTGTAAACTCACGCGGCCCAAGGCAACCAGAGTGGGAGACATGTGTGGGAGACAAGTGGGAAACGTTTGGGAGACAAGTGCAAACTCATGCGGCCCAAGGCACCCAGAGTGGGAGACAAGTGTGGGAGACAAGTGTGGGAGACAAGTGTGGGAGACAAGTGTAAAATCATGCGGCCCAAGACGCCCAGAGTGAAAGACAAGTGTGGGAGACAAGTGGAAGACAAGTGTAAACTCATGCGGCCAAAGGAACCCAAGTGTGAGGAACAAGTGGGACACAAGTGTAAAATCATGCGGCCCAAGGCACCCAGAGTGGGAGACAAGTGTGGAAGACAAGTGTGGGAGACAAGTGTAAACTCATGCGGCCCAAGGCACCCAGAGTGGGAGACAAGTGTGGGAGACAAGTGTGGGAGACACGTGGAAGACAAGTGTGAAAACTCATGCGGCCCAAGGCACCCAGAGTGGGAGACAAGTGGGAAACGTTTGGGAGACAAGTGCAAACTCATGCGGCGCAAGACACCCAGAGTGAGAGACAAGCGTGGAAGACAAGTGGGAGACAAGTGTAAACTCATGCGGCCCAAGGCACCCAGAGTGGGAGACAAGTGTGAGGGACAAGTGGGAGACAAGTGTAAACTCATGCGACCCAAGGCACCCAGAGTGCGAGACAAGTGTGAAAGACAAGTGTGGGAGACGAGTGTGGGAGACAAGTGTAAACTGTAAACTCATGCGGCCCAAGGCACCCAGAGTGGCAGACAAGTGTGAAAGACAAGTGTAAGACAGGTGTAAATTCATGCGGCCCAAGGCACCCAGAGTGGGATGCAAGCCCGGAGACAGAGGCAAAATCATGCGGCCCAGGGATGCAACCCGTTTGAAAGGAGTAAGAACCCCATACAGGTAAACCTGTTTGGGGAATAAGACCAAAATTTGTTTTGAGTGAATGTACATTGCAAAAAAAATTGCACTGCAACCAAAACAACATTGGACACATAAAAATGCAAACGCTCTTCCACAGGGATTTTTGTGCGGGATTATGACATTTTTGCTACGAATTCAGATTTAAGTTGTTTGCCGTTTTGGCTGTGATTGCAAGTAGCCGTTTCCATTGTGGCAATTGATGCATGATGCTGCTGGCAGAAACCTTAGGTCGACTTTTTGCATTTGGTTCGATGTGTGTGTGTGTGCGCGTGCGTGTGTGTTTGCGATCCCATGAGGCATCGTCACCGTCCACTCCTGCGCGCACCAGGTGCCACATAGTGGCCCCCCAAAAATAGACACATTGGAAACTTGGAAAAAGGGAAGAACCGACATCTATATTATATACGGTCTTGTTTTTTTTTTTCCTCAGAGTTGCTGTAACAGGCAAATGCGTGCAATATCAACATACATAGATATATTATATACATCTAAAAATTACGCATTGTATTTGAAACACATGCGCGCAATGGAGGTTCATTGATGATTTTTTGAATTTCATTCAATCGACCACATTGTGTGGGTGGTCACTCCGAGGCAAGTGCAAACTTCGCCCACTAGGGTGCAACCGATTTTTAGCCCGCAACCACGTGCAGAGGCGATTCAACACTTTCCGTTTTGCCAACATGCTATCAGTTTGAACAAATAGTTGCCTCAATTGGTGGCATTTGTTCCATGTGAGGTGTTCTCTGCCAGCACTACAGCTGCTTATTTGGTTGGAACAATTGCAGCAGGCTCTTCACAATGATTTTTCTGCGTGTCTTGTGTGGTGGACAGCTGTGCATCGCTTTTGTCAGGCACTTTTCTGCGAAGTTGGAACCACAATGCTTTCCAGCTTAGTGGAGTGATTCAATCTGCATCCAGTTCAGATCAGTTGCTCACAAGTATGTTTGCAAGTGAGATTCACAAAACCAGTTGTTGGAGTCTTTGCTTGCCATGGTACGTTTGTCGCCTTAGTGGTTCAGTGTTGGAAAACCATGGTTCAATCTTGAAAGACCATGCCGAAACGAAGAATACCACTCAGATCCACTCATAACGAGTCAGATTGAATCCGCGACACAATATTTCCCTTGTCAATTAACTCTCAAAATCCTTCAACTATTCAGACACCATTAGTCTAGACTGCAAGCAAGAAGAAATGTCCTACGTCCAGTTCAGTGAATACACTGGAAGAATGTATATATCACCAGGACACCAAGATATGTCGTCACTAACAAGAAGGTTGTAGGACCGCCCATGAAGCCAGAGTGTCGACTTCGTCCAAAGCTCAAACATTGTGCAAATAATTCGTGTCACGTGTCGCTCATATAAATCCTTATCAATCCTTTAAATCATCCTCTTGCTTCTTTTGCCTTTTATTGAAAACTTTTACCGTGTGCTGAGGCTTGGCCGGTCTCGTTCAAAATGGTTTGGTCCTCAGCATGCCAAGAGGATTGCCACATGCAAAGCAGCAGCGCACAGAGGCCCTCGCGGGGAAGTCCCGGGCAAAGGCGAAGCCAAAATGCACAACTCGAGATCGGAAAAATGGGAAGTGGCAGAAAGAAATGGATTTTGTGCCTGGCGATGCTGTTTATTTGGTGGGTTTGGAAGCATTTGCCGAGCTCAACGGCCAACAGGGGACGCTTTTGTCCTATGATGTGCAGCGGAAGAGATGGCAAGTGGACCTGAATGGCATCGGAGTGAAGAATGTGCTGCATTCCAACTTGAGGAAACTGTCTGCCCCGGCCAAGCCGGCTAAGCCGGCAAAACCGGCCAAGCCGGGCAAGTCGCAACCAACCCCGAAGCCTCAAGCAACTCCCCAGCGGGGTGCTGAAGTGGAAAAACGCCAACTTCGTCAAAGCACGGACCGTGACCCTCGGGATCCTGCGTACCGGTAGATCAGCTCTCAGCAATTCCATAGCATACCTAGTTTCCACAAATTCAATACATTTTTCAGTACATTTTTCAGTACATTTTCTGGTTTCCACAAAGCACATGAACCTGACAGCATGTGGTAGCAATCCAGTCAACTATTGTGACCGAAGGAATGCTCACGTGGCGTGCATGTTCAACACTAGATACATATAGGGAGAAAAGGGCCTGCAGCCCACAAACGCATCAAGAGAACAATAGATACAGCTAGGCAGTACTGATTTTTGATAGCAGGGCAGATAGCTACTAGTTGGTAGGGTCAGCTGTGACAAGCACTGCCTTTCACCCCTCTGACGCACGCAGGATCAGGTTGCGCCGAAGCGTGCCTGTGTATCCAAGGACACTTGTTTGCAGTCGTTCTTTTGGACCATAATTCCCCAACAGCGTAAGCTAATGGGGTCTTCGGCTCAGAATAGCTCCGGTGTGCACTGGTGCCAGCGCCGGGTCAGGTTCAACGAGGTTCCGGAGAAGGTTCCAAGTCAGGTTCAACAGGGTTCCGGGAAGGTTCCAGAAAAGGTTCCGGAGAAGGTCTGGGAGGCTTTGGTGCAGAGCCAGGTCAGGGTCAACATGGTTCCGGAGAAGGTTCCGGAGAAGGTTCCGGAGAAGGTTCCGGAAGGCTTTGGTGCAGAGCCACGTTAAGTTGAACAAGTTGAACAGGGTTTCGGAGAAGGTTCCGGAGAAGGTTCCAGAGAAGGTTCCGGAGAAGGTTCCGGGAGGCTTTGGTGCAGAGACAGGTCAGGTTCAGACTCAGGTCAGGTTCAACAGGGTTCCGGAGAAGGTTCCGGAGAAGGTTCCGGAGAAGGTTCCGGAGAAGGTTCCGGAGAAGGTTCCAGGAAGCCTTCGTGCAAAGCCAAGCCAGGTTCAACAGGTTCAACAGGTTCAACAGGTTCAACAGGTTCAACAGGGTTTCCAGCGCTTGGCTTCGCAGCACGCTTCAGAAAGATTTGTAAAAATAGAACGTTGCGGCTGTTGGGGATATCACCGAAGCTTATTGGACTTGTTTGCAAATCTGTCAGATCTGAGGGGCTCTGTGGCAATTTCATGAATTTTTGGGGTCCAACTTCATGGATTTTGTGCTTTGTTCTACAGACCTCTACCACTTAATAGACCTGGTCAATATTCAACAACCCAGAAGTTCGGACATGTGATGTGCTCATTTCAAGTTGGTGTGTCCAAATTGTCCAACAGCAGCTCCGATGTCAGGATGGCGAAGAAACTTCCAAAAGGCCGAAACATTCGAAACAAAAATCACATGTGCGGTTCACATGTGCCGTTCGCATCAGTTCACACTACTCATTGAGACTTGAAGATGTGCAGCATGGCATCCTGTGGCAGGGCAAAGGCACAAGATGGCCACGACAGATCTGCTAGGAAACCAAGTGATGGAACCACAATTGGTCCAGCACCCTTTGTGGTTCCTTTGTCTATCTTGCTGGGATCTGCTAATGTCTGCTAGCTGCTGTAGGTTTGAGGTCAACTGTTGGATTGCATGCTTTGATTCGAAGGGCTCTCAAACTCATTTATTGGTTTGCTCCCAAGGTTGAGGCGGCAGTCTCCAAGGCAGGGCAGCCTTTGAAAGGGAAGTACTAGAGATCAGAAGTCTTGGTGCTCAAAATCAAGTTTTACATTTTGGGTCACAACTTTTGGCTGCCGAACTCTGCCCAGAGAACACTCTTGAACGAGTCGCGATTCCAGGTATTTTAGTAGGACCAATCGAGGAACTTGGAAAACTTGGCAGTGTTGATTTCTCGAGCGCATCCAATTCGTCCCAGCAGCGTCCATCCCCCCCGGCGCTTAGAATCCTTGGAAACTGAGCAACTGAGCCATGGTGGGCAATGACCAAACTGCTGGCACAAGGCTCAGAAGCAGGTCCGTGCGTGGCTCAACTTTGGAGCAGCTGAATATCACGCGGCAGGATTTCCAAGTCCTCCATCAAGGATCAGGTCGGTGCAAAATGTGGCCTTAAAAAGACAATTTATTCAGAATGCACAGAACATTTCAGCAATTTATTCAGCAGCAAGTTGCAAAGTAGGAACTCTATAGTTTTCTGTGTTTTCTGTAGTTTTTCATGTCATTTGTTGTCCCTTACGAGGTCCATCCTTGGGTGAAGGTTGGGATGTGGTGGTCCGGAAGATTGATCACTTGGATTCCTCTCTCCACAAGGCCTTGCATCGACTGCAAAAACATCAGCAAGAAGCCTTTGACCAAAAACTCGAAGACCTCTCGCGTATGATTGAAGATGTCTTTGAATCTTTGAAGCATGGAGCCACGGATTGAATGATTCGGCCATAGACATTTTCCGTCGGCTTTAAAGTCGGCTTTCATCTTTTGTTGTATAAGGGTCTGTATTCTGTGTATCCTCCATACATCTCCATACATCTCCATACTCTACATAGTCTCTACGTAATTTCTACGTAATTTCTACGTAATTTCTGTCTCTGAGTCGGTGTCGAGGCTCGGAATCACCGGAGCCGTTGAGTCTTGAAAAGAGCCCTGCGAACCGGAAGCCTCCCGAGATCTCACCACGGTTTGCAGAACTTCCACGGTGTCCCTTTGGAAAAAGCCAGGTGCAGAGTGTTTTGATGCGAACATCGAATGTAATTCCAATCAAATTGAAAGGGGACGGTCCATGTGTTTGAAAACAGTAAGAGACACCATGTCATCCATTTTTCAAAAGTTCTTGCAATGCCTTTTAGTTTTTGCTGTCGGGCAAGCCGCCCCCTGAATCTGTTTGTGACCTGAACAAGATCTTAGCAGCTTAGCACCCTCGCATGTCAGGGATCCGAGCGTTTGGACGAAAGTACAGATCCTTCCTCTCCTGAGAGCACAACTAAGAAGCAAAAGACGCTGCAGATTCAGGAGTCTCCAGAGTCTCCAGAGTCTCCAGAGTCTCCAGAGTCTCCACCCTCACAAAGGTCAAAGGATTTGGAGCTTATGAGCCATATGCTGTCTGCTTCCGTGGGCAAGAAGATCTACAAACGAAATTTCTTGAAGCGCGTGATATGGACGTGCCTGGAAGACTCCAACTCTTCCTACACGGCATGGTGGTATGGGCTATCGGTGAATTGCTTGATTGTGCTCTCTGTGTTGCTCTCAGTTTATCTAGTCTCCTTTCCTGGCTCGGGAGGCTACATAGCTTGGGTACTGGACTTCAGTGTAGATATTGTCTTTGCAGCTGATTTGTTAGTTCGGCTTTTGTCGTGGCCAACCTTGGCAAAATTTTTTCTGAACATCTACAACATCATAGACATGTCGGTACTGCCTTCATTGTTCATCCGAGCAGCGATACCATTGCTGACTCCAAATGATGGGGTGTGGAGCACTATACTGCTTTGCTTTTTCCCGGTTGTGCGACTGCTGAAATTGCTTCGTCGAGTGCAAACCTTTCAAGTGCTACTGAGTGCGTGGTGGGCAGTCTTTGAAGCACTACCTATGCTGATCTATGTGCTGACTATCATCGCCATGACGTTTGCGTCCCTACTTTTCGTTTTTGAACCCGAAAGCAACATCCCTGATTGGCCAACAGCACTTTGGTTGACCGTGGTTTCGATGACAGGACTGGGTTTACTGTGGGTTAAAGGTTTCAGGTTTCACTCGGCACCTGTTGTTGTGCACCGTTCGTTTAGAGGTAGTCCACATAAAAGTTTGCACACTGGACTTTGTCATTGAAACCAGGACTGGGATACGGTGATCTGACTCCACAAACATCGGAGGGGAAGGTCTTTGTTTCTGTTCTCATTGTGACTAGCCTTCTTTACTTGTCAATACCCTTCGGGATTCTCGGCAGTGCTTTCACTCTTGCATGGGCGCAGCGAAGTGCTGTTTTGGCTATTCGAAAGTTGCGCAAGCACTTGGCGAATCATGGCTTTAATTCTGCAGATGTGCCCAAGTTGCTGGAGCATTTTGATTTGAACCACGACAGCGAGATTTCACTGGTGGAGTTCCGCACCATGATCAATGATATGATGATTGGTTTGAGTGACAGAGAGGTCATTGACCTTTTTGAATGCTTGGACTTGAGAAAGGAAGGCCGCATTGGGGCCCCGGTATTCTTGGCGATTTTGTTTCCCAGAAGCTATGAGGAGAATGGCTTCACAGACTTCACAGGTGTGAGTCATTTGATTAGTTTGCCCCGCACCTGGAGCCCAGCTTCAATGACGCCGAAGGAGCGGCTGGTGGTGTGACATGGTGAAAGTGAAGCCAGCCCCTGATGGTACGACGTGGGACGCCGGGAGACACAAGAGGATGGCAAGATGCCAAGAGGATGCCAAGAGGGATGCCAAGAGGGATGCCAAGAGGGATGCAGCGTACACATTATTTTGAGATATTTTCAGACTCCAGTGAACACGATTTACAACAAAGCGTGCTTCAGTGCATAGATCTGTTTGCCAGGCACCAAAGTTTGCCTTGTCTTTTGTAGAGCGTTTCATTCCTATTAGAGACAGTCTTGAAGGTTTCAGGCAGAACTGCCTAAGGCAGGCTGATGCAGAATCGATGTAAAAGGGCTGTTGCAGAGATTGAAGAAGCACATTTTGATAGATCTGTTGAGTCATGTTGAGTCTCAGAGCTGACCGGGGCTTCCGCTTTCTGACAGGTGAGTGGTTCGTCCTCTTCCAGGTAGCCCTGTCGCATTTGGATGCATTTGGTTTGCATTTTGGTTTGCATTTGGTTTGTATTTATACATTTATTTCTTGGAATTGAGGATATTCAGGCACAACTCACTGGTATTCTGGTATTCCATGTCACGACTGAGGGCTGTTCAAAATGAGCACAGCTTGGGAAAGCTGTGAAGTTGCACAGCTTAGTTTTGCCAGGTCCAAGTCTGACGCCGATGCCACGAAAGCTCCAAGCACCCAGCAAGAGAGCCCACCTGAAGGCAAGGCTCGACAGGCTTCAGGCTTCACTCATTCTTATACTACCAGGTGTAGCATCCAAGTCGGAGTTTAGCAACAGATTCAAAACATGGAAGGTAAAATTCCTGGAGATCTGGAGGAGGACTGCCACCAGATATTACATGATATTACTATGCTCATACCGTGTGTCCAAACAAAGCTCTAAGATGACGTGCTTTTGGCAGGAAGACGACGATGACTTGGTGTTTGACGCAGATGAATTGGAAGGGGAGGAAGAGGCCCCCAATCAATGTGGAGAAATCAAAGGAGGAACGTTATCATGACCTGCATTTCTGTTCTGCTGCAGGTCTCAGATTTCTCAGAGGAAGGCGCTTGCAGCACGCCGCTTGTAGTCACCAGTTTCAAATCCCGCTGTAGACAAAACAGATGTGCGGAGACTCCCTGTTGCAGAAGCCGTGGATGACGATGAAGATGATGAGCAGGCGCGTGTGATAGCCGGACTGACTTGTGGTCAGTTTTGATTTCTAGGATTTGAAGAAACTCACCTGTTTTGCTGGCCAGTTTGACTGGGAACCCGTCGAAGCCCTGCAGATGCCCCAGGCTGGACTTGTGTGCAGCTGGACCAGCTGGGTGCCAGCTGGATGCCAGCTGGATGAATGGATTTTCACTTTGGTTTGTGCAGATTGTGTAGGTCTGGTCTGAAGAGGGGCCGAGTCCCGGAGAAGAGGCGCGCGCTTTCCATGAGACTCTGTGGTACCGTTGAGTTTGGGAGCGCAAGCTGCTTTCCGCCTGTTTGTTTTTTGGATAAAAGATTTGCTGCACGCCTCAGAGGCCTTTGCTTGCTATGCCTCCAGCTGCCTAGTAGGAACCTGAGATAAGCACAGCAGCATCAAGAGAGCGTGGCAGAGTCAGTTTTCGAATCATCTATATTATATTATTGAAGTTGACATCTCAGGCTTCATCCTCTCAGTTTTCCTTTAGGCTTCAAATCAGCTTCGTAGCCAAGCACTGAGGACAAAGCAGCTTTGGGCAGCCCCACGAGTCCTTTTGCTGGGTTGCAAATGCGGTTGCACCAGGACTTCGAAGAGACCAGTTTTTTTCCGCCTCGATGCTGGCTTTTGCTTACGGTTATGTTCCTAATTTTTACTGGATGGATGACGGAAAGCGTTTCCAACGCTTGGAAGTTTTTCCGGTAGGTGAAAAGGGGGGGGTGTGGGGGGGGGCGGTACAGATTTGCAGATTTTGGGGTTCCAAATGGGTGTTGAGGAGGTGCAAAAAACACTGTAAATTACAGTACAATTTGCTCTTTGGGGAGAATTGCAAGGAGTCAAGTTGCTGCAAAAAGTGCGTTTTACCTGCACGAGAGCCAAATTTTGTCGTTTTTGTTGTTTCGAGGGAGGTGGGCCTAAAACGTGCTATGTGTAAAAAACACTGCAAATACCGTGAAAAACTGGCTTCTTTGCACTTTGATGTCCTTTCTTCGTTCTACATAGTCCCACGACGGCGCACACAAAGCCAAGATGTCCCAACATAGAACCCAGGAACGCCCAACATAGTCCCAAGATGGGCCAACATAGGCCCAAGACGACCCAACAAAACCCAACATGGTCCCAACATAGTCCCAGGATGGCCTCACGATAGGCCAACAGAGAGCCAAGATGGCGCAACATTGACCTCAGCAACACCCAACATAGTCCCATCTGGGCCAACATAGGCCCAAGACGTCCCAAGATGGCCCAACGTAAACCTAAAATAAAGTAAACGTAGATAAACGTAGGCCCGAAGCAACCCGGGGGAGGCAACATAGTCCCAAGATGGGCCAAAGACAACCCAACGAAACCCAGCATAGGCCCAAGACAACTCAACAAAACCAAACATAGTCCCAACAAAAATAAAGTGAACTTAGGCCCAAACAACCCAACACTAGCTGCAACAAATCAGTTTTCATGTGCGTTTGGCTGTATTAGTTTTCCTCCTCTAGAAAAGGGGCTACTGGGGAAGGACGGTGTAGGTGAGTGCGAGGGCCCGGTTTGACGAGTGTTTGGCCGCTGCATCCACTTGGTTCAGAAATAAAGTGACCGTAGCAACCCAACAGGAGCTGCAACAAATAAGTTTTCACGTGGTGGGTTTGGCTATAGTAGTTTTCCTCCGGTGTAGGTGATGGGGGGGGCAGTATAGATTTGCAGATTTTGGGGTTCCAAATGGGTGTTGAGGAGGTGCAAAAAACACTGTAAATTACAGTAAATTTTGCTCTTTGGGGAGAATTGCGAGGAGTCAAGTTGCTGCAAAAAGTGCGTTTTACCTGCACGAGAGCCAAATTTTGTCGTTTTTGTTGTTTCGAGGGAGGTGGGCCTAAAACGTGCTATGTGTAAAAAACACTGCAAATACCGTGAAAAACTGGCTTCTTTGCACTTTGATGTCCTTTCTTCGTTCTACATAGTCCCACGACGGCGCAACATAGGCCCAAGAGAAGACCCAACAAAACCCAACATGGTCCCAACATAGTCCCAGGATGGCCTGATAGGCCAACAGAGAGCCAAGATGGCGCAACATTGACCTCAGCAACACCCAACATAGTCCCAAGATGGGCCAACATAGGCCCAAGACGTCCCAAGATGGTCCAACGTAAACCTAAAATAAAGTAAACGTAGGCCCGAAGCAACCCGGGGGAGGCAACATAGTCCCAAGATGGGCCAAAGACAACCCAACGAAACCCAGCATAGGCCCAAGACAACTCAACAAAACCAAACATAGTCTAGGCCCAAACAACCCAACAGTAGCTGCAACAAATCAGTTTTCATGTGCGTTTGGCTGTTTAGTTTTCCTCCTCTAGAAAAGGGGCTACTGGGGAAGGACGGTGTAGGTGAGTGCGAGGGCCCGGTTTTTGACGAGTGTTTGGCCGCTGCATCCACTTGGTTCAGAAATAAAGTGACCGTAGCAACCCAACAGGAGCTGCAACAAATAAGTTTTCACGTGGTGGGTTTGGCTATAGTAGTTTTCCTCCGGTGTAGGTGATGGGGGGGCGGTACAGATGACCGAAAGCGGTTCAAACGCTTGGAAGTTTGCTGGTAGGTGAAAAGGGGGGGGTGTGGGGGGGGGCGGCACAGATTTGCGGATTTTGGGGTTCCAAATGGGTGTTGAGGAGGTGCAAAAAACACTGTAAATTACAGTAAATTTTGCTCTTTGGGGAGAATTACAAGGACTCAAGTTGCTGCAAAAAGTGCGTTTTACCTGCACGAGAGCCACATTTTGTCGTTTTTGTTGTTTCGAGGGAGGTGGGCCTAAAACGTGCTATGTGTAAAAAACACTGCAAATACCGTGAAAAACTGGCTTCTTTGCACTTTGATGTCCTTTCTTCGTTCTACATAATCCCAAGACGGCGCAACATAGCCCCAAGACCCACATAGAACCCAGGAACGCCCAACATAGTCCCAAGATGGGCCAACATAGGCCCAAGACGACCAACATAGTCCCAACATAGTCCCAAGATGGCCCCAAGATAGGCCAACACAGAGCCAAGATGGCCCAACATTGAACTCAAGAACGCCCAACATAGTCCCAAGATGGTCCAACATAAACCTAAAATAAAGTGAACATAGGCCCGAAGCAACCCCGGGGGGGCAACATAGTCCCAAGATGGGCCAAAGACAACCCAACAAAACCCAGCGTAGGCCCAAGACAACTCAACAAAACCCAACCTAGTCCCAAAGTAGTCCCAAGATGGGCCAACATAGACCCAAAATAAAGTGAACATAGACCCAAAGCAACCCAACAGTAGCTGCAACAAATAAGTTTTCACGTGCGTTTGGCTATATTAGTTTTCCTCCTCTTGAAAAGGGGGGAGTGGGGGAGGACGGTGTAGGTGAGTGCGGGGGCCCGGTTTGACGAATGCTTGGCCGCTGCATCCACTTGGTTAAGAGTTCATGCACTCACAGTACGAGCAACAAAGCAACAAACGGAACATACAAGCATATTGCGAGACGCACCGCAAAGAACAGCACCAACAACATCAACAACCTCAACAGCACAACAACCTCTAAGACAACGAGAACAGAAACAGGAACAACCAGAAGCACAACAAGAACACCAGCAAGAACAAGATTGGCACCAACATAGTCCCAAGATGGGCCAACATAAACCCAAAGTAAAGTGAACGTAGGCCCAAAGCAACCCAACAGTAGCTGCAACAAATAAGTTTTCACGTGCGTTTGGCTATATTAGTTTTCCTCCTCTAGAAAGGGGGGAGTGGGGGAGGACGGTTTAGGTGAGTGCGGGGGCCCGGTTTGACGAGTGTTGGGCCGCTGCATCCACTTGGTTCAGAGTCAAACATAAACCCAAAACAAAGTGAACGTAGGTCCAAAGCAACCCAACAGTAGCTGCAACAAATAAGTTTTCACGTGCGTTTGGCTATATTAGTTTTCCTCCTCTAGAAAAGGGGGGAGTGGGGGAGGACGGTGTAGGTGAGTGCGGGGGCCCGGTTTGACGAGTGTTTGGCCGCTGCAAATGGAGCTGAGCCCGACTGGGGCACTGCAACCATGCGTTGTCTTTCCCATTGGGAACGTGAATGAAACGTGTTATTGTTTTTTTCTCTGCTTGTAAATGTTTTCTCCGTGATTGTCAAAGCATATGATCTAAAGTTGTTTGCTGATGCAATGATTTGTTTTTTTTCGTTTCTCAGGTCAGTGATCGGGAACAGTCCGTGATCTGGAATGAAACAACGCTTCCAATCATGCTTCAGCGCGAGTGTATTTGCTAAGTCAATGCACCACAGTCCGACTCACGGATCTTCCTCTCGGTGACAAAATAAAGCCAATTAATTGCCAATTATATTTCAGCGTTTTCAGATTGGCTGAATGGCATCATTATTTTCTGTATTCTGCTTTTTTATTCGAATGCTCCAGTTGGAAAAACATTGTTATGCAAGCAATGTTCTGAGTGTGCTTTTTACTTGTGAGTTTGTTTTGTATATCAATGTTCGGAAATTTCAAATGTACATAATTTCTGCATGTTTATCCTTGCTATAGTCTCAATATTTTGGCTCTTCGTGGCGCTGTTCTCTGACTGTGACAATGAACGGGGCGATCGACGATACTGTTGCAAAGGCACTTGGTCCCTTTATTTTATCTTTTGAATTTTTCCCTAGATCTGTCAGGAGACTATCCTTCCCGATTCAGTCTTCTACATTGGAAACGAAAAATTGGTGAAGAGTCTGATCCCCAATTTTTGTTTTTGAATGCTGAGCTGATCGTGGTTTGAATATCGTCGTCCCAGTTCGTGGTGTCCATTCCTGATTTGCACAGAGTACACTGTTTCAGGCTCAGTTGAACTCATGCATTCGATTGTGAATACATTTTTCATTTAGATTTTGCCTCATGGAGGTCGAGCTGGACACGCGATGATTCTTGAGAGGGATGAGGGCTCAGAGGGATGGGTGGCCTATGAAAACAAGTGGGACCCTCATCATTTTGAATTCGAAAGGCTCCGAGCTTGCTTCAAGTGTCCTGAACGTGGAGCATTGGACAATGGTTCCTATCATGGATGGTTCGTTAACGGAGCTCCAAATGGAGCTGACCCCGACTGGGGCACTTCAACCATGCGTTGTCTTTCCAAGTGGGAACGTGAATGAAACGTGTTATTTTTTTTCCTCTGCTTGTAAATGTTTCCTCCGTGATTGTCAAAGCATATGATCTAAAGTTGTTTGCTGATGCAATGATTTGTTTTTTTTTCGTTTCTCAGGTCAGTGATCGGGAACAGTACGTGATCTGGAATGAAACAACGCTTCGAATCATGCTTCAGCGTGAGTGTATTTGCTAAGTCAATGCACCACAGTCCGACTCACGGATCTTCCTCCGGATGGCAAAATAATGCCAATTATATTTCGGAGTTTCCAGATCGGATGAACAGCATTCGCTAGTATTCAACCGATGCACTTCACGATACCACATCACATGAAATGATTACGTCTTATTCATTCTGGCTCCACAGCTTCTATCCTTCCCAACAGTAGCTGCAACAAATAAGTTTTCACGTGCGTTTGGCTATATTAGTTTTCCTCCTCTAGAAAAGGGGGGAGTGGGGGAGGACGGTGTAGGTGAGTGCGGGGGCCCGGTTTGACGAGTGTTTGGCCGCTGCATCCACTTGGTTCAGAGTTCATGCACTCACAACGACATCAAGACAGTACGAGCAACAAAGCAACAAACGCAACATACTAGCATATTGCGAGACGCACCGCAAAGAACAGCACCACGAACATCAACAACCTCAACAGCACAACAGCCTCTAAGACAACGAGAACAGAAACAAGAACAACAAGAAGCACAACAAGAACACCAGCAAGAACAAGATTGGCAAATAGCTGCGTCACGGGGAGCGGCATTTGACCCAACAAAACCCAACATAGTCCCAACATAGTTCCAAGATGGTCCAACATAAACCTAAAATAAAGTGAGCATAGGCCCGAAGCAACCCCGGGGGGGCAACATAGTCCCAAGATGGGCCAAAGACAACCCAACCAAACCCAACATAGGCCCAAGACAACTCAACAAAACCCAACCTAGTCCCAACATAGTTCCAAGATGGGCCAACATAGACCCAAAATAAAGTGAACATAGACCCAAAGCAACCCAACAGTAGCTGCAACAAATAAGTTTTCACGTGCGTTTGGCTATATTAGTTTTCCTCCTCTAGAAAAGGGGGGAGTGGGGGAGGACGGTGTAGGTGAGTGCGGGGGCCCGGTTTGACGAATGTTTGGCCGCTGCATCCACTTGGTTAAGAGTTCATGCACTCACAGTACGAGCAACAAAGCAACAAACGGAACATACTAGCATATATTGCGAGACGCACCGCAAAGAACAGCACCAACAACATCAACAACCTCAACAGCACAACAACCTCTAAGACAACGAGAACAGAAACAGGAACAACCAGAAGCACAACAAGAACACCAGCAAGAACAAGATTGGCACCAACATAGTCCCAAGATGGGCCAACATAAACCCAAAGTAAAGTGAACGTAGGCCCAAAGCAACCCAACAGTAGCTGCAACAAATAAGTTTTCACGTGCGTTTGGCTATATTAGTTTTCCTCCTCTAGAAAAGGGGGGAGTGGGGGAGGACGGTGTAGGTGAGTGCGGGGGCCCGGTTTGACGAATGTTTGGCCGCTGCATCCACTTGGTTAAGAGTTCATGCACTCGCAACGACATTAAGACAGTACGAGCAACACAGCAACAAACGCAACATACTAGCATATTGCGAGACGCACCGCAAAGAACAGCACCAAGAACATCAACAACCTCAACAGCACAACAACCTCTAAGACAACGAGAACAGAAACAAGAACAACCAGAAGCACAACAAGAACACCAGCAAGAACAAAATTGGCAAATAGCAGCGTCACGGTCACATCTACTCAAATTATAGATCACCATTGTGTTGCATACAATACACTCTACACTACTGCTACCTCCAATCAACTCCTCATACGCACTATATAGATACACCTATGGCATCCAGCACATGCTGCTTCCAGGGCCGTCTCACCATTTCCCACAGTTTGCGCGCCATCGAAAAACAATATGGTGCCAATGCATGTCACATACTGACACGCTTTCCGTTTTTTCCGAACTGGTTTGCAGGAATCTGCCGCATTCTTATTGCACCCAGAGAGTCCGACCAAGCGGCTTCTGGTTGATCACGCTACAGGAACTGGCAAGGTCTGGCAGGGATGAGATCGCAGTTGTACCCTTCCGCTGATTCATTTGTGACTGCTTTCAGCTTGACATTGCTGGCAGACTCTCATCATGCTCCGGATGCTGGACAATTACTTTGATGATCCGCGACCGAAGGCCAACATGCGTACAGAAGGGGAAGTTTCGTGTCAAAGCTTTCCGCCGGGTGATGTGCCCGATGTGTCAAACAGGTTGCCATTTTTCCAAAAGACGCCGTGTGCGACAACTTCTACCAGGACGGGAGCGCTCCTAAAAACAGGGTCCGATCCAGATCAAGACATAGTCTTTGAACTTGTGGCATCACAAGACTCTAGCCCTGCGCAGTTCTTGTCAAGATCCTGACTCCATACGAAGCCAGGAGCTCTTGAAATGGCCAACAAGGTGGCGACATTTCTTCTGCTTTTTGAAGCCTTCAGAGGCTGTCACTGCAACCTGAACAAAGCAACGGGTTGAAACACGGACTACGGTTGCGTTTTTTTCTTGGTCATTTTTTCCATAACTCTTCAATTTTACTGCCTGACGGATTGTGCACCGTCCCTTTGAGACCTGTGTGGCAGGCCTCCCTTGCCAGCGGAGCAAAAGACTGGCGTAGGAAGAAGTGGGATGCACCTCGGCAAGTAACGTGTTCAAACAGCAAACTGGATCTATTCAATCTATTCTTCTACTCAGCGCGCTGATATACATGATCAGAATTGATGCTCATTGATGTTTCGGCGCCAGTTCCATTCCATCATCCATTGTTACTTCTAGCTCAACCTATAGCTCAACCTATAGCTCAACCTATAGCTCAACCCCTATAGCCTATGTCGGGCTGTCACATTTCGCATATCCTAGGTCTGGGACATCAACAATGAGAGATCTCGAGCAGAGGCTGCCAGTTCAGTGCCACATACCACGTCAGTTCTCTAGTGACTCTAGTGACTCTAGTGACTCTAGTGACTCTAGTGTCACTGGATTGCTGGACATTGATCATATTTGATCATCACGGATATCGTCACAGACAGAGCACAGACATCAGGCTGTGTGCTCTGAGTCTTTTTTTATTTGCAGGCTGTTTATGGCTCACACAGCACGCTTCATGGTCGATTTTCAGAAGCACATTCTAATTTTACTTTACTATGATTGCAGCTGATTGCTTCCGTCACTCACCAAACCAACATGCAGAAGTTTGGAACACTCACTTTGCACATTAAAACGTAAATGCATGTCCATCTTCAAGCAGTGCAGTTGCTCGGGAGAATCCTACTCGGCTCCCTTAGGTTCCCAGTTGTGGTGCCATGGAGGATGTTGTTTTCAACCAGCTGAATGTGCTGGATGATAACACCTTGGACTCTCATTGCACATTTGGGTTGCAACTGGTCAACTGCATTTTTTCAAGAAGTAGACACAATTTTCGAGGTGATGCGGTGATACTAGTTGATTTCCCGCAACGAACTGTCTAATAAGAGCATGAAATTCAATGCCGAGGGCTTTATTATCACCGACTTGCTGCGAGACAAGCCAGAGTTGGCACCTGCACTTGTCACCCAAGCCATTCCAGTGTCTATGCTGCAATAGTTGAGGAAAGCCTTGTACTCATTCTGACAATTCTGCTTCTACTGTGAATGGCAAGAGATGTCCCACTCACCGAGGACTTGACTTTTGCACCCACAAAGGCACTGACTGACAAGGGTGCTCGATGTACTGGAACCATCAAAAGTGTGAATTCAGAAACTTGTCAGAGCAGTGACCGCACTGAAACAAATGCGCCCTTGCCGTGATCAAGTCCCCACTTCAACGAGCTGAGGAACTGGGGCACGGCTTGATTGATTGCCCACAGCTGAACTCCGTTTTTGGATGTGATGTTGTTGTGTTTCCTCAGCAGGCGCGCAGAGAGTCAAACAGCTGCGAAAGTTGCCAGAGCTATGCAGGTCCAACAATTTTCGCGATTTGACATTTGCAGGTTGGTAGCTTCAAGGAGGGCCAACTGGTCAACTTTGCATGTGCCCCCAGTGAATCCTAGCCGTCCAGTTCAAGCTTGAAAGGGATGAATTTCGCCTTGGATCTTCATTTATATATTAATATGAAATTGATGTTTATGATTTATTGATATCTGTAGGTATATTATGTACACGTCCCCAGAAGCGGACAGTGTCGCCCAACAACGGGCCCGGTCGATAAGAGAGATATTTGCTCTGAACTTGCGGTGAAATTCCAAGGCTGTGACCTTGAATGACGAAAGCAAACCGCAAGCTTTTGATTTGGTCGAAGAGGTTTCTGTTCTGCATTACCTCAAAAAAGACGTCAAAAACGCAAGATGATGCAAAATACAATTTTGGTTGCAGGCAGCAAGGAAGCGTTGCTGCCATCAACTTGCTCTGATTCCTTTGAAGACATTGCGTGATTCTTATTGAGTCTTACACACATACAGAGCTGTCAACATGCAATGCCCAAGGATCCGAACAAGGATATGATGAACTCAATGGGCAGCATGGGTGGGATGAGTGGCATGGGCATGGGCATGGGTGGTTTCATGCCTGGCTTTGGCATGGGCGGCATGGGAATGATGATGAATGGAACCCCTGGCAACGCAGCTGTGGCAAAGTCGGCTGCGAGACCAACTCCGCCGCTGGGAGAATATTCTTGAAACACTTTTTCTGTCCCACTTCTTCGATCTTCTTCGATCATTCAGTTGACCTCTTTTCAACATAATTCCTCTTGCAATGCTGGTAAGCTTCGACTTTTGCGTTATTCATAGTATTTTTATAGTATATTTATAGGCAATCCTTTTTCATCCTTTTTGACTTTTCACATCGTTTCACGGCTTTGGATCTTGAACAACGTTATGGAAATGACCTTGACAGCTTAGGAACTTTGAGGATTCAGGCTCGTGTCTTTCAAAGAAAACAAACAAAACTTCAGCAGCAGAAAACTACTGTGACAGACTGAAACGAGGCAGACCGAAGATGATTGAACCATTACTAATTTAATACTAATTACTGTACCAATCTTTGTGACATGTGACTTGCAGTCCAATCTCTAGGTGAGCCTCCACAGCAAGAGCTCGGAGTCTTTGTAGGGCACTCGGACACTATCCAGCGAACACCATCAAAATCACTGATATCCTGCATTCTTTTCACACCGACGCCGTGATTTGTGCACCCATTTGTTGAGCCAGCAGTCTAGGTTGGGAGATTCAAAGTCTGGAATGCAGAAAAAGGACTTGGTGCCTCGGCAATTTCTGGCAGGGTCCCTCTTTCGAGAGCTCCCAAATATGTTTCTGATGATTCTTGGTCCGGCCTGGTCCTGTTCAACTTCAACTTCTTGCAACTTCTTTTGTCCTTTTGGCAAACTAAGGTTACATCCAATGCGACGCACTGCTAGATGAAGGCAGTCCTCCATCGCCGCAATCAAAGCATTTGTGTGCATTCCCTGTGCTGTTGCGCTCTTATAGAAGCATCAAACTTTTTGCATCCCATCTGATTTGTGTTTGCAGGATACAGTGGCGAGGTGGTTCTACCCCAGCATCAAAGAAAGAACTTCCAGCCCGGTCAGGACACCTTGACGGAATGAGACATGAAGGGCTTATGTGACTTATGTGCACCCAAACTGTAGATCTCTGCATTTTGAGTCCTTCAGACTTATCCGCTTTATCCGCTTTATCCTCCCCGTTCCATTCCGTTCCGTCCCTTGCCATCGATGTATCATTCATCTGCCCTTCGTTCGCCAGGATGTCTCCTTTACCTGTGTCCTTCGCAGCCTGGCAGCAGACTTCACAGAACTTCCAATCTCAGGAGATCTTCCAATCTGGCCGACCGGGTCTCTAACTGGGTCTTCCCCATTTTTCGTAGAAATGAGGTAGAATGAGAATACAACCAGGTGCGTTGCCTCGATACCTGGAAATTTGGATTCTGAATTCCATTTCGCTGAGGCAATGGCCAGCTTCAGGCGCAGGAGCTCGAGAACCCACGGCCGCTCGTTTGCACGGCCTAAGGCATTTTTTTTGGCGACTGTGATAGCGACTTTGGAAGGAGACTCTCCTGATTTCAGAAATTGCAAATTAGTATTGAAACCTTAGAGGACTGAATGTAGCGCAAGGATGCACTGGGATAGGCTTTGGCCACTCGTTGTTTGGTCATGGGACAGATAGGTTTGAAGATTTTTTCCACAATGTTTCCTATCAATGCTGATCAGTCTTGAACAGGATGGCCATGGGACGGCCTATGAGCTTTGGTGAAGGTGGGGCAATGATGGACACAGCCATGTTCAAAGCCAAACATGTTCCGACATGTCGCACAATTTAGGACCGTGTTTGAGCCCTTTCTTGCCTTTCAAAGCCACAGATTTACATATTTGGCAACCGCGGCAGGCATGCCGCCGGGAAAGAGATTCCGACCTTCTTGATGCGGTGCAAGGTCCAAGAAGGTCCAAGAAGGCCTTGTGGACAACGCTTCCGCAAAGGTGCAACGGTTTGCAGGGGGTCGAAGGCCTCAGGCTTTCCATCCAACAAAGACGGCACTGACCGGTTTGGATGTGTCGAAAGCGCCATGACCGAAGCAGACTTAAAAGCGATGCCGTGCTCCAACTCTCAAACTGGTCGTTTCCGTTCTGTGCGTTTCTCGGTGTCCTACTGGAAACCATGGCCTCTTTGGAAATGTCTTGAGAGTCTTTACCAGCATTTGAACCTCTGCGGTGCTGCAACTGCCTCTGCATCTCTGTACCACTGCCAGAGTCATTATTTTGCTGTTCGGAGAATCGCAGTCCCTGAGTCTCTGAACTTACAAGCCAGGCCAAAGCGAGAGGAGTTCGATTGGAGAAGATCATCAGCGAACTTACTGAGAGTATCCGACAGGAGAGGGGGTTCGCTGGTGCGCAGAGAATGTGTTCATCCCTGTCATCTTGTGGCGTCAGCTTGGAATTTGCTCAGAATGTAGAATGAGAGTAGTCCATGTACTCACATCGTGTCTCTACTTTCAAACAACTTCAGTCATCATTGTCAGTTGTCGTTCTATCAGACATATGATGCATGGTTCACGGAGACACATACCAAGACTGCAAAAACTACAAGCATTAAAGATATCAAAGGCATTCAAAGGCTTTCAACATTTTTCAAGAAACTGCAGAGACAGCATTTCTGCCGTTTCTTCTTTTCTCAGTGTTCTCCAATCCATTTTGTGAGGCCCTGGAGATGAAACATGCGATTCACGGCGGCAAGGTGCATTGCGTTCCCACAGAAGGGAAGTGTTTGGAGAAATTCGGAAAGGCCATTAACTGTATTCCGAGCAGTTGGAATGCGAGGTTAGGGCAAAATTCGCCCGCACATTTCTGGAGGACATGCTGATAGTTTTCGAGCTGGCACTGTATTGGGATGTTGAGTCATGAGAAAGGAGCATCCAGACGCACCTATGCCAAGATCACCGCTGCGTCTGCAACTCTGAGGGCACTGTCACAGTGAAGCTGGCACTTGCAAGCTGAGTTCTGGTACGCAAATCATGTTGCTGCTTGGTAGCTGCTTGTAGCTGCTTGTAGCATTGTAGCTGCTTGTGGTTGTGGATTCTCTTCCAGGTGCCTTCCGTTACACTACAGCCGGCGGGGGAGCAGCTGTGCTTGGAAGGGCGACTGAGATCAAATCCTTGGCGCTTTTTGTCATCAGTCGGCAGTGGCGGCAGTGGCATGGGACAAAAGCTGAGCATTGCGAGTTCCAAGGATGGATGGCCCAAGAGTCCTATTCTAAAAGTTGGCTTTGATCCAGCAGAGCTTTCGCCTTGGCCGTTGATTTGGGATGAAAATAGACCTGCCACTGCCACTTCATTAGATTTCTTTGATGAGGCTCAACCCATACTCTGGCAAGGCCTCTCGCAAAGTTCAATTGGAGATAGGTGATTGCCGGTGTTTGTTTGGATAATTTGCTTGGGCAACATGAACACGCGCAGGTCGTCATCATGGACGAATGCCACAATCTTGTAAGGCCCACACAGGTTTACGAGGACTGCAAAGTAGCGGAAGTCCTGCTTTCAAACTCGTCGAAGCGGTAGAGTTTCATCATGGTTCTTGCTGTATCTTGTCAGAGAGGAACAGCTTGGCCATCTTCGACATCTTCTCGTACTGACCTCAGTTTTGGCTCTTTTGACTCTGCTAGACCCTCCTGGCCCTTCTGCCGATTCAGAAATCACTTGGGAGACCCACGCGATGCTGTCCAGTATCTACATGTTCAAGCTTCCAAAACGCTCAAACACTTCTCAAGCTTTGCGATGCACCTTGGTGCTGAGCATGAATCTACGCGGACTGTTCTGGCTGGCTTCACTGGGACACCGGTCTCCCTCTCAGATGTTCATTGGTAGAAGTATCGAAGAGAGAGAGAGAGAGAGAGAGAGAAAGAGAGAGATCCAAGCATCTTAACAGTCTTAACATATCTTTAACATATCTTAACTTGCTGCAGATGCGTCTTGATGGTGCAATTTGACCAATCTGACATGAGAAACGGAAGTGGTGCTGCTTCTGACAAGGATGTCTCAAGGATGTCTAATATGCAAAAACGCTGAGAGCCGCTTCTCTCAGCCTGTGGCCTACAGATTTCACCTGTGGCCTTTGCACGAGCACTGAGGTGGGAAATGATGCTGCGGAAGGTCGTCAGCTTTTGGATATCATCAAGGTCAGGTAAGGTTAGGATGACATGTGGTGCGGTATAGCATACGATAGACTTATGTTGGGCGTTTGAATCCGGTTTCAATATTTTGGGCTTGAGGGCTCTAGTCACGAGCCTGCACCATGTATACAATGTATACCTTGTAAATTCTGAAACCAGGCTAGGAGAGTGAAGGGGTTTGATCCAATTCGTGCTTCTGCCAAGTCACATCGATGGCAAAGCCACCTTTACTCCAAGTCATTTCATAAATCACATGCTCTCGATGAACTTGTGAAGGGCAAAGTCTCTGCTAACTCTGGCGACGAAGCTGGCAACCTCAGTCCGATTGAAGCTGTGACACGTGCGAAGTGCATCAAGAAGTGCATCAAAGTGCCCCGCAACACAGTGACATCATGTGACATCATGTGACATCATGTGACATCCGTGACATCCTGCTCCGACTACGTGACTACCATCCCCGAGGGCTTTGTCTCCTGCTTCCATGCACGTGACAACGCGGACTTTCCACGAGAGGCGGGTAAGTCGGGCGAATGTTGTGAAATCTTCGTGACACCACTGCTTTACGACCCTCATCCAAGCAACATTTGCTGCACTCTACGAGGTGCCAGTGCGAGGAATTCCAGATGGTGTGCTGCACGACTCCATGCTGCCGGACAATGGGACAAAGTTTGAAAAGACAGTTGAAAGTTGAAACACGTTGAAACATGTTGAAACAGACGGAAAGAGGTTGAAAGAATGTAAACAAAACTTGAAACCTTTGAACTTTGCTAGTTGCAACGCAGAGTATTTAGCAAAGCAAGGAAACTGTGATACTATGATGGAGACCCTAGAGAAGTCCCACCATTTGCATACTCGTACCTTCCTCCTCAAGCGCTCCGGCTTGCTTGCTGCGTTCCTTGAACAGACGGTTGTGAGGAGCTTGTGAGGATGCATTCCTTGCATGGTGAGGCAATTTTGTGTGTACGGTGTATGATTTCTTGCGCCGTCACTGGAATTCACCATTGATCCTGCATTCTGGCGGATGCCATAGCGAGGCTTTGAAACGCTACTTGATGAAGGAGGTTGAGTCTTGACCTTTGACATTTCGTCGAGCCTGATGAGATCTGATGAGTATTATCTAGGGCGTGCCTTTGTTCATTACGTTGGCCCGAGCCTCTGAATAGTCTGAGTCAGTCTGAGTAGTCTGAGGTATATGATCACGCCTCGTTTGATGCGACTCCCAGAGGAGCAGTGTATGGTTTGTCTGTCCAGGGCTGCCATTCTCTGTTTCTTTCCGATCTTTCGGATGTTGGGTTACCATGGGTTACCCGGGTTGGGTCCGTTGAGGGAATGGGTCTCAGGAGAAGCGCCTTGCAAGACTTTCGAACTATTGCAATTTGCATGTCTTTCACGGCTGGACACTTGGCCAGAGAACTAAGTGCCAGATTTTTGAAAGCGCGTCCAGTCAGGTTCCTACACCGGCGCAAAAAGGACAGCCTTGTTGGCCAATGTCAAGGACCCGTTCAGACTGGATCAACATATATCGATTTCTGGCACCAGCACAACTGAAGCATACTCCCATTTGCCGTGCTTGGAGTTTTTTTTCCCTGAGAGAACTGTTCAGAAAGAATTCTTCACAGATGGTTTGCAGTGGCTTACATGACAAGTTTCAAAATCTTGGCCTGAGACACACTTGTGACTTGACATCTTATGACAGTGTTTGTTCGCTCAACTCCAAACAAGATAAATTTTGACCCTTCCTTGGTGGAGTCCAAGTTGAAATCTGGTTTCAAAGCTTCCAACCAGCCATCCTTCTTGTTGCTTCTCTTTCTTAGGACTTTGCACCAAAGTTCTATGGCGTTGCCAAATCGATTGCAAAAAACAAAGAAAAGGCACGGCGACATGTTTCATTTGCTTTGGCTACTGGTAAGCAGAAAACAGAAGCAATCAGTAACTTGGTACATTCTAGTGAATAGATTGCACTGCATCTTTTTTCTAGCAGCAACTTGTGACCCCCTGGAGAGGCAGTTGTAATGCTGTCGCGTCAAACTGGGTACAAGGCATTGCTGGAGGCGGGCCTGTTTCATGTCCACTAAACAGCTTCCACAACAACATTCGATCACCATACGTTTTGGCGTGGGCATAGGCCTCAATTGGTGACTCGTTTCAGACTGGTTTTTGCGTGGATGAAATCGAGATAATTAAATGAAACCTTGCGGAAACCTTACGGAAACCCTGCGAGATTCTTCAAAAGACCGGGAAGAAACGTGGCTTCAAAGTAGCCACCTTGAAGGAGCTGAGTACTGACCTGAGACTAAGACCATGGCTTGGGCATGTGCCGTACATAAAGACCCGAGGGAGGGGGCCCGAGGAGGACATCAGTTTGTATCAGTAAACTGTTTGTATAATTTGATATATTGTAATTTGTACGATGGGCCACTCGCAAGTTGGACATGGGCGATGCCTTGCTTTGTCCCAGGTGACTTCAACGATGGCAAAAGAAACCTTCGCGGCGAGCGATTTCGGGTCATGGTGGCTGAAACTTCTCAGGAGTGCTCCTCGCGGACAGACTGATCCAGACTGATCCAGACTGACAGCATTTGACAGCCAAAAGCGGCAATCTTTTTTGAATTGGTAGCATCTCCTGAACAGAGAACCCAGACCAGTTGAGACCTCACTATAACACAGGACCTCAAAACACATTCAGACATCTCTTGGAGTCTTCGTTTCAGGTAGCTTCAGCAATCTTTTGACCAGGTGTTTTGGCTTACACGATTGTTTACATCAACTGGGTGGATGCAAATCAGATGCGTAACTTGCCAGGCAGGGGAAGGCATTCAGTTCAAGCACGTGCGCCGTCTTCACTTGGTGGAGGTGCCAGCGAGGCAAGATTCAAGTCCCGGAAAGACACATCTGAACAGGAGCGTAGACATGGGAAGAAGGTTCCCCAACTACTCCTCCAACAAAGAGACTCCCATAAGACCTGTAAGTTGCCAACGTACAGCACCTAAAACCATCCAGGGGACTCCTAAAAGACTTGTAGGTTGTCGACCTACAGCACCTAAAATTATCCAGGGGACTCCAATAAGACCTGTAAGTTGCCAACGTACAGCGCCTAAAACCATCCAGGGGACTCCTATAAGACTTGTAGGTTGTCGACCTACAGCACCTAAAATTATCCAGGGGACTCCAATAAGACCTGTAGGTTGTCGACCTACAGCACCCAAAGCCATCCAGAGGACTGCCATAAGACCTGTAGGTTGCCGACCTACAGCACCTAAAACCATCCAGGCGACTCCAATAAGACCTGTAGGTTGTCGACCTACAGCACCTAAAACCATCCAGGGGACTCCTATAAGACTTGTAGGTTGTCGACCTACAGCACCTAAAACCATCCAGGCGACTCCAATAAGACCTGTAGGTTGTCGACCTACAGCACCCAAAACCATCCAGAGGACTGCCATAAGACCTGTAGGTTGCCAACCTACAGCACCTAAAACTCCAACAAGACCTGTAGGTTGCCAACCTACAGCACCTAAAACCATCCAGGGGACTCTGATAAGACCTGTATGCTGTCGACCTACAGCACCCAAAACCATCCAGGGGACTCCCACAACACCCAACCTACAGCACCTAAAACCATCCAGGGGACTTCCATAAGACCTGTAGGTTGCCAACCTACAGCACCTAAAACCATCCATGGGACTCCAACAAGACCTGTAGGTTGCCAACCTACAGCACCTAAAACCATCCAGGGACTCCCACAACACCCAACCTACAGCACCTAAAACCATCCAGGGCACTTCCATAAGACCTGTAGGTTGCCGACCTACAGCACCTAAAACCATCCATGGGACTCCAACAAGACCTGTAGGTTGCCAACCTACAGCACCTAAAACCATCCAGGGGACTCTGATAAGACCTGTATGCTGTCCACCTACAGCACCCAAAACCATCCAGGGGACTCCCACAACACCCAACCTACAGCACCTAAAACCATCCAGGGCACTTCCATAAGACCTGTAGGTTGCCGACCTACAGCACCTAAAACCATCCATGGGACTCCAACAAGACCTGTAGGTTGCCAACCTACAGAACCTAAAACCATCCAGGGGACTCCAACAAGACCTGTAGGTTGCCAACCTACAGCACCTAAAACTCCAACAAGACCTGTAGGTGCCAACCTACAGCACCTAAAACCATCCAGGGGACTCTGATAAGACCTGTATGCTGTCGACCTACGGCACCCAAAACCATCCAGGGGACTCCCACAACACCCAACCTACAGCACCTAAAACCATCCAGGGGACTTCCATAAGACCTGTAGGTTGCCAACCTACAGCACCTAAAACCATCCATGGGACTCCAACAAGACCTGTAGGTTGCCAACCTACAGCACCTAAAACCATCCAGGGGACTCTGATAAGACCTGTATGCTGTCGACCTACAGCACCCAAAACCATCCAGGGGACTCCCACAACACCCAACCTACAGCACCCAAAACCATCCAGAGGACTTCCATAAGACCTGTAGGTTGCCAAACCTACAGCACCTAAAACCATCCATGGGAGTTGCCAACCTACAGCACCTAAAACCATCCACGGGACTCTGATAAGACCTGCTGTCGACCTACAGCACCCAAAACCATCCAGGGGACTCCCACAACACCCAACCTACAGCACCTAAAACCATACTTCCATAAGACCTGTAGGTTGCCAACCTACAGCACCTAAAACCATCCATGGGACTCCAACAAGACCTGTAGGTTGCCAACCTACAGCACCTAAAACCATCCAGGGGACTCTGATAAGACCTGCTGTCGACCTACAGCACCCAAAACCATCCAGGGGACTCCCACAACACCCAACCTACAGCACCTAAAACCATCCAGGGGACTTCCATAAGACCTGTAGGTTGCCAACCTACAGCACCTAAAACCATCCAGGGGATTCTGATAAGACCTGTAGGCTGTCGACCTACAGCACCCAAAACCGTCCAGGGGACTCCCACAACACCCAACCTACAGCACCTAAAACCATCCAGGGGACTCTGATAAGACCTGCTGTCGACCTACAGCACCCAAAACCATCCAGGGGACTCCCACAACACCCAACCTACAGCACCTAAAACCATCCAGGGGACTTCCATAAGACCTGTAGGTTGCCAACCTACAGCACCTAAAACCATCCATGGGACTCCAACAAGACTTGTAGGTTGCCAACCTACAGCACCTAAAACCATCCAGGGGACTCTGATAAGACCTGCTGTCGACCTACAGCACCCAAAACCATCCAGGGGACTCCCACAACACCCAACCTACAGCACCTAAAACCATCCAGGGGACTTCCATAAGACCTGTAGGTTGCCAACCTACAGCACCTAAAACCATCCATGGGACTCCAACAAGACCTGTAGGTTTCCAACCTACAGCACCTAAAACCATCCAGGGGACTCTGATAAGACCTGCTGTCGACCTACAGCACCCAAAACCATCCAGGGGACTCCCACAACACCCAACCTACAGCACCTAAAACCATCCATGGGACTCCAACAAGACCTGTAGGTTGCCAACCTACAGCACCTAAAACCATCCAGGGGATTCTGATAAGACCTGCTGTCGACCTACAGCACCCAAAACCGTCCAGGGGACTCCCATAAGACCTGTAGGTTGCCGACGGTGATCTGGAAGTCCTTTGTTTTTGTACCTGCTATCGATGACGAAGGCACTCAGAGCTGGTGCAACGTGCTTCACGATGTGTTCGCATGGGTGGCCATGAGGCACAAAACATTCTTGCACCTTGCTGTACGGTGAAATCACATTTTTGAACGATCCATAAGGTTGAATCAGCATAGGCACGTCAGAACAAAGCCAACTATGAGGAATTTTTGACCGTTTCTCAATTTTATTTTACTCTGCAGAGTTTGACCGTTTCAGGGTTTGCCACCACAAGAACGTGAACTTGTTCCGACCTCAAACGCACCTAGAGAGAAGGTCTTCCTCAAGAGACTGTCAGTTTGTTCGCCCATCAGTCTTCCTATGTTGCTCTGAAATGAGAAATCGATAGAAATCGTACTTCGCCCATCAGTTTCTCTTGTGAAACAAAACCGATCCAACCACGAGCCCTGGGTTTAGAAACACGAGACAACCTACAGGAACCAGGCTTGACATTTGAACATGACGGTTTGACATCTTTTAACTCTGATCCCAAGGCCATTGAGGTTCACCTCACGCAGCTGCCCAGTTTTTTGCGGAAGGCAACGTGTGTTGAGCTTGAGAAGTCCGCCGATCAAGGGTGTGTTCCTGTACTGTTCTGTGCAAAGTTTTTAATCGATCTTAAGGGTAGATCTACATCTTTCTTGGGCAGCCTTATATGTTCATTGCTCAAAATGGGTTTTCATTTGGATTTTCATTGGGACTTTTGTTTGAACAAGTACAGCCAAACAAGCACAGCTAACAAGATATATGCCATGAAGCCAAAGGAAAGTCCCAATGAAAATCCAAATGAACAACCATTTTGGCAATGAACATATAATGATAATTATTATAAAACAAATCCTAGTGAAGAAACATATTGTATTTTCGCTTAGCTAGAGGCTGCAATATTTTCATAAGGGTAGATGTGACATGATGTGACATGATGTGACATGATGTGACATGATGTGACATGATGTGACATGATGTGACATGATGTGACATGCACCTGGCTTTGTGCGCAGGGACCAAGCTCCTTCATCTATCGAGAGCTCCTGAATGCAAAGGAGGCACCAAAGCGCTTTCAGCGGTGGACAAGTTTATTTGCGTGATTGCGTATCATGCATATCCATTTGCACGCTTTCTGCTCCGCTTTCCTGTCCAAGGTGATGTCTATTCCTGGCTCAAAACTGGAGGCCAGACATGGCTTGATATTTTGATACTTGGGAGCGACAGCAGCAAGATATAACAAGATATTCTGGCCGCGGCATAGTTTTTGATCTTAAAAAGGAAGCGACTACCGCATGCATCAAGGAGCTGAAGCTTCGATCTCAGCCCACGATGCCGCATGATGCACCTCTTCCGTGTTGATTTGAGGACTCCAGTTGGACTCCAGTCAGATTCCAGACTGAGGAAACGTGAGGTGAAGACCTTGCTGGACTTTCGAAGAGTGCTCCAGGCCCGTCTCAGGCCAGCTCCCAGCGTGAGTCGCTCCACGCTCCCCTTGAAAGGCTGATGGAGGCAAGAATATCATCGAACTGCTGACAGAGGCAAGATATATCATGATATATCACGATATCCTTTCAGCATCTTTCAGTTATTTTGCAGCGTGTCGGAGCTATTGTCCCAGCCAAACTAGTAGGGTTTTTGTCTGTTTTTGTAATGTTTGTATTTGCAGCCATGTTAACATTTACACCATGGCCAGACCGTCTTGGAGATCCTGGGCAATACCAATGCTGCACCTGCCCGACCACTTGCAGTGTCTGTGCCTCCCTTAAATCAGCCTTCAGGGCCTCAGCAGGCGCTGTAGCTTTGACATTAGTCTTTGTCCTGCTGGCCTGAATGCAGATGTGGCAACTCCGCAAACGAGATGACGACTTGGTGGCGTACCAGAGACATGTTTGATTGCTGCGCTAGTAGCCATCGACTTGCTTGCTTTAGAGCATGAAAAGATGGCGAGATGGCATTATAATAATGTGGTTCCAAGACAGGCTGGAGAAGAACTTGCTGAAACAGGCCTGGCTTGAACTTGCTTCTATGTCTTTGAAGTTTTCGAAGCTTACCAACCCACTTTACTGACACATTTGAATGGGGCTCCGGGTCGGTGGAACGCGTGCTGTAATTCTCACACAAAATCAAGGACCCCCAATAGGACCTCCACTGAATTATCAGGAGTTGTGTGTATTTGTCTTCTTGCAGAGTATTGACAGGCAACAGTCAAGACCGCTGACCATCTTCTGCTGGAGAGGCTTGTGGACAAGGCCGTCCGCAAAGTTGGGCTCAGTTTGGATGTGGAGGTGATATAACTCCATCCTGCGTTCTTTTCTGTCAGGGGCAACTTGGATTCGGTCTCCAATTGTTGTATTAAAGTCAAAGTCAGTGTGGATATCATGGTTTCTATGGATCAAAGATACAAAAGCTATGTAGCTCCTTCTGTTGGAATGTAGTCAGAGGGACGAAAAAGAAGAGAGCGGGGGACTGTGAGAGTGCGTTTTTTTGTTAGTTTTACAATATGTTGTTGGTGCTAACTCTTCATACACATCATCATGCCTGATGCCTCTGCCAAGATGTTCATCCAAAGAAGATGCCACCAGCCAAAAAAAAATGTAAAAAATAAAAATAATTAGTTGGTGGGGGGGGAACAGTATTGAGATAGATTACTACATCCTAGTAAGCCAAATCAGTTTGAAACAGCTGCAAATGCAACCCTTTAAGCACCCATCCGCATTATGAGGCATTCATCTATCAGATATAGTGTTGCCTTGGCAAAAATCTTCATTTCAAAATAGACCTTTCATTTATAAATTGCAATTTTCTTTCAAGGCAAGGCATTACTTCTTTAAAGAAAGAGTATCCCTACAAAATAGAAAGCAGTCCTCTAAACATGCAGCGTTCCTTTCTGTAGAAGTGTGGTCTTTCTTCCTTTCATAGTAATACTGAGCCTGCCTTCAATCATACAGTATGTTTTTCAAAACATCAGATTCCTACACGACATGCAGTGTGTGATTGACATTCAGTCTTGCTGTCAAAAGGTGCAATTGCCGATGCACATTGCAGTATTCCTTGAAACAAGAAACATTATTGTTGAAGGAACATGCTGCTTATAGGCTGCAATCTGCCTTATATTTCCTTAAATAAGAAACAATATTCTTGCAAGAAAACTATAATGTGTGGACAAATGCCATACATCCTTTAATGAGGTTAAGCCTCATTCTCATTTTTTCTCCATGGCATTTGCTTTTAGCGGAGAGACTTCCCTTCTTCAAAAGAATTGCCTTGAAGACAAGATAGTTCCTGAAATAAAAAGCAATATTCTTGCAGAAATACAATATGTTAACAAATGCAATACATCCTTAATGAAGTTAAGCCTTACCATCATTTTTTCTGCATAGCATTTGCTTTAAAAGGAAAGATTCCACTTCTTAAAAATGATATTTGTTTTGTTCTGTTGTTTCACTCATATGGAAGGGCATACTGCATACATACAACCATGTATCTTCCCAAAAGTATTATATACATACACTTCTACTTCACAATAACGATTCTTTACATTATTGCATATTTTTCAGTCAATTGGTTCACAACCTTATCAAGGTATATAGGAAGTTTTGCGCATACTGGCGCCAACACGTTCTTTACGGAAGACCATATTCATGTTAAATAGGTACTCAAAGGATTCCATTCTGACATATTGTTGTCCTTCTTCCATTTCTTCCTTAAAGGAGCTTTGCACAGCTGTCTCTTTGAAAATGACTTTGGATTCATGTCAAATAAATGCTGCACTCCCTTATGTAAGGGGACTGTACAAAATGATGCCACTTTATGCAAGGAAAGATGTGTCTTTATGCCAGGAACGTCATATTATTGGGAAAAATTGACTAAGAGCCAAAAGAACTTCCAGTAGGTCAAAGGTTACCAAAACCAAAAAAAACAAAAAAAATCAAGAAAACCACCCAAAAAAACAAAAAACAAAAAACACAATCCAACCCTATGTCACAGGCACTCAAGCCCAGTAGGTCTTCTTGGTTTTCTTGTTTTTTTTTTTTATTTTTTGTTTTTTTTTGTGGTTTTCTTGTTTTTTTTGTTTTTGTTTTTTGCACGCCCCAAGGGAAGGATGCAGAGAGTTGAGTCTTGTCATTTGTTTTTTTCTTGCCAATCAATGCATATGTCAAAACAGAGAATATGTAAAGAGGAGTGCAAAAAACGCACTCTCACAGTCCCCTGTTCCGAAAAAGAATGGGTCAATGTATTCTCGAAGCTTCGGTCCACAATACCTTTTTCAGCAAAAGAAATGACAAAGAAACGTCCAAGATGTCCCAAAATGTTCGAAGACACTTTGTGCAACGCTGCGCAGAGCTCTGAACTTCTTGGACCATTGGAGGCACGCTGCAGAGACTAAGTGTTTTGCTTTCGTTTTGCTGCCTCTGAACTCTTAATAGGCTGTAGATGGTAGCTGGTTTAAGCCTTTAAGCCTTAAGCACCCTCAAGCTATTTTTGCTTGCCTTGGTTCTGCTTAGGCCATGCGTTTGAGAGCAATTGACCGAGACCTTTTGGCCGCGTTGGGTGATCCACCCAAGGCCGATCAAGCGTTCAACTTGTGCAAAGCGGTGTAAATTTTGTAAAAGGTAACGATTGAAACGCTTGCAAGATCTTGAAAGGAGATATATAGGGAGAACCGGCCCAACTGGCTGAACTTAAATTAGGCTGAAGTCATTGAACGCACCTGGCATTCAACTTGATCGTTCTATGATTCTACGGCAACGTGCTGCAGCAGGCCCCTCCTCCTCGGTCAGGGCCTTGAGCAAATATCATCCACATTGCCACATAGCACGTGTTTCATGTGTTTTGCAGCATCCCAAAGCATCAACTCACCCCCACCTTGATGATTCTTGATGCACTTGCACACGTTTGCACATTACCTACTCCAGAGACTTTCCTTCAGTGACATGCGTGACCTGATTGGTTTAGGATCAACACAGACGCAGAGCCAGCTTTGCTTCTGGAGGCCTGATTCTGGCAATATAGGATCTGTGCTTTGAATAGATTCCTGTTCCTTCAGGATGACGATGATGAGGATGACCTGAAGAAAGAAGAGGACAGGGAGATCAATAGACATCACAAAGCTACAGATGTTCATAATTCTTGATTCTGAATGACCGAAGACATTTTCAGGACGATGTCAATCTGGAAGAGGAGCCTCTGCATTTATTTTTGCTTCCCGCCGATTGCAGACGATCTCTCGCGTCCTTCCGTTCCTTGGAAATGTGATCAACGAAGAAGCGTGGCGCAGTCTTGGAATGCAGACAGTGTCCTTTCTAAATCGGCCGTGACCCTCTGGTCTTGGCTCACAGCTTTTCCAGAAATCCCAACATATTTCAATGAAAGTCACGAGGGACGAACAACAAGAAAGGTGCCCTTCTTCGTCCTCAAGCAAAGGGCAAGCACTTGTAGGATCCTCCACTTTCATTTGAAGACAGTTGCAGCTACTGTTTCGATGTAGAGGTGGGGCATGTTTTTGACCCGCCTAAAGCAGATCTTGGCACACGGCATGTGGAGTGTAGACAGTGTAGACAGTGTAGACAGTGTAGACAGCGTACTAAACAGATTTCAAAGGATTTGCCACGTTCACCTTGACTTGACCGCGAACTTGTTGCCATGTCTGCAAAGCAAGTTCGAAAGCTTCAAGCCCTAAAAGTGTCCAAGAAAGGAACTGATGCCAATGAAGATGCCCATGAAGATGCCAAAGAGAGTGGTTCTGACTGCGAATCCACAGAACCCAAAGAGTCGAAGGATCCTCAGCTCCTTTAGCTCTGTTCTGCTCCATTCTGCTCCGTTCTGCTCCGTTCTCCTTGTTCTTTGGTCAACTCTGGAGGGAAACCACACGGAAACCACAAGGAAACCAAAAGGAAACTTCAAGGGAATTTCAGATAATTTCAGGCTTTGCTGGCTGAGGCCTGTGGCTTTTCAGCCCTGATTGGGTCTTCAGACACTGACAGTGACGCCGCTCATGCCCATGACTCCCAAATTCAAAAACCTGCCGAGATGGCTGTGGAGAAAGGGCCCACAACTGAAATTGCAGCCGAGAGTGCGCCACCATCGAAAAGCAAGAAGAAGTTGCTGGACTCCTTTTCATCAACTTTCTTTTAGAAGAAATCATCAACTTTCTTTTAGAAGAAAGTGACAGAATGAAAAGATACAATATGGGCACAAATATGTCAACTATGGATGATTCTAGAATATATGCTTGCATAATGTTTAGATGGCATAGATATGATGACAGTCTGCAAGATGATTTCTGTCGAACCCTGACGGAAGTGGTGACCGAAGCGACACTAAGTAGACTGTGTGCTCAGTGCTCCGTAAGCCACAAACCAAAGCTTGAATGTCCCCCGTGCCATCCACAAAGGGCGATGTTTCTAGTTATTTCATTCTGATTCTAAGCCACATTTTGCAACAAAGACTTTGCAGTCGTTTTGGGTCTGCAAAGTGCGTAGAAAGCCTATGCGGTTTTTGGACATTTTGCGAAGTGTTGTGAGAGCAGCCTTACAAACCCAGGAAGAAGGGTAAGAAAAGCCAAGTCAAGAAGACAGAAGATTCTTCGGAAGGCCTGCAGATGACACGGCTCACTGGCTAAATGAACACTGTTGCCTATCAGGTCTTGCGAGGTCTGATCCTTCCAGTCCTTCAAATTTGAACGAAATTAATTGCACGACATCCACAGGATGACATCACGACTCCATAAGTCCACAACTCGTTTCGCTTCGTTAAATCTCTTGGTTTTCACTGGCTTCACTGAAACTGACTCCAGGCGAGGAGTTGCTTCTGGAAGCCGCCCTTGTTCAAGCAGAAGTTACGGCTGCAGCAAACTCCTTGCAGCTTGGGGATGATGCGTGCCTTGGATGAACCAAGCCTTGTACAAACCGCGCGCTAGAACCTGGTTCGGCCTTGTTCAGCCTGGTTCAGCCTGGTTCAGTCTTATTCCTTGTGACACCTTTGAGCATTGTGGGATTGCATAGGACAATGGATTCGGCAGAGTGAACCATTCCAATGAGTGGGTTTTGCTGGTTGTCTGGGCAGAGTTACAGGGTACCATTTATACTCTTATTGAGTGATCAAAACCAGCGCATTTCTCAGCCTTTTTAGAGCACATGCCTTTGTCATCGGTGTGACTTTGAGTTCTGTCTTGGTATGGTTTTAGACTACTGTATGCTGAAGGAAACGTTTCACAGAATAGTTGGCATTGCGATTGGTGAACTGGTCTAGTGAGCAGGTAGAAGGTTGGTTCTTTCCTTCATGCAGAATGATATCTTCGCCGCCATTGACATGATGACATTGTACGGTTTGAACATGCTAGTGGGAGCTGCCTAGGGGCGTACCTAAAGTGCCTTGCATACACGAAGCTGTACATGATGCAGATAATTCTGCAATGTTGACTGCAACATCAGGCAATGTTTTCCGGCAAACTTTTGAAGATCTCTTTTCAGTTCTTTTCATCATTTTTCATCACTAGCAATGCCACTGCTGATTTCGTCTTGGATGCTCTCACCCAGGAATTGTGGAAATTCCTTGGCCATGGCGAAGCCCTTCTTCAATGCAGATCGAGAGAGACGGCGGCTTTTCAAGATGAAGCCGTCGCAAATGAAGGATGGGCACAACGGGCACAATTCGCGGAAGGGTCAGAGCTTGAAACTCCGTGGAACCACCGAGGCCAGATGTGTCCAGAAGTCTTGCAGTGAGGCAGCCTGCAAATATTTGTAGCACGTGGCAAGAGTGTTTTAAGAGGCAGAGAAGCCTATTTGTGATGTGTTTACAGTGTTTACAGTCTTGTATTGTTTGAACATATTTCAAAATGGAAAGCGCCCTGCAGGGACATTTCTTGCACTATCGCAGACTGTTCATCATCGAGCCAACGCCTGACGAGGGTTGGCCAAGACCTGATGGATGTGCCCGGATGGTGACTGATAGCTCTCAATGCTTCAGGATAGAAACAACGCCCGAACGCACAAAGATGTTGTTGGAATTCGCTTCAGATGCTGCATCATACGAGCCTCAAATGGTTTACGACTTCCTCATGGACTATCCGTTCTGTGTGGAAGCCTTACTTGTAGCTTCCGAAATGAGCCGAGAAGGCAGGGACCACCAGGAGGCATTCCGTCTCTTGCGTCGAGCTGTTTATGCTGCTGAGTGCAGCTTCAACGGCGCGTTTTCACCTTTCTCAGAGACGCAAGTGCCTTGACGAACTTGAGAAGCTGGTGAAAGCTTTGACATAGAGTCACAGTTCTTTTATATACTGCTTTTGGGGTGGCACAATCTTTCGACAGCTGTCTTGAGTTTTGTCTTGACTTATAAACGACTTATACACACACGCTATGACGAGATCTGTTCAGGTACCAGCACAAGCTATGGTATAGTATGCATCAGCACATCAGCACATCAGCACAGCATTGGCATACAGCCACGGCACTGAGTTAGAGCATATCACAGCCTGCCTTGTCTCAGATGTCTGAAATGTTTCAGAAATGTTTCAGGTGCCCATGGTGCGTGGTGATGGCTGCTGCATTCTGAGTTGGCCTCGGGTACGCGTGCAGCTTCCTGGAAACGATTCATCGTGGCCAGGGTGGTCATGGCTTATGGCGCTGTGGGGCTACATGTTGGGTCTTGCTTCTCAAGGCCTACCACGAACTTCTCTGGAAGTCTGCAAGTTGATTCTTGCAATGACCTTACCATATGATCCAACACATTCGCTGGCTCACTTGGACTACTTTGCCTTGCGGGCGGAAGAGTATGATTTCTTGCTGCATTTTGTTGAACATTTCAACCCGCCCTGTGCCTTACCTGCGCAGTGCATAATGCGTTTGGATTGCTGCTTGCCAAACTTTGCTTACTCAGCAGCTCTGGCATACTACCTGCGAACAGACGGGGATGCCTGTGAGGCTTCAGCGTTGGGTACAGTCAACGTGGAGCACTTGACGGAACCATGCTGGGTACGAGCTGGATCTGATCGGACCGATGGTCCATCACAAGCTCATTTGGCTTTGCTGCGAGCGATGTTATTTTTCCCAGGGACACTGCGTTCAATCTTGGACAACTTGGGTATTTCTTTGAATTCGTCAGCTTCAGGCTCGCCGTACAAGCTCTCGTGGTCAGAGCTGCTGGACAGGAGCCCCTTAGGACAAAAGCCGACTTTGCATCAACAGCACTTCTTGGCGCATGCTTTAGTTTCAGACGCCTTTGTACAGAGATGTGCTGCGTTTTTCCGTGGTGAGAGGATGTTGAGATGGCTGCACGCTTGTGCTGGTCGACTTGTTCAGATGTGTGAGTCGTCCCTCTTTGAGAAGGAACTGCTTCAAGCCCGGAAAGCCTGGAGTGAAGCACCGCTTGCCGTGGCAAATGCACTCGCCAATGACTACAAACAATTCAGCACCTCAGAAGTTGGGCCTGAGAGGAAGGCCCCTGTTATATTCGAGAACGCAGTCAACACCTGGCTGGGTGCACCAGCCGAAACACCTCCACATCGACCAGAAGCACAGTTGGTGGCTAAAGCACCGCCACGACACGCACCACCACAGTTGGTGCGACCACCACCAGCAATACCACCCCCCCCGCCAGCAGGATACGCACTCGGAGGACTCTTGCCACCACCGCAACCACGGCCAAAAGCAGCTCCACTACAGCTCAACTATCACCAAGATGAGCAGGAGGACATGTGGGAGGGACTTTGGGCATGAGATTTCCACCACAAGCCTCCTTTGGAAGATGTCATAGTAGAGTAATTACTGTTAACCTGGGATTAGTATCCCCACTCTTGAATCAGCCCTGGTAAACAAGCGGGTATCAAGAGATATCAGAGATTTTTATTATTGCCGAACAAACTGCCTAATTGAACATGCATACCAAACACAAAAAAGTATTGCTGAACAAGTTGCCTATAATAACTATATGTAATTGAAAACACATATCATATGTTTTTAATTTTTAATTGAAAAATCCAACCCCAAAGCCTCACCCACGACGCTGGCATACTTTGTTCACAGGGAGGTTCATTATTACCTCCAGCGAACTTGGCCTGGGGTGTGGTGGGGCGGGGTGCGGTGGGGGCAATTAATATCATTCACTTGACCTTGCACAAGACTTTGATGCTTACTGCTTACTGTGATATGCAGACATTTTTCTCAATCATTCGACACAATCAGAGGTTCATACGATGTGGGGGTGTTGTGCAACCTGTTGCATGAAACTTATTCCCCCTCAATTTCTCTTACAGTAATTTAATTTGTGAGCCTGGAGTTGGGCTTTGTTGATGGTCCCACCTGGGAAGATTCTGGAACTGGAGATTTTCAAGACCTAGGCCCAGAAAGTCAAGGTTCTGGAAAGGTCTCTCTATTCAAATGAAGCCGGGGATGTGCCGCGATCATGGGGCTCTAGGGTGCACCTGCGTGTGCACCCCGGATAGTTTGGCTTAGAATGAGACGAGAAGTATACTCTAAAGACACCTGGTAGAAATGACATGAAATGACTCTGCAATGTTCTTCAAACTACAGTCCCTTAGCCATTGAAGAGGTCAGTGTATGGTTCTTTCATGTTCTTTCTATACTGTACCCCCTGACGGAACTTGCATTGCTAGAGCTGGGTGCTCCCAGGTGCTATTTCGACTGACAGTGATCAAACCACAGTGACCAACAGTTTCAAATATTTCAATCAACTCAGTGCCTGAGCCTGCCAGGACTCGGAGGATGACGAAGCACTTCGAAAGGCGCTACTTCTCTCGGAAGCCGAGGAGCGTCGTCGCCTCGTGGCGGAACAAGATGCGGAGTACCGGGAGAGCCTCGCAGCAGATGCTGCGCGGGCAGATTCGACAGGGGCAGACGCTCCATTGGGCGAAGGGGGCGAAGGGGGCGAAAGCCAATCCCTGAGAGCTCCTGACAGGGAAAGTTTGGCGTGGCTTGACTGCACTTGTCAGGCTCCACTCGTTATGCTCATTACCGTTGAATTTCATTTCAATGTATCTTAATCTAATTCCAACTTTGTTGTATGTTTTCTCAGCAGTTTTACTTTAGTTTGAGTTTGATTATGTGTGTTGAAGATGTTGGTAAATCTTCAGAAACAGTCTCAGCACAGCTGTCAGGCAATTGGAAGCCATGGGTTTCGACGGTGCAGCTGCAGCTGATGCACTCCGCAAAGCAGGCAACGTCGAAGGCGCTGTGGAGCTCCTCACTTCGTGACTCCGATGGTGACCGGCACCGCGGCACCGCGGCACTGGAAACCGACAGCGCAGAGATGTCGGGAAGATCAGGAAACCTGGAGCATCCTGAAGCGGTAGATGCTGGTGCTATGCTTCCCACATGCAGTGGAGAGAGCTTCGAAAAAACTTTGAAAAGCATTGATGCATCTTGCACTCTTGGGTTCTGCAAGGTTTCTTTCCACAAATTATTTTTCTGACTTGGTAGAGACATCTTCTGGTAAAATTTGAGTCTTACCGCAGAATGGGAGGATTCGCCAGGAAACAAACGATCAAGATGCAAGTCTGCAACAAACTCCCAAACAATAATAATATGCGTTTAGCATCGCTTTGCCGTTTAGAAACCACTGCTCGGTGAATTCTGATCATGGAGACTGAGATGTCCTGCCAGGATGTTGGAGAGTAAGCTGATGAAAGCCTGACTCTCACGTCTCACAATGCGGGTTGGCTGCACCCGCTGGGGCCAAACTCGGGGTGGCTGCAGGGTCTCTTGGCTTTAAACCCCCTGTGGGATTTAGGATGGGTGCGATCAAGTCAGCCAGTTTGCAGATTGGTGCAGAATGAAAGATCTACACACATTGTCAGTGTAACTTTCATTCCCACGGCTGCTGTCTGTCTTGTTTCTTCCAAGGTTAAGTCAGCTGCAAATCATTCGTGCCTATCGACTCGCTGATTGATATGTCGGCGCAGAAAAGAGCAGCTGCTGATGCCAATGATGCAAATGTGAAAGTGGCAGGCTTCATTTATATCTATGTAAATGTAAAGATATTTAATCTAAGACCATGGCACTGTCCATGCCCAGGCATTGGATCGCAGAGCGAGGACACGGCAGGTGCAGCCAAGACCCGCTTCAAGCAGTAGGGCTATATAATGGCGATACATTATGGCGATATAATGGCGATATATATTGGGATATATTGGGTATATCATCATGAACATCATAATGGCGATATATTATGGTGATATAATGGTGATATAATGGTGATGTTCATGGGGATATACCCAATATATCCCAATATATTATTTGGGTCTGTCTGAAAATGGAGTATAGCCCCCAAAATGGCCATTGAACAATAGGGAACATGATCGACCATCAAATTTTGAGCTACCCCATTTCAGACAAACCCAATTTAAGCCTTTCAAGCCTCCATGTTTTTTGCTTCAGATCTTGATGTGTTGGCTGAGGCATTAACTTGCCCAGCACAGCTCTGTTTGGTTCAAGACTTGAAAGCTATCAGTAAAGCAAACGGAATATTGTTAAGTAAGGATGACAATGATGCTTTGCCAGACATCTGCTTGAGACAATAGTTAATTAATCTCATCAGCAGAAACAGATCGCCCACAAAGCAGTGTGGTGCAAAACCATCACCATGGCTTCTCAGAGTGACACTGGCATCCCTGCTCCAGTGCCCCTTGAATGAGCTGATCATGGTGGGTTCTATCCTCTGATAAACCTACCTAGCCATGGACAATCCCCCTCCATTTGCAGATGATTTAACCAGTAAAGACGGGATTTCCCATTGCAATGGTGGACCAATTGTATGGGATAAGTTTGGAGCGTTTGGACTCTGGAATCCTTCGAGCTGCCAAGTGTGACTGGTGAGACTGACCGCCACATTTTGTGTCAAGTAGTGGGAATGTTGCCCACGTTTGTGTGCATACCAATGGAGCGCACAAACCTTAGCTCTCACTTCAGAGGTTTCTTTGAGATCAAATCAACTCTCCACAGGATCAGATGCTTCATTCGTCAGCCCAACCATGCACATGCGCCAAGGCACACTCTGATCGAGGCCTTCACACTGAAGGCAGCGACGAAGCGTTTGAAAAGCTGCTGTAGCTGCTGCTGTAGCTGCTGTCGGTGTCACCGCCTGAGGGGTCCTCCAATGAGCTGGCGGGCGGAGTCCACGCCAGAACACCAAGCTGGTTTCGGGGCACAGCACATGCTCAAGCATTTGGTCAATAGAATTTCAGTGTAGCGCAACAGTGCACCATCAATAATCATTTCTGTGAGCTACAGGGCATAGTGAGAGACCCAACCTCCTGGTCTTGCTGGAAGTTCTTCCATTTGTTTCTCTTGAAGGATAGCATGTCAACCTAAGGAGGGGTGTTTGAGGGTGGCCAATCAAAGTTAGTGGAGGGAAGCTCATGAGGATTCGAGTTAGAATGTCGCTGCTCTATGAGCGAGTCACTTAGGTACCAGAAGCAGTCGGCCTTTGCCGAAGATGAAAAAGAGTTTTTGAAGTTAGCCGCGAAGCAGCACTCAACAGAACAACATCTGTAAGATTTCATCAGATGCCAATTTGTAGAAGGACTTGAAGGTCTACAAGATCCACAAGCCCTACCCAAGTTTTGCATGATATGCCTGAGGCAAAGAAGTTGCGAGATATTTTGAAATTGGAGGCCACTGTCAAGAGTACTGTAATTGTTTTTTCCATGCTTGACTTAAGCAGTTCATTGAATTTGTCAAAGTTTGTGATGTTCTTGCTTGGAAGCGTTGTGTAGCAGAATAAATGAATGAAGTTGGTGGCCCCACTAGGAGAAGGTGAAAGCTGGCGAAAGTCTGGCACAGAACCTCGATTGCAAGTACCAAAGTCAGATACCATGATTTACAGCTCCCAGTGTGTTCACAGCAGAGCTACGCAGTCACAACAAGCATCTTGACGTCAACTGATGCAGGAATCAGCTGGAGAAAGTAAACTCGAAGGAGACTCTCCTCAAGGAGGCGAGAGACCATGCAGAAACGATGCAGAGACGATAGAGTCCACAGAGCAATGTCAGAGCAGTGTGGAGACTGCGCTGCTTGAGACCAGGTGACCGCTTTGGCTGGGAAACTCCCAGGTGACTCTGATGTCTTGGAAAAGACGCAGGCCCACATTCAAGACTTTTTGAAAGACCTTTGCACAACTAATGAATCAGCGTGCGACCATGGAACGGGACACTTCCACAGCATGGCAGTTGGCTGCAGTGTTGACGCTTTACATACCGTGCTCTACCGTTTTCTCAGCTTGTTTTCCATGGTTTCTTCATGTCCAATGTCCTGCAGGACATCACTGCCCTTCTCCCAGCTACAGCCGTGCAAGGAATTGAGCGCAGAAGGAAACAGGAGCATTTCCATGTGCGAACTGCAGACTTGCGTTTGTGTCCTCTTATGCAGAAATCACAGCGTTTGTGTCCTCTTATAATCATGATTTTTTCCCCCTGTTTTCTGACCTTTCACGTTTTCCTGTTGGTTTCTTCACTCAAGGAGCTCGAGAGGAGACAAAGCCGCGAAAAGAAGCAGGACACCGCTGATTTCAGTTGCATCGACAAACTGAAAGATGATGAACCGCCGAAATGCTGCACGTGTCCTACTACTGTTGTACTTCTGTGTCCACCAATCAGACTGCAGGAAGAAGAAAGGCGAGCACCAGTTTTCATGTGCCGTCATGTAAAAACCTCAGAAGCTTCAATGTTCCTGTTCCTTGTGGGGTTTCTCTTCAAGTGTACCTGCTGATTCATTCCGAGGACCGGCCAATCCTAGGTGTTTGTGTTTCAGCAGATGGCAGGCAGGGGAAAACACAGCGCAAGGCACTATATATACCTCCCAGGAATGTTCAGTATGAAACCGAGTGCCAAATTCAAACGTGCTTACTGTATCTAGTGCAAACCTTGAGAAAATGATTGTTTCTTTGCTTGGAACTTGTGGAGAGCAAGTAATGTGTTGACGATATAGTTGCCAAAATGGCTATGCCATTTTGGCTCAAGCTGTTCCCCCTGCGATCCAATACTTTCGAAAACCCACCCACCACTGCCCTACTTTTCGAACATGGCGGCGGTGCCTGATGTATTGGATTCCCACCTGATGTGGTGCCCGAGCAATATAAGGATCAGGTGGATCTGCTTCACCAACAAGTCCTGACTATCTTCCAGTCCAAGGAGATCCCATACTTCATCATGGCAAGGATGGCATCAGATGGCTACCGCTCGGTGGAGGACCTTGCCGATCGATGGCCCACCATCACGGAGGCCCGGAACAACTCCCCAGCAGACCTCCATTTCCGTCACACAGACCGTGGGGGAGCTTTGATCACACAAGAGAAGACGAATCACTTGGCCATGCGCATCTCACAATGTGTCCGTCAAGCACAACAGTTGCTGGGCACTGGGGGCCTGAACCAGGGCAGAGTGGGACCCGCAGGGCTACTACCGACGACATCACAGGCGGCGCCCTCACTGGATGCCCTGTGTGATCGACGCCAGCTTCTGCAGACATGGACGGTGGTCGTCCAGCTCCCACTCCCACGATTGGAGGATCAAGGCTCGGATGCCTTGTTGAAGAAACAGTTCAAACTCTGTGCACAAGGAGAAGTTGGCTGGATTGCCAGCAAGTACATCATATCAGCCCTACCAGACCAGGATGAGCGGCCTATCAAGACCACCAAGAAGGTGACGGTCGATGGATGGGAAAAGGAAGAAGAGGAGGAGACACGGAAACTCCCAACTACGAGGCGTCAGTTGGAGCACATGCACCTGGTCTTTCGAACCAACCTCCTCATGGCCATCCTCTCCTTCCCCAGCATGCCGAAGTTGAACATCACCCACAGGGACCTAGAGGACTGGTACCGATGGTTCTGGGGGAAAGACATTGCGGACAGGAGACCGCCGCCCAGTGAACAGGTTCTCCTCTACGCTGAAAGGAACGCATGGAGGGAGATCCACAACTTGGTCTACGGGGGACTGGGTCTCAAGGAGGCCATGGCCCAACTACGTCAGGACACCCTGTTTTGGACCAGAGAGGTCTATGAGTCTGTCGCCCGGCAGAAAGGCAACAAAGGCTCCGGGCCTGACTCCCCAACACGACCAGCCAAGTCAAAGGGACGCCAACCTTCGTGGTCACCAACTCAGCCACAATGGAACAAACAAAAAGGGTCACCCAAAGGGGGTAAGGCCAAAGGGGCCATGGGATCCGGAAAAGGGAAGGACTCTGAATGGCCTTCAAACTGGGCTAAGATCTCACCCAAGGGAGTGCAGTACTGCCGTGACCACTTCCTCAAGAAGAAATGTCCCGGGAGCTGCGGACGCTCCCACAACTGTCCGGTCCTTAAAAATGGCTGGGTATGCAACGCCGCACCCTCAGAACACACCCCAGAGCAATGCCCACACCGTTGACTCCTGGCGGATCCGGTAGCGTCTTGCACCGATCACCCACCAGGGTTGATGGACACCCCAACACCTATCAAAAACCAAGCAACAATGGAGCCGGGGGAGTCTCCCCCAGGTTACCCCAACGACACAAGCACACCACATTCACAACAAGAGACAGTGGGCCGACCACTTGATACAACGATGATCATGAATGGACAGTCCCTGCTTGGGCACTGTCCATGGCTCTCATCGGTTCCGAACAGGCTGTTGGAACGCCTTGTATGGACCACACAACCCACGCGTAGTCTCCAAGGGAGGGACATACTACTCCTCTACACTGGCAGGAGTGACGGAGGAGCCTTGGATGACATACTCATCCAACAACACCAGGACCTGGCCCCCAGGCTCCTTGCCGTGGATATCCTGAGGCCACCAGAAAAGGGCCCAAACGACATATTGGATGATGAGTTTTACTCAACTCTCTGCTGCGCCGCCGCGAGGGGCCAGTTGTCATTTGTGGGGGGCGGCCCCAACTGCCGGACCTGGAGCATCCTACGATGGTTTCCAAAGCCTGGAGCGCCCAGGCCAGTACGAGGGCGTGATCCCTCCCAGACATGGGGCCTTGACTCAAATTCCCTGGAAGAACAGTTGGACACAGACAAGGACAGTATCCTTCTGCTCCGGCAACTGGTCATCACTGCCCTAGCCTCAAAAGCCAGGCAAAACAAAGGATTCCACTCATTCCTGGAACACCCTCGTGATCCAGCTGAGTGTAGTCGGGCACCAACGGCGGCAAAATGTTCATCGATATGGGCCACCAGAGTCTACCAGGAGTGGGCCAAAGAGGTAAATCACTGCCAGATCCACCTGGACCAGTGCAGACTGGGACAAAGGGCACAGAAGAGTACGACCTTCTCAACGGACCTTCCAATTCACCATTGGCAAGGGCTCCAGTGCAACCACTCTGAACATTTGAGGCCAATGGAGATGACCTCCCGGGACCTCAGCAGATACCCGCCAGCACTGATGGCAGGGCTGGCAGCAGCAATCATCCAGAGCATTCCACACACAGGACATAAACCCACCGGGTGCCAACAGGAAGGGGAGCCTCCAGGTCGGACAGACCGCTCCTCATCGGTACCCCTCTCCCAGACGATGACTTTGGATGACGACCCGATCATCGTTCAATCAGGCTTCAAGACTAGACCTCTACGGGATGGAGGAGGTAAGCCCTCAGCCGGGAGACGACCTCCCCCGCTCAGACCTCAGTCCAAGATCAAGCACATTGGAGACTCCATTAGCCACCTGGCGAAAGGATGTGCACAGGACGTCCAACAGTCCATCAACAGGGGTGAAAGAAAACATCCGTTCCCTAAGGAACTTCTTCAGGAGACACGACGGGCCATTGCCCAAGGGATCGGGCTGGACTACCAACTTGCTGAGGAGATGGAGCCAGGCCAGCCGTTCTATCTGAACCTCATCTCAGCCTTAGCGGAAGCTGGTGGAGATGCAGATGCAGCCTACCCCACAAGGGTTGCCAAGGGAGTCCCCTTAGGTGTCACCACACCCACCTGGACGTCACCGGGTATATGGCCTACCAAGGAAGAACTCAAAGGAGAATCCCCTCTGTGGGAGGACCTCCTAATACCCATGGGCAGGGACAACTACCCCTCGGCAAAAGATTTCTCCTCTCAGGTTCGACAGACCTTCGTGGAAGAGGTAGATATGGGTATGGTTGAGGGCCCACTCACACAGGAGGAGGCTGCACTCCGCTGTGGATGCACCCCAGATGAACTCTGCCCAGGGCCCCTGGCGACAATTGACGAAGGAGATAAAATCCGCACAATCTACGACGGAAGCTGGGGCCATGCAAACTCACACATCCAACAAAACACAGTTGAGAAGACCACTGCACCCACAGCGATGGACTGTGTTCAAGCCATTCACTGGCTAACCACCACGAAGGAGAAGACATCTGGGACGGTAGCGTCTTGCACCGACCTGGCATGGCAACCTCCACACAAACAAACCACCTGGGCACTTTTGAAAGCAGATGTTTCAAAAGCACACCGCCGCATCAAGGTCCAATCCAACGAATGGCGCTACCAGGTAGCACAACTTGATGGTGAATGGTGGATAAACAAGGTGGGTACCTATGGTATGGCCAGCGCCCAACTTTATTGGGGCAGAATGGCGGCACTCCTCCTCAGACTATGCTACATGATGTTTCCACACATAGACTGGGGCTTTGTGTTCGTGGACGATTTTTGTTGGCTCCTCAGGACGGACTCCGCCACTGAGGATACGGCAAAACTACTTCTCTCCTTAGCAGCCATGGGATGCCCCCTCAGTTGGCACAAGACGGTGTTATCTGAGGTCAACACCTGGTTAGGTTTCCAGGTCAATCCATGCGGACCAGTGGTCGACTTCCCTCCAGATAAGAGGAAGACACTTGAGGCACTCCTTCAGACCATCGCTGCGGGCAACACCTTCACGGTGAAGGAGATTGAGAGAGCACTGGGACGATTAAATTGGGCAACGGCAGCTTGGCCCCTCAGTCGCCCTTTTCTTCAGCCATTTTGGGCATGGAAGTCCGCGACGACTACCTCAGGGAAGCCCGGCAAGCTCATACGATCCTTTGCAAAGCTTCTCCTCCAGCTGCTTCACAACCCCCAGATCCAGCCCTGCCCTTACGACCCTGCCTCCAATTGGTGGGGTGCCAGTGATGCTAGTGCACACCCGGACGATGGGGCCTACATTGTGGGGTGGATTGCAAATTGTGAGAACCCATCAAAGGAACAGACCTGGTGGTTCCACTACAAGATACCCCTCGAAGACCATCCATGGGCTCACAAGGATGGTGATCCAACCAGACGCATTGCGACCCTCGAGATGTTTGGTACATTGATTCTTACCCACTTCCTTCTGGCCTTGGGTGGGAAATCTCTGCTTCGTACCCGTCTCAGCCTCATTTCAGACAATCAAGGCAATGTCTTTGCCCTGTTGAACCAGAAGACGAAGCACATGCCTACCTCAGCCTTCCTAATGCAGCTCATCGCCATGCTCTATGTTGCTGGGGTTCAATTGGCGCCTTCACACATGAAGCGGGACTACAACAAGTGGGCGGACGAACTCACCCACCCGAACTTCACTGGTTTTCATCCTGATCGACGACTACCAGTGAGTGAAGCATTTTCCCATTTTAAATTTCTCTGGGCTCTTCTGGATGATCAGATGAGTGTCCCCACCTTTTCAGGAAATTCAAAACGTCGTAAGACCGACTATCACGCCACCTAAGGTCCTTCGGGAGCCAGGTGGTTGCGGCTGACTTTCTGGTGTACAGTGGTGTTTTCCCACCTACAACCCTCTTTTTCCTTTCCTTACTTGCGCGAGCTTCACGCTCCGGCGGGTTGGGTGGATTTTGACGTGTGACACCACCACTGCAGTTCAGAGTTTCTGTGAAACCATTTGTGATTGATGCGATTGGCATCTGACAGAAACACAGCCGCAAAGCCAACTGCATAACAAAAGGTGCTGACTGACCGATGCAGTTGCTTTGTTCCGTTTCTGTCATTTTCAATTCTATTCGGGAACACTGATAGATATCCATGAAGACACAAATCCTATCGAGTTCCCTTACTGTAAGTTTATCGTACATGTTCATCAGTAGCCACTGCGCTTCACACTTTGCTTCACAATCACTGGACCCAGCTTGGCTGGCCGTAGGTATCTATTCACTTGTTCAAAGGCGGGGAGCACCCAGATTTTTGATGATTTTTTGCGATGCCGATTGTTGCACCACATGATGTAAGATGCTGTTGCTCATTACATAGCAAAGGAGGCATATACTGTGCATCATCGTGAAACACCATCCACGGCATTGTGCAGGATGGATATTTGATTTGCTGGTCTTTAGAGGAGAAGTTGCTGAAGGCTTTGTATACCTTTGCAGGCGAAGCAATGTTTCTTACATCGACGTTGTATGCCCAGAATGTGACATCCGGGTATCTACCATGACAGGTCATACTGGTGCCGTCTTTACCTTGGACGTCACATCAGCCCAGTGGCTCAGTGTGGCAGAAGTAGCCTGGCAACTGAACATGACTCACTTGACTCACTTGACCACCAAGACTGCAAGGCTCCACCTCTACTCATCAGTGGTTCAGCTGATGGGCAGGTGAATTTTTGGGAGGCGGCGTTGACAATATCTCACCGAAATCGGAAATTGGGTGAGAGAGAGAAGCCATGGAAAGAAGAACGATTTCTTGCTGCAAAGCAGCTGCTTGATGCATGAACTTTGAAGATTTGAACATGTCGTCAGGGTGATCCTGCGCGTCTGAAGCCATTGACTGTGACCTCGCCCAAGAAAACCTTGGAGCATGGAGGCCGTGTGAGGCGCCCCGTGCAGGAACGTGACATATGTGACAATGGACTGGTGCACTGGCACTCAGCTTCTGGACAGCCTTGAATTCGGGGCAAGGTGCTGAAATGGTGCCCCTTTGACGAGGTGCCTCCAAATCGGGACGCAGAAATACATAGAAGAACCAAGAAGAAACTCAAGCATTAAGCAAGCAATAGTCAAGCAGAAGCTTCTACGCGTGGAGTAGCAATGAGCGGCAAGGGAATAATGAGGCGATTGCTTGCACACACAAAGCCCTACTCTGGGAACAGCTTCTGACATGTGCTTCGAGTGCAGGGATCAACTGGACGGCGTTTTGCCAGTGCTTCTGAAAAGCTGGGGTTTCGAGCTTGGAAAGCATTTCTTGCAGAGATCGATTGAATCGATTCTTGATTCATTTTGATTCTTTTATTTGCTGCCCATTTGCATGCCATCTCTGCTCATGCGGAACAGCTATAGGCTGAAAAATGATTGGATTGTTATTGGTGGAATTGTAGTTAGGAGTCAGCCCTGTTGATGATTGAGAGGTTCGTTTCTTAAGAAAACAACGAGAGTACTACCATGAACATGGCATGACCAAAGCCTCTTCATGTCAAATTCATTGAAGAGACCTTGCCCTCGAGGTCCACACCCGCAATGATTGCAGTTTGGAATGCAAGCCCAGCAGGGGAGGCAGAAAAGTTGCTCGAAATCAAGGAGAGATGGAGAGTTGACTTTTGTTTGTTGGAAGAGCGTTTGCCATCAACCTGGGACGGATTTTGATAGACAGACTGGCGTTCAACAGCGTTCAGCCAGCGTGACGGAATCATTCAGAATTCAGTTGTTTAATGCAGGATCTGCCGGGCAAAGCAAATGACCTACAATGGGGCGGCGGTGGAAAATTGTCAGGACCTGAGGGAAGCCTTGGAAAAGGGTACAAATATGATCAAATCTGTAAAGAATCGGCTCTTCTGTCTCTGTCTTCATTGCCTTTCATTTGAGTTGTCTCTGCATTCTCCAGCATCTTGAGCTCATGTCGGACATGAATCTCAATGACTTGGCAGACCAACTTGAACATGGACCGCTAAGGAAGCTTTTCTCAGCTCATGACAATGGTACGCAAGAGATCCGTTTTGAACGCTGTGTGGCTATCCGGGTACAGCAGTTCAAGAGCAGAAACACTCCCTGTTGAATCCTGGTTCTGGTGGTCCCTGGCAGGCTATGTTGGTGTTTGGTTGGCGGAGGCTCCAGGCAGCGGATTCGTGAAACTGAAATTCTCAATCCTTGACCCGCTGCACTGTGGCCGGGAGGCTCTTTGATGAAGACCATCAAGCTGCACAATGCTGCAATTTCTTCATTGACGCTCAGCAGTGATGCAACGACACTGGCCATCCCGTCTTGTTTACCAAAAGACTAGTCCGTATACACAGCTTGGAATCTATGCCAGGTAACAGCATCCCATGACAAGACCTCCAAAGCGGTCTCTTGGCCGCGTCTACATTTGATGTTTGAACGTTGTGCCCATCGTTGTGTATGCAAACTTACCATTCTGACCCTAACTCTGATGTCCTAAGGTAGATGTTTCACAGCCTGCTACAGAAACCCTCGCGACATTTGAGGCTGGCGGACTGCAAGGCTTACTATGACATACCACTATGACTAATTCTGAGCATGCATAGGTCTTGAGAGGCTTGTGCACAATGTAAATGCGGGAGCGAACCTTGACCAAGAGTTGTGCGGCCAGTTGAATCGCCCCCTGAATGCTGTGGCAGTGCTGCTCTTAGATCTCAGGGCTTTCAGAATCCGATGGAATCCGATGGAATATGATGGAAAATGATGGAATGTTCGAACGATGATGATGATGATGATGATGATGATGATGATGATGATTAGCGATGGATTTGCAGCTACCAGTGGCAGTGAAACTTTTGCACCAAGGTTTCGAAGGATTTCCAGCCCCAGAAAACTGGGACAGTGGTGCTGGCGGGTGGCAAGGACACAGTTACGTCCGAGTCTTGCTGAGCACAGTCTCCGCATAGGCTGGCAAAGCAGCCTATGTCAGTAGCAACTTATCTACATGTAGTCTACATGCATCTTTCGCAAAGAGACCGGCCGGAACTGATTGATGAAAGCCTCAACTAGACGCTGTTTGGAGGACGCTCGCGACGTGACCCGTGCCAAAGACATGCAAGAGGACGAGTTTGAAGCCAAGGCTCAAGTTTCTGCCCTGAAGTTAGCAAATCCAAGCAAACAGAGTCGAGGGAAGCAAAACATATAATCTTTTTTGAGGTGCGAGGCTGAGAAGAAAGTAAGGACTTTTTCGATTTCAGTTCTAACGAGTGAGCAGGTCATTGACAGTGCCAGTGGAAAGATTCTGGCTGCATGAGGCCCAAAGATGCTTCAGAACTAGAATGAATCACACCTTTGTTGACAAGACTCAAGGATCAGCCTAGCAAGATTCAGAAAGATCCCCTTGAGGCTGGTACAGGCCACTTCGGCCCTGTACATGGCCTCCTTTCCTTGCCCAGGACACTAACATACTGCAGTTACTTGAGATTTGCTGAGTCATACTGGTCGGTAATTCCATGGTACTGACTTCACCTGCGGCTGCCTGCGGCTTTGACCAGATTGGACTTGGCAAAGGATTGGGACTGCTGGTGCTTTTGCCACCGTGTCTGAGGACGGCATGAAGCGATTTGTACCAGTCGTGTATGTCGTGTATCAGATTTTGATGAAACAGTGGCAGTCGTGGCTGGTGGAAATCTGAGATTTCCGGCAGGATGGCTGTCTCAAGGTGCATGGCCTTGATGGAAGCCTCCTCCACAGTGACACACTGTCGCCGGCTGAGCAACGTAATGCCTGTAACGCTTGCACGGCTTCACTACGCGACTACGCCCTTTGTCTTGTCACAGCTTGTCGCGAGAGATTGGGGCGACTTGCGCAACGTGAAATGTCGTATTGTTGTCCGCGCAATATCTAGGAAAATCTGAACGTTTGGTTTGTGAATGCCAGTTGACTGCAGAGACTGTGACTGCGACCCAAGGTCCTGATCATCTGAAGCTCTGTTTCTATTACCAATGGTAAGTCTGTGATCGAGCAGGATTGCATCTTTGTCCACAATGTTCCGGCAATTTTTATGCACTCAAGCACATTTACCCTTTCATTATGTTTCATTTGTTTTTATTCCTATGAGACTATGATCGTTGAATTATTGTCCTGGTCAATCACAGCAGCTGCAACGTGACATGCTGTGCGCATGTGCAGCTAAAAACACATTGCAGAAGTTTTTTCTCGTGGTGCAGATGCTTTTGAAGGCGACGCACAAAAAGCTTCCCAGGGCTGGGCTGGAAGTTGGACGTTTGAAGCAGCATGTCATAGCATAGGATGCACAATGCGGTGTACAAATTTTGATCAAACATGTTACTAATATGCCTATATAAATATGTCTACCGACTGGAACATATTTGGATGCCGCTCCGTAGACTGCTCCCTACTCTGCTCCAGGTACTCTCTGATGGCGAAGACATGCGGCTACTGGCTGATCAGGTGAAGGGCCGAGGAAATTATTGCTGTTCTGGTGGAGAAAGACTGAGGCCTGTCTCAGTCGATGTAGAAATAGTATAGGTTGAGTCAAAAGGTTATTTCGCATGTGGTCCGCAATTGCAAGCATTGGGAATTCGCGAACATAATTTGAAATTCTTGTTTTGAATCTTTCCCAATCGGCGCCGTTGTTCTCAAGCTGGAGTCGTTTGGTGGATGGTTGGAGGGATGACAAGCATGAACCTCAGGACGTGTGCATCTTTTGCACCTCAGGTGGAATGAGAACTGGCTGAGCGGCTGAATGACTCTGAATGATTGAGAGACCGAGCTTCACGGAGGCCATGCCTTGCCGCCGTCCCCACTGCTTTCACCGGGGAGGCAACTCTGCGGAGTGCCTCAAAGTGTATTGCTCAGGGCGACACTCGCGGGAGGTCTTGTACAAATTAAAATGTCTTTGAATATCTTTGGATCCTGTTGAATCCTTTGGAATTTCATCATTCCCCGCCTGAAGCACTGCAAGTTGGCCGTCAGCAGAAAACGGCTTTGTTCTGAACGCGACTGCCTCTCCTGAGGTCCTATACTGACTTACCGCTCAGCCTGCCTGCCATACTTGGTCAGAGGTCAACAAAGATGATTTTTCTCCAGTCACTTTAGATCTTCAATAGATCAACAAAAGTCAACAAATAACTTTGTATAACTTTGTTGCGCTAGGGCCTTCAGCCTGTGCCATCCCCCGTGCCGATGCCTCGATTGTACATATTGTACGCTTTTCGACAAGGTCTGCACATTGATAACATTTGTAGTCTTTGCGATGATGAATACTTAGTAAGTCAACGTACCAGCAATGAATACTTAGTAAGTTCTTGATCCAGTGCAGTCCTTCGGCCACAATGAGCCCCACCTTTTGGTACAGAAAGGACATCCAGCCGAGGCTCTATGCACGCCATACAAAATCGACGTCTGACCTGTCGCAGGCCTGGGGAGGGCAAGCTGGGCAGCAAAATAGGACTCACTGCACAGAAGAAACATGACGAACCGTGAAGAAACTGAATAATTGGATACAATTGGTCTACCTGAAAACGTATCTTCTGCTGATCAAGGCTGAACCTGGGAGGGGTATGCCACAGCACCTTTTGGGCAGGGAGTCTACATCCCTGACATGCGGATGCGAACTCCAGCTGAGCACTCAGCTGGACCTTGGGTTGAATGAAGACGTGGAAGGATCTTCCGAATCCAGAAGATTCACGAGAAAATCCGTGGCAATATCCGTGGCAATTGGCGCGACATGGCGCGACATGACCCGCCATGTTTTCATTTTTAATCCTTTTGCCTGAGGCTCCGCACAGTGAGGACCTGAGCAACAGACGTGAGGAGATTTCGACTGTTTCGGGCAGTTTCGAGCAGTCTCGGGTTGCAAATCTATCACTAGAAATGTCTTGCTTACTCACTTGGCCATGGCCAAGGTGGGATGCCCGTGACGATTCTCCCACAGGCACCAGTTGCAGATGTCAAAAGGCGACCAGAACATACCAGAACCACATATAAATCATAGAATCATATATATATATAAATATTATATATATACATATACAATTAGGTGTGGATGTTTTTCTTTCATTGGAGTGACTTGAGCTTCCTTGATCAGGCAAGAGCCTACAGTCCAGTGAGCAATAGAGGCAAGACGGGAGAAGGATTTGAGTTGCCAACACGGGGATACGTGGCTAGTGTCAACACGTGAAAAACTGTTGGCCCTTGGGCTTTGGAAAGGCGGACAGTTCCAGGATTCCAACGAAAAAGGCTTTCAGGTAGCCCTGCTCCAATCTTCACAGACTTGACAGGTAGCCCTGCTCCACTATCGCCACATGGAGGTGCAAGAGGGGCCGAACTGTGGCTGATTGCTTCAACTCTGGCGTATTTTTAAGGATTCTGGCTGAATTCTATGACTCAAAACTATTTCAGAATCCTTGGGATCTTGGGACACCCTGACCACACATGACTTACTTTGTCGGAATTTTGGAATTTCGGTTGCGCAGAAGATATCGCTAAGAGTTGTCAGGTCAATTCAGGAATGTTGTGAGTAGCCGGCTCTGACCTTATAACGTCTGTCCTCTGTCTATGTGTGCAGACTCTTGAAACATTTATGATCTCTTTAGGGCAGGATCGCTGAGTGTCCCTATCTGAGGACAGTGCTGCAGGTGTCTCGGTCGCCTTCACCTACAATAGGTGCACGCCGACATGTTGGACATGGAGTAGTTTCTTTGAAGGATTAACATCAATGTGGTAAGACTTACTGAATACCATTGCTGAGCAGATTCGTGAACCAAGCTCATGTTTCAGCAAGAGCTCATATCAGTCAAAATTAAGAGAAATCAGGTCTATGGAGAGAGTTTCCATGACATTTTTTCGATGAAGTTTTCTCTTGCACAAAGTGTGGCAGTGCCGGTTTGATGCTGCCGTGGTGCATTGGTTCAAATGACCAGATAGAGACAAGACGCTTAGACACAGACGCAGACGGTGACGTGGACGGTGCTGGACGTCAATCGGTCGTCAGCATAACATCAGAACAACCAATTACAGAAAAGCAAACCAATTCACGAACCCTGCGTCAGCAGACAGTCTACTTTGCCATGATTCTTTTCTCAGCAAGGAGCCTGTCCTTGTCATGATGAACACCCATGTCATGTTTGATGTGTGCAAATGACACACACACACAAACAGACTACCAAGATCTACCAAGGGTATCCGTGTTTTTCATTGCTTGATGGGCAGAAGCATACAGAAACCACAGGCGAACGCCGTACATTTCAAGGCAAACCACAGAGGGTCTGAAGCCATGGCTGCAAGAAGGAAGCGGCCCAGTGGCCCTGGCATCACCTACATTGAGCGACTGGAGCCGACGAGTTTGGCATGGAACTTTGCTCCAAAGGCTGTCGGAAGATGTAGAATCAATGTAGCATGTACTTACTCGTCGATATGCACAGCGCGTACGACGTTATCCATACACGGTTGTTAAAGCCGGTCGCCAGATCGGCGACCGTATCAGATAGGGCTCCACTTTGCTACGGTCGCCAGCTGGTGGCTTGTACCTGCAACACTGCTCCCAATGGCGGCCAATCCCGAGTTTGTTCGAGAGGCCGTAGTCGACCCTAGACTGTTGGGGCCGGCTTCATCACACGACATGACCATGGCTACGCATGTAAGCGTGGCCCAGGTGACAGCTGATAGTATGATTGCGGAGCGAGAGCCGCCATTCGGCCTAAGTGAAGAAAGATGGAGTGAGATCCAGCGTGAGGGGATCCACGCTCCACTCCACAGGAATCTGTCGGTGAGGAGAAGCGACAAAGGTCCATTCTGGTGGCCTCACGCTGACAGCGAGTTGAGAGGTAGCGCCAGCATGCCGGAGACTGGCGAGGATGACGGCGAAGAAGGAGAGAGCAGCCAACTCCAATTCGAAGATGATGAGGTTCTGTCTGGCGTAGGCGGCCCATACTCGGTAGAGCAGATGGAGACTGAGGCTGCTGATGAAAGAGCAGACTCCAGTCTGCCTCAAGCTGGAATACCGCCGTACTCCCGGATAGGAGGCACTGGGCCTCTCCACGGTCGACCGAGCGACATTGACACCAGCGAGCGAACTAGGAGCTGCATAGGAGGATGCTTTGCCGTACTCAAGTGCGACTCTGCACGAGGGACTCCCACACTGCCCGAGAGGTACATGACAGGCACAAGAGACCCGTCGAGGATGCCTGACATCTCGGTTACTGTCCAGGTGATTTTCTATGCGGAGCTCAATGGCGGGCCCTCGGGAGAGATGATGGCTAGCCCCCAATTCATAGAGTCCGTCCACGATGGTGCGAGACCCGAGTGGACCAACAGGACCCTAGGTGGAGACGAAGTTGTCCCCCAGTCCATCGCCTTCGTGTACACAGTGAGCGACAACCACACAGTGTCCGCCGGGTTCTTCCGGCATGCAACGATCCACTCTGGCAGCTTGGGAGAGTACACACTCGAGGTCGAGCGCTGGGAGTCAGTCGACTTCAGGCTGCGAGGCAAGATAGGCGACTCGTACAGCAAGCCATCAATCCGGGTGATTACTCGAGCCAACAACGAGGCGTACTCTCGCAATGATGTCCTCCAGGTGTATGACTATGAGACTGGCAAGGTGACGTGGATGATCGCAGAGAGCATGCAGAGGTGGGCGCAGTCCAAGGACGACCTAGATGTCGGTCCGGAGAGCCTCAGATGGGTGGCAACCGCTCTGCCTGCATTGCGACTGCTCTCGGAGGTCTCCTCCGTCCCCATATACAGGCGACTTGAGTCTGCTGTGGATACACACCTAGTGAACATCTCGCTCTCGGACTTCATCAAGTCAGTGTGCCTGGAGGTCAAGGGCGAGTCGGAGCACTTGATGTCATTCAGGGAGACTCCTCAGCACGTGAGGAGTACATGGACGGCGAAGTGCGATGGGAAGCCTTGTGTTGTCCACGTGATGGGGTCAACTCATGTGATCATCGATCAGAAAGATGCAGTCTCTGTCTACGGGTGGTCAACTATGAGTCGCGTAGAACCTGAGCGAGCTGATCTTTCATTCTACGGCCTGGTCCGAGCTGAGCGTGCCGATGTGGAGGGCGATGATCGGCCCCGTTATGTGATCAGCGAAGTGATCGCTGGTGTGGTAGTTGCACAAGGCAGACGAGCAGTTGAACGACTGGCGAACTCTAGGTACTGGAACGAGAGCCCATTTGGAAATGAAGGCGCCCTCTCGAGGCGTGTGGTCAGTATTGGGGGAGAGCCTGTCTCCTCCACGCCAGCTGATGCAGCTCCTCCGGACGGTGGAGTCCTTGCAGCCTGTAACGTGCAGCCTGGCAAGCCAAGCTTCGATCATAGTGACCCACTTACGTACAGTCTCCTCATGAATCGGCACTTGGCGATCAAGCCAGTTGCTGAGGGTGTCCCGGCCCCATCTCACGCGAGGGCCCTGCTTGACACCGACGACGGGGACTATCAGCCAGCTCTCCTCAGCACTATCATCCAGGTGGCCGGCGCAGGCACTCCGAGTGCCGAGATGGGCACTACGCTCACACGGATCAGCCCAGCGCCGGAGATCAGGATGAATGTGGCGAAGTGGCTGACTCCTCGTGCCGCAAGAGATATGATGAGCTCACTGGATGATTCCATCAGTGTGGAGCAAGATGGTGATGAAGATCAGTCGCCGTATGAACTGCAGCACATACCGACAGATGGGATCGTCTTCCTCAGTCGAGCAGACCCATTCCGTGCACGCCGGATCAAGCCCCAGTCAACTGTGGATGTACTCATGATGGAGAACGGCGTCTGCTGCGCGAGCGACCATGAGACAAGTAGATTCTGCGCCCAGCTTTGGGGCTCGCTTCTAGACCATGACTCTGCAGCTTCAAAGGTACAGGGGCAAGTGATCGAATTGCCTGTTGGCCAGCCCGTCAGCACTGTGAAGGTCAGAGAAGCACTGGCACTCAGCGAGGTCAGACGTGGGGTGGGGGAGTTCGGGGACATCGGCTCAGGATTAAGGCTACGAAACGACCGGACAGTGGCGAACTCTCCAGATGTGATCGATGAGGCTATAGCTGCCTCTGAAGGTTCTTACAGACGTAGTGACGGGCGAGCAGGAAGAGGGCAGAGTGCATCGTTAGTCTCGGCCGCCATGGCTAGCTTTTCGAGCTCCAATGTGATCATGGAGGGGGCCGAAGCACTGGGGCAGTTCACACTAGTGGGAGTCGCCCAGCGGTTTGAGAGCCGCATAAGGCAGATGCTGGCAAGTGGGTCGTCAATCATCCGGGGAAGCCTGCAAGCCAGCGTACAGATTGGTGTCTCCCTCGTCATCACAGTCGATTGCGCTTGCGGGAGGTCGCGCATGATCCAGCTGTGCGAACGTGCTGTGGAGGCATCTTTCACTAGTAGAGTCCCACACCTCCACATCAATGTGGATGTATCCGGCGCTGAGATGATGGCCTCTCCAGCGTTCAACCAGGAGCCCTCGTCCTGGATCCTGGGCGTACGATCGCTCCACGCCTTGATGAAGAAGGCAATGGAGGAGCCTGGCTCAATGGTAGTGGGGTGGCGATGCGACTACGGACAGAGGTTTCTCTTCGAGCTAGTGACGGCGGCGAGTACCTTCGAGGGAGCTCCAGTGATCAAGTGCTGTGCGGCCACACTCAATGGCGCAGCTCACTTCCTCGTCCCGATTTGGATGCAAGGCCGCAACGTTCCAGTGCCTCTCACCCTCCGAGGCATCGATGCAAGCACACTCAACACGACTGGGGTCCAAGCTGGGAGTGTCTACCTCCGACTCACTGGCGATGGCTATGTAGAGTACTCCAGCGCGCAGATTAAGACTGATACCGAACCAGCCTTATCCTCTGTTGATGCCTTTAATCATGGCTTCTGCTGCACATCTATGGGGGAAGGCCAGTCCGAAGTGCGAATAACTCCAGCTGAGCGGCACACGTTCGAAGTTACGTGGCCACGGGAGGCGCACTAGCAGTGAACAAACGTACCCTGCTATGTTTAGCTCGGGCGGCACCTAGCGGCTCAGAATTCACCTTGAGCGCTCAGGGCGGGATCTGTATGATTCTGCCATGCTGCCTGCAAGTCCAACATCTGGTGTCGTTCCTCCTGCTGCGCGAAGCTTGTGGGTAGCAGCCTTCACAGCTGAACCAGCATGCTCTGCTCACCCGATCCGGCGCAACTCCCACGTCGTGGAGTATAGCGTAGGTTGGCACTTCGGTCAGGCAGATCGTGCACTTAGTCCTCTCTACGCGTGTACTTGCACTCTGGCAGGGACCCTGCCTTGGGCTCCTCGACCTTCCGACGCTCCGACTAGCCGGGCTGGCTGCCTCAGGCCGATCAAGTCTGACTGGGTGGCCCGAAGACCCACTGCTCCAGGGCTACCCTCTGGCCCAGGCGCTGGGTTGCCCTGACCTGAATCGCTAGTAGACAATCCCAGGCTATTCTGGTGCAGCTCATGGTAGGTTTCCACTGCGGGCGAAGTCCGCTGGTACCGTGTGCGCCTGGGGTAGCCAATATGAGCGAGGAAAGGCTCTGGCTGGAGGAGCCGCTCTCTACTGACGAGGAAGCACGTAGAGGAGAGAGACCTACGCTCTTCAAGCTCTGAGAGGATGCGGAGAGTCAAGGCAGTCAGATGAGGGCCAACCATCGGACCTCTGTGAGTGAGCATCCCGTCCGCAGCGGCAAGCTGAGCTAGCCCTGCTATGACCCTCAGTGGGGGAGGGCTATCCGATTGCTTAGCAAACGCGTAGGCATCGACAACTACTCCATCGTTCCATCCTCCCGGCAGCTTTATGATGTCCATGCACGAGCAGATGACTGCAGGCCGCAAGAGGGGAGCTAGGGGAGCGGAGGCCACATCCCTGTACGCTGTATCGTTGCCACTCATGAGTGGGAGACCATCAAAGTGGACTAGCAAGCCTGGGTTTGCGGCACCACCTGCAGACAGGCGACGTGTGAGGCTGTCATTGCTGTCATTGACCTGCCGATAGACATCCAGCATTCGCATCAGGACGAAGTGCCTGCAGTCGGGCCCGCCACCTACTTGGTAGACGGTTTCGACTTACCATACTTATAATTGGTTATATGTAAGTTACAACCCCTTTATAAGTTGTTATATTTAATTTATATTTTGCATAACATTTGTAAGTCTGGCACCTGAATTTAATGAAATTATATGTAACTTGGTCTAGATATTGAATATATATGTTTCGCTAAGTTCCGATACAAATCTTGATCGTTTTTGGATCTTAAAGAACTTAGAGAACTTAGCTTTTTCAACACTTGGAAATTGCATTTTTTTCGATGCAATCGAAACAAGCTGGTTTCATGCGTTTCGTTTTTTTTTTTTGCGTTCGATGTGGCACCAACCTGTTTCTCAAAAAAAACATTTTTTTTTGAAAAGATTTAGCAACATGTTGCTAAATCACCAAATTTTATGATGTAGGATCGACTTTTGGCACCAAAGTGCTGAATGGCAAAAACCATCAATGATCAAATGATCAAGTATGCCGATCGCTTTTGTTGCCGGGCAACGATTATACACAACATGTTTTCTAAACAAACCACGCTCATGAACAGAAACCAAACCAAACCACACTATTTATACACTATTTATACACTATTTATACACTATTTATACACTATTTATAGACTATTTATACACTATTTATACACTATTTATAGACTATTTATACACTATTTATACACTATTTATACACTATTTACACACTATTTATACACTATTTATACACTTTTTATACACTATTTATACACTATTTTATACACTATTTATACACTATCTATACACTATTTATACACTATTTATACAATATTTATACACTATTTATACACTATTTATACACTATTTTTTCACTGTTTATACACTATTTATACACTATTTATACACTATTTATACACTATTTATACACTATTTATACATATCTGTCACAATATTTACAATCATTTTTACAGTATGTTTCACAACGATACTTATCTCTGCCTGCATTGAGAAAAACGTCGTGTCGGAGCTGCTTTGCTTCACTATGCAGCCCCATGAGCCGCCCGCCTGCATATATAAATATTTTTCCATGCAATCATTTCCATGCGGCTCCATGAGCCGCATATATATATATATGCAAATATATGTATACACATATAAATTTAGATTCATACATGTATATATATATATATTATGGTTGTATTTGTTTATTTACATGTATACAATCAGTTTGGTACATACAATGGGCAGCGGCTCTTTGATGTTTTTTTTTGTGTGTGCTGTGAAACCATGAGTTTCAGGATGTTTTTTTTGAAACGCTGTTCCATGAGCTGCGTGCTTGCAATCAGTATGGCAATTCGCTTTAGATAGCAGGTCCTTGAATCAATTGTTTATTCATGTTTGTGCATTTGTTTTTTTTTCTGATTGGTTTGGTGGTGTTTTTTTGTTTTCAAAAGATTTGCCGTTCTCAGTTTTCCAAAAAATGCGTTTAACAATGATTTCTTTTCTTTTTCTAAAATTTGTTTTTTGTTTTTAATATCAAAATCGTTCAGTTACAAAACATCAAAAAGACTTAGCATACTTATAAGTTACTTATAACCAAATTGCCCAAGTTACAAACGAATACAAAAAGAGGTGCCATGCTAAGTATTTTAACTTAACTTATAAATTTCCTATGATGTTTATGTTCTTCAAGTTAGTTATATGTCTGCTATGAAGAAACCGTCCACCAAGTACGGCTCTGTAGCATGGATCCCCCTCTGAGATGTCCTCATGGCAGAAGAAGACAGTCGAGCTCGACCCCTCAAAGCTTCTTTGGATCTCCAGACCGGTGGGGCTACTCAAGTGAGCCGGATGGAACGAAGGCAGCCCTCCAGCATCGAATACACGCTCCGAGCAGACAGTCGGATTACGATCCACGAACTGATCGGCGAAGTCTGTGTGCCCCCACAGACCGTGAGAGAGGACGTAGTCACAGGAGCGCGTGGAACGGAGACAACTTGTGATGATGGAGGACAGCTCTCTGTAAGTGTCCGCGAGCCGCCGAGCAATGTCGCACACCGCTGCGCCAGTGTCCCTGTCACCGCACGCAAACCACCTGAAGGTGCCCGAGTCCCGTGGGTTGAGTGACGGTTCGGGCGTATCGGGCGAGCTGAGACCATGCTGTATTCTGTGGGCCGCCACCCCATACACAAGATCCACCACATGAGGGCCAGGTGGGATGCGTACGACTACCTGGGCGTCCATCCCGTCCTCCTGGGGTGAGCTGCGCTCGCAACTACGCATCTCGATAGTGCCGGGCAGCACACTGAACATGAAGGCCGAATCGGACCTTTCCCTGCTCCCGCCCAGTCGCGTCTTGAAGTTGGCCAGGCCCATGTTAGCCCCAACTGACGTGGGTGTGGATTCTCCCTGCCACTCAGCATTCTGATCAGCTAGGGGATTGTGACTTGTCGACTCGACCCTACGCGAGCTGCCCTAACCACTGCGGCGTACATTCCTGCCGTCATGTGCATGTGGTTCTGCATGATCAGGCCCACCGTGGTGGCGAAGTAGGCGTAGGCGCAGGCTGCCTGATCGCAGAAGACTGCATTCACCTCCTCGTTGGTGGATCGACTGCCGAGCCCGCTGTGCAGTTGTTGTGGAGGGTGTGGCAGCGTGGAGACTAGCGGTAGTCTCCACTCCCATTCAGTCCTCTGGAGCAGCACCATTGGGCACTCTGGGCGCCACTTGATGTACAAAGCATGGCAGGGGCGCATCGTCATCTCCACCCCTGTGCGGCTGAGGTAGCGCGCAGCTCTAGGGGCATCTCTGCCGCTCTCCATGAAGGACGATCAACTTGGAAAGTCCACCTCACAACAACACGGTGAGGCGGACAGGGCGTAGTGGACAACTCCCTCTTGTGCTACGGTAGTTCTCCCAGCAGCTGACTGACAGGCACGGGGCAGTGCAACTCACGACAAAGCAACTCCAAGCCGGAAGGTGGGCTGGAAAGAGGCTGCTTCTCACTCTCCTCCCCTTGCACTGGCGACACTGGCCCAGAAGTCTCGAGTGGCTTGGGAGCAGCTCGGTCATATGCAGACCGACTGGCAACTACCACGCTGCACCACCACTCGAGTAGTCGAGCCCTATCCCGATGACCGCTCATCTAGTCTAGAGGCAGAGGATCCAGCTCTAACCTCGCACACTTGAACACCGTAGCCCAAGGAAGAGCTTCATCTCGCCTCCCCGACGCTGTAGTCGTGGAGGCTTATACACTGCATCGCAATGGACTTCTCCATCGATCCATCCAGAGCCCCAGCGACCAGGGCTGACGAGTCGGGAGCTCGAGTGAGATCGAGATCGCCCCACCAGCCATCGGCTCCACCTGGACAAAGGGGAGTGCCCCGCCCGCCAGGCAGTGCGCTCTCACCCCCGAGCCGCGGACCTGGAGCTGCAGGAACTGCGCAGTCCTGGCACCTACGAGCGAGCTGGCTCGACCAACTCAGCAATGAGCTCAGGTCTCGGATCGACGAGGCTTACTACAAGTATGTGCCGTCCGGTGATGTCACTGGGAACAATGCCCCCTGCGTGGTGACTCACACGTACAACATCAGAGGGCAGCGGACCGTCGGAAGGACCATACACTTGAAGGATCAGCCAGTCACTCTCACTGGCATCGGCACCGCCATGTACAACCAGGTGATGGAGCCCCTGGAGTACAGGTCGACTGACAACATGCAGCCCCATGCCCAGGCGGAGACTAGGAAGGTTGCAGCCGTCGACATACGCATGGACCGTCGACACGATTGCCCTCACCACGGGTGCACTGCTCCGCTATGCGCACGAGCAGAATCTCAGTCCCGACGCCATCCACCTGGAGCTCCCAGCCATCGACTCGAATGGCGAAGGCATGACCAGGGTGGAAGCCAACAGCGACAAGTTCAAGCTGGGTGGCCTGATCGACATCAACCCGGCGGTGCATCCCGCCGGAGTCGTTGAGTACATCCTGCAACTTGCCCTGAGGGACAGGACCCGATCACGCTCTGGCAACGCTCCCCAGGGGCTCGGAGCATCCCTGCTAGGCGGAGTCCTGGGATCGGCAGCTGGCGGAAGCGGCCCATGCACTCAGTTCGCCTTCAAGCACAAGGGCAACACCATCCGGCAGATTGTGCCGCTGAGCCACAAGGTCGTTCAGCAACAGCACAGTGGGTCCTACGCTGGCGTGCACAGCATCGACCGCGTGCCCCCATCAGTGGCGGAGGCCTTCAGGCAGTCGTATGGTGATCACTCGTCGATTGCCATGGCCGACCAGTTGGTCAATGAGCGCGATCCTGTGGCGATCGCTACCATCCTGGCTCGCATGCACCCTCAAGGCAGAGAGGGAGGAGAGCGAGGACGCCCAGACAACAGACGTGGGCAGTGGACCGCTGGGTACGAATTAATGCGGTTCAGGAACACTGAGCAAGCGGAGTCGACCGCTCGCCAGATGTATGAAGAGTTCATGCATGACGCCATCCGGCCCGATCAGGTGTGGAGCTGAAGGTCGCCCGCCCTGCCTACAGTAGCCCCAGCCCCCCCGCAATTAGTTTGATGCACGGCGCGTACTGCCCCACGCGCAGAGTTAATGATCCGCCCCGGTCCACCTGACACAAACGTAGCTGCCCAGCTCTGCCCTCAGGGCTGTCGCTGAATCCCACCACCGTAGCCCAGAGTATGACACCACCCAACCCGGCCGAGGCGACCTGCACGCTGTTGTGCACAGTCCCTCGGCGATGGCTGAAGACAGCTACAGTGAAGGGGAGGATGGAGCCCCCGGCACTAGAGAGCGCAGCGACGAGGAGGAAGTGCGCTCTATTGACATGATGGATGTTGTCGAGGTGAAAAGTACACACCTACGTTTACCTGGACAGTTTTATACATACATTACGCTTGTACGTACTTTGACATTTACATACTTTGAATTACTTTGACATATACATGTACATCCATTTCCTGTACATGCATTTCCATGCATTTGATTTGCAGGTAGACCAACCATGCCAAACCACCACATATACTAGGGACGACATCGATATATTGTTTCGCTCATTCGATTAAACATGTTTGCCGTACTGCACGTACTGCCGCACATTTACGCATGTCTTATCATGCAGTTGTTTCCTATCTTTTCTATTCCTTTCTTCTTTCAAGTCACTCGTTGTCTAGTTCACTGTTCAAAATGCATGGTTGTTGGAGAACCTCTCAGACCTATCTGCAGGTGACTTCAGGTCCGAAGACCCCCAAGCCGGCTCAGCTTCCTGCACGTTTTCAGGGTGCCACAATGGTCATAGCCAAGGCAGAATTGTCAAGGTCAAAATACATTCCTCGACCGCGAATTTGGATGGAAACCGAGACCCAGGACGGGCCAGGCAGACAGAAAGCAAGTGGCAAAGAAAACGCATCAGACAGGCAAGAGAATGCAGAAAGAGCTACGGCATCCAAATCCTCGCAGACAAAGGATGCAAGAGATTCAAGTAGATCCGGTCCAGATGCTTGGCAGAAACCCAGCTCATGGGACTCACGAGGTGAGAGTAGCAGAGAGGGCAACAGGGACGGCAACAGGGACGGCAACAGGGAAGACAATCGACAGTCTTCAAGCCCGCCTTGGCCTGACCCGCGCCCAAACCAGCGGTGGGCAAGTGACCCTCGGCCCGGACATGGTGACCAGAGGCCGTCTTCATCTCCGCCTCAAAATGGCACCAAGACGGATGATGAGACCGCCAGGAAGAATATCCTCGTGGGAGAGGTATCGAGAATTTTTAACATCAAACAACTCAAATTCAAATTTGACTGGATTCAGATTTTCAATTTGGAATCAGGTTTTGGAGAGAAAGACCTGGAGCGTAAGAAACGCGACCTGTTTCGCATCCTGCACCCGGACAAGAGTGCCAAGTATGCGAAGGACGCTGGTGGTGAGGAGCGCCTCAAGGCTGCATATGACTTTGTGGACGTGGCATATTCAGATGCGAAGAAATGGCTGGACCAGAAAAACAATGGCTATCTTCCACCGTGGGACAGGGATCCTTTCGATTCCTTTCCTACTTCCCATCCACTGTATGCTCAGTATCGACAGAGTTATCCATCTTGGAGAAATGGGGCTGCGAATACCGCTTCTTCATCCCGACCGACCACGCCTCCGACACCCACACGATCTTCGCCGCCTCTCAGGAAGGCACCTCCGCAACAGCCTGACAGCTTCAGGATGCGATAGATGCAATGAAACATGATGAAAGGAAAATCAATCAATGAAAACACAATCAGAGATCAGAGATCAGAGATAACCGAAAATAGTCAGAGATAGTCCGACATTTGACCGTAGTGATTAGAGCTGCTGCTTGACTTGGTAGATTAGTTGACAGACCGGAAAAACATTAACAGAGTAGTCCGTTGCCTGACCGTCACAACTCGAGTTCACCGAGAGTGGACACTGTGCAACAGTGTGCTGGCTTTCTTACTTCAGTCAGTTTATTCCCCACATTACGCTTTCTAGGTCAAATGACCAAAGGCACATACATAAGACATAAGAGTCATAATTCAACTCTTTAGTTACTATGTTGGTTGGTATCAACCCTTATCATTATCATTTTACCCATGATTTGGACACAACGAATACCCAAATACAAGATCTATTGCTTCGACGAATTATAGATCGTGATGAAAGCCAGACACAAGTGAACAGAGACGCCATGCTCCTTTATGTTGAGGCAAAAATAGTCCTCCTTCGACTGCATTTGCAGTCCATTTTGCTACAAATCACTGGATGTGCGGAGATTGAACGCATCGTCCACGTTCGTCCACCAGGTCGGACTTCTCCCATGGTGATCTGGAGACAGGCGGGTGAAGAGATCCACACCTTTCTGTTTCGCCTGCTGGGTTGAGGGTGTGCGGCACGTCTATAGAAGCAACAACTTTAAAGCCATTCAGAACTTCACATCGTCTGATTGATTTGCACTTCCTGGTATATGATTAAATGCAACTTGGCGTGTAAGCTGCTGAGGAATGGCGGATTGGCCAGCAGACCCAAATAACGGCGTTGGTTTTTGATCATGTTTTATTCTTGAGGGTATTCTGTCCAAGCCAAGTCATCAAAAGTGGTTCACAGAAATTGATCGTACAATTGTACTCCAAGAGGCAGATGCTAAGATTGTAGACGTCCACACTCTGCTATTATTGAGTGCCATGACATCTTTCAGGGATTTACTTTAAATAATTATTGAGCTGACAATCTAAAACAATCCAGTCAAATTACTCTAAAATCATAGATCCATATGAACTCTCAAACAACTCGGAGCAACTCGGAACAACCCTATGCTCCCAAAGCATGCCCAGACGGCTTCTGCGGCAGCTCCAGCTGGATGTCTTGGCAGACAGGATAGGGTCAAGGGATGTCAAGGGACCACACGGTGAATGTCAATATGGGTACTGTCGGTACAGTTCAAAAAACGGGCATCGCTGGACCAATTTGTACTTTTAGTATCAACATATCTGCTTTGAAACATTTTGAGAGATTGATCATTCTGATGACCCATTCGGTCACTAGGAAAAGTGGAATCATGCGCTCTTGCTGTCTCTCAATGTCTTGCTGTTCACCTCTGCTTCTTGTTCCATTTTGTTGCCATGCTAACCTCGCAGTTTTTGCAGTTTTGACCAAACATTTGAACTTCCACACTGTAGAGCATGGGCATTGCGTGGCCAGGCACGATCGCCTCTGAGACAAGCAGCCGCGGCCAGAAGCCCAGTGCCAATGGAATCGCCAACCGGTTAGTTCACATAAATTTTGTTGAAACTCGGCAGAGTCAGCTACCACGGTCAATAAATACAGAGTCTGGCGATCTTTCGCTTATTGTGTTGAGACAGCACAAAGAGTGCAATTTTACATGGCATATATTGAGAGGCGCAGCCTGGAGTTTCCGCTGATCGTTGTCAAGCAGGACGACCAGGTGAAGTCCTTCAGTTTAAGTTTAAGCAGTCGTTTCAGAGGTTTTTTTTAAACAAGCTTTTGCTTTGCAGATCCAACCTTGTGCAAGTGGTGTACGATTGGAACATATGATTGGAAACATCTCTGACATCTCTCTCTCTCTCACTACTGTATCCATGTTGTCCGTACCCAGGATTCCGAGTTTTATGACCTTGGAAGCATCTGGAAGAGATGTAAGATATTGTAAGATTGCTCGTTGTTTGCACAGGAGCTCCATCCTCACTCGCAGCCCCTCCACCCTGGGCATTGAGAGATGCCCCCAGCACGGAAGCCCAGTTCCGGTGCGATGCCGAAGCGCAGGAAGCAGAGGTTGCCTTCGGTTGCACTGAGTTGCACTCGGCATCGAGAATCCCCAAGGTGCTGGGGCTTGGAAAGGAAGTCTAACGAGCAGAGCCGTGCCAGTGGTGTCTTGGATTTCGACCTGGTGATTATCATTGCCTTGGAACCTTGCCGTTTTGGATGAACAAAGTTGGCATTTCACTGAGGCAAAAACCGAGGTCAGTGTAGTGTGAGTGCCTCAGTTCGCCTATTGAGACTGGCGGCACTTCCGAGTGTTCAGTGCACTACGAACAGCATGTTTGCATTTTTGAAACGACAACTCAGCGATCTCATGCTTCGCAAATTCCTCTAGGCAGGAGCCGAGAACAGCTCTGTCTCCATTGTCGACTAGGTACGCAAACAAAAATCCGCTGTCTTTTGATGTCTTCTGTGCGTTTTGTGCGTCCAAAGATGAGTTTAACCCTGGTCACTCCGGAAGGTCGCCTATCCGAACGGCCGGTACCCAAGGCTGCGCTGTAGCTGCCTGCCGTCAGACAACCGCAGCCTATACTCGGGCGGAGACCAACCCTCTTTGAGCCACCCGTGATACTCGACACTTCAGTGAATGGAAGCCACATCAGCTCAATTCTCACTTTGTCATATTTGCATTGAGAACATGCCAAGGCTCGCAAAATGTCGCCAAAGAGCGTCACGATGTCGCAGGAGGTGCAGGGGTGCAGGGGTGGGGTGAGGATTTGGAAAGGATAAATAGGCTGCACAAGGCTGAAATGCAACCCTCAGTGAACTCTTCTGACTTTTGTGCTGATCCAAAGCGCATTTGGATTGAACTTACAGTAACAGGACATCAAGCCACAAGCCACATCAAGAAAAGAGCATAGTCCGCCCAGCTCTGCCTGTTCTTTGTTTTCGTTGTCTTCATATCTCAGGCCCTACGACAAGCACCGCTTCCGGTTCCAGCTTCTGCACTATCCATGACATTGCCGGGTGATGGCAAGGGATGCCCAGAACACTTGGTGTTACGGCCTGCGCTTGAACCTGTTCTCCCATTTGCCGATTTTGCCGATTTTGCCGACAAGATCTTCGGATTGTTTTGGATTCTTTCGTAGGTATTGCAAAAGAGAAGTGGAAACGAAATTGCTCTGCAACTTTTTGGCGTACTCAAAGCATTGCTGATGGTTGAACACTGATTTTCTTTGGCTCCCAAACTTGGTGTTACTACATGGAATGCTGGCATCTGAACCTTTCAACCACGAGTCAATACCTTTCTTGTCCTGTTGGAAGGGCAGATGATTGGTCCGAAGCACGCACATCACTCCTACATATCCGCGGTTTCAGCAGACTTCCTGACTACATGGTAAGATGAATCAGTGGCAGTGATGTCAAATGCAAACTCGTTGGCAGAGTCAATACTGTGCTGACGCAAGAATTCTTGAGCCACATATCTTGGCAACGACTTAAGTTGACGTCGTCTTGCGGCTTGCCAAATCCGGAATGTAATTGGAATATGCGGCATATCCGAAACAAAAGCTGAAAAGCTGCATGAACTATCTGACCGTTGCGCGTCTTTTCTCCTTGAGAGTGGTATGATACATATCCGCGGTTTCAGCAGACTTCATAGTAAATTCAATTGGTGGCAGTGATGTCAAATGCAAACTCGTTGGCAGAGTCAATACTGTGCTGACGCAAGAATTCTTGAGCCACATATCTTGGCAACGACTTAAGTTGACGTCGTCTTGCGGCTTGCCAAATCCGGAATGTAATTGGCATATGCGGCATATCCGAAACAAAAGCTGCATGAACTATCTGACCGTTGCACGTCTTTTCTCCTTGAGAGTGGTATGATACATATCCGCGGTTTCAGCAGACTTCATAGTAAGATCAATCGGTGGCAGTGATGTCAAATGCAAACTCGTTGGCAGAGTCAATACAGTGCTGACGCAAGAATTCTTGAGCCACATATCTTGGCAACGACTTAAGTTGATGTCGTCTTGCGGCTTGCCAAATCCAGAATGTAATTGGATGTAATTGGCACATCCGAAACAAAAGCCGCATGAACTAGTGACGTCAAGACAGTTGCTTAGTCAAACCAGTTGGCAAGAGATGAGTGAATTTAGCATTGAAGAACTCCAGAGTAGGAGTACGTGTTGGGCGATGGTACTTTCGGGGTCTATGTAGTTGCGATGGCCCTCTGGCAGAGGGAAATCAGCTGATCCAGACTTCGCAAAGCAACCAGTTCTCAAGGTCGAGAGGCACAGGTGGCTCATGTCCGTGAATCTTTGCTCAAGTGCCCTCCTTATCTGACATCAAGACTCAGACCATGATCACCATGGCTCCAGTGGAAACGTCCGAAACCTTCCCAAACCTTTCAGATGTCTCAACTTTTCAGACACCACTGTTGATTCAATAGACAAAGGCACATTTGTCCAATCCGTCCAATTTGTCTAAGGCACATACACAGTGTCCAGCAAGAGATAGCACGTCTGCAGGATGAACGGCAAAAGATGCAGCTTGGCAAGGGTTCAGCAAAGTGGGATGATGGATGCAAGTTATAAGCTACTAGTAATATAAGCTATAAGTATACAGAATCCTGATATGTAATCATACACATAACATAATAGTGTATATACTCTGTTATAAATTATATACCGCCGTTTGTATATATATATATTACAGTATAGATTTTCCCTACAAATCTCATTATGGTTCATGCAACGGCAAGATACAGAAAGCATTTGCCAATCGCTCTCGCACCAAGGCCATCCGCATCCAAGGCACCTTCTGCTTGTGAGCCCAACCCAGACAACAGAGAAATCTTAGTACTCAATGTATATTGGAAATGGCTGGAAATGAATGTGATTTTGGTGGTTGCACATCGAATTGTTGAAACAAAGAAACTGCAACCCTTTGGTGCCAGGTGCCGCCAGAGATGACACAAGAGGAAGCTGCATGCAGGTGGCCCAAACGCAGAAACAACTACCGTTTACGCGGTGTGCAGCTGGAAACATTCGATTAATGTATGGTCACAGAATGGTAGACGATTCGATCATGTTCATCTGCAGGTTGCAGCACTGGTGGAGATCACGAAGAAGAGCAAAGAAAGAAGGCGAGCGGATCGCATGTTCCCACACATTGGCCTCGAAGCTCAGAGTATATGCACGAACCAGCAGTACAGATGTCCGTGCGCACACAGACGGAGGACTTCTGAAAGATGTTGGTTTTCTTTTAGAGAAAAAGTAGGTATGTTCACCAATCTGACGTGGTTTTCGGCAACATGTTGTGAAGTCAACTTGTCCTATCGTGTGTCAGGACCTTCCCAACGAACCAGGCAGGGAGCTTCAAACTGCATGTTGTGAACTGCACAATGACGCTAGCATATCAAGGTTTTGGGGTCAGGAAGATCGGTTGCCGACGTTATGCCGTTATGCCCAAGCGGTAAACAAGATGGAGAACTGCAACCAGTGACGCAATGCCATGCAATAGTTGATCTACTTGAACCTTGCTCAAGATTTACATTACTTTCCGCTCAAAACTGCATTAGATTATTAGTGGGAAAGTCCTGTTCAAGATAATCCGGACGTCCAGGCAAAGTCTTTTCAAACTCCCAAATGAGCAGGCTACGTCCCCGTCACTTTGCGGCAGCCGCAGCCTTTGCTGGACATTTTGGGCTAAGCCGGATTCGTTCTCGTAGCTGGATGTAGTTGGATGTAGCTGGAGCATAAAAGAGAAGCCAATGAAGCGGTTCCTGTCTGTATCTGCACAAGGCCAGAATTCAAAGATGGTTCCGCCTGTACAGATGGAGGAGAAGGTGTGTCCTGCAAAGCCTGTGCTTTCGAGTAACTTGCTCCAGCGAAATCAAATGTATGGTATGAATTAAGATGAGAGCAGATGAAAGCAGTATAGATCAACTTGGATCGACTTCGCAGGTTCGTTGACATTTCTGTCCGTCAGATCGGATGGTTGGGCTCGCTGGCTTGGCTGCAGGACAGCACTGGCCATATGCACAGCCGAGATACACCGAGCCCTGTGTGCCAAATGCCCCTAGTTTTGTCAGGAGCAAAACTTGCTGTATGGCACTGAGTTGGCCGACAAAGAGGACGTCAGGCAGGACACTTCGTACTCTAAACATCTCCAAACCATTTGCAACTTTTCAATACATTTGCTGTACATATTTGTACATACTTGTTTGGGATGTGGGATATGATGAATATGATTTGACATGGTTCAAAATCCGCTAAAAGTTTTCAACTTTGCAGTCTCCTGGAATCTGCCTCGTGATCAGCTCTTCAATTTCAGCAGATGTGCATTTGAACTCTGAACATTTTGTCCTTTCATCATCTTTTAGTTCTTTCAGCATGGAAAGAGCAGGTGGTGGTCGGAGCAGCGCGCTGCTGCTCCTTTGGACCGTGAGGCGATGAGCTTCATATTGCTTCAATCATTTCAGAATACCTTAGTTTAAATCATTTGGAGTCATGTGGACCTTAGTTTTAGCATCAACAAATGGAACCTAGCAACATGCAACACATAGGTGAAGGTTGGTGAAGGCATGTGAAGGCTTTTGCAGTCAGAGGTTGACCCCTGGGGAGCCTTGAAGTTGTCCGGTGCTGAGTTGTGCCCCGGTTGTACGGTTTGATCCCTGGGTTTGTTGTTTGCTTTGCTAACTCCGCCAAGGCGGGAGCACCTGGACAAAATGTGGTATGGTCACACCAACGAGAACAGTGCAAAGGACCTTGTTGCAGAGTTCCTTGGAAAATCAGAATCGAAGATATCAAGATATCGAAGTTCCTTGGAAAATTGTTCTTTTGGAGGTAAGTAGCTTGGTCATTGTCCTTGAAAGTCTGGAGACAGATATCACTGGTCTGCATTCGATTTATATCACAAAGAACGCAGGCTTCAGATCAATCCTCTTGAGACATTCCTCTGATATCCTTTGATGGGCTCTGAGCTTTCACCTCCTGGGCAGCATTGGTGTAACTCGGATGCCCTTCGTGAAGAGAAGTGTTGGAACATTTGTTTCTAAGGCAGTAGTGAACGAAACCAATAGATCTTTGGCGTTGAACGAATCAGCTGACCTGCCAGTTTGACAGGAAGAAGAACTTCTGTTGCTGCATCATCATCAGAAGCTGCTGCTTGGCACCAGGGACGAATGTCAGTAAAGCCCGCAATCAGTCCGTGTTGGCAACGCAGCTACAAACGTTAAGATTGCATTCTCCGTGAGTTTGCAAGAGTTTGGAATTTGTGTCCCTTGAGTGACTTGATGCTTCAGAGACTTATATGATGATGCTCGAGTAAGTAGCTTAAGCAGCTTAAGTAGCTCAAGTAACTCAAGTCCTGAATGCTGAGATCTGCTGAGATCTGCTGAGATCTGCTGAGATCTGCTGAGATCTGCTGAGATCTGCTGAGATCTGCTGAGATCTGCTGAGGATCTATCAGGAGCAGCAGAAGCAGAAGAAGAAACTCCCGCAGCCGCCACGTCCTCCGGCTCGGCCTCCGCATCGGCCGCAGCCGAAGCCACAACTGCTGAAGAAGCAGCCGACGCCTGCGCCTTGGAATATGGCGTCAGTGTCGGTGCCAACACACCCATTGTGTAGGATTTTGTCAGATGTCAGAAGATTTTGATTTCGGATATGGTGAATTGGCGAATGTATATAGTGTGAATGTGATGAGTGTGAATACTATGAAATAATGTGATATGCCGATATGCCTTCCTAACAGGTGGCATGTGGCTTCTGCGCAGAGCCTTCATGTCTGGCTCTTGGATACCTCTGTGGAAAAGTGTTAAACCATCAACGATTCCATGAGATGATCCATGTTGCTCTAACAAATCAAACATCACAAGAGAGCTGAAAGCTGTGCCCATGTGGAACAGCTTTTTCATGTGGAACGAGGCACCTGCTGGAGTGCCAGTGCCAGTAGAGTGGACTCCTTGGAAAGACCCACAGAGGGTGTTGGGGCTGGATGGCCGATTGGGTGCATTCTGAAATGAGTCAGGCTGCATCTTGGAGACTTTGATCAAGACTTTGATTATGACTCTTTACGACCTTTACTAAACTTTACTAAACTTTACTAAACTTTACTATTATTATTATTATTACTATTATTATTATTATTCACTCTTTATCTTTGTGCTTATCTCCCTGGCCTGAGGCTGTTGTCCAAATCCCGAGCTGGAGTTGTTGCCCTGGCTCATTAGACATCTGCACAGCCTGAAGTGAAGCATAGGTTGGCTTAGGAGTTTGATCGAGGATTGAGGTCACATATTGCTTGGCCCTTTCATGCCCTTTCACATTCATAGCAAAGACAATTCTTACAATGTGACCTTCAGATACCTTTAGCATTTTATCTTAGATACAATAAAAATCAATAAAAACATGATGCTGCCCAGTGCATGTGCCAGGAGTGCCCTCCTGCGGTGAAGATCACGCAGAGGGGGTCTTAGGCTTAGCAGACATCTGCCATTTCAGCGAGTAACTGCGGAAGCAGTCCTACCTGCAGGTGGTCTTTGTATTTGCTGGACATAAAAACATGTCCAGATTGGTTTCTCGCGCTTGGATGCAATTTGCATACGGTCGTTGAGCTTGTGCCTATCAGTGCTGAGGTTGTCGGGAACCTTGCCAAAGAACTGCAAATCATCGTCTCTTTCCCCAAGATACGAGCTGAAAGTTGCCACCACCTCAGCGCTTTGAGACTCAGCACCTGAAGAAAGATTGCTTGGATCACCCCGAATGCTTTGGTAGATATTGGTTTGTGACTTGTGAGATCAGGACGATCAGGACCTTGTATTTGATCAAATCCAATCTGCAACAATGATTTCTTGCCCTCGCTGTGCTACTCTTCGGTTTGGCTGAGGGCAAGCAATCTCCTCAAAGTCTTCAACTCAGCTTTTCTGCAGCCCTCATGGATTTCGGGTTCGCCAAGTTCGCTGCGCGTTCAGGTGTTCGGAATTATCCACCGAGAGCTGCTTAGCTACGAACCAGCTGAATTCAGAAATACTCAGAAGACATCATGACATCGTGGCTAAAGTATTTGAGCTCCACTAGGCCACTAGGTTGTGGGTGTGAACGCTCGTCCAAGGATTGCTTTAGTGCGTTCCTTCCAATATTTTTGCAGATCATATGCATGACCAGTGGCCAAACATCCTGCTAGAAACGAAGGAACTTGATAAAATGCTCACCTTCATGAAGTCTTTGCATCGCAAGATTCGATGCAGTGACAGAATGGAAGCTGCTCCTTTAGCAACTTCAACCTGCAAGGTCCCAACCACACTGGGAGCCAGTGCGGCTTTGCCTGCTACAAGGCCAAAGTTTGGACACCCAGCAAATCTTAAATCTTCATACCAATTCACACCAATCCAGCACCAGCACGCTTGTGAACATTGGTCGTTGATGTCCTTGGAAGCTCGTTCGTGGACACAGTTGTCGTTTTGTTTTGGAGTAGCTAAGTTTGGTAGACTAAGACGTTGGTCCACAGGGCAGCTGAGGTCCCCTCTGACACGACCAGGGGCCAGTTGGGTGCGGGAGCTTAGGGTGAGCAATTGGTTTGTGCACAACATTCCCAGATATTTCTGACCTTTTCCAAACTTGCAGCATGGAGTATTTGGTCCTTCTTGGAAGTTCTAGTGCAAAGGACTCACTTCAACGCTAGCCCTTGTTGTGTTTCTAATCAAGGCACCAACCATGATACAAAGTGCAAGCCGAACCTCAATCCTGGCAGGCCTTTGTTGAATCTCGCGTGGTTTCGCTGTAGACTTTCCTTCCAACCCCACAATGTCTCTTGCAAAAGCGGTTCCGAATGGCCATGGTGATGTCAAGGTTTAGCATGTCTGGAAAACTAGACCTTGACATTGACAGAATAAGTTACACTTTGCGTACCCTGAGTCGTCGCAGATCATAGCAAGTGTTGAGAACCAATCTCACGTCCTCAAAAAGTCCATGGGAAATGAAGGACAGCCTTTCTGCAAATTTCCTGGGAGGTGCTGTTACAGCAGATGCCAAGCCGAAGGCAACTTTTATGCCTGTTTCCCGTAGTGCAGCAGTCAAGTGAGAAGTCTCCGTCATGGCTCTGGCATATGGGCAAAACAGAGGGGTTCAAAGTTCAAAGCTTCATGAACCCAGCCACAGTCATTGGAGGCCGCAAACCAAGACGTTTAGCAAGGATGTGGTTTGTATATTTTGAGTTTGGACATGTTTGGACATGTTTGGAAATGTTTGGATCATGTCATGTGCAGCTGGTGATGGCAGCCTGCTCTCCTGTTTTCGGTCACCGGATCTGACTGTGAATGTAAATACGGCGCTTGTGTTTCCAAAGCGACGAAATCCCGAGAGCAGAAGACTTTCCCTGGAGCAAAGTTGTTCACTGGAAGCTTGGAATGGGCAAGACACGGGGACTAGTTAAGAACTGCTACTGTAGGATGGAAGTTGATGGAAACACACATCTTCATAACTTCTTTGCGTGTAAGTTGTGGTAGTTTCGTACGCTTTGCAACCTTGAGGTTGTGAAATGATGTTGGGTTAGATGTGCCTGAGCGCAACCTCGTAACATCTCCTAACACTTTCTTGCATTGCAGCATGATGTTACAATTCGATACAATTCGCTTATTTCAATGTATCGATTCGATCGATCGTTGAATGTACTGTAGATGCCCTGGAGATTGTGGATGTGCCGACTTCCAGCACTTTGCGTCGCTGAGGCGATTGCCGTGGACCCCAGTAGCTTGGAGTCATCGCATGACCGAAAGGCCAGGCGAGCACGACCTTTTTGGCGACAGCGCCAAAATTTGGCGATACGGCGATACAGCGATATGATCAAACATATCAAACCCATTTTGAATGGAGGTTTCAAACCCATTTTCAAACCCCAATGGCCCAAGACAAACAGTGGGACTCAGTGGGTACGGAAGGCAAGGGCCTAGGATTTGCACGTGAGCCACGTTCAAAACTGCCGGCAATTGATTTTAGTATTCGGTGGTCGCGCAAGGATGGCGCAAGGATTTCGCGCAAGGATGAATAATTTCCATTCATGTTTAATTGAAGTTTTGAACACCGCTCACGTGTGATTTTTGTTCGACGATTTCAGTTGCTCGACATCGTTTTTTCTACACTACGCTGTGCAAAAAGTGCAGGTCCTCAAGGCGTACAAAGTCTTTGAGGATCCGAGGATCACTGCCGGGTGCTCCAAATTTTCTCGTTTGCCAAGCTGTCCAATTTTTGTCAGCAACCGAATTCATCAGACATTGCTTGATATGAGGTTATTCCCAACTTCTTGAGTGACAGCGAGATGCAACACCTGCTGGACTTGGCAGCGGTCTTTGCCTTAATGTATGGGCCTATGTTTTTGTTGACAAAGCTCAGGAACACTTGGGATTTCGGCACACCAAGATACTTCAAACAAGTCGTGTTAAAACAGTTAAAACAAGGAGCCGATGCTTTGCAAATGGCTTCCGGCAGTTTTGACTTTTGCCCCTGCAACAAGGCATTGTTGTTGCTCAAATCAAGATCTGCATTACCAAGGCGTACTGGGTACCTTCCACTGTTGGTTCTGGTGTCTACAAGTGCGCCCGGGTGGAGAAGAACAGGTGGCACCTGGTTATCTTATGGTATCCTTCAGCGAAAGAGGAGCTTTCGTCTAGTCCTTCTAGTCCTTCTAGTCCTTCTAGTCCTTCTAGGCTCATGATGCTGACTTTTGCCCCAAGAGTCAAGAGTGCAATTTCTGTGGTTTTGTTTAGGCTGAGCCGAAGGACCTCTGGCCTCCAGGGGCACTGGCTGCTTGACGGGCTTGACGTGTGTCAGGACTAATGATGAATCGAAGGACTTGCAGAACAAACAGTCCAAGACGCGCACCTCCTACTCTTGCATGTTAAGGCAGGGAAAGATCATCAAAGAAGATGAAGTCTGAATATGCGACTGGTCACACCAACTGGACAAGAATATCAAGAATGGGCATTGCTTGAATTTGGGTATTGTTGCAGCATACCTGCAAGAACATGTTGGACTCGGACAAGTTCATTCTTTCTTTGCTGAGATTTTGCAACCCATAACATCCTATTGCCACTTTTCGTTTGGATGTAATTTGCGTCGTTGACAGATTAAAGAAAATGTATGGGACGGTCTCCGCACTCTTCACTGTAGTGTTGAAATTTGATGTGCATTTGACAAAAGCTTGCAAAGTGTTTGCAAACTGTCTGCAAACTGTTCAAAGCTTTCATATCTTGCCCGATCTTGCCGATGCCTTTCCAGGTCTGGCCAGACCGAGACGGTCCAAATGATCGAGCAAAAGTGGTGGACCAAGTGACGGTGATCGTTGATCTTGGTGACAGGTGTTGAATGGTGTTGACTACTTTGAACGCGTCACCACCATTATGTTACAATGTGCAAACCTATCTCGACCATTCTTGACCTTTCTTGTAGACAGCTGCAGTACAGCACTAGTACAGCCTGTCGTCCCCTGTTGTGATTCTGTTGTGGGCATTGGATCTCACTGCTTTGGACTGCTCAGGCTGGCCCGCCTGGCAGGGCTGGAGGTGAAATATTTGGAAAGACTCAATATGGTTCGGTACGCACCAGGACAGCTCTTCAACAGGTCGGAGAATCTGGAGAATAATTGGAGAATCTCGAAGATTTGCTCTGTGGAACATCCGTGACCGATGGTGTCAAACTCCAGCTGCTGTTGGAGCACATTGATTGGCTGGAAAAATTGCTGGCCAGGCACCACGATGGACGCTTCAGACCCAAGACAGGCACCTGCCGGCATGTGTTTGAGCTCGTGAAAGCGCTTCGCATGGACTTTGATTTTAGAAGAATTGTCTGATGGAGTTCACCCAGATTTCGAGTCAATCGTGGACTACGGGCAACTCTTATGAGTCAAGATAAATAGCTGACGTAGTGCAGCATCGCTTGCTGAAAGCGCTGTCACACCAATACTGCTTCCAGCGCACTGCTTTGTTCCACGTGCAAGATGCTTGTTCTCGGAATCGTGTGACACTTGTGACACCTCAAAGAGGAAGAGCATCCCAGACAAAATTCATGAAATTTTGAAGTGCAGCACATCTTGCCCTGCCTCGCCGGTGCAGCAGCCCGCTTAAACGGAGGGTCAAGGGAGGGGCTGGTGCAATGGGTAGACGCCAGTCCTTTTCCCAGTGTACCAAAGTGAATCCCTTGCAGCACCTTGGAGTTCAGCAGATCCATTTAAGCCAACCGAGACAAAGCCTTGACCCAGGTGAGCTCTCCAGACCATGGTGCGCCTTGGCGTGCTATTTCTTGTTGGGGCCCTGAGTCTTGACGTTTGCTGTACGGCGTTGGATGCAGTGGTTGAAGTGACACTACAAAGTCCAGGGACTGTTGTGGCATGCAGGAAATTTGACATATTTGACTGCAGACATCTAGAATACAGACACACAGTGCTTCTTGATTCTGAGGTTCTCGGCCCAGCAATCGTGACATCAGCCAAGGCACTCCGAGCATTTCCGAGTCAGCTTGCCAACTCCAGATTTACATTATATATTCAAATTGTGCATCACATCAAGTTCATTTCTAATGATGAGAGTGTCCTATACTTATCCTTATATTATACTTATATATACTGTCTGAAAATAAATGAACGATCCTCCTAATGTGCTCTTCCCAAAGCGACGAAAGGTCACATTGGGATTCAAACATCATGCATTCTTTGCATCATGCCCTGTCACGAAGTGGTGCAAACTTTGAGGTTGGTGTCAAGACGTCAAGACAACCTTGCAAGATCTCGACCCCTGAGCCGACCGATCAAACAGAGCCAGGTCCGGTCTTTGCGCCATGAGCAGCCATGGCCCCAGATGCAGACCTTTTGGAATTTTACCAGAAACAACTCGCGGTACCCTTGCATACAGTAATGCATACATTTTGCAAAAGTAAAGATGCGCCTAGCCAGCACGACGCATCAATTCACCAACACGACCAGAATAGAGTATATATATATATGATTATATATATAATATAATTATAACATATATATATATACAATATATATACAAATCCGTTTGGGATTGCTGTCGATACTTTTCGCAGACTCAGACATGGACTCACTCCACTGCTTCTGGACATGAGGTCGCTGCATGGTGTTGGGCTGTGCATCTCCCAGGATACAGAAAGGCTTGGACCGGCTTAGAGGTTTGGAAAATCAGCCAACGCCTAAGGTCCTCCCGGCGAGAGTGTGGAGCCAAGTCCTTTGTGCAATGTCAAGTGGGGTCACTATGTTTGGCTTCTAAGGCTGAGAGAAATGGGTAAAGATGGCTTGCAAGCCAGAATAACTGCACTCGAAGAGGAGGTCGAGTCTGTTGCAGACTGGCAAGCCATTTTTTCCCAATGCTGCAACGGACATGAAAAGGACAGGCTTTCCCCAGCTGGAAGCTGTGAGACAGCAAGAGACGTTTCTGTGAGGTAGGTCAACTTGAAGTGGCAATGGAAAAGAGCAGCAAGAAGTCAGGGCCCCATGCTCCTCCATATCCCACCAATGCAGCGAACGTAGCTAGGAACGACCAAGGAATGCAGCGAGCATTTCGGAGCTGCAGAAAGAGTCCCGCGCCAAGAGCTGCGCAAGGAATGCTGCGAACTGTGGTCAAAATCTCTTCGGTTTGTCAAACAAGCTTTGCTTTCGGTTGATCCCTCCTCGTGTGTTGAGAACCGTAATGCAAATCCCTCTGGATCATACAGACAGATTTAGAAAGGTAGGTTATAGATGGTTATAGAAAGCTTCTGTCTCTTGAAGATTTCCGCAAATGGCAAGATGTCCCTTGGAATCAAGGCTGAATGCAACCACGGCGAAGTTTCCAGACAAACTTCCTTGGCGCACTGAAGGCCGGCAGATTGTGGGTCAATGCCTCGTTTGAGTTTGCCGCATCGCAGCAATTTGTGGTCCATCACATCACCTCAAAGTTTCCTGTTGACCTTCTGGTGCTGCTATGCTTGGCAGAACAGAAACTGAAAGCAAAGATCAGAAAAATCGAGGCGAGGCCAAGTGGAGTTGGTTAGTTTCCGATTGGACTTGGAGAATCTTGGAGAACTTTGCACAGTGCCTTTAGTGTTTGAGTGTGTTGGTGACTCAGGATCAGATAGCCGAAACGCATCAACAGATCCTCGCACATGGCGATGTCAGGAACCCAGTAAGCTTGCGAGAGACGGTGTTTTATATTACGCCTTATCTGAAGTTGACGGAGGGCAGCAGAGTCAAGTAGTTCATGTTGTTTGACCTCGAGCAACCACTTGACCCGCTCGCAGTGTCAAGACGCTTTCCCAGGTGGCTGAAAGAAGTCGAACTGAGTTGGAAACCTTAGTCCAACAAGGGGCCAAATGCAAATGCAAAGGCGTGGGCTCTTTATAACCTCTGCAGAGCTCCCTTGGCGTTACATGTTGAGCTCCATGGTGGTTGCAAGAACTTTCGGTGGTGGCCGATAGTAACAGATTGTGTGAACATGGAATTCAAAGATTGCCATTGTCAGTAGGGAAACCATCTTTGGAACCCCATTTTCGAGGTTCTATGGTACCAGTAGCAACCGGCCCGTACTTTTCCAGACCCGCTAGGCGCTGGCAAGGAAAAGGTGAAGAAAATATCCTTGCTGCAGACCGAAGGCAAATGGTGGGCAAAACTTAAGCAGCTAATTCCTTTACAGTTGAATACTCATTTGAATAGATAATCCTTTATGATCCTCTATGATCCATCAATTGTCTGAGATTGAGATTATCAATATTTATCAATCATGTCTTGGGAAGACTCTTGAAGACATGCGGTGCACCTCCAAGAGCCCAAAGTGCTGACGGCTGTGCAGGCAGACCTCCAAGACACCTTTCTGAGGCTGGATTAGTGAAGACATGTGAAGACACTCATTCCATCCGTATAATTGCATGGATTTGCATGGATTTGCATGGAGATATATGGAGATGGGATGTTTGCAAGCAATCGAACCTTTGCCAAGAGCAAACCCGTCCTTCCATTATATCTTCAGGGACATGCTAACCCTGCATTCGAAACTGCAGGATGAGATTGCAGCCATGGTCAACGATTTAACAGGTGCACAGCTCATGCCATGAAATTCATTGGCAAGATCAGATTGAATATGTGAGAAGAGAAGTCTTTTTGACATAAGAAACTAGATGGAAAAACTAGGGAACACCGCCTTGAGGCGGGTGTGGGTTTTCTACAATTGTGTACTTGGTGATTGAATCAAAAATCACCTTTTTACACTGTAATTTACAGTATTTTATGGTTGTGATCTATGATGTTTTGACGTTTGCTGCAAGAGGTCAAAATGCCAAAAAAAACTTTTGCAATTCCGCAACATCTGCTTGAGGTTCAATGCATTCTTTTTTTCCTCAGTGCTCTTTCAGTCGGCATTCTTCGTTTTGAAGAGCTTGCCCAAAGTCTGGATGTATTGATGCTGGTGTGCAAATCTAAATTGCCATGATCTCACATAGATCAGTAGCTTTTTATTGAGGCGTCATCTTTACGGTCGAAAGGAACGTTATCATCCCCCCCCCCAAAACCCCCCCTCCCGGTCAAGGTAGCAAGACGTCAGCAACAAAGTTGGGCAACGTGTCTTCGGTAGCGTCATCTTACAGTCGAAAGGAACGTTATCATCCCCCCCCACCCCCCCTCCCGGTCAAGGTAGCAAGACGTCAGCAACAAAGTTGGGCAACGTGTCTTCGGTAGCGTCATCTTACAGAATTACAGTCGGCAAGAGCGTTAAACACATATACTGCCAAAGATCACAAACGTGGAAGAAACCACGCCCGCCTCGGGGCGTTGACCCCAAAAACTACATACAGGAACTTCTTCTGAATCTTTTTCGCCAGGTCTCACTTTTGATATGGCGACTCAGACAAGTGCTGTGGAAGGCGAAGCCCATTTGGCCGATAGTCGTGTGCAACGACTTTGCCCATGATTTTTTGTCACAGGTGCCAAAGGTGCTCCTGATGAGTCAGTGGCCGTTGAGGGCTTGGTGAGGAAAGCGGAGGACTGAGGGCTGTTGGCCAAGCTACTCCATGGTTTCCATATGGTTTCCATATTACGTATATTTCTCTGTACGCTTGCAGCTACAAATGGTAGCACTTGACCCACTCATGACGGTTCACAATGCTATTTTGTTTGGTGCCCAAGCAGCAATTAGTCGCTAGTCCAGCTAGTGCAATCAATTTTGTAGCTGCTAGGAGCTTCAAAGGCGCCGTTCTGATCTCCAGGTGACCGACATTCCAAGTGCCACACATTGAATCTGCTTGATCAAGGACACTCACTGGTCTATCCTCAGCTTATCTCAGCTTTCCCCCAGAAGTGAAATTGCAGTCCTTGAGCTGTGTTGCAAAAAACGGGTGGAGTGAAGGCATTTGGCATAGATAAATCATGACGGAAGTAAATGTGCAGGCACTTACTCACAACCAACAGAAACACGGAGCCTTAGCTCTTGTCGAAAGGCTCAACAAGTGCAAGCGGCCAAGAAATTTGAAGAGGAACTCATGGGTTGCCGGGATGGTTCGGCTTTCCATCCCCATCACCGATTCTGATGCATTCTCAAAAAAGATGAGGAGCGGATAGGAACGGAACGATTTCGATGGCTTTTCCGTCGCAAAGGAGCGATCCAAACTCCTGGAGCAGTTTCAAGCTGCTTCGAGAAAGCTGTACAGCACCGAGTGCACTGAGTCGGATTCGTCGGTGCCAAGACTTGGCTAATCAGAATCTCGACAGATCTCGACAGATCTCGACAGATCTCGACAGCCGCGCCGCTCCAAGGTCTGCAGCCAAGGTCAAAGCGGTGCAGGAAGAGCAAAACGCCAAAGAGCGTCAGAGGACGAGAGATACGAGAGCTCACGCCGCACTGTAGACGGACCGTAGACGGACCGTAGATGGACCGTAGATGGACCGTAGGTGCTGTAGCAGCACGGTTAGCGGTTAGCACGGGGAAGTTTCTCTTTGAACTTTGAAATGCTTTGAAGGGAAAGGGTCACGAGCAGTGGGAACGTGTATAGAACGAGACACAGCACCATGGACCCCATGGACTTCATGGACTGCAGAGTTTTGGCAGGACATTGACAGAGCAGCACACCTACGCGTCTGCCATTCTCACCCAGCAGGCAAGACACTTATAACTTACACAGCGACGTTGAATCTTAAAGTTAAATAGTAGTTTTAGTCATACAAGTTTTGGTAGGCATGCAGCAACACACGTAATTAATTATATAGTTATCAGATGTCAGCAGAAAACAGCGCATAGCGCCGTTTGCTAAGGTGAACAAACTGGAGAAGTTGAACACACAGATGGCTGATTATGGTGCAAGGACCAGTCCTGGTTTTCGAAAGAACAAGAGAAAGAATTGCACCACCACTTCACCCCAGAATCCTATTTTTCATTAGATGCAGTGTTTGGGAAGTTTTGCCTCTGCTCAATGAGCATCATTGCCAGGATCAAAGAGTTGTCTGACCTGGTGAAGACCTGTGGATGTTTGGCGGAGGTACAGTGACATCTCAAAGACAAACACCAACGCTGCGAACGCAGCAATAGATCGAGGCAATAGATCTAGATCTTTGCACCACAGTGTTCGGTACGTGTTCGGTACATGTAGTCGATTTGGAGCAGCGTGACAGGACGCAGCTGTGTGGATGCCACCCGCAAAGGCAGCTGAGAGACTGTTGAGTCACTGATGACTAGACCAGTCATGGCGCGGTATGGTGTGGGGCAAAAAGACCTACAATGTTTTAGATTTGCTGAATGGGATCAGCATGACATTGTGCATCACATCTACTGCGGATAAGTAGCCGAAGCTGACTGAAACAGCCTGGATCATCAATGTGAATGTTGCAGGTCACCACAACAACTACCACTGTTGCGCCGCAGGTCCGGATCATACTTGTGCAACCCGTGTCTATACATCAGTCATCATCAGTCTACATCCCTTGAGTTTCAGGTACCACCTGAACTCTGGGGGTCAAGGTGGTCAAGATATGTCAAGATTATTCTAGCGTATTTTAGTCTCGGACATGGCTGACATGACTCGACCCTCTATGTTCCTGGTTTTGGCCCTCGAACGTCTTGGGACATGACCCGGACATGGCCACTTCCGGCCTGGTTTTCAGGTTGGATTGGTGCGCGAGAGCCGTCTGCGATCTGACAGCGCCCAGGCCACAGTCCACGGTGCGAGCTGCGTCAGTTTCAGTTCCGGTGCTATGGTGCTATGTGAGGCCGAAGTCAAGGCAAGCTCTTCTCAGTCGGTTCGGAGCTAAGGATTCTTCGAAATTAGACTGCAACACAAGAAAAGACAAGTCAGAAGAGTCAAGAAAGGTGTTGAGACAAATGAAGCCTTCCTGAGTCCCTTTTAAACAAACATTGCATCCTTTTGTATCTTTTTGTCCCCAGTGCCTGAGCTTCAATCACCTGGAGGCACTCCCTAGGGACACCGTGCTGTACAACTCATGGGATGTTGACATGGAACTTGAGAAGCTGCAAGATGCCAACATCAAGATCTACGAGGCTCAGGCCGAGCCGATAACTCATGCTACTTGTAAGCCAAGTCTGACTAAGTGTTCACTCGGATGTCCCCGAGCGATATTGTTTGGATATGTTCAACAGGATGTTTAGATACGATGTGAGTCGACATGAAGCTCTTTGGGTTGGATTGAATATATTGAATCTTTGCACAGATCGAAGCAAGGCAAACGACTTGAAGGTGATGCGGCGGACGTGTGGCTTTACAGCAACTCGTTTGGTAAAGGAACTAGTTCTGGAAAGGTGCCGAACAAAAGATATTTTCATTGACAAGCAGCAGACAGTGCGCTTGCAAAGAAGACCTAAAGGAGTGTGGATTTACCCCAATCAAGGCAGGCTCGAATGCCTCTGCCGATGTGTACAACACATGGTGTGACCCGGCTGCAGGGAACACAGCGCTTGGGAAGCGTAGTTGCAAATGCAGCCTTTGCACAACTTTCAGACAGAGAGTCCATTTCATGCAAATGCTTCACCAGTTTCATCCTTGTCAACGTAGATCAACGTAGTTTCTAGACAAGGCGTTTCTCTCTCAAAGGCATCCTCTAGTTCATGGGCCGCCATTCTGTTCTCAGGTTATCCAGGCTCTTACTGGGGAATGTCCAAGTATGCATCCGACTTCGGTGAAGGTCTGGAAGTCGAAGAGTTGACGCATCGATACAGAGACACTGAGAATCCACTTCGGGAATCTTCGGGATTCATAGCTCGTTTTTTTCCATCCCGGACATTAATAGGGACATGGATCCAAGCCTCATTGCTTCCTTGGACATGCTGCAAAAATCTGCAAAAATTCTGCTTTCTTTGTCATGAATGCGTGCAAGGTGCTGTAAATGACATGATCGTCCATCCACCAAATCGAAGCGAGGGCAACGAGCTTTTACTTCTGCGTACCTTGGAGATGAGAACAATTCGCGTTGCGTGCCATTCGAGATTCAAATATATTCAAAATTATTCAGTATTTGCATGATCCTGACGATATGGTTGACAAAGTCGACACATTTGAATGCTTGAACGCTTCTGAGTCTCACATTTGTTCGTCCTTTCAATCTCTCCAAATGCTACAGCTTCATTGTACGTAGTTTGAACTGCCTGCACTTTCCTTCTGACTCACGTCGCCAACTTGTTCCATGGACTTGTACCAACGAAAGTACATTGGACATGACACCTCTCGAATTTGCAGAGAGATGCCCTTCACCCGAAATATTGAGGCTTTGAGGTTCCACATTCGGGCCAATACACCTTGGACCTCTTTGGCGCCAGATCGCGAGGTACGCAGAGATTCAGAATTTGCGTTTTATTTTTTTGTGTTGCTCCACAACTTTGCATTTGTTGAGTCTCATCGACTCATCAAAGTTCTATGCTTCAGTCTTTTGCCGTGAATGCCGAGGAGGGAGGGGGGGAGGGAGAGAGAGAGAGAGAACAATGCGAAGCGCTTTCGTCAGGCGATGGTCTTGTGGATGCCCTCCTTTTCGTGAATGATGAGGAACGAATTGTTGCAGCCTCCTCAGCGTTGTCAACGAAGGGTGTTATGTACTGTAGAACATGTCATAGCCTTTGTTCCTTTGGCTAGCTCTTCAGAGCAGAGTCTTGCGTCTTGCTGGTTGTTCTTTGTTGTCCACTGTTTCCATCGCCTGAGTTGAAGAATTTGGCAAACGCTGAATTGCCCACCACTACGAATGGAATGAACATTGCGCCTTCACTGCATCAGATTGAGCTGGGGTATTGCGGCATTGCTGCAGATTGGTCTCCAAAGTGACAGTCTCGGTCTCTCCCGAGGTGCATAACTTGGGGCAGCTGGCAGCGGGTGACTATCTCTATTTCGCCATCCGCGGTGATGGTATGGCTGACGTCAAGCTTCGCTTCAGGATTATTGGAGTCATTGGAGTCAAGAAGGCGATGCGCATCCCGTTGTTTGTCGAAAACCTTTCCAATCTGGAATCATGGTACATCATTCACCATTCTGATCCTCTTAGAGAGCATGGATTTTCATGGATTTTTCTATAGCTGAGACTCTGCGTGCCTCTCCCCTTTGCTCCCCCATGACATGTGCCTGCTTGGGTTGCCTAGGCTACCCTAGGCTTCTGTTTTGCTTCTTTTTGCTCAAGGTGATTCTTGGCTCTGAAATCCTGTATAGAAAAGCAGATTTCCGGACTCGCCAAATTCCGCCAGATGGCAGATGTGGAAAAGGCGAAGGTAGTGGCGGAGAACGCGGAGAAGGCTGAGAGGTCGAAGCTTGGCATGGAACCCAAGGTGCAGAAGATGATGGAGTTGAATGCTCTTCGTGAGCAACTCTCAGACCAGTTCTTCCGAGACAACCCCAACTCCTTGACATTTTTCGGGGTCACGATGGACCCGAACGACACACCAGCAATTCAAATCGGTGTTGCACCAGATGCCGACAAGGATTCCATTGTGATCCCAGAGGAGCTGAAAGGTGTGAATGTCATGATCACAACGATTGGAAGACCAACACATGGCCCTGGTCGTCCATTGAAAATTGTGGCTGAGACTTGAATCGTTTTATGGAGATTGGTGACTGCCATAATTTTGATGTTGGCTGCCACTTATTTCAAAAACCTCCAGCATTTCTGTGGCTGCCTCTCTTCTGAAATCGGTACTTTGTACAGTTTCCCTGCAGTTTGTGAGGCAAAAGATGAACCCTGCAGTTCGGCTTGATTTTGAGTGACATCAATCGTTTATTTAAGGGCTGCCGCCCCTGCCGCCGACCCCGGAAGAATGGTCAATGAATGAAACCAAATTGGCATCAATATTCTTCGGTGCTTCGCACTTTTAGGTTTTCCCCCTTTTCATAAGTATATTTTTATGAAATATGTTTGATACAATATTTTGATATAGTAAGAAAACTCAGCCACCAAACCCCTTCACCCCCCTGAGCAGTTCCTCGACGACTTCAACCAGAGTGTGGTCTTGAGCTCGTGAAATTATTCATTTTATTAAGTAAATATAGTAAATAAACCTTCCCATTTATCCCCCCTTTTTGTGGCAAGGTATGGGAAAATACGATGGTTGGACATGCTTTGATCACAGCGAATCCCATTATACCGTGGCAAGGTGCAGCATGATTGCTAGTGTCAAGGCATTTGGGCTTGCAGGATGCTGTTGCCATGGGACCTTTCGAGCATGAGTTCACTTTACCGATGTCTTGGGCAGAACGCCGCGAAGTTCTAGCGCGGGATCCGTTGGCTGCCGTGGATGGGTTTCGGGTACTGACGCATTTGATGTTGAAGCATCTCTTCGGCGTTCGTGTGTGTCCATATTGTCCAGATTGCAATGGCTTCAGTGGATTGGAGCCGTGTCAAGATCTTCGCGGCAGCAACGCAGAAGCAAACGGTGGCATATTCGGTCGCGTGGACGCAGTATATATATATATCCCTCGAAGCTCGGAAGAGCAGCGGGGCAGAACATGGCCACATGCAAGTGTTTGTGCAGTGTTTGCATCAACACACTTCACTAGAGGAAATCTTCCGGCTTTCGCACGACAAGTTGGCTGCGTTGCGCGCAGAATACGAAGCATATAATGTGCATGTGTGTCATGCAAGTTACGTGGGCCAATCGAATGAAGACATGGAACGCCGCATCGCCGCTGCGGAAGCATCCTGGCCAACGCACGAACTGGATGTGACGATGACAACGGTTCCGACATATCAACTGCAACGTGCCACTGAAACCGATAACGCCCAAAACGAAGCTGCAGAAGACGTCGTCCAACTGCAACTTCTGAAACAGCATCACTACCATCCTTACAATGACACTAGCCAAGCCCGCGTCCCATTGGCAGGCTGCCAAAAAAGTGACCAGGGCTGTGTAAGAGTGATTTTCCTCGCACGCAATGGCTCTGTACGCAACCTACTGTATTATGTCCTTGCAAGTTGAAAACGTACGGGATGCCAAGCGGTGGACGAAAAAATCGCTTAGGAGCTTTGCATGGACCCTGTGGGCATGAGTGGTTAAATGGCTGCGCACCAGCAATGTTAGCAGGACTACGTGGTGCAAATTGCGATGTGCAGGTGCCATACCGGCTTCCATATTCATGTCCAACTTGCGGAGACCAATTGACAGCCGAAGAACGGCAGCAGATGTCATTGGCGGCGCAGCGGGCGCAAGATGCACAAACCGGGTATTGCGCGGATTACTGTTCCAAGGGCCAGCCGATGGGACATGGAGAAATCAGAGAATTCCAAAAAGGACACGAACAGTTGCATGAGAAGCATGCGCAAAAACCATTAGATGACCTAGGCAACGGACATGCAAACCGATTCCTCAGCGATGCGTATCTCAAAGGCGTGGTGCGAGGACAGGTCGAATGTTGTAATCTGCGCGCCTATCATCGCGACGACACGGTTGTCTCAGCCGAACGCATTGCAACAACAATCTTCGAAAGCTTCCCTGGGGCTGCTTTTGCGGACTTTGTTGCGAAATATCACAACGGAGATGAGGTGGCGTCGTCCATGCGACGCGCCGCTGTGAAATGGACTCGGAGGCAATCGTCTGGTGTCCGACACCTAGGGACACTTGATATTGTAGAAGTTTATGGGCACCGGCCCAAGACAGCAGAGGTGTGGTGGCTGTCGCCGTATGAGTTCGTTACAAATTGGGCAGTCACTATGGCTCGTGTACCTACGACGCAACGTGAATGGGAATTGGAAGAGCGTAGTAGCTGGGACGTTTCGTTGACGGCAGCAGGTCTCAAATTGATACAAAAGCAAACAGATCCCGACAAGAAGTTGCAACTGCAACCAGGGACTCATTATTGCCTGGCTGTGCAAACTACGCGGAGTCGAATATGTTTAGAAGATGGAACGGCAACAGCACAGCTCCGACACCGTTGTTATCTGTTACGTCGGCGTCGCCCGTGTTGCCCCCACTTTGAGAATTCGCCCGTACCCCTGCAGAAAGCGGGTCAAGAAGAGGTAAACGCTAGATTGACCATGACCTATTTCCGCGCGTGGACCCTCGATGCGAACAATGCTAGCGCCAATGTTCCATTTGTGGGCCGCTTGAAAGCGCCAACAGAAACTTGGGTACAAGCTCTGCGCATGTGGTTGACGCATTTGCCATGCGAAGAAACAAAACGGTACACCGGCAACTTCTTATCAGTCTACCGTGTCCGTCCCAGCGGTGCAGAGGAAGCGAACAGTGACGACAGTGGCATTGATGAACCGCTTCTAGTTACTCCCACTAGCCTGCCGACAGCTCTAAAAACGTCATTCCGGCAAACTGGCAAAAGGACTGCTGCACATAAAGCAAAACCAGGTCCAGAAGTTCACGATAAAGTTTTGGCAAGCTACGAGGAAGCAGCGGCGCAAGCGGAAGCAACATGGGCAAAAACAACCAAAAAAAAACTGACGAACACAAAGATGCAGAGCAACAATGCGTTCCACGCATACGATCCAGCCGCAGTTCGTCGGGCCGTCAAAGCTTTAAACACGAAAAAAGCCGACAGAGCTGTAGTTCGAAAGATTCCCACGCCGGGCACGTGCGAAGCCGAGGCACGAGTAACATGTGAGAAAGTCGATGCCTTCCTACGCGATTTGCGCGGAACGAACAAATGCAATTCGGAACAGCTAGCGTTCATCGAAATCAACTGCGCCCGGGTGAAACATGAAGCTGTGTCCGGACAAGAGCGCGGCGGCACGGCAGACACCAATACCGAAGCGTTGCGCTGGGCGCTTCATGGCGGCCCAGGCACAGGTAAGTCATATGTGCTGAACATGGCACGGCGCGATTTGTTCGAGGAGTGCCTTGGATGGACGCCAGGAAAGGAATTTCAAGTTGTCGCATTTCAAGCTGTCAATGCCTAGCCTTTGGACGGCGAAACTATGCATCAAGCATTGGGGTTGGCTTGGCACGGCAACGATCACAACGTCGACGCGCAGCGGATTCTTGATCTTGCACAACACGCCGTGCAGTGGCGCTGGCTGCTGATCGACGAAATCAGCATGGTGAGTGCCGAGATGTTAGCACGTCTCGAGGCCCGATGTCGCCAACTTGTTTTAGATGTCTCCGCAACAAAATATGGTAAGCAGAATCGCAACTGCGTTGCACCCTTTGGTGGGCTCAACGTCATTCTGTCTGGAGACTTGTGGCAGTTACCTCCGCCGCGTGGAACGTTTCTCGGCCAAATCCCATGGCAGCTTGTAACAGGCGTTTCATCTAAGAAGCTGCCATTAAGTTTGCAAGGCCAACAACTCGTATGGGCCTCCAGCGTACAGGGTGGCTTACAAGGAGTTACCGAATTGGTGCGCTGCGAACGAACCCAAGACGTGTGGCTCCAAGATCTGCAAGCAGAACTTCGCGTGGGGCACTTGTCCGAAGACAACCATGCATTCTTGCATGGTCGACCAACAAAGGTTCCAGGAAGTTGGTGCGCTAGGACTCAACGGCCTATGTGTCAAGAAAACATATGTTATCAGTTGTACAAAAACGCCTCCACAGCGACAGCGATTCTCAAGTACGAATGTCCAATCTGTCACGCTGAACGGGATACCAAGCGTCTAGTTGCCGTGGACGCAGACGATCCTCGCTTCGTAGACGGTTTCAGCATGGCGCGGGGGATTTTCCACACGAACGGGGTGAAGTGCCACGTGAATAAACTTCGCGCGGAACAATGGGCGCGGCAGCATGGGCAAATAATCTATTATGCAGTGGCTACGGATAAGGTATCATCGCGAGCTTTGCACGAGAAGCCCGACATCGCCCAAGACAAGCTCACATGGCTGCAACGCAGTGATGCTGATTGCGGGAATCGGTATGGCGTCCTTCCGCTGTGCATTGGTATGCCTGTACAAGCGCGGGAACACCTACACCGGAAGGATTTCAAGATCTTGAAAGGGTGTCATGGAACCATTTGCGGGTGGTCAAGCATTGAGACAGAAACAGCGGCGGCAGATGGAGCAGTAATATGGAACAAACTCCCCGATTATATCTTCGTGCGTTTTGAGACGCGAACACGTTGGACAATTCCAGGCATCGATCAAGAGAACGTCTTCCCGGTCAGCATACAAAGTGCACAGTGGTTTCTAGACGCGGGCCGCACCAACCCACAATTGAAAGTCACCCGGTACCAATTTCCCATCGCGCCCGACTTCGCTGACACGTTTTACGGTGCACAAGGAAGCACAATAGAACCAGGCGTGATCGTTGACATGGTCGGTGCTGACCCAATAGCGGCGTACATTGGGATGACACGCTGCCGCACACGGCAGAAGATCTTGATCTACCGTCCGTTCCCGCTGGCACCTTTTCAAGCAGGTCTGCCGCTCGGACGGCAACTTCTGCTTGATGTGTGGAAACAGGAGCCGGTGGACTGGGACGCGTTGCGCAAGAAATACCTGGATGAAAGGCCGTGCCACGAATGTGGGGAGATGAAGCGCAAAGATGCGTTCACCAAAGCACAATGGAAACAGGAAACCTACCGCGTGTGCAAAGAATGCACCGCGCAGAAGCGCGAGGCAGGCACACCCTACCGCTGCACACAGTGCGGCCTCTGGCACGCTGCATGCCACTTTGCAAGCAAGCATCAGAACCCTCGGTGGAGCATGTATCGAGTGTGCTCGTCGTGCGATGCGAAGAAACAATGTGGTGTCTGCCAAACGAAGAAAACCAAAGAGTATTTTAGCGCCGCGGCGTGGAAAGCCAGCAAGCTTGAGCGAAGAGTGTGCTTACAATGCCAAACAAAGACGCGGGGTCATTGGACATGCGCCCAATGTCAGAAACGCCTGCCAACGCGACAGTTTTCAACCTTTTCCTCAAAGCGCCCTTCCAGTCAAAATGGCACTCAGACATGCAATGCCTGTTGCACGGTGCTGACACAGGCTGCTGTGCGCAAGCGTGCTGCCATATCCAGCACGTTGCGGCTCGAACCGCTCCGCAAAAGGCTGCGTCAAACTCAGATTTTGCGGGCCACCTGGGAAGCAATCGCGTTGCACCGACAAAAACATCATCCACCTGTGACTAGTGCACAGCATCACGTCGCCCCAGCCGAGGATGTCACAACAAAAGCCGAAGTGCCACAGCAACAGAAAAGTAATAGCCCAATGCAACAGTTGTATGCATACCAGTGTCCATATTGCCAGCGGCAAGTGACCAGCCATGTTGCAACAGGTCAAGTTGAAGCACCGGGACAACACTGTGGGACACGTTTTCGCGTGCACGATGGAGAAGTGAGTCGCCGCTTTTTCCATACTTGCCCTACATGCAAACAAAAAGTGCCAAGCAGTAAGCCCCTAGGACAAATAAGGGTATCGCATAAAAAACCAAATGGGAAAAAATGCCCCACAGAATCATGGCAAGTAAAAAAGCCTTAAGCTCTTACAAGGTCTTACACCACTCGAAAGACTGAAACGCCATCTACTTTCGCACCGAACGCGCTGCAAAAGCGACCGGGAAAAGTGCCTAACGTTGCTTCTGAAACCCTAGAAAAAAATATCTTTTGCCTGCCTTTGTGATAACCGTCCTGTCGCGTCGTGTCGCTTTGACGTCAGCTGCAACAGCTCGACTCATGGCCACCACTCGAAACGCTGAAACGCCACCTAATTTCGTGCCCAAAATGCACCAAAAGTGACCGGGAAAAGTGCCTAACGTTGCTTCTGAAACCCTAGAAAAAAAATTGCCTGCCTTTGTGATTATCGTCCCTTTGTGATAACCGTCCTGTCGCGTCCTGTCGCTTTGACGTCAGCTGCCACAGCTCGACTCATGGACGCCACTCGAAACCCTGAAGCGCCACCTAATTTCGTGCCCAAAACGCTCCAAAAGTGACCGGGAAAAGTGCCTAACGTTGCTTCTGAAACCCTAGAAAAACAGAACTTTTGCCTGCCTTTGTGATAACCGTCTTGTCGCGTCCTGTCGCTTTGACGTCAGCTAGCTGCAACAGCTCGACTCATGGACACCACTCGAAACGCTGAAACGCCATCTAATTTCGTGCCCACAACGCTCCAAAAGTGACCGGGAAAAGTGTCAACGTTGCTTCTGAAACCCTAGAAAAAAATATCTTTTGCCTGCCTTTGTGATAACCGTCCTGTCGCGTCCTGTCGCTTGGACGTCAGCTGCAACAGCTCGACTTATGGCCACCACTCGAAACGCTGAAACTCCACGTAATTTCGTGCCCAAAACGCTCCAAAATCGAGCCCAAAAAGTGCCTAACGTCCCTTCTGAAATCCTAGAGAAACAATAGTTTTGGACAAGGTTTTATAGTTTTCGACCAATGCCCAAAACGCTCCAAAAGTGACCGGGAAAAGTGCCTAACGTTGCTTCTGAAACCCTAGAAAAAAAAGATCTTTTGCCTGCCTTTGTGATAACCGTCCTGTCGCGTCGTGTCGCTTTGACGTCAGCTGCAACAGCTCGACTCATGGCCACCACTCGAAACGCTGAAACGCCACCTAATTTCGTGCCCAAAACGCTCCAAAATCGAGCCCAAAAAGTGCCTAACGTCCCTTCTGAAACCCTAGAAAAACAATAGTTTTGGACAAGGTTTTATAGTTTTCGACCAATTTTTATATCACTGTTTGTACAATGAGACATAGAACCCTCCTGTTGCTCCTGTTGCTGCTGCTGCTCTTCCTCCCGAGGCTGAAAACGCACCCTCCATGACGGGGAAACGCAGTGGCCCTGAAGGACGGAACAGCGCCAAAATCGAGCCCAAAAAGTGCGTAACGTCCCTTCTGAAACAGGGAACCATAGGAAAAAAATATCTTTTGCCTGCCTTTGTGATAACCGTCCTGTCGCGTCCTGTCGCTTTGACGTCAGCTGCAACAGCTCGACTCATGGCCAGCACTCGAAACGCTGAAACGCCACCTAATTTTGTGCCCAAAACGCGCCAAAATCGAGCCCAAAAAGTGCCTAACGTCCCTTCTGAAACCCTAGAAAAACAATATAGTTTTGGACAAGGTTTTATAAAAACAACATAGTTGTGGACAAGGTTTTATATAGTTTTCGACAAATTTTTATACCACTGTTTGTACAATGAGACATAGAACCCCCCTCCTGTTGCTCCTGTTGCTGCTGCTGCTCATGGCCACCACTCGAAACGCTGAAACGCCACCTAATTTCGTGCCCAAAACGCTCCAAAATCGAGCCCAAAAAGTGTGAAACCCTAGAAAAAAAGAACTTTTGCCTGCCTTTGTGATAACCGTCTTGTCGCGTCCTGTCGCTTTCAGCTCGACTCATGGCCACCACTCGAAACGCTGAAACGCCACCTAATTTCGTGCCCAAAACGCTCCAAAATCGAGCCCAAAAAGTGCCTAACGTCCCTTCTGAAACCCTAGAAAAACAATATAGTTTTGGACAAGGTTTTATAGTTTTCGACCAATTTTTATACCACTGTTTGTGCAATGAGACATAGAACCCTCCTGTTGCTCCTGTTGCTGCTGCTGCTCATGGCCACCACTCGAAACGCTGAAACGCCACCTAATTTCGTGAAACGCTGAAACGCCACCTAATTTCGTGCCCAAAACGCTCCAAAATCGAGCCCAAAAAGTGCCTAACGTCCCTTCTGAAATCCTAGAAAAAAAGAACTTTTGCCTGCCTTTGTGATAACCGTCTTGTCGCGTCCTGTCGCTTTGACGTCAGCTAGCTGCAACAGCTCGACTCATGGACACCACTCGAAACGCTGAAACGCCACCTAATTTCGTGCCCAAAACGCTCCAAAATCGAGCCCAAAAAGTGCCTAACGTCCCTTCTGAAACCCTAGAAAAACAATATAGTTTTGGACAAGGTTTTATAGTTTTCGACCAATTTTTATACCACTGTTTGTACAATGAGACATAGAACCCTCCTGTTGCTCCTGTTGCTGCTGCTGCTCATGGCCACCACTCGAAACGCTGAAACGCCACCTAATTTCGTGCCCAAAACGCGCCAAAATCGAGCCCAAAAAGTGCCTAACGTCCCTTCTGAAACCCTAGAAAAAAAGAACTTTTGCCTGCCTTTGTGATAACCGTCTTGTCGCGTCCTGTCGCTTTCAGCTCGACTCATGGCCACCACTCGAAACGCTGAAACGCCACCTAATTTCGTGCCCAAAACGCGCCAAAATCGAGCCCAAAAAGTGCCTAACGTCCCTTCTGAAACCCTAGAAAAACAATATAGTTTTGGACAAGGTTTTATATAGTTTTCGACCAATTTTTATACCACTGTTTGTGCAATGAGACATAGAACCCTCCTGTTGCTCCTGTTGCTGCTGCTGCTCATGGCCACCACTCGAAACGCTGAAACGCCACCTAATTTCGTGCCCAAAACGCTCCAAAATCGAGCCCAAAAAGTGCCTAACGTCGCTTCTGAAACCCTAGAAAAAAAAGAACTTTTGCCTGCCTTTGTGATAACCGTCTTGTCAAACACCTTCTATTTCCTCCTGCTGCTGCTGCTGCTCCTGCTCCTGTGACTCCTTCTGTTCAAAAGGCACCTGCCGGATGGGAAAACATCCTGCTCCTGTGACTCCTTCTGTTCAAAAGGCACCTGCCGGATGGGAAAACACCATGGCAGTAGTAGTAGTAGTAGTAGTAGTAGTAGTAGTAGTAGTAGTAGTAGTAGTAGTAGTCCGAAACAAGAGTCAAAAGTATTATTCCCTGGCGCGCTCCCCCTTGCGTCTGCCGGGGTCGGCGGATATATAGATATAATATATGTGTTTTTTTTCGCAAGTGCTACTTAGCAAGGATACTGCAGAATGCATGACACCAGACACACCAGAGTAAGTATCCGAATGAAACATGCAGTGCCGCTTGAAGCATGTAATATAGGCTTTATGCGCTTGGCATTTGCAGGCAGCCACTGAGAGCACTACGACCTCTACGAGCACTTTGGTACCTTGGCATGTGACACGAGCAGGTGCGGATGATGCAGAAAAGCCAAGTGGATGGGATGTCAGCACCTAGGTGTGCAACTGCCAGGAGATCTGCACCAAGGCCGGATTCAACGCATATCCGAAAGCAAGATAGACTCAGATAGACCGATAAAGATCCACAGATTCTAGCATCCCAAAGCGGAGCAGGTGAGATGAAAATCAATTGTGAACTTTGGCAACACCTTCATCGACATTCGACCGGAAATCACTGGAAGTCTGAAATCTTTGACCTGAAGTCTGTTTCTTGAGGTGCAAGGGGCTGTTGTTCCTCCGACCGCACGAGCCTGAGAATTGGAAGAACCTTCTGATTGAATCCCTTGAAATGCTGCGGTTGCACCACTTCAAACTCAAGTGCCAAGTGCGCAATGTTCCTTCCAAATGCCACGGTCTTGCATATTTTTGAGGCTGCCTGTGAGGAAGATGGGTGCAACTCAAATTGTCACAGACTTAGTCACGCTCAGTCGGTGTAGGACCTATCAATTGAGCTCAAGCAAAACCTTTGCTGGCAAACTTGAGCCTCCTCGAGCCTCCTCTTTCCTCGAACGTCCATTATCCACTGGCCCTTCTTGAAGGTTGCGCGAGTCTGCCTCATCCATTTCTGTGCAAAACTCCAAGGCCGTGGATTTGGCTGTGGCTTCAAGTGCGCTGCGGAGGCTGAGGGCCAAGGACATGTGCCAGTTAGGATCTTCCCAAGTGATCCGAATATTGCTATCCTGCGGGTGACAGACTGAAAGCTCATGAAAACTCTATATACCGTGCAATCCTCAACCTGACGACAGCTGCAACCCTCTGGTAGACATCGAGGTTTGCGAATCAGGGGGAAGACTGCAGGGATGATGCAAACATCATGCGACCAAGTTTGCCTTGGTTTTCATTCTAAAATATTCTAAATAGTAGTTATTCTAAAGCATCCCCAATATCCCAAGATGATCAAAATACTGTAGATCAAAATTATCACTGCCCCTTATACTTTTCCCTTTTGTTTCTTTTCAACACCGCGACATCCCTACAGGCTTGCGCGTCCAACTGCCAGGGAGAGCTTTGCGGCTATCATTGCGAGGGCAAAGAGTGTGCATCCAACTGTACCGGAAGTGCCTGTGGTCGACGATGCAAGCAGACTTCTTGTGGAGAGAGGTGTGCAGGAACTGAGTGCAGCTCAGAATGTCAAGGGAGAAACTGCGGGAAATCTTGCGAAGGCTATCGGTGCGCATACAAATGCGTGGGATATCAGTGCGCAAAAGGCTGCGTTGGAGTGGAATGTGGTTATGGATGTGAAGGTGAGGAATGTGCTTCTGACTGCGTTGGTGAGAACTGCAACGGTGATTGTCAAGGCAAAGACTGTGATCTCGCCGAAAAGCCCTTGCAGCTTGTCACTACTCCAGTGACTCCAGAGTCAATCGCTTGCGATTGCGACTGTTCAGGGAATGTCGCCGTGCAAGGATTTGCATATGTTGAAGGCCCCAAACTGAGTAACCTGGCCCAAGTGCAATGTGATGCAGAAGGTGCTGAAATGGGCAGCATCGAAGATATTGCGCATCGGTGTGGTAGTTTTGAGCATTGCCACAGCCTCTTCGACTATAACTGTGACGGAATTGCTTGGAGAAATTGTCGGAGCTCAGCAGCCAGACTGCAGAACTATAGTGGTGACAGCGGTGCATGCTCCAGATTGAAGCAGGCCTATTCATATTCATGTTGTTATTTCATGCTGCGGCGATGCAACATTTGATCTTGGGTCCCACCTTGTTGATTCCAAGTAATTTCAAGTCTGAAGACTCATATGCTATAGACATCTCTTGCGGTTCTGAACGTAACGTAGTGTTTCACATTGCAGGCTGGCTGGCTCTTATTCGGAACTGCGCAACGTGGCGTTCAATTCGCCCGTCCATACCTAGAGAGTCTCCAGACTGCAGAGGGTCCCTGGGACGATTCTTTCACATTGCACAAATGGTGTGATACTGGCCGTCACTTGCGTACGCACTTCGCATCCTGACTTGAGTTTCCATCCGGCAAAAAACATGACAGATTTTGAGGTGCATCTCCAGTTTCGGCTATGCGAATGGACATCGACTCGATCTCTGTGAGGTTTGGGGCTGGGCGACCGCGCTGATTCCAACATTCAAACAAGCCAAGTTTGTTTGTAACAAAATCCAGAGAACAACTTAAGAACTTGCATTCGCTCCTTGCTTCTCAGTCTCATGTTGTGTCATGTTGTGTCAAGGGCGGTTGATGTGACCATGAAGAAAGTCTTTGGCCTTACTTCTTCGGCTGCGGACGATGAAACCTTCCAGGAGGCCCCCGCATTGCACTGCTAATACTGCTACAAGTGCGTTGCTGTAGTAGATGGATGTAGATGGCAGGATATGGATGGATATGGCAGGTCTTGTACATTTCAATAGATTCTAATCGATTTTATGTGGTATGGGATTTTCTTGTTGATCCATGGCGAATCCATTTGCTCGTTTCTGTTGTACAGGCATACTTTTCTGTACAAATCCGCGGATTTTCTTGACCGTTAAGATACGGTAACCACAAAAGAAACCCAATGTAGCACTGGAGTACCCGGGGCTCAACGATCCTGATCCTAGATTGTTCTGCTCTTCATATTGAGCTTCTGATGCTTCTGCATCTTCATTTTCACACTCCTTCACACTCCTTCACACTCCTTTTCCTCCCCTCTTCTCACTGTCTCATTTTATTTTTTCGAGTCTATCTTGTCCACACAAGCAGTTCCAGCTTTGCAGCCAAAACAAGCTCAAACTCTGGTGGTGCCCAACACATCTTGGAACAAGAGCGGAAGAAACAGAAAAATCGGAACATATCCATTTGTAGACTCCACATGCGAAGATTGAAATGCACCCTTGCCAACTTCAAAATGCATTGAATCCAGTTTGCGCACCCTGGTAGCAAAACATAGCGGGCCTAGCTTTAGTCCAGCCACTGGTGGGTCCACACATATCCACACATGTTGAATTGATATGTTGGATCCAGCCACTGTGCCAGAAGTTCCATGAAATCTTCGTCAAGCTGCAAAGTCAGCTATGCGAATCCGCGCCATTGGGCGACCTTTACGTGCAGCATTTCCTCGCATTTGGCGACATTATGCGGTGGCCGCCCCGGCAACCCAGGTGCCAAGTGTACCTCAACTGGAGCATTGGCAATCGGCAGAGCTCTATGTGAACCCAATTTGCTCCCAGATGGATCAGATGCTTTTGAAGTGCGAGGAAGTGGAGTCTGTTCTTGCCCTTTTGGTCACTCATCGGGGTGTATTCTTTGTTCACAACTTGGTTACGGCCATTCAGGTCCTCGGTTCGTTGCCCGAAGTATCTGATCCCATCAAATTGAACCGTATGCTTCGAGACCCCAGGTATGACGTGTTGCTTCGCGACCTGATACGTTTTGTGCCCAAACTGGACTTTTTGGCTATGACCAACATTGCATGTAGTCTGAAGCAGCTGGATCACAAGTATTACTCCCTGTTCTCGCGCATGCTGCAGCCTTTGATTCAGCATCCCACTCCGGAGATTTCCACAGTGCTGCGATGCATGGAAGCCTACTGCTGGGCTGGATACCACCAGCAAAGTCATTTCTTCCGTCGCTTTGCACATTTCTTTTCAGATTCGATGTCTGAGATGGACATTCAGCAAGTGGTTCAGGGCTCCGTGCTTTTTTCCAGCGCCGCTGAGTACCAGGAACACTTTTTCCAAGCAGCAGAGCAACGGCTATTGGACAACTTGTCAAGCCTATCTCCGCATCATTTCAGCCTAGTGGCCTCTGCTTTCACTGCACACCTCAACACACAGCATGATGAGCTGCTCATACGCGTGGCACGGTTGTTAGAGATGCATGCTATGGACATGGATCCGGTCGACATTGTTCGATGTTTACGCGCTTTTCATCGTGCAGTCCTGTGCTTTCCTGGGGCCATCAATGCAGGCTTGCAAGCCTGCAGCGTCCCGCTGTACCGAGCCTGGCTTTTGCGCAAGCCAAGTCCTGAACTGAAGCCGGTGCATTTGGCCGAGTTACTGGAGAGTTCTGCCTTCTTTGGTATACAAAGTGACCTGGTGCGGATAGCCTTGGAATACCTGGCTGACTATGTCGATCTGGTATCGGAGCGTGCGGCCATTCAAGTGGTTTTCGCGATGTGCATGACAGGCACAGTGGGGGATCATTCTCGGCTTTTGCGGTTTCTCTTTCGCAAGATTGGGGCAGGGACAGCCTGGGAGAAGCAGCGTGTGCGAGTTTTCCAGATCTGGATGTCCCAGCTGTTGCAATTTCCATGGCTGGACTGCCGCCTGAAGAGAAGATGCATTGAGACGGGTCTAAGAGCTTGGTGTCTGCATCGCCGGGGCTATGGTTGCCCACACCCAGAAGAGGTTAGGGAGATCTCTGAATTGTTGGATGTGATGAGGATCAAGCACCAAAGTTTTGTGCACGTGAAAGACACAGCCTATGAGTTGGACCTTGTGATTGGTGACAGAAAAGCAGCGCTGCTTGTGTCTTCCGAGACTGCGCGTAATACACTAACTCCTGTGGGTGGTACATTGCTACAGATTAAACACTTGCAGGACCGCGGTTGGCGTTGTTTGGTCATCCCTCTGAGGGCTTGGCGACGGTTGCCACCTGCGCCTTCACCGGTACGGCAACAGTATTTACAAGCGCTTCTCGATGCCTTGAGCACCAAAGGGGTGAGACGAGCTGATCGAGCTGTGGTGTCTGCGGAACTGACAGTTCTGCCGGACCGTCTCTATTTGGATCGGACTGAGTGAGACGGAGATCAGAAACAGAGAGCTTTGTTGTGAGGGTGCGGAGGCACAGTTTGAGATTTAGACAAGCATGACTAAGCTTCCGTGCCTGATGGGCTCTTGAATTCAAAGGACGTGGCAAGTCAAGTTTGTCATGTTCGTAGGTAAGATAAGGTAATAATATGTCATTGCCAAAACATACAGACTTTCTGACTTTTCACAGATCATGGATATTCATGGATTGTCTGATTAATCTGATTATCTCTGGTTGACTGTAGTCACTGTAGTCCGTTGATGTCCTTTCTGCCGAGTCCTGTGCCTCGCACTGTGCTGTGAGGGGGGATGCCTGAAACTTCTGCCCGCTGGCACTGGTGGTGTTGTGGAGCTTCCCGACGGAAGCAAGTGCCTTGCCATTTTTTTTAGGTGGAGAATTAGAACGAAAGAGCAGTTGCCTCGCATGAAGTTCTAAAGTGGTTCTGGGAAAAGGATGGACAAGGTTGTTCGTTTAGTTCTAAAGTGAGTTCCGAGAAACAGTTTGTTAGATTTGGAAGACTGTTGATACTGAATAGTGTTGTGCTTTGTTTCTGCTTGACGTTTGCGTTTTTTTTGTTCGGATCATGTTTTCAATTCTCATCTAGTCCTTTGTGCATCTAAGCATCAGGAAAGACTACTCCAACGGAGCTGCCTGGCCAAATTTAGATACAAAATGCGACGAAGGAAGACTTTTGAAGACCTGCTTTCGTGCCAAATGGTTTTCTTAGCACTGCCTTCGGCAGCTTTGGCAAATCACAACAGCTCTCTGGCCTGCTCAAATGCTTTGTAATTGAGTAGTGCTCCAAGCTTTGTTGACTTTTTTTTCCGAACCTGAGTTCTTGCCATCTATTCAATCTATTGAATCTCTTGTATCTCCAAGCCCCAAGCAGTCCAAGCCAGCAGTCTTGTCCAGACCGGTCACCATAGCATCTGGCAAAATGCAGCGCCCAGGATGTGTTCACCGTGAACCTTGGGCAAAAAGGCTTCGAATTCTTCCAGAACGACATATTGTCCGTGGCCCAAGACAGGAACTGTCTTAATTTTGCAATATTTTGCACATTGGACACTGGCATGTTGTGTTCCACGTCTCAGAACTTGTGCAGCCATAGCAGATGAAAGCAGTTCCGAGGTTAGGTTCCTGGTCGACAGAAAAGCTACCTGGGCCCTTTGGCTGATTGATGGTGCTTGAGATGGTGTTGGACCAGCACAAATCAGAGATTTCTGCGACCGTTCTGATGACCGTGTACAGCAACTGGTTGGGTCTGAGGCAGCTACTAGCCAAGCTGTGGCTTTTCGAAGCTTGTCAACAGAATATCAACAGAATGCCTAGGTGCCACAAGTGTTTCGAACTGTTGGCAAAGGTCCACACAAGTCATGATGTTGTGAACCCCTGACATGACAAACACCTGAGTTTATGAAGAACACCAAGGACCAGCACTCCTCTCTGGAAGTTTTGCAAGCAGGGATCTTGTACCGCCTATGCCAGATGAGTTGGCACTGCCTCTGTCTGATGGCTGTGATTGTCGGCCCATGTCTCCAAGTGAGAGCAGATGTTTCAACACAGCTCGAGGCCTGCAAAAATGTCGAAGGGTCCTACATCTCCGACGCTGGAAGCAGACTTAGTGCAAGTACATCTCTTCTACATGATCTTTACACTAGGAGTTGCTAACAATGTATCACAGTTTCTGCTCACTTGGCCATGACAAGTTGTCCGAAGTTTCATGGTTCCATATGGTTTCCTTGCGCCCTGAGGCCCTGTGGTTGTGAATCAGAGGGGATGTGCGATCACTGTGAATCAGCAAGGAGCGGGTGCTCTTCGCAGTCGACAAGCCAGATCCGACGGCTCTGCAGGATCAGGAGCCGTGAGCGGAGTTGTGTCCGGCAATTCTCTCATGCTTGGTGCTGTGGGATACTCGCAGGATGGTCCCTTGCTCAGATTGTGAAGTTTAGGCTGTTTAGGCCCAGTCTAGGCTGTAAAGTCACTATCACATGTGGCTGCACAATTGTCCGTTCCGTTTCACCACCATCTCTTGCCTGTATCCTTATCAGCAGGGATCAGCAGGGAGACCTTCATTTTCTTCGCTTCAAATTTCAGATGATCTCCCTCCCAACAGTTCAGTTTGAAAAACGCTCCCCAAAAGGGACCCGATGGCACTTGCAAGGACATTTTGAACAGCATATGCGTTATCGGTGTTATGGAGGCAGCTATGAAGTATTCTATTTGTGTTTAATCTTAGTATACTGATAGATACGCTATCCGGGAAGGATACAATGCTTGCTCTCTGTTGCTGATGCTTGTTTGAATCTCTCATCTCAAACCTTTCCCATGCTGCGGGGAGACAGTTGTGCCAAGGTGATATCCTGTTTGAAAATGGAAGCCAGTGGAAACGGCAACTTGGATCATCATGGATGCATGGTTGTGAGATGTTGTGAGCTTTTCAGGCATACTAAGTATGCTGTATGTTCGGACTAAGCTCCGCAAGCGCGAGGCAAAGCTGAGTCGTGGCATCATGTTTCACACCGTCAGCATCTGTCAGCATCTGTCAGCATCTGTCAGCAGACCAACACGATCGATGAATCGACAAAGTGTGGATTCAGTGGACTCAGTGAATGACAGAATGGACAGAATGGATGAGGAATTGACGGAATGACTGAGCCCTGTGTAATGCACTTGGCCAGTCTTCATCTACTTGAACGACCTGCCAGAGAATGACGGTGGGGAGACCCTCTTTCCAGATCTTGGTTTGAGACATGGCCGCAGCCGCAGAGGCATTCCAGAGGCATTCCAGAATGAAAGCCTTAAGTTTTTTGCTCTTGCCCAAGAGGCCCAAGAGTTGGCACATGAGCACCACATTTCATGCCTTTCCGATCACTACTTGATTGTTTTTGTTGGCGTTTAGTGCTGAGGAAGTTCGTACCGCGTGGCTTGTCTTAATTTTCTAAATCAGAGTCTCTTGAAAGGGTCAACTCTCCTTTTTGCAGCAGCAGAATCATCAGAATTCAGCATTTTGTGGCTTTCGCACTGGGTCTGGATCCGTGCAAGTTTCAATTTGTTGGCTACTGTGATCTACTGAGGTAAGGCCAGGCACTCGGGGCGCAGTACCGAAGCTTGTGGCAGCTCCAAACATCTCTCAGAATCTCGCAGATCTGCAGGGCGCGGCGGTGATGTGGTCCAACGTCATCTCTCCGGGTGTGGAGGACAATCGAACAATCCATTTGGGCATGCCTCCCAGGACAGGAGTCCTGCCGAAGTTCTATGGAGATGATCTGAGCTGATCTGATGTTTTAGACTCCAACAAACTAAAGATGATCAGGGAACGCAGAGAAAAAACGACTGTATGCTGGAAAGCTGGTATCGGGAAACAAGACATTTGGAGAGCGTTCTGCTTCGTTTCAGGACCTCCACAAAGTATGGAGTAAACTGCTTCTTCAATGAAAAACCACTGAGGGAGTGGGAGGCCGGCCCCCTTCCAAACAGTTTTCTGAGGCAATGCACTGTGCTTCTTTCGCTTCTTTTGCTTTGATTTTGCCAAGCATTCTGCGAAATGCAGGCTGCCAATTCCGCGAAACGAGGACACCCGTGTTTCTGGTGCTTCCTTGATCAAGTCCTGGTCTGTGTTGTTTTGGAGTTTGGGAAGTGACCCTTGCAAACATCAGCAAGGGAGAAGGTGTGCTGCCACATGATCATCTGCCACATGATCGTCAGGCCTATCAGTAGCACTGCGCAGAGTGGACCCTGCAGTTCTCTTGCAGGACTACCGCCACCATGGCTTAGGCTATTACATTTAAGATAATGAGACTTGTCACGTGAGAGCTGCACATGCTCTTATGTTAAATGAAACTTTTTCCAGCTAGATGCTTGCACGGGGCAACGCAGTTGCATTCTGGTTTTGCACTTTAAAAGATAAAGTGTGGACATGTGTCACTTCGGCACAAACAAGTTTTGAAAAATTGTGGAAGGCATGATTGAAGTCGTTGCCTTCTGCCGCCTTCTGCCGCCTTCTGCCAGAGATGTTAATTCCATGTTGTTGCGCGTCCTCATAGAGTTGGAGACTTTCCCAACGAAGGAGGACAAAACAATTCTGCGGCCTGGTCAACTGCGAGCATTTGCGCTCTGCGAGGACAGTTGGAACAGTTGGGACAGTTGGAACTTGGTACTTTATTTCAGTATGAAACCAGCACGCATTGAATTGAACGTATGGCCTTGGTAGTCTTCCTGTCAGCTATAAGTTGATATTTGAGATGAGATCGGCGTCAGAATCCTCGGTTCGCCTTCAGGATCCCAGGGTCCGAGTCATACCGCGGATCATCACTGATGAGGAAGCCTTCCACTCAAAGTGACTCAAAGTATTCCGATTTTCACCAGCAAGTCTATGGCATGACTGCTGTAATATTACGGCCAGGCGCTGAGTGTTGCCCGGAAAGTTCACATGGCGTTTAAGCATGTTTAAGCATTATCCTTCAACATGCTCAAACACCTGCACAGGGCCAGTGTTTTGAGATTTCCCAGACGACGAGCCCTAAACCCTAAATCCTAAACCCCAAAACCCAAAAACCCTAAAACCTAAAACCTTCAACCCTAAACCCTGAAAACTTTGAATCCAAAACCCTAAGCAATCTCTCCTATCTTATTCAACAACACGACATCCTCAATGTGATGATCTGGGCAACACGCGGCGTTTGTGGGTAATATTAGAGAGACGAGATTTGACCACGCTGAGGTGCAAATGTGCAAAGGTCAAGGCTGTCACATGAATCACTCTGAATCACTCAGGTCCAAGCGCTCCTTGCACTTGCACACCCTCCTGCAGACTCGGAGGCGTGCCGGGTTATGCCGCAGGTGTTTCAAGCAGAGTGTGTCTTGATGTTTCTCTGGGTATCAGGCTGATCGATTCCCCGTCACATTTCTATTGCAGTTGTCAGGCAATCGACCCCGAGATCTATGCGAGGCAGCAAGATTGATACCTCGTTGCATCCTTTGGTTTCCTCTGTGCCAGCTGCTTCTGCCATCCTTGTAACGTTCCACCGTGCAGTATCGAACATTGCATTGCTGCGGCGGCTGGCCGACCTGTGGAGAAGATGGAACCTTTGAAAGGTGCCGCCGATCTGATCTCTTCCCTTCCAGATCTGAGGTGAAGCATGGTGAAGCTATGGAAATCAAATGAAATCAAACCAGCAAATACCAGCAGTTTAAGTTCCACATGTTCCATGCGAATCCATGTGATATATGCGATCTTGATGCCCTCCATCCCCTCCTCATGAACCGCTAGGATTCAGAGCTTTGTGGGTACCGCAGCTTTGAAGCAGCTCAACTCCAGGATGCAAATCAAACAGCCTGGCTCGCGACAGTGATCGAAGCAACTCTCTATGGTAAAGTTTTTGCCATTCTGGGCCCGCCTGTATCAAAACTCCAGTGAACGGCGTGCAGAAAATCAAGTGCAAGCAACAAAGAAAGCAAGCACAATTCTGTTCTTATTGCCAACCACTTACTGTAGTTGTGCGACTTGCGCAAACTGGCAATGGGCGAGATGCTTAATTCTGGATTGCAGTCAAATTTGCTTTCCAGTCCCAAACTGCGAGATGCCTCCATTTTATTCCATTTTGACAATGTAATTGACCTTGGAACTGAGTAGATTCTTCAAGCCCATCATCAGTGGCCCTTTCCGGAGAAAGACCATGATATCGAGGTTCCATGAGCGAAGCGCAGGAAGATGGGGTGATCATTGAAGAAGTTCCCAAAGAGGCAAACTCTTTGAAGAGATGTCATGTTTGCCGATGGAAACCATCTGAAAACTTCAAGTTGATTCAGTCGATCTGACCTGCACCTGAAATCCTCACGTCTGGGAGTCAACGGTTAACTTGACCGAGGCGACGGAGACAACCACTGCAGGACGTCTGCTGAACCTCGCTGAACTCTGTTTCTGTCACATGCACAGATTGTACAGGTACTGCCAGGTACTGCCAGGTACTGCCAGGTACTGCGCCATCTGTGCGATGCATTTCTGTAGGAGCTTAGTGTAGCGCGCTCTAGGTTTTGACCTAAACAGGGTTTACCTTAGTTTTGGGCTCAAGGTAGCCGGGGGCCATGGTTCGGGCCGCGCTAGGGGTCGTTTACCTCCTAGCGTCAGCCACGGCAAATGGATGGAACTTGTTGCAGCTTGGACTGCTGACTAGTACCAACTCCTCCGACGATCTTAGAAACCGAACAGAAGCAGGCCCAAGGGACCGAGGCGGGCCATCCCGCCCGGACCCTGGGCTTGGAAGCAACAAAACTTGGGACTGGTGGAGTGTCGCCTGGGATGGCGCCTACCATTACGTCGGAAACAGCTGGTGGATCAAAATGTGGGTAAGGATGCTGTTACAGGTTGCAGAGAATGGGATAAGCTACTGTGGGACCCTTTGTGCCTCAATTGGCTTAGCAGCCCGATGGAGCTATTGGCTCCTTACCGGGATGGTCCTCGTCTTCTTGCTCCAGTTGCTTGTCTGGACCTACACGTGGGTCATTCATCCGACTTGGATTCACTCCAGGGCCCTCTGGCGATACTGCCAAGGGACAGGCACTTGGAACGATGTGACACGCTTGCAGGGGCAGAGGCCTTTCATACCCGTCTGGAAAGGGCCGGGTACAGGAACACCATGGTCCGCCTTGTACATCCAGCGCGAGGTACGGGGAAGAGGACCGAATCAGAAGCCATTCGACCTCTTAGTTGCGGACGGAGCTGCTGTAGCGAGGCTTCGTCACGGGACTATAAGGGGAAGAACGAATCGGCACGGATTCCTCTGCCAGTGTGAAGAGGTTCGAGCCTCGTCGCATCGATACCTCCGTCACCACATAGAGACTGCCAACTGCACTGTCCACCTGTGCGCTCAAGACCCTTGCACCGCCCCTGAAGTTGCGCAGGTGCATATTAGGGCCAGCGCAACGGTCCCGCAGGACCGGGAGGTCAACCTGCAGGAACTAGCAGGAAGGGGCCCCTGGGGACGGTGCGCGGTGATCACAAGCTTTTGCGGGATACTTTGGTGCCGCTGTTTCGGCCGCAGCATGGCGAGATGCGGCCGAGCTTGGTGCTGGTGTCTGTGGTGCCGGTGTTGCCGTACGAGGCGAGTTTCTCGCCCGGAACGCGGCGCAGGGTACCAGGGCCAAAAACATGAAGATTCTGAGACAGAATCCGAGGCGGAACTAGGCCCCGCGGGGCTGCACTGTCAAGCGGACCAGGTCGCTCTAGACAACTACGGCAAGGTAGTTCCTCTTGCTGCTGGACCATGCAGAGACGTGGCCCGAGGTTGTCCCGTTGTGCTTCTACAAGCTGACCGATCCAACAGCTGTCTTGATGGATTACCAACTACTGAAGGCGGCGACCCCTGCTTTCATGCCTGTGAGTACCACAGGTCCATGTACCAGGGCTCGCTTCTGGGTCGAGCATGTGCGGTGCAGGGGTGCCTGCATCCAGTCACAGGGACCAGGAAGGGGGTCAACTTGTGCAAGTTGCACGGAGCCACAGAGGAGAAGCCCCGGGCCAAAGCCGCAGCTAGGGCACGCGAAGCTTCACCGCCCCGGGTAGATACCGACCAAAGGTCAGAGACCGCGCGTCAACCAGAGAGACCAGGAGTCAACGCGATGCAGGGTGCGGTGGCTGACAAGGCAGACCTAGCCGAGCTCCTGGTCGAGCTGCTCCAGGGCAAAGAGGCAGAGGAAGCGTATCAGGTCCTCTCTGCCAGGAACCCGGGGGACGTCAAGTGGAAGCATCCTGGGTTCCAGGACTCGCTGACTTCCCTGGCGAAGGCCTATGTGCAACAACACAAAGACTTGGAAACCGGGGAATCACCCGCCTGGAGAGCACTCAACCGCCTTGCGCATCCCCCTGCCGTCTGTCAAGAACCAGAATATGACCCCGTAACTCGGATGCTGGAAGCCACGTTGGAGAGGCCTACAGAAGAAGAGAAATCCGACACGCCAGCCCCACGGCTGGTAAGGCCGGCCTCGGCTCCTGCGAGCCATTTCCCGGGTCCTCGCACCTGCGGTGAGCTCGCTGCGAGCTTGTTTCGCCCCAAGAGCGAGATCGATTCTGTCCTGCCGCGCCCGAGGCTTGTTTCGAGCCCGGGAGCGGTTGGAACTTTCCCAGGAACGCCCGGTCCAGCAGGTTCCGTAGGGATGCAGGGTTTACACGCCTTCCGACCCTTTCATGCTGGAGCCTACACTGATCCGGGACCTCCGGCCCTCGATGAAACTTCAAAAGCTCTGCAGACAATCGCAAAAGTTATGGCGGCGAAGGAAGACCCAGCTGCCCAAGATCGAGGGAAGCTGTCCTCGATCGGCAGAACAGAGGAGAGGATGCTGTACCTGGCTAGAGGGTGCGACACGCTGACGGTGCACCTTGGGGAAGCCACGGTCGGAAAGGAGCTGTACCACGCCCTAAAGTCTGTAGCGACGCAGAACCGGCCCTTGTTGAGAGAAATCAGCTTCCCGGTGAACATTACCAACCGCATCGCCTTTGGGGCCGCTTCCCTCAGTTTCGGGGGCAAAGGTAATCCGCCTGACTATTGCCTCACTGTGGCCGATTTTGCCCAGACCTCGGAGGAGGAGTTTGACTTGTTTAGCCCGCCTGGGGATAACAAGCTGGAAAAACGGGCGCGGAACCCTACTACTCTGTCCAATTGGTACCGAAATGCTCTACGCCAAGCTTGGGCCATGGCATGTATCCTGGGGGCAGAGTACTATGGCAGTTGGGAGAAGGCTGCGGCACAACTCCTTAAGTTTGGGGAAGAATATGCCCATGCGTGGCCGTTGCACTCGGTCATGAGTGTGTGGGAGGAGCTCTGGGCTCGCTTCACGGAAGAGTTAAGAGCGCTCGATCGAAGAGCCAGGCGGGAAATGCAAGACGAGAGCCCTAGCTTTGACCGTCTTCGGTTTTTCGCCACCTCCCCCGGGGACAATGGCGAACCCTGGCTCCGGCTGCCTCAAACTTTCGACCTTCAGGCACCAGGAGAGTACTTCCAAACGGATATTGTTCCTCGCCAACAGCGCATGTTGGATCGTGCTTGCTGGTCAATGGCCCTTAAGAGACCGTCCCCACTCACTGGCGGACGAGCTGGAGCTGAAGATATCGGCGGACCAGACAAAGCGCAACCGGCCGCTCCCAACCCTAGGAACTCACGGGCTGGAAGCAAAGGGAGTGCCCCTGGCGCTGGCACCGCCGTCAAGGAACCCGCCCCCCTCCTGGGAAATGCTTTGACCAGCAAGGAGGCGGGCCGCTCCATGGATCACCGCCCGAAAGACAAAGACGGGAAGTATCTGTGTTGGGATCACTTTTCCCACCGCAAATGCAACAAGGGAAAAGATTGCCCGCATTCGCACCATGGCAACGCGCCACGCTGGGATACTCTCGATTGGAGCGTGCAGATGCAACTCTTGCGACGAGGCGGGCATCCCGCCCGTCCGAAACTCAGAGGAGACCAGGTGGACGCTGCCATCGAATCCATCCGAAAGGAGCAAGCCCAGAAGCTAGAGTCCAACATTCAGGAAGGCAAAAGGGCGAAAGAAATGGCTAAGCGGACCGGGGGTCCTCCTCCTCAGGATGCCTCGACCCAATACCGGGAAGACACCCGAGCTGGCTGGACCCCAGCGCCAGCGGCGCTAGCCAATTTCGCCGCCACTGATATGGAAGATCCCCTTGCTCGACTTATGACAGGAGAAGCTGCTGCAAGTTGGACTCTCGACCACGCGCCCCCCGCTGTGCGCACGGTCACTTACCGGGAGCCACCCGACTCTGCCATGATCCAAGCCAAGCGTCACTGCATGGACGAGATTGACAGCTGCGGCCTTCTCCCAGATCTACCCCAGCACCTGGGCATCTATCTGCGCAACCGGCTGACAGCCGTCAATGACCGGGCTCCAAACGCTCACGCTGTTCAAGAATTCCTTGAGGACGCTATTCGAGAAGGCAGTGCAGAACTTGCTTCAGAAGCTACTGACTATCTCCATAATCACCCCGACACGCATGTTGGGTCGCGAGAGGGACGCGGAGCATTGGGGCAATTCTCAGCACACGGCTTCGACGGGTACTCTTGGGCGACCTTTCGCTGGAGAGACGGTGACCATGCGGTCTATGACTACGGCGACCAGCTCGCACCCGTGCACCCTGAGCTGCAACCTCTGGAATGCCCCAAACCAGAGACGGAGCCCCGACAGTGCTTCTACCTGCATGTGGCCGCTGGCCTTCTGGCCCATACCACGAATCGTGTGCCTGCTCTCTCCGAGGTCCGCCTCAAAGCGGCAGCCTTACAGGAGGAAACTTTCCGCCTGGCGATGGCTTGCGCGGACAACTTGGGCCCGGAACCTGACGTTTGCACTCAAGCTGAAGACGACTTGCGCATCTTCGTGCACGACGCTCTCTTCTTCGGCCACGACAAGGATTACCGGTGCCTGGCGGCCTTTCCCTTGCCAGAGGCCGCGGACGTCTCGTTTTGTCTTGTCCGCATGGACGCTTGGAACCGCACCTCTTGCGAAGTCATCCAGGGGGCCCACAGTCGTTCCGACCCGAAGTCCCTTATCTGGCTCCTGGTTCACCAGGGCCACATGCGGTTACTCCTCCCGGAAGTCACGACTTCTATCCCGGACAACGTGCGGATTGTCACTGCTGCTGGCTGGGAAGTCCACCTGGAAGCGGCCGCCGAGCACGGGGCGCGTCATCGCGCCCGTGCCCCGAAACCATGCCCGCGCTGCCAAGAGACCCTATGCGCCGTACCGGCGTCACCACCGGGGTGTTCGGCTTGTACCCTTTTTCCCGCTGAGACGGCTGCCTTAGATTTCCGGGCAGGAGCATCTTGGTGGGAAGTCGACGAACCCCCCTCCGAACAATGGGCCCGCGAGGACCTGCAGGAGCTCTTCCCTGGCCAACAACTCCCTGAGCCAGGCCAACCGCTCCATTTTTTGGGGATATACGTTGACGCTCTCGGTTGGGACAACACCCCGGACGCGCCGGTTGGCGCCGCCCTTTTTGTCGGTCCGGCCACTAGCCGCAACTTCTGCGATGGCCGTGTGCGCTCTCTTCTCCGCGCAGCTCTCACTCTCTTGCGCCCTCGCCACGTGTGGGTCCTCCTGCCCCGCACGGGCCTCGGCCGCGGGCCTGAGTCTTCCACCAGCGCCTTGGGGTCTTCTGCCCACCAGCACCTGCAATTTACGCTTGAGCTTGGTCAGCATCAGTTGAACCTGCCCGGGCACTTCACTCTTGTTCACCCTCTGACCAGTCCCGTGTGGAAAGATCCCGCGGCCATCCAGCTTCTTTCGCCATTTCACCGGGTTCGCCTTCCAGCTTCGCCCGTTGACCCCATGACTGCGGCGCTTTGTGGACCGTCCCCGGCCGCCTACTTGTGCCTGAAAACCACCTCTTCGGCGCTGGCTATTGCCGTTGGGTCGCCCTCATCGGAGTTGCCGCATTCCTCTCCCCTCGCCTCCGTCCTCTTCGACGGCGCTGAGGCGTGTTTCGCGCCCGGCGCCGGCTTGCGACGGGCGGGGGGCGCCCCCTTTGTGGTTCAAGGGGGCTGCACTTCCTCGGGGGGGGAGGGGCCTCTTCGTTCTCTAACTTGGGCAAAGACTTCCATGGCTTGAAAGGCCCCCTGGCGCGGCCGCTAGACCCGGCAGTCGAGCAGGCGACAAAGGAATATCTGGATTTCTTCCGAAACCGAGCTTTCTCCGCTGAACATTTCGCGTCTGCTGCTCAGAAAGGATCGGCTCTTCTGGCAGCAGCCGGTGGATGGCAAGAAGCCCTCCGGGCTATCCGCAGGGTCTGGGTGCAGGAACGAGGCGATCACATGTCTGGTCTGCATAGTGACTTCTTTGAGGGGCTGGTTCACCCGGCAGTTTTAGAAAGGGCGAGGCATGTGGCTATCTGGGGAGTCGAGGCATCTGCTGACTTAGAGGAAACTACTCGGACCAAGAGTGCGCCTCACCCGAGCTTGAAGGAACACCTCGACGAAGCTGCTGCGCAACTCTGGGACGACGCCAGCAAAGGCCGTTCCCTGCTCTGCTTCGACACCGGCAAGGGCTTGGAAGGGGTTGTGTCAGTCCCAATGGCCAGGGTCCCCAAGATGAATCCAGACCGCACGGTCTCCGATAAGGGTAGGGTCATCTGGGACGCCACGCCGGTGAACAGGTACTGTCACAAGTCCCGGCACCCGCCTGCGCTCCAACCACGACACCAGGAGGTCGCCAGAGCAATACTGTGGTGGAAGCTTCGGTACCCTAGGATCCGAATCCTGTTCAGCAAAAAGGACGTATCCGAAGCCTTCAAGTGGATCCCGGTTCGGCTAGAGGACTCCAAGCTTTTCGCTGCAGATCTTCCAGCTGAATACAGCAATACTCAGGAAGGCATCACCATAGTCTATGGGTTTTTGACTTTTGGCTGGTGCGGTGCGCCCGGAGAGTACATGCACTATGCTTGGGTCATTAAACTGGCTCACGAAGCCTTCGCGCCCGAAAACTCCAGGTGGGAGGATACAGTCCCATACCATTCTTTCGTCCTTATGGACGACACGGTGCTGATCGAACCCGAGATTGGGCTGAGACCGGAAACCTCGGTGGCACTGACGGAGCATCTGACTCGTGCTGTTCTTGGGGATGCCAGCATCAACGAAGGAAAGGATTGGCTTGAGGGACGGTTGGAAACTCGCAAACTTATTTGGGGGCTCATTTACGATACCCAAACCAACACCCGAAGCCTGCCAAGTGCCAAGCTGGAGAAGGCGTATCACCTCCTGCACTTGCCTGACTTTGACAGTGGATGCACTCATGTCTCGCTGCGCCTCATCCAAGAATTGAGAGGCAACCAGCAGTTTTGGTTGGCGGTGCTCCCGGGCCTGAGCCCGTATTTGGGGTGTACAAATGACCTCCTTGGCCCTGCGGACCCGCAGGGCCAGGCTCGAGCCAAAGGGGATGAGAAGCAACAAAGAGAGACTTGGAACCGATTTTGGGAGGCTATTGAGCTTCAACGTTTGTTGGTGGACGTCAGCGCCTCTTGGGAGGTACGGTTCACTCACCCGCTCAATGCGGCCCTCTCGATTTCGGAACTGCTCTCCTTCCCAGGGATGCAATCCCAGGTGGTTTGGGCCTGTGGAGATGCCACTCCAGAAAGGGTGGCGGCAGTTGACTGGCATGGAAAGGTAGCAATTGTCGAGCCCGCGAGCCTCGTTTGGCAACGGATCCGCTACTTCTGCGGAGGGGAAGAGGGAACTGACGAGGAGCAGTCGGGACCGTACTCCGAGGATCGAACCGATCCCGAAGATGGTCTTCTGATCTCACTCGCCGAGCTCCTCGCCGTGGTGTCACTCGCCTGCACCCGCTGGACTGCTTGGAGGGGAAAGATTGTGATTTACGCGGGGGACAACCAGAACGTTATCTCCTGGCTTGAGAAAAGACAGGCTGGGCCCCCTGCGGCAAGGTTCCTGCTGCAGTTGCTCGCAGCCTTGGAAACTGTCGGAGGGTTCAGGCTGCATGCGAGCTATGTTCGGACATACCACAACCAGGTTGCCGACAGCCTCACGCGTGCCGAAGCACAAAGCATTCTGGAGGAACATGGGCTCCGTAAGCTCCCGTTCTCGGAGGTGCTCTTGGGGACTCTCGACAAAGGTTGGACTCGAAGGGCCCTCCTTTGGGATGGAATGGACCATGGAGATAAGGCTGCAGCCCTCCAGTTAGGGCTCCGAAGGCATCCAGAGGGTCCGAATAAGCACCCGTTTCCGTTGAAAGAAGGTCTGGTGTGCGCTGAGATTGGAGAGGCCGGCCCTTATGAAATCGAGCTTGTCTCCAAGGGGCTTATCGTCCAGAGACACACCCTGGAAGAGGCAAGCCACCGAGAATGTACCCCGGAGCGGTATGTGTGCCTTTTCCACCCAGGCGGCAGAGGCGAAGTGGCTACGGCTGCTCGCTTCGCCGAGCTTGCTGTGAGGTGGGAGCCGGAAGGAGTCTGGGTCGATTCCATCACCTCTCATGGCCCCAGAGCAGCCGAAAGAATTCTGGAGGATGCAGGATGGCATACCCGTGTCTTCCAAGTCAGCGGCCGCACTCTCCAGGATCAGTGCTGGTGGAAGCGATGGATACTGATGGCGGTTCCCGCAGAAAAGCGCCTGCCTCCAGCACCCTGTCTTACGCTCGACGCGGAACCCGCTACGCCACCCTTGCACACTTACCCCACTGAATGGTTGTTGGAAGACAAGAAGGTACCAGACGCCACCTGGAAAACTGGTCGCCTGAAGCTGGACAGCGCTATGCCGCACCTGGGTCAGGCTACTCCAAAGCCTCGAGGGACTCTGCAAACCCCCGAAGGTAGGCGTCATGTTTGGGACCCTTTTAAACCGCTCCCCCAATTACATCATGGGTCATGGGGTAATGACAATAAAGATTCTCTTTTGTTGCTTGGGTACAGTGCTAATGGCCCCGCGGCGCGCACCATCACGCCCGGGGAGGCATTTAGGTTGTTAGGTGGTAGAGCAGAACAACATCCCAAGGACACCCCCTCCACTGAACTTGCCTTGGAAAGGCTCATGGGTACCCCCCGCAGCCTGGCTCTGGTAGCGGGCCGTTGGGCGAGCGCTCTGGGGACGGATCGGGGCGCCAGCGGTAGTTGCTTTGAGCCCGAACAGTCCAGCGCTGCTGAGGCGAAGGCTGAAAGTCGGGAGGCGGACGAAACTCCCGAGGCTTGCTTCGAGCCCGGGAACTCAGATTCTGAAAGAGTCGGAATTTGTTCGCTCCCGTGGGAAGATAAGGCGCGAGCGGCGCTCATGGCCTGGCTCCAAAGCAGAGGTTGGGAGGTGGAGCGGAGGGCCGGAGGCACCAAGCGCCGTAAGAAAAAGGAAGAGGACTGGAGTACCCAGTTCTCGAAAGCCCTCGCCTCCTGCCTCAGACACGAAGCAGGAAGTGCCGAGTGCCACATCACGGAGGATGGATGGGTCACGATGGACCACCTGAGAGGGTACCTCCGTGCGAAGCTCCGATGGCCGGAAAGGTACCTCACTGAGGAGGCGGTTCGGGCCGAAGTGGAAGGCAACTGGAAACAGCGCTTCGTGGTGCGAACAGATGAGAGCACCGGAAGGAGCTGTGTGGCAGCCTGGTCCGGGCACACCATACCAGGGGTCGTCGGACCAGGAGTGTTGGTCGAACCCTCCGAAGTCCCTGCCCTGCTTGTGCATGGCTCATACCACAAGCACACGGCCAGCATTGTGCAAAGTGGGCTGTCAGCAAGCCGCAGAATGGTTCACTTGGTTGACCCGGAACGGGCATCAAACAAGTGGAGGGCCGACCTGGAGACGAGAGTGCCCGTCGATACGCGGAAAGCCCAGGAGGCCGGAGTTTCTTTCAGAGTGACGGGTAACGACGTCTGGCTGGCCGATACCGACATCCCGCCTGAAGCCTTGGGAAAGGTCGTCGCATGGACGACTGACGATTTTTGGTTCGCTTCGGAAAGCACCCGCGCCCGAGCCCGACCCGAGCAGGCGTCGCCAGTGCCCTTCTACAAGACAGGCGCCGTGGGAGCTGCAGGCTCTGGCTCAAGGCTCCCCGCCTGGCCGCCCGGCAGCCTTAAGCAGGAACAGGACCTAAAGGAGGGCCTTGCTCAGACCGCGACCGGTTTGGCGTCGGCTGTTGCCGGGCTCAAGGTGGAAGAGGGAGAAGAGGAGGTCCAGGTGGACCCACGAACCTTGGAACCGACCGTCGTCACGCTCTCCGAAGCAGATTGGAACTTATCGGAAGAGAGTGACACGGGCCCGGAAGAGCCCCCAGCACCCGCGACCCGAACAGTGATGAAAGAAGGCGACCGAGGATCGGCCGAGGCGGAAATCAAGCTCAACCCCGGCTTGATTGAGCGGGAAGAAAGGCAAGAAGTTGCCGAGGCGCGCCTCGCGCCCGGTACCACCTCTGCCGGATCGAGCTGGAAACCCACGCTGGTGAAGGAGCATCAGGACCCAGAACCCGGCAAAGGAGGCCCCAAACCAGGGCGTCTCGAACCCAAACATGAGCAGGGTGCGGAACCCGAGGGCCTTCCCCTGGAACGGGTCAAACCTCCGCCCGCAGAGGATTCAGAGGAGGACTCGCCCATCGGGCTCCCCGCAAGGTATCGGCCGGTTGGTAGAGTAGAGCCCGGGCAACCCCAGGAGGAGCGAAAACTGGTCCCGGCGCAGGGTCTCAAGCTTGGCACGGGAAAGGTCAAACTGCTCCAGGCCCTCGCTGAGGCCGACACTGCCAACTGGGAAAACCTCCAAAGTGCCTTGAAGGAAGCGGAAGGGTCGGGAGGCGAGAAAGCAGCTCTAGTTGAAGACCTGGAACGCCTCACCCAGCAGCGAAAGGAAGCCGCCGAAGGAATCAAGGAAGCCCTTGAAGCTGAGACGCACAGGGTTCGCCAATGTGAAGAAGAAGACTCCCGGTATCTGGAAACTCTGGATAGCCAGGGCGAGTACATGAGAAAGCTTGAACGATTCAACTCAGCTCGACCCTCCAAGACCGCCAAGGTCCTTAGTTCGGACCGTCTCACTTCGGAAATTGAAGCAGGAGTCAGCGTCTGGGTGGCGCGCCGCCGAGAAAAGGCGCGTTTGCGGGCCCAGGCTCACAGGGAGGGACTTCAGAGAGGCGCCCCTTCGGAAGGAAGCACCAAGCACGAACCAATCGAAACACCCGAGGGAGCCGAAGAAGCACGACAGCAGGCGGCTCGGAGGGAGATAGCTGAGTTTCGGGAACATCTGAGGGAACAAGGAAGGGGGGCGGTGCCCAAATACCGTAGGGCACCGGACTCCCGCCAAAGAAAAGCCACGAAGAAGAGAAACCGGGCTGCAAAGGAAGCGGAAGCTCGGGCTGTGCCGGAGGGAGCCTTGTCGCCCACGCGCAATGATGATGCGGAGCGTGACACCAACCACGCGATCGCACATTTCCATAGGCAAGAGAACGACCATGCTATGGTCCTCGCTGGGGCTAGGTTGCCCCCAAATTTAGTTTCCGAGGGGACAGTTCTGCTCGGCCTCGTTCTCCTCACCGGAATTCTTTTAGGCCTTGCCTGGGGATCATGCCGACGCAGCCTTGCCCACAGTCCCGCAAGGACCGACCCATTGGCTCTCTCGCCAAGGGACAACCTTCCCAGAGCCCCCCACCGGCATGAAGTTGCGGCTGGCAGGCACGCCTCAACCAGTAGCGCCACGGAGGTCCACCGTCGCGGTAGCCGAGGCTCGACTTCGAGCCCGGCACCGGACAATCCTCGGCGAAGGAGCCCGCGCCCGTCCCAAAGGGGTCTTGACCGCCGCAGAGCAAACTGGCACAAAGAAGGTTGCCCCCGCACGGATGCTTCTACCCTTTGGCTTGAAGCATGCAAAGACTGCGTGACCATCTCCGAAGTCGATGACTACCAGGGGAGCGTGGAAGCCACCTGGAGCGGGGCCCGCTGGCACAAACCGCGGTGTGGGCATACCCGAGGAAGGAACGTGGTGCGATTCGCCCCTTGCCAAGAGTGTGCAAGAGTTGCCGCACCGTCCCAGTCTCGTGGCTCGATACGAGGCCCAGGGCGCAACAACGATGCTGAAAGGGACACGAATCACGCCATCGCGCATTGGCTCTTGCTGGCGGTGGCACTGGGTCTGTACCTGGCTGGGGTCTGCTGGCACTGGGGTGAACCTTGCGGGGACCCACAAGAAGGTCAGGAAAAGACCCGTGTGGGGGGTCCTAGGGGCCGCAAGGTCCGATTCGAACCCTACCACGAGTCCCTCGCGGCTGCCGGATCTCCTACCAGTCAAGCCACGGGTAAGAAACAGAGTCTCGAGAAGCCGAGGCGGCTGGGTAGCCCTCAGGCTGCTAGGGCGGCGCAAGGGACGACTGGACCCAAGCTGGGCCTACGCTTGAAATGCAAAGAAGATTATCACGAGGAAGCCATTCGTGTCGCTCTTGATCGCCTCGCCATCTCCACCCGGCGGACTTATGAATCTCAACTCAAGTGGTGGAGGCTTTTTTGCGCTCGTAGAGGAGTCAGTTGGATTCTCACTGGCCCCTCAAGCAATAAGACAGAAGAAACACTCCTCATCGACTTTCTCCTGCACTGTGCCTGCAATGAAGGGCGCGCACCGGGAACGCTGAAGCTTCGGCTGGCCGCAGTGCGCAGCGTCCACCTTTCACTCGGCATGGAAGATCCCTTGGAAGGCCGAGGAAGAGTTGCCATGGCACTGGCAGGCCTACGAAGGCGTTACAAGGTTCCTGAAAGGAGGGCGCCAGTGACCCCCAGGATGCTCAACTATCTGCATGATCGCCTCCGTGGCTCGTCTTCGAGCCCGGAGTCTGTGCTCCTGTGGGCTGGGATCTGCCTTGGGTTCTTCTTTCTGTTGAGGGCCTCTGAATTCCTTCCCCTTGGTTACCTTCCTCTCTCGAGACACCTGAAGGGCCACCAGGTACTGCTGTACTCCCATGGTAACCTGTGCACTATCAGCAACCTGGCAGAGGCCGACGAAGTTCGGGTCAAGCTCGTCGGCAGCAAGACCAATTACAACTTGGAGACAAATCGCAATCACCACCGGACTGGAAACCAAGTCTGCCCAGTAGAGTCGGTTGTCCAGCTGTTCCAGAAATTTCCGGAGAGATATCTGGGCGGCTGCGAAGCCACGGAGCCACTCTTTAGAACTCCCTCGGGAGAGGGAATCCAAAGGGAAGCGATTCAGATGCTGCTGAGAGAAGCCGCTTGCCAATGTGGTGTGGGCGGAACAATTGGTTCGCACTCATTACGTTTTGGTGGTGCAAGCGCGCTATGGACGGCATTCAAAGACGCATCTGTTGTGAGAAGGTTTGGACGTTGGGCGAGCGACGCATTCCATTCCTATTTGTGGGAAGACCGGGAATATTCCCGGGGAATGGCAGCATCTATGTTGAACACTGACCTAGCACCGACGTGAAGACCCAATTTTGTGCCACGGCGGCCCTGTGTCGCCCGGGCTCGCTGCCAACAGGCCCGAGGCGCGTTTCGCGCCCGGGCAGTTGCCCTTGCAAGTGCCGAAATGGCGGGAGGGGGATGAGCCCAAGGGGCAAAGACCTTTTCAGCCCTTTCGCGCGCAAAAACATGTTTGGGCGCGCAGCGGTAGTTTTGCTTCTAGGGAAACCCAAAGGGTCCAAACTGTAGGAGCTTAGTGTAGCGCGCTCTAGGTTTTGACCTAAACAGGGTTTACCTTAGTTTTGGGCTCAAGGTAGCCCACCCCCCCACCCCCTGAGCCCAAGGGGCAAAGACCTTTTCAGCCCTTTCGCGCGCAAAAACATGTTTGGGCGCGCAGCGGTAGTTTTGCTTCTAGGGAAACCCAAAGGGTCCAAACTGACATTTCGAACAGGAAGGTTTCATCGGTTTGATCATGTTTCATCAACCTCAGGAGACCGAGAGGAGGAGAAAGGTGAGGACGAGGCCATCCTAAGGAAACAGCTTCCCATTCAGCGGGATCATCTCGAAGCCTACATTCCAAAGTTGTTGCAGTTGAATGTTGACACAGGATGACGTTGCAGTTGAAGAGGAGGAGCATTGCTGATTATATTGATTATGTTTTAAGTTTTAAGGGTAAACTCATACTCTGAAATGCAGGAAGAAAGATACTCAACTTATCTGAACTTTACTAAACCTCCGTGCACCTTTCGACCTCTTCTACCACAGGACAACCGGAGTGCTTCAGACAAAGCGCTGGACTTGCTGGAGGAAGTGAAGCTCTCAGCCACGGCCCACAATGGGCTCTACTGGGTGGGTAGGAAACTGTGAACAGCCAGATACAGCCAGTATTGGTGGGAGAGATTCTGCCTCGTCCAACACCCTTCTAAAAGGCATCTAGGGTCTTGGAGCTCTGTATTTTTGACCGAAACAGGCACAAACAAATCTGAAAGCTTCTGGTCCCATCAGCAGCCAGCTGTAATTCTCTGTCTTTGTTTTGTTCATGTCATCAACAGGCTGTGGAAGACTGTCTGTTATAGTGATTATACATGATTATACTGTAAAATTGTGGAGGGTTTCCTGAACTGCCGCGAGCAAGGAGAAGAAGTCGATGACTCCTTTGGAGCAGCTGGAGAGATCTCTTCTATGGAAGGTGCTCTGTCTCGGAGGTGTTCAAAGTCTTCTGAGACAAGAAGAGTCGGTAGTATCACCATGTATCACCCATCAAAATGACCTATCAGACAACTCGATATAGACCTGAACAGGTTGTCAGACACTCTCACTTACACGGTGATTCCTGCGTTTCTTGTTTTCAGGTTGAAGGCAACGACTTCTTCAAGCGAGGAGAGTTGTTTAAAGCTGCAGACTGCTGAAATCTCAGACGCTTAGATGTTCAGATGTTCGAGACAGGGCATGGCGCGGGATATTTTGACATGCTGGCAGTGCTTGTGTTTTGAGTCATCGAGTCATCCTGGACAATCCGGAGCAGTTCAATCTCGGCCAAGGCTACTACCACGCCATCGTTTTTGCCAGGGTGCCTTCCCCAGTTTCCTGTTAATGATCCAGCTACCCAGCTGCAAATAGCTGCAATGTCTCTAAGGTGATACATGCTCGATGCATGCCTGCTTGTCTGTGAATTCATACGTTTTCAATCGTTTTCACCTTGGCCTGGTAGGATCTCACCAAGAATCCGCAGCACTATCCCGAGATGAAACACACGCTTGGAGCCCAAGCTGCCCTTCGACTCTGTGGGATCCCTGGATCGGATCATCGCTGAGGTCGCAAGAGATGACCAAGGCCAAGGCCACATCGATCTCAAAGCTTGTGCACGTACGATCATGTAAGGTAAACATAGGTAAAACTAATTAAAAACTGGTAAAACATACGGGGATTTAGATGGATTTAGGATGATGGCAATCCTGACGATTCTGAAATACATTGAAGATCGTTGAAGTATATATTGTGAATACTTCCCAAGCAGCATCTTGGTACATTGGCATGCAAACGCTCTGAAACTTTGAATCTGTTCAGGAGCTGTGTGAGTCTGTCTTCACCAACTTGGCGAAGCGACCTCAATCATTTGCCAGTTCCAGATCAAGAGTAGGGAATGGTACATCCAGAAGCATTTCATGAATTTCATAAACATGTCATTATATATTATATGTATATAGATACATGGATGGATCATATAAACATTCATATTTTTTTGATGTTTTTTAGATACTTATACAAATTATATAGAACTTCACAAAGATGTCAGCAACGTTTCGAGTCATTTCCTCCAGAGGCTGGTGCAGCTGAAGTATGGCTGCAGCTTGAGCCCCGAAAACTCTGAGCGATGTAAGGCACCGTAACGGGCAGCTGTAGCTGGTGTCCTGATGATCTGGTGGTTGGTAAGGGCTTAATATGGCTTAATCTGGTGATTATTCATGATTATTCATGGTTAATAATGGATATTAACGAGTATAACATGGTACAACTCACATGATGATCACAATGATCACAATGATCACCGCATGTTTCCTGTACAGTTCATGACGCAAATCCGGTTTGCCTTTTCTCGTGCACCACCGTGCACCCAAGGAGGGCTCAAATTGTTGACCGCGATTGAAACGCATCTGCTGCAGGTTTTGGAAGAAGGAGCGAAATCGGCATCGCAAGCCTTAAAGCTGAATGCAAAAAATGCGATTCACTCAGTTGTAATCGTCGCTTCCTTCGCAGTTCCTATTCCATTCTTCTTCTCTCATGATTCTGCATGACTGTTTATTGAGTTGCTTCGGCAAGGTCAAAGCTCTCTACAGAAGAGCTGCCACAAATGCAGTTTTGGCAAAAACTAACAAAACAAATTCAGAGGCAAGTCTGCGTCCATGCTCTGGAGCGAGGATCGGTAATCAGGATGTTAGTCTTTGCAGTCATTTTCCACGAAAAGCGTAGACATTGATGCGTAGTCATTGATGTGTAGACATTGATGAAACTGGAGCAACCGGTGTCTACTGCCAATCTAATGCCAGCGGAGCAACTTCAACGTCGGGCGTGCAAGGCACAAGAGATGTGTGCAGAGGTGAAAGCAGATTTGATGAAGGTGATCGAAGTGTTTTGGCAGGAGATTAGGACCTTTGCAGCATGTCAATGCATTTCGCGTCAATGAAATGGACAAGCTCTTTACAGTTTTTTTTCAGTTAGAGACATTTCCATTTTTTCAACCGAGCTCACATAGACCATAAAGAAGTTCCAGATTTCTGATTTGTACTCGTATGATTTGTCCTCGTATACTCTCATACATGTCATGCATGTCATCGCCAAGGCCGAACCACAAAACAAGGAAGCTCGTGCCGAGCTCAAAGCAGTTCAGGAGCTCACACGAGTGCACTTCTTCATCTCAGTGTGATTGGTTAATGACTTTGGCAAAATTTGACGAATAGGATTTTGGGATATCTGGTTGGATTGTTGTTCCAGGAGCATCTGAAGCAACTCAAGCGTGAAGAGCGCGAAGGCCGGGAATATTTCAAAGCGATGCGCGATGAAGAAGACTCTTTGCCCGAAGGTGAAAAGCGAGAGTTTTCCTTTGCCAGTACTTTGTCGGGCATGGGTTTCAAGGAGCGATACGACTAGATCGAGTGATATGTCTAAGCGACATCCACTGACGGAGCCGGGGGTTCCTGTCAGGAGAAGGATCTTCTTGGAGATGGCTCTGTTCGAAAGCAGCAGGTCTCCACTGGTGATGGTGGCAAATGGCTCAACGAGGCTCATTCCATCTTCCTAGTCACCTGCGTTCAACTTGACGATCACAACACATTACAATAGTTATTCAATAGTTACAATAGATAACATATATCACAATCATCAGTGAATTTGATGCAATCTGTCAGGATTGGCTTCAGTGGACTTCGCGGACAAAATGCATCGGCCTGAGTTTCGGCTGAAATCGAGTGCAAATTGTCCCAGCCGACAGCAGTCAATTCGCACCATTGAGGCGTGATCCATGTCGCTGTTAGTTCAGTGCAAGAAGGCCCTCCAGTCACTCCAGTCTGATAAACCGAGAAGCGATGACCGATATAAACCGATCAAACAAACAGTACTGGCAGTACTGGCAGTACTGGCAGTAGCAATTGGGTCGTGAGGCCGATCTGATCCAGTCCGCGCCTTGAGCATTGCACTGATCGATCTGCACCGCCGACCCAAGTTGCAACAACTGAAGGTGAGCCTTTCCTTCATCCTGGGGGATCCAGATATGCATGAAGGCAGCCATGGCAGCAGACATCGGGACCAGATGGGACCAGCAGCAGCTTATCTTTATAAATCTTTATAATATTTCCTACACTACAAGTAGACTAAGTAGACATGAGAATCATAATGGAAATGAACGTTTCATGCCTGCATTCGAGGGATCAACTTGGCTGTCAAGTCCATGACCAAGGGTGAGGCGAGGTCGGCCAAGTGAGCAAAGTGCCCCCGAATTGTACTTAATCGATTTTAAATCGATCTTAGCTTAACAGTCTTTAAGTGTAATCCCGTAATATGTACTTGTCAGCAATTCTACTTGGCCACAATTCTTTTGGAGGTGGCTAACTTCACCTTTGCTCGGCAGCGACTCGCGGCTGACAGTGGCCTCACCCGGCTCCTGCCGAAGGTCGAGGCCTGCGGAGCAGCCTCGGGTGAACGGTTTGATGTTGATGTGGTCACCTTCTGTTGATCTCTGGAATATAATATGGAAATCTATGGAATGATGACAACAAGTTTTAAGATGTTTTAAGATGTTTTTAAAACTATGAACGAAATAGACATGAAGACATGGCCATGATGTCTGCAGGAATCTTGCCAGTGGCAGATCGAGTTCCAAAAGTTTGTGACCTGGGAAGACTTGGATCGAAATGGCGAGAGGCGGGGCTTCAGTGATCTCTTCAACGATCTCGTAGCCTTGTAGCATTCGTAGCCCTTTCCTTTCAGCTGGCTATTCTGACTCTTTACAACTCTACAAAACGATCAAAACGAGGCTTCGGAAGATTCACGAAGAGGGCTACGGGGCGTGCCTGGCCGAGGACCTTTCAGAGGCCATTGATGGCCATTGATGGGCATTCTGTTGAGTCGTGTTAAGTTGTTTTTTCTGTCGGAAACGTGAAGCCATGATGCCACTGATAGGTTTTCGTCCATTGGCGCTTAACGGGACCTGACAACAAGCTGGTCCACTCTACAAGGTGCAGCGTGCTGGGAAGCAAAACATTGCGTGTCCCAATGCTGTCAGCTAGGTACACAGTACGGATGGCTGATGGCCAAGATATGAAGCAAGTGGAGGATGAGGAGATTTGTGAGTGATTTTTGAGTGCTTTGAGCAGATTTGTTTCTTCGCAACACTAATTCCCAGCAGATCTGAATCCTATTTTCTGTCTCACCCGCTTTGATCTGGCAGAGTTTGGGCAGGACAAAGTGGCTCCCTCCTTCATCGTTGGCGAGTCAGTTAGAGACACAGCATTCTTCTGGCAGGAGGAAGAAATTTCTAGTTACTAGTTTGGCCTTGGCACTTTAAGATTCTGTATTTGCTCTTCGGAATCTTTGCACAAGTCCAATACTTAATGCGTACATATGCGTACTAGTTACTAATACAATGTACGCTCTCCCCATTTCATCAATTGCCACTTTTCGATTTGGAAGGCTTCTACCCATTCCCATTTGTCTCCCAGTCTCAGCTGCTGTGTTCGCATGGGTCACTAATTTCTTGCGCAGTGTCATCTAATTTCGGTGTTTTGCTCTTTTTTTGCTATTCAATGCACCCGGCAATGATGAAACCTTCAGTCGCGAAGGGTGTTGTTTGGCTGTTTGAATTTTTCTCTCAGCGTTTGGGATTGCGCATGCATTCATTGAGATCAGCTCCTAAGTCAGGCATGGTCTCCAGTAGCCACCCTTTGCCGTTCTTTGAAACAAGGAGGCGTCAAGGAACTCAGCTTGTGAATTTCAAATCTTTTGCATTCTTTCATGGCACCATTCATGCTTTGGGATATATTTGAATTGCATATCTGCTAGTGGCCTGTTTTAAATCCGGTTGTGAAACAAGGTTGCCGAACTGCGTCTCAAAGATGTACCAGAACTCCCACAGGCATGTGTGATGTACCGGGTGTGCTGGGGCATTTGTTGTGTCAACCAGTTCCATCTAGTGCCTGATTTCATTTGGCAGATTTCTTTCAAATGCAGGATCCAAATAACGACGATGTCTCAGCGAAGCTTTCGATGATGATGAATCGCGGCTCGACTGTTCGTGCCCGAGAAGTGCGGCGTTGAAACATTCAGACTCAGTCTGACCCCGTGCAGCCGCAGACATCGGATGTGAAAGTCTTAGGCGAAGCTCAGTCATTGCACGGTCAAGGTGGAGCTCGAAAGAGTAGTGTGAAGCTGAGATTCATTGAGATTCTACATGGGCCTCTGCTGGTTCCAGACGTGTTTCTGAGATCTCAAAAAATGGTGAGTGTGATATGGTGTAATTCTGCCCGAAAAAGCATCCGCGAAAAAACGAGCTAGGGGACATGCAGCGACACGCTACATACCATGCATAGCAGGATAATTGACTCAATTTCTGTCTCTAGCCATTTGGTCCAAAGTAACTGCCTGGTTCAGCTTGTGCGACTTTGAGGATGTTGCAGATGTGCTGAAGCGTGATGGCATCAGGAAGTGAAATTCGCTTCACCCGGCACCTTCGCGAAGTTTGAATCCTACATCGATCATCGATCCAGTAGTGACTCAGAAGATGGTTTCAAGTTGAAGGTTTTTACGGCATCTTGACAGCAAAAGTGGACATCGGAGAGACGTGTGCTATCGTCTGCTTAGATGCCTCAAAAGCAGACCTCCGGATCCTGCACGAATTGCGGTGTCCCGGAGAGTGTTCTCCGGGGAGTTTATGCAGGTGAACAGGCATTTGCTGAATGATTTGATCTACCGTGTCCTTTGGAGCGATGAGATGCGTGTAAAGCTCATCGCCAACAACAGCAGCGTTCAGGGCATCGATTTGCCTCAAGATCTGAAGAATCTCTACAAGACCATCTGGGAGATGAAACTGCGTTTGGTCTTGGATTTGGCAGCAGACCGTGGAGCCTACATCAATCAGTCTCAGTCCTTGAACACCCACATGGTGAATGCCACCACTGCCAAGCTCTGATCGATGCATTTCCATAGCTGGGAACAAGGTCTGCGCACCAAAGCCGCAGCAAATGCCATCAAAATTCACTGTGGATGTGGATGCTTTGAGAAGCGGATTCAATCCCGACAGTACTCCGGCAACGGTGAACACCACCTTCACAGCCGCAAGCGCCGCAAGCGAAGCAAGCTCTGCGTCGAGATCTCTTGAGAAGTCGGTAATTCAATCTTGGCTGAGGGGCCTAAGTACACAGAATGACGTGAGGTTTCGGCCCGGGGTAAAGGCTGAAGCGTTCCATGGTTTAGTCAAGAGAAACTTTCGTGACGGGGATGAGTTCCAGTGCCAAAATCCTGCATTGGAGTTTCATGGCAGTGCTGTATCACTGCCCTCCTTGGGCGTTGTACTGTGAGTGCTTAAACTGAAGACAATCGCGGGGATTGCAAAAAACATGACTAGAAGGAGAAGGGGAATTGGGGCTGAAAGTTGACACCCCACATGTTACGTGGTTGATCAACTCAAGCGTGGGCCAAATGGGCCGGTCTACTCATGTGACATCTCAAGAGCAAGTCGTCTTATTTCTGCTTCTGTTGTATACAGAGTGGGGGCTGGCGAGGTCCCAGCTGTCACTGGCCCAGAAGATAGCAGATGGCAAGGAGCAGAAACGCTGCTGCAGGACACAACTGGTTAGGGAATGTCAGGGATGTGATGGGATGTGAAGCATGTCAATGCAACGGCAGTGATATTCCCAGACCGGAGTTTCCTCGGGAGGCAAGGTGGGGTCTTGACCAATGCTGTGAAAGCTTGGCCCATCCCAAAAAGCCTCGCTCAAGCCGATGAGTTCAAACAAAGGAACCTCCTGTCCAGGAGCGCTTTCATGCAGAACACCTTCTGGAACAAGGCTGCCTCTGAAACTAGCTTGTGACAACTATGGGATCTCCCATTTCGGATGATCTTAATGTAGCAGGTAGTCGTCTCATGTTGTTTCCTTTAGGAGTTGAAAGTATCAAACGTCAAAAGGCATCAAAAGGCTAGTTTCTGAAAGTGCGCCATCTACAGGATACGAGCAAGCGGCCCTGGCCAGACTGCGAAGAGCGATGCCGACCTGTCTTTGAGTTTCTTTGACCATCAACACCTGGTTTTTAAAATGAAACCTCCGAAACTAGGATTGGATCTGAAAAAGTCTCTGAACTTGAACTAAACCAAGTAATTAAACCATCCTTTTTTATGACAGGTAGTTGGTTGGGCTCAGCAGCTCCCGGCAACAGAGGCAGGGCAGCCACCTTATAGTCTGTCACAGCTTCCTGCATTGTGAGGATCTGTGCCAGGCAACATCCGTCCAGGAAGACGTTGCCCTGGCGCGGACTGCCATAGGTTCAGTCCTTGAGATGATGTGCCAATGGGTACAGAATGGTACAGAATGGTGCAGAGATATTCCATGGACCAAATTGATATTCCCACATAAAATTGAAAAACTGAGGTTGGGCATGTGCATGCCGCGCAGCTCCAATCCTGGACAGCGGCAGTGTCCAAATCTTAATCTGGCCACGGCCTTGTGCTTTGGCGGCCAGCAAGCTAGATAAGGAGCTCACCAAAGAACCACGGAATTAATTGAGCAGAATCTCCGGCAAAGCTGTTGTTCTAGCTGGCTGAAGAAGATATGCCTCCTATCTATCCCTTTCTGTTTTGTGGGTGTAAGAAAAAGCAACCACGTGAATCAAATGTGATGACCATTTGACCACCAAGCGAACACCATGAGAAACATGTATGTGATCGACTCAGGTGAGCTCAGATGTTCTCAAAGCGGCCCGGAAGGATATGGACGAAGCAGAGGATTTGCACGAGATGACTGTGACATACTGTGACTCCTCCCACCTTGTTGGAAGCCTTTGGGGTCCGCGATGGTCCATGCTTTTTGATGCTTCATGCCTTGGCAGCCTTCAGGAGCATTGTTCTTGGCTAGAATCACACAGCCATGCAGGCCGACTTCACCGAACCTGCACTGAAACATAGTGAAAACTCAATAAGACTTACCGCATGCCTTGCACTTTTCTAAAATTGAGTGACTCGTGCCACGTGCCTCATTTGCTGACGTTCACATATATATATATATAATATTACACACCCCTCATTTCCTGGTAAGATCTGTACCACATTGTTTGAGGTGCTCGGCTGCTGCGTGCAAAGATCCTGGTTGTCAATGATGATGACTTTGCAAATGAAAGAGCCTCAATTTTGAGAGTTGCAAATGAGAGAGCAACAAAATGAGAAGGGAAAAGAGGAAACAGGGGTCTAAAGTCTAAAGTTTAGAAAATGCCTTTGCTTTCGCCGAGCACCACTTGGTAAATTGCTTCAGCTGGTTTTGGCTCAAAGTGCAGTACGGGTTCAACAATCCATAGGGACAATGCATTGGGCGCTTGTATTTCTCCCATGGCTTTGTGCCGCCAGTTCGGGCAACATGAACGGCAAGTATAGCGTGGCAAGTGGAGATCGCCAGGACCATGAATGTGCCAGTTCTGGAGGCTTAAGCTGGAGCATAAACCAAAGTATTGCAGTTGCAACTTGAAACATGTATACAGCCTCTATACGCACCTTTACACATCACATGCCAATTGTCAGGATATAGTGTGTCTGTGTGTTATATATATAATAATAATAATATATATATATATGTATATATATATATAAATATGGATACGTCACATTTGTTTTGTGGCAGGACGTCAAGTTTAATGACGACTACGCTTCCAAGGGCCACGAGTTTTTCGATGTGTGGGCACCGGAGATTGCCACCCACTACGGTGAGGTTTTTTGGACCGACCAGGGGAATCAACCGCTGCCTCCGGAGATCGTGAAGCGCTTTCAGGGCAAAGTCATTGCCATCACCGGCTACGAGATGGACCAAGTGATGGTGGATCCAGTGGGCCATCCTGGGGTGAACCCCAAGAAGGATGTCTCGGTACCTATAAACTGGGCATATAATCATCACTACATGGCCTTCATGACAGGTGTTCACTCCGAGTTGAGGAGAGTTGCAGCAGCACCTGGTGATCCAATGGCTCATGGAGCTGCAACCAAATGGATTGCCATTGATAAGCCATCAGCGGCGCAACGAAAAGACACCTCCATCCCAACCTCCCAATTCTTTTCAGAAGGAAATGGCGGTGAGTCTCGGAAGTCATTCCATGGATACCCTGATGGATATGCCCAGCTCATTGAATCGCCGAACATGTGGCACATTACTCCAATGCAAATCGATACTCGAAACCGCGACTGCGGAGTGAGCCCCGCAGACATCAATAACTGCACAAAGTTTGTACCGGGGCCAGAACCAAAGCAGGCAAGGTATGGTTTGGGCACTCCTGCGGACACCAACTACAGTGGCATCTTGGAGTGCCCTTGCAATTCCAGATATGGGGGCGATCCCATGTTTTACCCCGAAGCCCAAACGAAGCTGATCGAGCATAAGTACACCTTGGGCTCTAATGTGTGCAAGCGTGGCGAGGGAGTGTCCAGTGCAGCCAGTTGCTTTGCTGGTGTTCAAACCTTGGGGATCAACGCTTCCCACTTTATCAACAAGAGTGTGTCAAAGCAACAGCTGCCACCGGGTTGTTCAATGACAAGGCTTGCCAACGACACAGTGGTTGTGTACTTCAACAGTGGAGGGAAAGGAAATTGCAGTTCCTCCAGCAAGCGTTCTGGGGAGGGAAGTTCCAAGGTCGGAGTGAATGTGGCCATAGAACTTGATAGCAGTGGCATGTTCAAGATGTCTCCCGCTGGCCAGTATTGCAGTGAGAATCGTGCGAGCAAGATCACTTCCTTTGAAATGAAAAGCTCCACGCTGCAAGCTGCCCGGGAGGCCAGGGATCAGTGCCAGGAGTTTTGCTGGAAGACATCTGGATGCTGGGGTTGTAGCGTGGATTGCAGCTTGCCTGAACATATTCACGCTTGTTAGCAGTGTATAGCCTGTATAGCAGTGTGATTGTTTGATTGTTTCAGGTGATCCTCAAATCTCAATGCTTACCATTCGATGCAGCTTGTCTGTTATGACCACCATCCAACTGATCATAAGAAATCATACACAGCACCCAAGGTGAGAAGGTACCCTATGCGTATGGAGCACCCATCCAAGCTTGCCAGTGGAATGCCATCTCCTCTTGCGGGAAAGTCGAAAGCTGGACAGGCTCCATTGAAGGAGACATCAGTTTCTTGCTCCAAACCCTTGCCATTTCTTTGACATTTCTTGTTTTTCCCCGTTCGTGTCGTGTCATGCCTTTAGCGTGCCTCGTGCTGCGTATTTGTGAGAATGTCACTAGTAAGTGTTGATGGCGCGACGATCTTACGATTGGAAACAGCTAATACAGTTTAACACAGTTTTGGAATTCTTGTCAATTCTTGTCTACAAATCCACCTCAGGTGAAAAGCAACCGCAGGGTGGAAAGGCCACCATTACCATGTCGGGTCCTGCCGACTCCTGGTTTGGTGCTGGATTCAACGCATCCGCAATGGCAGATAGCCCCTACACACTGGTAGTGAACCAAGATGGTGTGACAGAGAGGAAGATTGGCACTTGCGGATCTGAAGCAGAGCATTGTCCTGGCATCCAGCTGCCCTCCAGTGTCACCGTGTTGTCAAACTCCGTGGTTGGAGGTGTCCGAACAGTTGTTATGACCAGAGCTTTGGTCGGACTCTCCAAAGATCACTACAGTTTCAATCCGTTCTCGGATGAAACCATCATTTTCATCACAGCTGTGGGTTCCTCCCAAACCTTTGCATATCACCGTGCCCATGGACCATTGCAGTTGGCCCTTACCACAGTCGGCTCGGTTTCTTGCGTGTGTGATGCAGGCTTGACTGGACGGCTGTGTGAAGCGGGTGGTGTAAACTGCCACGAGTTCGTCAAGGATTGTGTCGCCTCTCCGGCGGGTGATTTGCTCTCGCAGATGAACCCAACTTGCAATGCACGACAGTACTCAGGTGGATTGAACTGCTGCCACCACAAGAGAATCATGCTGGATGCTGACCAAGAGATTCGACCCGAGCTGCTCCGCTATCACATGAAATTCCGCTTCTGGTTTCAAGAGTATCAACAGAAAGAAGTGAATGGCTATGGCAAGGCCTCCCATGCCAATTTGCCTCGCATTTACTACCAGACCGAAGCTCATGCTGGAGAATATGACATTCCTCCCGCATTTGCTAAGCCGGGCCACCCTGTGGTAGGCTACCCAGATTGGCCACTGAACAAACCGACGCCCGGTACCACTTGCACTGGAAATTGCCCTGATGGGCCTGACTGCGAATGTGTCCACACCATTACGCACTTTGCCAGCCTCAATGACCATGTTTTTTCGTTCTGAAATCTGTTTCTTTTATTTTCTTAAAATTCATTTTCGTCTAATGTTTTGTCCGGTTTTTAGAGTCTTGGCATGTCTTGGCCACCTACAAAGCTTCCGATGCTGAGGTTCCACTGGACGGTCAGCAACATTCGCCTGATCTATGCAGGTGGACATTGCCATGCTCCCAGCTGTATTTCCATTGATCTCTACCACAACCTCACTGGAACGCCGCAGCTCCTTTGCCGCCAGTTGCCAAAGTATGGCCAAGGCAACTTCCCGAAGGACCAGGGTGGATCGACGGAAGGATAGATGGATAGATGGATAGATCATGATAGACCTTTGAAAGGACTCAATCCTAGGAAGCGCGAAAAGGACCCTAGAAGGATCTAAAAGGTCTACAGGATTCTACTGCAGTATCAATTCTTGCATGTAACCTTGCCTATGACTTGCTACTCCTGGCAGTTAGCCTCACAATCTCATGGAAAGGACAAGTTCGATGAAGCTGGCTATGTGGCGCTCCCACCTTGCCTTTGGAGCGATGAGGATCCCAGCTTGGACAACAGCGTTTGGCTACCAAAGAACACTCCTATGATCTCGGTCAAAAAGAACAAGAACACGCATTTGGGGCATTTTGGCATCTTGTTTGCAAGAAGATCAAGAAGGCCTTCCATTTTTCAATGCCCCTGAGAACTGTACTGCATTTCCAAACCTTTTCTCGAACGTGCTTGTGTGCTTGCTTGTGCTTGTTCGTCCGTGTCCGAGTCTTGCATGTGCTTGTTTGTGTCCTCAAGTCTTCGTTGGTGCAATTGTTACTTAGGGATAATTAGGGTATCTGTGCCTTAGGGTTTCTTCCAAGATCTTGCAAGTGTTCCAGTGACTAGGCGAAATGGCTTCATGGCAGATGCGTGGCGTGAACTTTCCGGCTGAACCTCCCACCTTCATTTAAGTCGGTGGACGTTTCCAGGTCTTCTTTAAACATCCTGATGTCTAAAACAGGCCACAAGTGTTTGTATTTGAGCCCGAGATGCTTGAACTCTCGGCCACTGCCACTGGACATCTTTGTAGCCAGAGGCAAGACTCCTGGACCTTCCATTATTTGTGGGGAAAAGTTCCGAAATTGCCAGGGGACCGATGGAGCGGACACAACTGTCCAACTACCATAGATATCAAGAATGAACGTGACCGAGGCTCACAAGCAACTCTTGGAAGCTCAGAAGCTTCTTCCAGAGGATAAGCGAGTCGGAGGACTCAGACTCCTACAACAACATGCAGCAACCATCAACAACCATCAACATCCTGTTAAAAACCGCTACTTAATGGGTCGAAGTCCTTTGGACCGTGCATTATCATTTGACCAGTCTTTTTGATTCCAATGCCACTGTTGCCAGGTGCAGGAGGAGCTGAGAAAGGTAAAGATCGAGCTGAGTGACTCGATTTCAAGCATAAGTTAGCACGTTTGATTGTGGTTTTTGCTAGAAGCTGACTCATCATGATAGTCTGTCAGAGATTCACCTTTCTCCAAGGAAAGGAAGAAGAGCAACAAAGTCGAGCAAAGGTGGGGAAGCAGAGTCTCAGAGAAGTCCAGTGAGCTGTGGGTTTGCAAGCTGCAACCTTTCTTCCATTTTCTTCCCTTTCTTTTCCCGGCCTTGTAAAATCATCTGTTGTCCATAAACCAGAGCCTCGCAAGCATGTGCCAGGTGGCTGAAATCAGAGATGGTCTGAAAAGGTGACCCGTTGCAAGATGCTGACTAACGTGTTTCGATATGTTTCGATATGTTTCGATGACTTGCTGACGTCTTCTGTACGGATTCATTTCAATTCGTTTCATTGTAGCCAAGACAGTCGCGATGTTCCTGCAAAGATCTGCAAAGTGTGATGCAACTTGCAACCTTCAGGGCCCGGACTGACGGAGCAGAAGTGCTTCCTTTGCTCAGGCAGGAAGCCTGAGGGAACAATTCCTGAGCGAAGCATCGCACTGTCGATTCTTTTTTAATGCTATGTGACATTGTGTGACTATGTCTGCTATGTTCTCTGTTTGTTCTGTCAGAGCGAAGATATGCGTCTCTTTTTTTCATGCAGAACCATAGAACAGCACTCCTCAACTCACCGGACCAAAGACTAAAGAAAGCTGGACAAGAACAATCCAAGTACCTCAGGGAAAAGCTCTTGGAAGGAGTGTCCATCTCCTCGCACAAAAATTCGGTTTCGATCATTTTTTGTGTTTGCAATTCTGCTTTAATTTCGCCAATTTGAAAGCATTTCTATTTATGTTTTTTTTTGCTTTCAGCCTTTCTTGGTATTATGGTATTGTGTAGTTTCCTTTAATGAGTCGTTTTTAGCATCTTTTAATTAGCGTTTACCTGTCTGTTTCAGCACTCCAGTTTTGACTCGATCCAAATGTGGAGTGCTGGTGGTGAGACCTCCGATTATGGTCTTGAGTGTGCCTGGACCTCCAAAAAAAACAGTACTAGGACTTGACCAAGCCCAACCATTGGATTCTTCTAGCACTTTGTACTTTTCTTCTAGTACATTTTGTCTGGCACTTCTTCAGCCAGTTTCCTGTCAGATTCACATGGGAGTCCCTTAGCAGCCTTAGCGTGTTCCAGCAATGCATAAAGCGACACCTCTTGAGGATTCCGGGAAATGATCCAAAACTTGATGTCCAGGGCCTTCGAAAAATACGCAACTCTTTCACACAACTTTGTCACGCACAGCACTTTGGCACAATCTGTATTCCATATTATTTTTCCTTCCCCTTCCCATCTCATTTTCAAATATGTTTTGTGCTTATTGGAAGAAATTGACATGTGGGGTTATCTGGTCCTTTAAGTTGATGAAACTCAAGCTGCCAACGCCAACAGGCAGCTCTCCGAGACTCGATGCTCCTGGGAGACTGTGATGGACAGCCATGTCAACGTTCTCTGAATGTCTCTGTTGTTCTTTGAGATATTTGTTAAAAGATGCTACTACTTGTACGTCCTTGATGCCTCGGGCATGTACGTGCAGTGGGCTCGTTTGATATGGTGAAGAAACTGTGCAATGATGCAATGCTATGCTGCCGCAATTGCACAACTTTCAAGGAGACTCGTATCGGCGTCGAACTCAAGAGCTGTCAGGCAGGGTGTTTGACCATTGGTTGTAGGAAACAGACAGTAGTTCCTGACAATCTCTGGGCGCAGCAAATGCTTCTTTCCGGCAGCTCGTTTTTCGGTCCCCCTGAAACATAAGACTGGCAAGAGGGAACACAACCAGCTCAAGGGATCGTTGCTCTGCATGAAACAGTGGTGACTTGGCTTTGCATTGTTTGAGTGTCACATTCTGCAAGAACCAAGTCTTGCAGGATTGTGGTGAGGAAGCCAAGCAGCCACGCACTTAATCCTTGCAACAGTGCAGAGTTTATGCCATTGTCAGGTATTTTCAGCTACCAGAGACGGGAATCTACTGCCGCTTGCAGATGTGAAAACGCTTGACATTGAAGTGCTTTGCCATATTTGGCCATATTTTGCCATAGTCAACCATGATATCTCCTATATCTCAGCCTTTCTCCGCAGGCTCTGCCAGGAAATCTTGGCCAGGATGAAGGACGAGTCGAAAGAGTGCCTGGATGCATTGGTGGAGGTGGGACAAGGTGTTATATGCGAGCACTTCGTGGCTAGCGAAAATATTGACAAGAGATAGTTTTAAGGGTGACATGAACATAGATGATGAACTTTAGATTTCTGACATAAGATTCAGATTGGGTGTCCCATGAGTGTCCTCGTTTCTTGATCTTCAACCGTAGCCGGAGATGTAGAGTATCACCGGACTTTATCCTTCAAGGCAATAGTGACACCTTCCTAAACCTTCTAAAACCATACAACATTTTTTGAACTACATTTTTTACACTCTTGCTGGAATCATACAAGGCTCTGAGACACACGTAGTATCGGATATTGGAATCATTGCAACATCGCTCTTGGAACGTCCAAGGCAGCGCCCCATGTGGGACTCATAGGCTTGGCTCATCTTGGCTCATCTTGGCTTAGCCTCTGTGCTCTGAGTTTGAAGTGATGGAAGGGGTGTCAATTCTTCCACGAGATCATGAACATTCAAGAACATTCAAGAACTCTTGGAATAATATGATATAGTTTATAGTTCAATTAATTATTACATTCATTATATTCATAGTTGGGGAAGGTTTGGTACAATCAGTAGAAAGAATTGACAGCTCCCTGCCACTGCATATGCTCTGACGTGCACGCTGCTGAGTGCAACGCATGTCACAGCAGGTAGAGTAGGTAATGTCAGCTTGGGCATCGTGGAGACTGAAGACTTGATCCGGAAACAACTCTTCTGATGGGAGTGGAGATAGCTAGTTTTGCCATGTTTTGCCCAAGTTGGCGGTCAAATACCAGCGTGCAACCATTGCATTGGAAAAAGGGTGCTTCCAAGGGCATACAAACACCACACATTCTGAATGGTTCGGAACATCTCTGGCACAGTTTCTTCCACTCTGCACACCCTTACCCTGTTTCTGTGCTCCGCAGTTGGAAAATGCACACCTGATATGACGCCCGATGGCGTTGACCTCTCGGACCAGGAGTACTTGAAGAGGTCCTTTCATGGTGGCAACATGTGGCAACATGCGGCAACATGTGTCAACATGCCAATAAGACAGATCAATGCCTCCTGTTATCACCATGTGATAGCATCGTTGCATATCGTTGCATATCGTTGCATATCGTTGCATCTCGTTGCATATCGTTGCCTTGTTTGGCAGGTTTGGGACTGTGGCGGTTTTTCTCTTCTTGAATGAGATAGAGGCCAGACAGCACCCACAACTTCTGAACAATGCTTGATGTTTTGGAACTGGTGCAGCGCAAACCACCTGATTGGAGACATTTGGAAACGCAAGCAAACAAACTCCATGCTTGACGTTGTGGCTACTATCTGTCTCTTAATTCTTTGGCACATGCCTTTAGTGGAGGTGCATCATTTGTTTCTTTTTTGTTTTTCTGGCACTCCAACATTCTGCACCCTTATTCAGACGAGCCATGAGGCTGCAGATCTTTGCTTCCCAAGACTTGGACTTGAGGTGCGCCGGAAAAATCATTTCCTACCGGGACAATATGGATTAATCATCCGATGATTATTCTGTTCCTGTATTTTCAGCTTTTGCAACGTTCCCATGAAGTGAGAGAGATTGAGAGAGAGAGAGAGAGAGTCAATTGGGTTTGGTACCGCACGAGGGTATCTCGTTTGGATGTTGAGTTTAGTTCTTGACTTTGGGGAGATCAAATTTGATCGCAAATAATAAAAATTGAGGATACAACAGGAATCTCAGCTTCTGTGCCTGTCCCTTCCTGGCTGTGCTGGCAGATCGCATCCTGCACAGCCTGCGCTGTGGTGCATCCTGACCTGCTTTGGGAGGAAAACTGTTCACAGAGTTGGAAAGCTTGCCATGATTTATTGGTTTATATAGGCAATTTTTGTGTTTTCGGATTTGTCCAAAAAATGGGGGAGTCGCAAAATTGACCATGTCACTAAAGGAAATGATGATCAAACATGGGATTTTTGGGGAACCCCATTCTCAGACAAACCCTTTCTGACATTTTGACCGATTGATCTCTCAATGAATTCCACTTGCTTGCGTTTTGGTGTCCGCGTGCATGTTTTGATGTCACCTTTGACTTTGGCAGGTGTGGTCGACCACTTCGCCGTCATTCCCAGGTGTGCTTCGACATAAGGCGGTTGGGCTCAAGTTCCACTTTCTGATCTCCAAGTTATATTCAAAGATGATCAAAGATGCATAGGCTGTGCCCCCAAGAATTCCAATAACCTCGTGTGGCTCATTTGATGCCTCGATCATCCTCGATCCCAAGGCATCACATCCCATCGATTCCCCTTTCTTTTGTTTTTTGCAGCGGTTCAGGCACAACCTCCTCGCTCCGGGACAAGGCTTGGTGCTGGTGCAGCAGCTGAAGGTTTCGGACATTGAGTTGATGCAGGATCGCAGCCATGGGCGTCTTCAGGGATGTGCAAGTCCGGGAGTAAAAAGATCTTCTTGCAGTTTTGTGGCATGTTGAAACAACATGGAACCAAACTTTGGTGATCATCCTTTGCGTTGCGACCATGCCCTGCTTGATACTGCTTGATTCAGATCTGACAAATAAGAAATAATGATAATCATGCGGAAAGAAGCAATGCACGGATACATTGTGGGTGTTACTCGTACTTTCAATCACTGATTTACTGGTAGCATCTGATAGCTATGTACAGCCGCACCTGTGCAAGAAACAAAGGACTCAAGTCGTGCAACAAAAGAAGCGTGTGCTTCCTTTTAGTGGATAGAATGGGATAGAGGGTCATGCCATGTGCCAGTCAAACAGATCCTTGTAAACACGTGAGACATTTTCGGTGCACGGGATCTCATGGAGCCTGGGTGATTTGAGCCACGGCCTTGAGACTTGGACCATCTTGGACCATTGGAGACCTGAGAGCCATTTGTTTTTCAGTTGAAAAAAGAGTTCCATAGAGTTCCTTTGTTTTGAGGTGTGATGGACAGCCGAAACAGCCGAAGGTGATGTCTGAAATTGGCCCTGTGAAGGGCTCAGCTGAGATTTCCAGAACTGTCTTTTGTCCACCTTGGTAGTCCTCTGTAGTTCTTGAAACGAGAACTTGGCCATCCATCCTCAGATCAAGGATGTCTCGGATGGGACTAAAGAAACCGCCCTGGAAACACAGCCATGGCCCAAGCCAAGATATGTCCCATCACTCAGAGAGAAATGATGTGAGTCATGTGTTACACCACTTGATGAGCGGTGGAGAGTTTGCGGATGGAACAGGACTATCCATGTTGCCATGGCAGAAGGAGAGGAGGACAGGTTCTGAAATTTCGCTTAGACCACAGCGAGTGAACCCACTGCACTTTGCAAAGAATCCGGGGCAGGAGATAGCTCGAGATGCGAGCATCAGAAGCAAGAGCCACGACGCAAACAATGCTGTCATCAGAAGCAGAAGTGGCGAGACAAGGCGAGAAGATGCGACTTTATACAAAACACTACTGTAGTAAGATCTAGTAAGATCTAGTAAGTCAGATGGTAAGAACCAGTGGAAATCAATGGACATGGAAAATTTGGAAAGGGTGCATTACGTGTATTACGTGCACATCATTTTCGTTCATTTGCTAAAAAATCGTCCTACTTGATTAATTTGATTGGCTTACTTGTTTTGGTCGACGCAATTCCAGGGCAGCACCCGATGAACACGAGTCCGAGAAGGACTGACCAAACGTTTGGAGCACCAATCAGCTTCAACTCGGCACAGCATTTCTGTTCAATGCATTTCTTCAAACTACCTGAAAGCCTTCATCGAGTATGCAGCAGTTGGAGGATCATTTAGCACCTGCTCGGCGAAAAAATGCCAGACGGAAGACAATGGAACCACCCAAATCAAGGTGCACTGCAATTTGGCACAGGATTTGTGGCTGTGACACTCGCCATGTCTCGCCATGCCGCCAGTATTTTCACGCAGAGAATCACCACTAGCAGTCACTAGCATACTTGGATTTGCTATGATTTGCTGCATTCGTGCAGTCACAGAGCCAGGGTTTGGCGGTGTTTGACAGGGTTTGACATCGCTTGAATGCAAGGAAGTCTCCAATGGAGGGAAAGAAATCACCTGAAGAGCAGGAGGAGTGTTGGATTCAAAGTATGAGACGTGACAGGATCAAAATTGTCAAAAGAGTGGCAGCAGTTTGTCTTTTGATGTCTTTGCAGGAAGCGAAATCAAGACATTCAAGCCGGCGCAGCAAGACGGATGCAGACTTGTCAAGGAAGAGCACGGTTCGTTCATGACCTAACACAATTTGCCAGGAATGGTTTGCTTTTCAGACTTGAAGCTTTCCACTTGAGCGGTGGAGAGTTTGCGGATGGAACAGGACTATCCATGTTGCCATGGCGGAAGGAGAGGAGGACAGGTTCTGAAATTTCTCTTAGACCACAGCGAGTGAACCCACTGCACTTTGCAAAGAATCCGGGGCAGGAGATAGCTCGAGATGCGAGCATCAGAAGCAAGAGCCACGACGCAAACAATGCTGTCATCAGAAGCAGAAGTGGCGAGACAAGGCGAGAAGATGCGACTTTATACAAAACACTAGTAAGATCTAGTAAGATCTAGTAAGTCAGATGGTAAGAACCAGTGGAAATCAATGGACATGGAAAATTTGGAAAGGGTGCATTACGTGTATTACGTGCACGTCATTTTTGTTCATTTGCTAAAAAATCGTCCTACTTGATTGATTTGATTGGCTTACTTGTTTTGGTCGACGCAATTCCAGGGCAGCACCCGATGAACACGAGTCCGAGAAGGACTGACCAAACGTTTGGAGCACCAATCAGCTTCAACTCGGCACAGCATTTCTGTTCAATGCATTTCTTCAAACTACCTGAAAGCCTTCATCGAGTATGCAGCAGTTGGAGGATCATTTAGCACCTGCTCGGCGAAAAAATGCCAGACGGAAGACAATGGAACCACCCAAATCAAGGTGCACTGCAATTTGGCACAGGATTTGTGGCTGTGACACTCGCCATGTCTCGCCATGCCGCCAGTATTTTCACGCAGAGAATCACCACTAGCAGTCACTAGCATACTTGGATTTGCTATGATTTGCTGCATTCGTGCAGTCACAGAGCCAGGGTTTGGCGGTGTTTGACAGGGTTTGACATCGCTTGAATGCAAGGAAGTCTCCAATGGAGGGAAAGAAATCACCTGAAGAGCAGGAGGAGTGTTGGATTCAAAGTATGAGACGTGACAGGATCAAAATTGTCAAAAGAGTGGCAGCAGTTTGTCTTTTGATGTCTTTGCAGGAAGCGAAATCAAGACATTCAAGCCGGCGCAGCAAGACGGATGCAGACTTGTCAAGGAAGAGCACGGTTCGTTCATGACCTAACACAATTTGCCAGGAATGGTTTGCTTTTCAGACTTGAAGCTTTCCACTTGAGCGGTGGAGAGTTTGCGGATGGAACAGGACTATCCATGTTGCCATGGCGGAAGGAGAGGAGGACAGGTTCTGAAATTTCTCTTAGACCACAGCGAGTGAACCCACTGCACTTTGCAAAGAATCCGGGGCAGGAGATAGCTCGAGATGCGAGCATCAGAAGCAAGAGCCACGACGCAAACAATGCTGTCATCAGAAGCAGAAGTGGCGAGACAAGGCGAGAAGATGCGACTTTATACAAAACACTAGTAAGATCTAGTAAGATCTAGTAAGTCAGATGGTAAGAACCAGTGGAAATCAATGGACATGGAAAATTTGGAAAGGGTGCATTACGTGTATTACGTGCACATCATTTTCGTTCATTTGCTAAAAAATCGTCCTACTTGATTAATTTGATTGGCTTACTTGTTTTGGTCGACGCAATTCCAGGGCAGCACCTGATGAACACGACAGAAATGATGTGAGTCATGTGTTACACTACTTGAGCGGTGGAGAGTTTGCGGATGGAACAGGACTCTCCATGTTGCCATGGCGGAAGGAGAGGAGGACAGGTTCTGAAATTTCTCTTAGACCACAGCGAGTGAACCCACTGCACTTTGCAAAGAATCCGGGGCAGGAGATAGCTCGAGATGCGAGCATCAGAAGCAAGAGCCACGACGCAAACAATGCTGTCATCAGAAGCAGAAGTGGCGAGACAAGGCGAGAAGATGCGACTTTATACAAAACACTAGTAAGATCTAGTAAGATCTAGTAAGTCAGATCGTAAGAACCAGTGGAAATCGATGGACATGGAAAATTTGGAAAGGGTGCATTACCTGCATTACGCGCACATCATTTTCGTTCATTTGCTAAAAAATCGTCCTACTTGATTGATTTGATTGGCTTACTTGTTTTGGTCGACGCAATTCCAGGATGGCAAAGGACGGCATGGATCCGGAGGAGGAAGTCAAGCAATTGGGCACTCTCTTGAGCCATCCATTGATTTGAATTGACTTGCAAGTTCTTGGACACTGAAGTTGTGGGTTGTGTGTGTGTAGCTTGTTCTTTGCACCAGCAATGGTGTAGGATCATGTGCCCCCTCTCCGCAAGAACATAGTCAGACGGAAGACGACAGAGGCTTCTGCTTCGCGAACAAGGCGCAGCCATGCGTTGCGGTTGAGTATTTGATGTATTTGCTTTGAGACAGACCTGGACAATCCTAGACCATCTAGACCTGTAGTCTTGCATTTCTGAGAAGCAAAGCCAAGTTTTCCACTGCAAGTTGCGCGCCATCTTGTTTCTAGTCCTCTTCCAATTCGTAGGATTGGTTGGTTTGATTGTCGGATGGTAACTGGCTGTCAGGTTATCTCCCATGGAAGGAAGGGCTTCAGCTTCTCCTTTCTCTGATGAGGACTTTGGGCATGCTTGTGCACAAAAGAAGCAAAAGGAGTCTAAATTCGAACGCGCAACCTGGCACACATGGACTAACAACATGTTTGTTCTCTGAAGACACAACTTGTGTACGAAATGAACAACTTGTGCCTGTATCTTTGCTTAGGTTATGACTGATCTTCCATCCAGGTACCTGAACATGATACAGTTTGCAACAGGAGTCCTTACCGTCGAGTTCCAGAAATGGCTTCAGACTAGCCTTCAAGGGAGCTTTTGACCTCGCAACCAGGCAGCAGCTGGAACAAGAAGATACAAGAAGTTCCTCATTTATCCTCATTTGTGTATCGTATCATGGAAGACCACTAGTAATTGAAGGAGGGAGGTAAAAAAATACTTTGGATCTTTACTTCCATGTGTCTGAAGCGTTTCTTGTGGCATTCATAGTGTTTTAATGCTGACGATTGGGGCGTCGAATCAGTGATACCGGAGACGTGGCCGATCCTTTGTTCTGGCTCAAGCGGGATCGCAGAGTTTTCGATTGCCACCAGTCCACCAGCTCCCATGGCGGAAGTGCCGGCTGACGAGGTGCCAGCGGCAGAGAAGGAAGAGCTCTTCTGCACCTATGCGGCCATGATTTTGAAGGATAGCGAGCTCGAGATCTCCGAAGAGCACATCAACAAATTGATCAAAGCTGCTGGAGGCTCTACCAGCAGCTTCTTCCCAGCCCTTTTTGCAAAGCTTTGTGCTGGCAAGGACTTGGAGAGCATGCTGAAGTTTGGTGGTGGCGGCGGCGGCGGTGGTGGTGGTGCCGTTGCTGGTGGAGGAGGTGGCGGCGCAGCACCCGCGGCTGAAAAGAAGGAGGAGAAGAAGGTGGTCGAGGAAGAAGAGGAGGAAGAAATGGAGTTTGATCTCTTCGGCTAGGCTTCAGCGGACGAAAGCTCTGACGAAAAAGGCTGAAAAATCTCTTATTGCGGAGCGGCTCTTGCTGTATAGCATAGAAAGTCTTCCGTGGTCGTTGTAGCTGACTAAGGGCATCCCTGTTCTTGAAGCTTCCATCAAGTACTGCTGCAGGGTTGGGATAGCCACGTTGATAGTAGCAGGCTTGCATGAACTATTCAGACTGTACTTCCTTATCCGGACCGGAATTGTTTTGCAGCAACCGAGGCGAAGAAAAGTCGCAAGCACAGGCTCCTGACCATGTACCCTTTTCATCTCTTTTCACCCCTTTTCTTTTCGTCTAGACATTGTGTTGCCTTGATATGATTTCTTGATTTTGATCAATGAAATGGCACAAACGCTGCAGTTGTACCATGCCACTGGTGCAACTCTTGGTTTCTGGCAGGAAAGAAAAAGAACATAAAGAGGAAAAGGCTGAACCTTGGTGGCAGATGGCGAACGAACCATGCTGAGCCATCCTGAACCTGGTGCACGTATTGTCTCCAAATCTCTCCAATTTGCAGAAGTTAGTGAAGTTAGTTCCCAATTTGTGTCAGCCCTTCAGGTCCTTGCACTGCAGCTCCGAATCCAAGGACACACCCACGCCGGAACCACCAAAACGAGATCTGGAGCTTATCAGGCCCTTGCGTTGTCTGGAAAATGTTCCGGCTCAAAAAAGAGAGCACTCCTGTGGTTCATACAGAAAGTTTGCGAGAGAGTTTACGGAGAGATCCAACAGATCAGTCAGGAAGGCTTTTAGCTCAGCCCGCAGAGCAATAATGATGAGGACTGCAGTTCAGGGAAAGCACAGGACAAATATGGACAAATTATCCAGCCACAACAGGCCTGCAACAATCCCGTGGATTAGGATGGCATTCTGATTATATAAAGCAACATAAAGCAACCAGTTTGACACTCTCTCAGATTGATTTGGCAAACACATCCTATTGACATGAACGGCGTCCAGCACGTCGCAAAACAACACTCTAATGTAAACATTGCCACCTCCACGAGTTTATAAGAAATCTGCTCAGAATATATCGCAACCTTTACATATTGAACATGTGAACACATTTTCATTATTTTTCATCCTTTTTCATTTAACGACACATGACCCCCATGGATCCCCACCGCACAGGACGGCCATGAAGACCCCCCCGACGCACCGTGACGCCATCCGCTTGGGCGTCCAAGCCCTGGGACGGGCCGCTGGCATGGTGATACGGACACGCCGCACCAAGGCGAAGCAGAACTTCATTCACTTTTAACATCTTTTAACTTTGATTCATGTTGTTGAAAGTTGTTATTGTATGTTATTGTAGACTCTACACCTTTCTGCATTGGTCATCGAGCATCTTGGTTGGCACCACATGCGGATTGTGAAACTTGACACTGTGCTGACTTGACACTACCGCAGGCCATTCACATCATGAGGATCTTTGTGGCTGCAAAACGCCGGCACGACTTTGTCAAGGAGCAACCACACTTGGCGATTTGTCTAAGTCTAATTCATTTGGACATATTTGGACTAAATCTTGAAATGATTCCATAAAGAATTGAGTCTCATGAGCTCCTGCTGCCCTTTCACATCCGTGTACTGCAGGTGTTCAGGAGGTTCGTGTCAGCAGGCCAGGCAAAGCCTGTTCACCAATCATGCAACCCTTTCCCCAATCCAAAGCATAGTGATGCATAGTGTTAGCCTTCCCTCTGCATTGTGTCAGTAAGAAAGACAATATAATATCTTATAAGATATTATAAGATATTATAAGATAATATAAGATAATTGAGTTGGATAAAGATGATAAAGCTGTTACGGGCTTAGCTTAGTTCATTCCTGTAACTAGGCCATGGCGGCCATGGCCCTAGATGAGTCCAGGAGCAGCAGCAGTACAACCCTGAGATTGAGATGGATGAGATCATGGAGGCACGGCCGAGGTTTCCGGCGTTGCGCAGCTGAAGTCTGAAGTCTGGGCTGTCCTAGCAGCTGTCCTAGCAGCCCTAGCAGCTGTGCCGTAAAACAGCGGCAGACTTGATGCAAATGTCAATGATTCAATATGATTCAATGATATTCAACGATATTCAATGATATTCAATGTTTCTTTTCTCTGCCTCACACACTATCTCTCGCTTTCTCTATTTTGAAGGAACATGTGACGAACATCTTCTGGCAATGTGTGCCTTTGATGGCAAGCGTTCAGAGGAGGAAGTGTATCTTGTTGATTGGTGGTTTGATGGTTACTTGCCACGTTTTTATCATACATATCTATCCCATTCTATCCATGTCTTTGTTCAATACTGTGAAACTCAGGATCACTACTGAAACACATGATAATAGGAACCTGATCTGAGGCCGAAGCACGTAGTCGCTTTTTTAATCTTTTTCCCTTGTGCATCTTGTGCTTGACCTGAATCTTGTTGGATGCTGTCACAATATGTTACAATGCTGTTGTTGTTGTCATTTTGTTTCATGTTGTTTCCAAGGTGCAGTTGAAGATCGACAACTATGACAAGATGGTCCCAGAGTTGCTGAAAGCCTTTGCGGAGCCTGGCACCGGAATCGCAGAGTCGATGCTGGATTTTCGTCGTGTGCTGGAAGATCAGCTCAGGCGTTTGAACGACTGGGCGAGTTTTGCCCATATGGGACATCGAACGATTTTGGCATACAATACACTCATATACATCCGTAGCATATGAGATTATAAATATTTATAAATTATAAATTATAACTGACGATAGAAGACATTGATAAACTTTCTGGTTGCTGGTCGATCTCAGTGTCTTAAGCCAGGCACCTGGAAGCGGAGATTGACTATGCAGTTGAGAGTGGAGACTACGAAGCAACAAATACCTCCAGCTGCTTGTCTTCAGTCTCTGTCATACTCAGTCAATCTCCGTCAAGTTTTGTACACCGAGAAATGATGAGAAATGGGGCATTGTTAGTCTTTTGACAGAAAGCACAGGGATTCTATTGACTTCCAAGGTGCTAAGAAGAAAGAACTTCGTAAGGTTGTGGAGAGCGCCGTGGAACAAGCCTCTCACATTCGGTCTTTAGTGATTTACGCACGGACCCTTTCCAGAATGAGTCGAAAGCAAAATCTCGCGCATGAAGATGACGTGCAGTCCCTTTTGGCAAAGATCCAAGGCCTGGATGTTTCCAAAAAACTCATGAGAAAGTTGACCGACAGTGAGGATTTTCCGAATTCTCCGATTCAGCGGCCTCGTCGTCGTCGACGCCGGGCTGGAGCGACTGGAGCGACTGGAACGTCTGAAGCGTCTGGAGCGGATGAGACAGGGGAAAACAAGATAGGCAACGACAAAGATCCTGACCCTGAAATCGGCAGCGAAAGCAGTGAGAGCAGTGAGAGCAGCGAGAGCAGTGAGTCCCAAAGTGATTCAGGGATCGAAGAAACTCAACACATAGAAGTCATAGAAGAGATAGACGAGGAGAATCACAGCCATGACAGCCATGACAATTTTGATGACCCTGACGACCCTCAGAAACCGATGGTCGCTGTGACCTTCGAGGAGACAGAGCTTGAGCCGCGTGATGATGTCGTGGCTGAGGATTTTGCATCCGCAGATCTCTTAAATCTTCCACCACTTCCACCACCTGAAGAGTTGGAGAGCTCCAACAATCCTTCAAACCTGGAGGATGCAGAAACAGGATTTTCAACCTCGGGCTTCCTTGGTCTATCAGAGGCGCACTGGGCAGAAGACATGAAAACTATTGAAAACTCATGAAAACACGAATTCAAAATTCAATAGGGTCAATATGTTGACCACCAGAAACACAGATATATAGGAGACATGCTGCCCAAGTGCTTCTATGGCCCATGGTTATTTATTCTCAATCCGAGAAAAACAAGCGCTTGTTCCCTACTTCTGCCTGTCCAACTTGCTTAACTATAAGACTAACTAAAATAGACTAAAGCTATTTACTCCTGATGAAGATGTTTGATGTTGTGGTCCCTGGATGTCCCAGTGTGCTTTTTCTGCATTTTCACATGAATTTCCCCCATGGTGCAGGGCAGCCGGACCTTCAGTGGAAAGCTAAGCCTGGGACCAAACTGGTCCCGTCTCCAGTCCTTCATCAGCGAGGCTGAGAACGAGCCATTGGATCTTGAGGTGCATCTCATCATGTCACCCAAGGGACCCAAGTCACAAGTGTTGATTGGTGAGATCAAGTCGACAATATGTGACAATAAGATGTCACAACAGATCACCACCGTTGACTTTTTTGTGACTTTAAGGATGTTTGTGGTGGGAGATAATGGGACATAGTGGGACTATGTGCAACATTCTGAAACGCGCAGGCTATGGCATCAGAGCCCTCTTCTGTCTTCAAACGCTTTGACTACACTGAAGATTGGGAAGAGCAGATCCAAAAGTATATAGAACTGGTGCAAAGCTGGGAGGTTGAGGAAGTTACCGTCCAGGAGAGTGCGTTCTGAGAATTCTCTGGCGATTTCCACCACAACACACACACAACACACAGGTGAGATTTCCACCACGACACAAAGACGTTTCATGTTTTCCGGATTCAATGCACGATAGGCAGAATCAGCTCAGCCAAAGGAATGATTTCCACCACACCGATTTCTTTTTGTGTTTCAAGGTCGAACATGTCCAAGTATTGAAGCCATTTGAAGCTCAGGGATTTCTGGCATAGGATGCATAGGAATGCATAGGAGTCGTCAACTGCATTCCGAATCTTCCGACAGCGAGGACAATCGAGGTCTGGTGCTAACATTCCCTGGTGATGTTGGGAACGTCAGTCCATCAGACTTTCCGCTCATCGTTCGATACGAGGACGGTGGGGACGACCAAAGTGACGTGAGATGACTCTGTGTCAGTGTCCGATGCTTGAGTGCATACTCTATTAAATTAAGACACTGTGGGCTTCGACACATGCACAAACTTGGGCAGATGCCGATTTTGGAGGTTTCATGTCGCCAACATGTTGAAATGTGCACATGGGAGGATCCTGCAAAGGCGATGGCTGCAAGCAGGGGCTCCAAATTTCGACATGAATCGAACATGGCAGGACTAGCAGTGACTAGCAACATGAGTCAACATCATGCGCTGCAAAGGAGCCACCCTGGGACATGTTCAACTTAGGTGGAGGTAGAAGTAAGGGATTGCCGAGGACAGGGGGTTTGCGACTTCTCGATGAATAGTCTCAGTCTCTCTCTCTCTCTTTCTCAGTCTCTCTCTCTCTCTTCTCTCTTTCTTGTCCCCTTTAGAGACTAGGACAGGTTGAGACTCGAGATGGTTTAGAACAGACTTGTTCATTAGACTAGTGCATATGATGCCTCCTTATCTGGTGATTGTGCTTGCTCGCATAGCTGCCTTCAGCAAACGTGTAGTGCATGAGTTTGACATCATCCTTTGAATTCGTATCACACATCGATTTCTGTCACATCAAAACCACTTCCGAAACCACCTATAGCAACCCCCACAGAGACAAACTGGTAAAACCCCACCAAGATAGTGCTACTAGTAAAACATAGTAAAACCTTAAAATCCTGTCTTTTTTGAGAGGTTACATACTACCGGTTACTACTGGCTACTACTGGTTACTATACTATACTATACTAATACTAATACTAATGCTAATACCAATACCAATACCAATACTAATACTAATACTAATGCTAATGCTAATACTAATGCTAATGCTAATGCTAATACTAATGCTTGTATCCTTAAAAAGCCACTGACGATTTGTTGGCGTTTCAGCTCCACAATGCTCCACAGCTCCAGGGAGCCAGAGGGTTCAAGACGTCGTGCCAGCGCGGCTTTCACTTGGGCTGCGTGGGAGGACGGCCAAACATATTGCCATCTTTTATTTCTATTTATTGTATATTTATATAATATTATTTATAATATATTCTACGTATATCCATATACTCGTATCTTCTTTTCAAGAGACAAGAGGACAATACGGACAATAGGATTCTGTTCGAAGTCGTGCCGTATGGTTTATTGACATCCACCTGAAGGAAGATGAACCTGCAGTTCCGGAGCGAAGGTGCAGCCCGAAATCTGTCGGTATGTCACTGGTATCACTGGTCATTGGGACGGATAACATTCTGTCAGCCACCCCGCCCACCCCTTCAACTTTTCGAGACCCCAGGACGCAAACTCCCAAGATGAAGTCGCCTGAATCGAGTCATTCTGAGAACTGGGATCAACTGGCAGCTTTAATGGCATCGGACCCAGCGGCTTTGCTTGTGCAGGGGAGACAGTGGACCGAAAATCATCAATGGGACTCAGAGGGGACATTTGTACATACATTATTTATCAGAATTGATGTTATTTGTATAGGTGACAAGATTGATGTATTATTCATGTTCTTTATATACATGGTGTATGTTATGATACTCAATTATTTGTGCCAATGAATGCGTGAGAGATTTCAGATGTTTTCTGCTCAGGATCATGCCGACGTACCTTTGGCATCGGCCGAAGGTCGGAGTTACTGTGCTGTTTCAATCTCCCAAGCTTTGCCTTTCCACTGTCATTCCGCTTGTTGTCAATGCTTTTGTCAGAGACCGCTTTGGTTTAGAAATGTTTAGCAAGGCTTTCCTGTGGCGTTCACTTGCTTTCTCGTCTTTCAGATAAGTTCTTGTTGCTACAACTCCCGAAACAGAGGTAGCCCTGAGCCACCTGGAAGCAGTCCTCTTGCTGCAAGCACCCCTCAATCTCCTGGCAGTGAAGAAAGGACTGTTTTGAATACCAACGCTGTGGGGCTGTTCGAAGGAAGTTTAGAAGTCAAACTTCCGACAATATGGACAGATGAAAAGCAGAGATGGGAAGAGTCAGAGAGAAGAGAAGAGTAGAAGAGAGAAGATCAGAGAAGAGAAAGAGTCAGAAGAAAGAAGCTGCAGATGCGCGAAAAGGTAGGAAAGTCACGAAACACGGTGTTTTTCCAATGATTTGTGGCTCCGGAGGGTCGAAAAGTAGGCTCGCTAAAGCGGCGGGTGCGGAGCCATGTGGTCAGATGAGAGATGAAAAGTTGCACGCCGTTGTGGCGCGAAGCACATTTTGAAGTAAAAATGCACAAAGCACACCAGGTCCGGACCACTTTTGGAAGTTGAGATGTCGAAAAAGTGCACGCCGTTGTGGCGCGAAGCACATTTCGAAGTCAAAATGCACAAAGCACACCATGTACGGACCACTTTTGGACGTTCAGAGCTCGTTTGGCGTGGTAGGCGCAAGGGATTGCGCACCTTGTCAAAAGTGAGCAAAACGCGAGGTTTTGTAGCATTTCCAAGAACGATGGCAGGCGCAGGACATTTGAAGAGGATCTTCAAAGATGCATTTCGCGTGGCAGGCGCAGTACAAAAGACATGTTCATCAGAGATGTTGGGAGGTCAGCGCGCTGATTTCCTGAGAGGGGTTGGATTTGGGTTGGATTTTGGAGCATCAGATCTTCAGGTTTGCTGAGATGATTTTGCGTGACAGGTGCAGCACTTCGTATGACCTGGCATCAATTTTTCGTGGCAGGCGCAGTACTGTAGACAGGTGGAGTGGAAAAATCGCAAAACGCATTGGTACGAGGCCGTCAGCTCTGCACTCAACTTTCCATTTTTGAAGGAAGTCTCGCAGAATTGCTTGGTTTTTGATGTTGCCAAGTTCAAAAATTGAAGAAGTCTCGCAGAATTGCTTCGTTTTGGATGTTGTCAAGTTCAAAAAATGAAGAAGTCTCGCAGAATTGCTTTGTTTTTCATGGTAGCAACTTCGAAAAATGAGGAAGTCTCGCAGAATTGCTTCGTTTTTGATGTTGTCAAGTTTTAAAAATTAGGAAGTCACGCGGAATTGCTGCGTTCTTGATGTTGTCAAGTTCAAAACTTGAGGACCTCTCGCAGAATAGCTAGGTTTTCAACCTTGCAGATGGACTGGTAGATAGACAGACAGACAGAGAGAGAGAGAGAGAGATAGGTAGATAGATAGGTAGATAGATAGGTAGATAGATAGGTAGATTGATAGGTAGATAGGTAGATAGATAGGTAGATAGGTAGATACATAGTCAGATAGACAGATGAGAAAGATAGATAGCTAGCTAGATTCAGCTAGATTCAGCTAGATAGATAGATAGATAGATAGATAGATAGATAGATAGATAGATAGATAGTTCAAAACCTGAGGACGTCTCGCAGAATAGCTTCGTTTTCAAGCTTGCAGATAGACAGGTAGATAGACAGACAGACAGACAGACAGACAGACAGAGAGAGAGAGAGAGAGAGAGATAGATAGATAGATAGATAGGTAGATAGATAGGTAGATAGGTAGATAGGTAGATAGGTAGATAGGTAGATAGATAGATACATAGTTAGATAGACAGATGAGATAGATAGATAGCTAGATAGATAGATAGCTAGATAGATAGATAGATCGATAGATAGATAGAAAGATCGATAGATAGATAGATCGATAGATAGATAGATCGATAGATAGATAGCTAGATAGATAGATAGATAGATCGATAGATAGATAGAAAGATCGATAGATAGATAGATAGATAGATAGATAGATAGATAGATAGGTAGACAAGCAGACACAGAGAGAGAGAGATAGATAGATAGATAGATAGATCGGTAGGTAGGTAGGTAGGCAGGTAGGTAGGTAGGTAGCTAGGTAGGTAGATAATCAGAGAAAAAGAAAAAAAGAGAGAAAAAAAGGAGACATCAATCACCTTTCACTTTCGATCCATCAGTGGCTTCGCTCTGCCAGCCGTGATTCACAACAACCAAGCTCTCCTATAGGTATCCTATTTTTTGAAACTTCCGCCACCGCCTTGCGCGGTACTAGTAACATTTGTCAACTACTGTAAGTCATGGAGATGAGCTGGTGTCAGGAGCCTGTCAAACACCCTCGGGAGTATGCATTGGCTGGAGGACACTGCCGCTTCCAGTGTTCAACCTCAGCAGCTTCCCGGCCATTGGAAATTTCTGAGCTTCATGTTGTTGACATAGCTCTTGGAGCCCTCAGAACATGTTCAGAGCATCACGCAGGACTCGGTTTTGCCTCGAAAAGTGAAATTGAATCTTCGGAAACTGCGCTATGATCCTGGTGCTCAGGCCATATCGGGGCCCAAATACCATAGGTTTTCATGGAATTCTCCATGTCTCCATGACGCGTCAGGGTCGCGTCCAATCACCATGGCGCACTTTGCTGTCAGTGCTTCTTGGAAGGTTAAAACCTTGCCGCCTGCTTCCGTTGAAATGAGGCCAGTTGCAGTGAATTGCCTTTATATCTTGGCTTAAAGGCTTAGTGCCACAAACTGAAAACGATTCCCCACACTACATGATAATCTACTCTATATACAACATCTGTTGTCACATCTTACAACTTTTTTCGGGAGGTCTACGATGTTTCCGGCCTCGCCAAAGATTGCTAAGGAGCGACCTGAAGCCGCCAGGGCTGCTGAAGTAGATGGCCATGTAGAACATAACATGCGAACAAAAGTAGCAAACGTGCTTGGTATCTTGGCATCTAGAACTTGGATGCAATCGTTCCAAAGATGTTTTTCCACTTGCTAGAAGAGATTAGAAGAGAATGGTGCCGACTTCTGCACACGCATAAGTTCATCTGAACTAAGACCTGTAAGCAATGTGGGCGTCTGAAACCATTGTTGTCTTCAACATCAGGGGCACAGGAAATGTGAAAATCAGTGGGAGCGTCTGATGGCCATCGTGAGCGGGAAGGTGTGAATAGAAGAAACATAGAACGAAGGGTACAAGAACAAAGGAAGAAAAGGTCTTGAAATGTCTTGAAGTTTGACGATGATACAGTGATACTATATGAAACAACATGATTACAATATGATTCGATACTTGTCCGTAGGATCGTTCCAAATTTGAAGGACTGGGGAGAAGGAAAGGCTGGAGGCCTTCGTTTTCGCTCATGAGGCCGATGGAGAGGAGTCTGTGCTTGGAGCTCTACGACGTGTTCGGAAGAAGCCACTGGATTGGAACAGCTTCGAATAGATTCGAGTTACGAGTTGATTTTAGCAAATTTCATCATCCTTTCATCATCCTTTCATCGACATAGTCACCCTTTGAACTTTGAATGGTTTCCCCTGCTTTGAAGCTTTTTGCTGTCCCATGAGCCAAAGTTGAGTCCCTGCCCACTTTGCGCAAGATGAACATGCAAGATCTTGAATCTTATTCTTGTCATGTTTGAGATTGCTGAGGAGATTCAACTTCCCGGATGCTGATGAGGTGTGCTTTGCCAAGCGTCTGCGAAACAGAGCAGTGCGTTCAAAATCATGACCAGCTCGAGCATCAAACAGGGAGATTCAATATCAAACAAGAAATCAGGGTGATGACAAGCATCATTCATCAACATCATCAATTTATCAAGCGTTCCTCCCCGTGACATTTTGTCTATTGGGCCAGTATATCACAGCAAATAGAATGATGTAGATGTGCGTAGATTATGGGCATTGTTGGGCATCATTGCAGCTTTCGCAGTGAGCCAGGTGAAGAGCATGAGAGGGTGGCACGAGTCGGAGGACAAAAAGGGGCAGTTTTTTTTTCGGGAACAACTGGGGCTGACAGCTGTTCAGCAGCAAGAACTGACTCCCTGACCGCTTCATCCAGGAGAGAGTTAAGAGCTCATGGCGAGAGCATTCGCTTTCCGTTTGGCTCCAAGATTGGACAAAAAGGATGAAAAACGATGAAAAACTATGAAAAGGGATGAAAAAGGAAAAAACATGTCGAGATGCTCAGTGATTGACTCCGTTGAAAGGGATGCTGGGATGCGACATTTACCAGCTCAATTGTCATCAGCTGTCGAAGATCACTGTACGCTTGCTAACATTTGCCAACTATTTATAGAAGCTCCGGTTATCTCGTCATCTCCAGTCCATTTCACACCTGGCATCGATTCATCGTGAAATTTCCACTTGAGGCTCCAGTGCCATTCCTGGACCTGGTGCCAGTGATTGGTGGAGAGGCAGTGGGCGGTTTCGAAACATCCAAACAAGGTAAACAAGTTGGCCACACATTGCCAGCATCCTGAGTTTATCGCCACCTTGGCGTAGTAGGCCTGCGGAGGGCGAAATCGTGCTGCAAATATGTGCCTTGCCTGGAATATCCTGAATCCCTTGCAGCCCAAGTTTTGATGACCATAGCCAGCCCAGTTTAGGATGAATGACTTGCAAGAGGAGACATCAGTGGTTTGTTTGAAAAGGGGTGTGTCGGCCTTTGAACTCTAATATGGGGAGGGATTCCAATACAGTAATTGTTCCAGAGAAAAGCAGTTGACACGGCTAAGGGTTCAGTCTGCTTGAATGCTTCTCAATTCTAAAACATGGTGATGAGGTTGGGTGTTAGATAGATGGTGTTAGAAATGAACATTTTGAAACACTCCTCCGCAAAAACCAAGTGCAGAAAGAAATTATTAATGCATATTATAGCAGGTGCATTCTATTTGGCCGTCAGCAATGCCGTCAGCTCTTGTCTGCCGTACCCAAGGCCGTTTGGACACATCACCAAGCCTCGCTTTCACTACACCGAGTTTGAAGAAAGTCGTCACCAGATTCAGGACCCTCAGGCGAGTTGCACTCTGTCCCCTATACATGGTGCAGTTGCCACGGACACTGCTCCACCAAACTGAGAACTGTTTTGTCGAAAGAACATGCATTTTGTAGGACACCATTTTGTTTTAAAAGAAGGTCAGTGCGTGCATGTGCACGCAACGTTTAGATGATAGTCTTGAGTGTGGAGCGACATCTATTAGGTTGCTGCACCGTAGCTGGACGCTTGAAACATCGAGCCATTTGCTTTGGCTCGAGTTGGTATTTTTGTTTGGTACAAACATCAAAACGTCACAGGCTTCATTTTGACTGGTGTTGGCAATCAATGTACCGGACTCGAAGTTGAACTCCATCGTTTATAGGACAGTTCCATTGGCATTTGTTTGCTCAAAAACTCAGATCTCAGCTATTTCATAGTTTTGGCTTGCAAAGCTACAGGATGACCACACCAGAGTCCTTTCGACAAACAGCAGCTGTGCCTCTTTTTCCTTCCTTTCGTACAGCAGAGGTCTGAAGTGCATTCGTTGACCAATGCACTCCCAGTCTCTGTGCATTCCGGTTTTATGGGAATAGCATGGCAGCTGGTGCAGACCTGGCAGCTGTGAAAGTTCTTTGCAAAAATCTACAGCCGACCAGAGAGAGCATCAATCAGGATTTGGGTCCCTTCCTGGAAGATTTGAAGTCTAGCCCTCGGTTTGGCACTTCACTCTTGAGCAAATTGGCACGTCGCAAGAGCCTTGGACATCTCAGAGGAAATCAGGTGCATTCCTGGACTGCACCTTTTCCTGGCATTCTTTTTCCGTTTCTTTTTGTTGTCACCTGACTCATGTCTTGTTGATTTGCACCTCCAACAGAAATGTCGTTTCCTTCCCTCAAGATGCACTTTCCAAGCGGGGCTTCTCCAATGGCTTGCATTTACGATCACATGTCTTGTTGCCAGGAAGCTCCGCCATGTGTCTTTGGTCTTGGATGCTTTGTTGAGAAATCGCTGCGATGTGAATGCATTTCACTATGGCGTCTCCATCAGTGCCTTCGAAAAGGCCGAGAACTGGGAGAGGGCGCTGCGGCTGCTGCGTCAAATGGATGTCGTTCGGGTGGAGCCGAACACTGTAACCTACGGCGCTTGCATCAGTGCCATGGAGAAGTGTGGCCAGTGGAAGCGGGCAGTCGATTTGCTGGCAGAGATGGTTCGAAGAGGCGTTGAGAAAAATGTGATTACTATGAGCGCAGGAATCAGTGCTTGCTCCAAAGCGGGGCAATGGCACTTGGCCATGGACCTTTTACATGGCATGTGCAAAGAAAAGATCGATCCGGACACTGTGGCATTCAATGCTTGCATCAGTGCTTGTAGCACCCAGTGGCTGTTGGCACTGGACTTGTTCCGGCAGATGTCAGGCTTTGGGCTGCAGCCTGATGTCATCTCTTTCAGTGCAGCCATCGCAGCGTGTGAGGAAGGGCTGAAGTGGGAGCAAACTTTGGGCCTCTTTGCAGATATGCAATCGAAGCAAGTGGATTTGGATGATTTCAGCTATAACGCACTTATCAGCTCCTTCTCGAGTGCAAGCGAGTGGCAATACGCACTTCATGTGCTACAGGAAAAAGCTGCTAGTAATTTTGACATGGACATTCATGCTTGCAGTGCTGCTGTCAGTGCGTGCGAGCGCACAGGACAATGGCAGCATGTCCTGGAGTTGTGGCCCGTTCTCCAGGAAGTCCAAGAAAAAGCCAACAGCCAACAGAAGAAGCTTTATGAATTGACTGAAACTGGACCGACCCACATCACACGTCATTTGAAGCGATCACTTGAATGGCAGTGGGCTGTGGGGTATCCTTTCTTGGCAGCCAAAGAAGAGCAGATGACCCATGGTTTTTACAAGTACATTGCAGGAATGCAAGCTTTATGTGCTCGGGAGCTGCTTGAAGTGGTACCTCGCGCTGAAAGTGTCATGGACATGTTTTGCGGATCCGGCACAGTGCTGGTGGAAGCCTTGCGTGCTGGAAAACATGCAATCGGTACCGACGTCTCCCCTTTGGCACTATTGGTTGCAACGCATCACACTGATGCAGCTCATGTTGATCTCTATGATTTGTTGGAAGTTTCTTCAGAACTTGTTGCGTCCATGGAAAGTGGGAACAAGGGCTGGCACTATTTGAAGTCTGAAATCTCTAAACTGAAGGAGAAGCCCTTGCGAGATGTGTTGCATTTCATATTGCTAGTGGCTCTTTCTCGTGTACAGGACGTAACTTATCTTCACTCGTCTTCAAAAGGCCTCAACGAAGTACCTGAAGATGGACTTCCTCCCTGCATGTTCCTAGGAGTAGCTCGGCTGTATGTCGCTCGTGTTCGGTCCCTTCGTGCCAGGGCTTTGGCTTCTCAGTGTGAAATCTATCGATGCGACAACCGAGTCCTGAGACTTCAGGAACCGGTGGATGCCATTGTTACAGGACCTCCCTACCCAGGCGTCTATGATTATCACTCACCAGCCAGCAGTTGTGCTGATCTTCTTGGTGGAGAGACTCTCTATGATTTCTGCGCCCCTGGATATGGCATTCATGGTTCAAAGGCTCCAACCAATATTGATATCCCGGACGACTCATCATCAGCAACGTATGCGCCAGGGAAAGAGATAGGACAAAATAGTTTGTGGCAGCAAGATCCTGAATTTGCGGACAAATGGCAAGCAGAACAGGCAGAATGGTTGGCTTCTGCTTTCGAGAACTTAAGGGACGGCGGGACTGCAACTTTGATGATAGGTGATGGAGACTTGCATTCGGCAGGAGACGGTGGCTTTGACAATTTGCAGCCAACCATCCAAGCTGCTGAACAGGTTGGCTTTCTTACCGTTGCAACAGCCACCATCTCAGGGAAGAGCAAACATCCCAAGCAGCCAAAAGGAATGAAGCGCACAGAGCACATCGTGCACCTACAGAAGCCAAGGAAGAGGCCAAGAGGGCTAATAAGTGACAAGGCAAGTAGGAAGCCAAGTGTCAAACCCAGATGATGTTTGACCCTGCTTGAGCGCCTCGAGAAGCTTGGAGACGGGCTCGTCAAAGTAGCGATCTTCCGCTGAGAGTTGCCTGGCCAAGTTGTGTTCACTCTGCACACGTGTTCAATCGATCAGATTGAGATGTTCTCACACTGCTCGTGGGATTGCGACCACTTGACGACGGACGACGACGGGACATGGCTAATGATGACTCAGCTTCACATCTACACATCAATTGACAGCGCCCGACCAAAGTGTTTGCCAAAGAGTGGGCCAGTTGTGAACATGTTTGGAGAATTTGAAGACCATGAAAGCATGATTTTTCCCTGGTTCATTCTCCAAGATTTGCCTCAGACATTCCATTTTCATTTGGGATATGGAGACTCTGTCGCCATCAGTAGTTTGTGTTTGAAGGACTTTGAATGTGGATTTCTTTGGATTTCTTGCAGTTTTCTTGTTCCACAAGGCCCATCCTGATGGGCGGCGAAAGACTCAGCCAGTTCGACCAGGCGACGGTGGACTTAAATCCTTCGACCCAGCAATGATTACGCAGTGTCTTTTGGACGTTCCTGGTCATCCTTGATCTATGTTGCTTTTCCAGCCCTGCATTGCCCAAACCGATTGACACACAGTCACAGCAATTGTAACTTGTTTCTAATGGCCTATATGAGTTATATGAGAGGTAGTGAAAGCACGGTCTTTTGCACTAAGTCACTAAGACTGACATGGACCTGACTCCGACATGGATTGCCAGGCACTCGAATGATTGGAAAAATGAGAAGCCCACTTGTACAAATCAAGGCGCGTTTGCTTATTTTCGATATTTTTGGATATTTTTAGATATTTTCGTGTCTAGTCGCGTCTAGTCACATCAGTAGATAACGCATTACTTTTGTGTCAAGGCCCATCTGTTTGATGCTGCATGCCAGTTGCATGCCTGTGCTCGACTCTCTTCATTTTCCTTTGACAGGAGGATTTCATGAGCATCACCGCAATCACAAGCTTCCATCGTTTGTGCAAAGTTCAAAGATAGAGGCGCTGGCAACGCATGGCAAAGCCATGCTGCCAATGTCGTTTGTGGCCAGCAAATTTTCAAAAGCATTTTAAGGAGTTGTGTTCCATTGCCAAAGTTCATATTCAAAAGATCCACGATCGTGGTCTCAATCTTTTTATTGCATTTTATGTTATTTCTAGATATTTCAAACAGTAGCGTTGTCCGCAAAGGCGTTTGAGCATTGGCGTATCAAATATAAGGCCGGTCTGAGCAAGGGAATACGACATCCCAAACTGGAAAGGTGACCCAGGTGGGTCACCAGTCTGAGCATGTTCAACACATCACAGGAGCTGGTGATTTGTCGAAGTTCCGGTTGAGCCTCAGCTTAAGGGCCTTAAACTATGGTGAAATTCAACTTTTGAACAAAAACAATCAAAAACATAGAAATATTATGAACATTTATGACATATTGTCTTTATTATTTGTGTAACACATGTTTTGAACCTCCAGCTGGAACTGCAGTTTTTTGTTGACCCAAGACCCGCGACGAAGTTGCTGGCAAGGGACAGCTCCAAATAAATCTCCAGACTTTGAACCTGACACGACGAAGCACACCAAGTAGGGATGGTTCAGTCGCAGACCCATTTCAGGTGTTGTACATGTGCAGAATGGTGTGCTACTCTCAGGTTGCAGGTGATAGAATCCATGCCGGTGTAAAACGGGCGCATAGCCACTTTGGTCTGGTTTTTCCAAATCCTGGAGGCTCTAGAGAATCATAGTGATGCGCCACAAGGGTTGGGGTGAAAAAAGCAGATTTCAAATGATTTTAATAGATTCCGACTGCTCTTCGCAGGTGGTCCGTGCAGTAAAGGACGCTTGTACCTTAGTGACGGATTGTCCCTTTACACTGGACCTGGCAAAAGCAAATGAAGCAACTGCTGAGTCATTGGTTTTTCTTTCAAAAATGACTGAAGCATCTAAAGTCAACAAGTCGCAACGAGGTCGAGAAGAAACGGAAGGTTTCGTGCTTAGCCTTCTGTAGCAATTTTGGATGGTGTATCAGAGTATAATAGGGCAACAGCCATATCCAGGCATTGTGGGAACCTGAGGGCCTGAGGGTTTTGGTTTGTTCTGCAGCGAGCACATTCAGCTATCTGCCCCGCAGTTGATAAGCCCACAACGACGCATAGAGCGCCTTTTCGTGGAGGAGAGAGGAACTGTGAAAGGAAACTCGCACAACCTCGCATTGCCCTAAGGTAGGTCAGGTAGGTAAGGGCAAACCTTGGAGTTCGCCAAGCTAAGCATGAGATGTGAGATGAGTGAGATTTGCAACCCTCATACCGTTTGGAAAGCCCTTCGAAGGAGTTCAAGAAATCTTTCTTCTCGCCAAATCCGTGGTATGAGTCCCCGGAGGTGTCTGGCTGTGCTTGTAGCAAGTCCATGCGATCATGATCTTTTCGCGTGTTGTCCAGGGCATGTAGGGATTTGCTATGATTTGCTTGCACTGTTGTCCCTGCAATCTTTCTGGTCACATTTGCAGCCTGGTCTCTGACATTCTTCCAACATTCTTCCAATGTGACTGTGCCATACTGTGCCCGCAGCTCACCTTCCCCGGTGGAAACCCGCAGAAGATCTACAACTACTGGATGACAACCAGGCTGCGCAGTCGTTCGGGGGATCCATGGGGATCGGGATCTGTTGCATCTGTTGCATCATCTGAGGCCAACACGTGATATCGAGCGTGTGTGCGATGGTAAAGACAGCTGTGGCTGCACCTGGACGCAGGTCCCCCAAGGAGTTTCGTGATGAATGTGATGAATGTGATGAACACAAGGGATTGATTGAATGGATTCATATGGATTCATATGGATTCATATGGATTCATATGGATTCATATGGATTCATAATGAAGCGATATGAAGATCGCCCACAGATGCCCACAAACTCCCTGTGGTTCAACTTGTGAGAGTAAGAGGACAGTACTTCAGTACCTGGAACATCCTGGAACATTCATATCTTTCATGAGCGTTGCTTTCCGCGGAGCTACACTTTTGACATCTGACCGTGGCAGTTGGATGGCCGGCGTGGGGCATCCTTCGTGAGTTTCAACCAGGAGGGCCAGGTGGTCTTTGTTCGAGAGGCGGAGCAGACGTCTTTCATGGAAGTAGCTGTGAAGATTGTTTGCTGAGAATGTTTGGTCCCAATGTTTCCCATAATTTATGGAATCACTGTGATTCAAGCACAAGCTGCTTGCCTTTCGACTCCTTTGTTTTTTCTTCCTTCTTGGCTAAATAGCATTTGGGCTCTAATTGCGTTTTTCTTGGCTTGCCTTTCTTGGCTTCCTGTGATGCTATGCAAAATCAAGAGTCTTGCATAGTCTTCCTTTTGAACGTTGCAAAACTGCTGCAACAACCACAACGGAGTACATAGGGTTGGCTGTTGCAGCTGGGAAATGCTGAAAACACAATGGTAGCTCGCATGCGATTTTTAGGTAGCGATCTTTCCGTAGGTGGGATGTAGGAAGAGAAACCAGCCAACGAAAAAAAAAACAAGTGAAACACAAAAACAGTCTAGAACTCACCAAACTCCCAAACAATTTTTGCACCATTCTTCTGTTTTACCGAGTTATTTTCTTCTGAAAGCTACTCGCTTCAGGTGTGTGAACCTCAAGGACTTGGCGCCAAGTTCAAGGACAACACCTTGAAGAGCCTTCAGTCGGATACTCATGGGGTCCCTATGGAATCCTTGGAATCCTGTGCCTCCTTTCTCAAGCCATGGTGGAGAAATTCTCATGGAGAACACATTGTTTTGCAGGCAAGTCACCGGCGTCATGAACGCAATCCAGGGCATGTTCAGTGCTCTGGACCGCGCCAACCTTTCCTTGAACTCAGCAATGTGAACATGTTTCCGACAACCAACGAACAAACTTTGTTTCACAGTTTGTTGCCTTGATTGCAAGGACAGAATCTTGGTTCAGGAGGACAGATGCGGCTCTGTCAGCATGCCACTGGTTCTCTGTACTTTCAGCTACAGCTTCAGTTGATTGTAAACGTTCAGATTTTTGCCAAAAAAAAAATGTTCCAGGTGGTGCAGGCACCAGAGTTTCCATGGTTTGCCATGTGGCTTGATGTCATTTCGCATAGCAAATAGTTTGCTGCTTCTGCATGTCTTTGCCGTGCATCTCTGGCTAGCGGTGTTTGGTGGGCCCGACCTCAGCTGGAACGGGTCTGGATCTCAGATGAAAGGATTGCAGCAATCAGATGCAAGTCGAATCATTGCCATGGAACGGATTCCTCTCATCCCCATGGATATATCATGATATATCACTAACATGAGGCATGGTGCTCTCTCCTTGACTGAGCATTTTGCCAGAAAATATATTATATACATGGTGGCAGTCCTACAACCAAGAAATGATGGTGAAGTTTCTCTGACGTTTGTTTGGTGGTAGATGGCAGTCCTCCGAAGCAGTTGTTCTGTCCTTGAGGAGCAGTTCAGAGCTCTCCTGCGCTGGGCATTGCCCGAAAGATATAGGTGCATGCAAACCCCCAACTGAGATGCCGCGCCTGTGTGTGAGGGACAGCCTGTCTGCCTTGAAATTTTAACGTAGGTTTATCATGGTTTATCATCCTTTGACGAAACTGCCTCGTGCAGAAACCATTTCTTCCATGTGATTAGATCTACAATTTGCAGGACTCTTTCTCATTCAATTCATGTATAGCTCTAGACTGTACATGATGGAGACTTGCATCCTCTTGGCTGCTTGGTTTTCACACTTGGATTCGCTCTGGCCAGCTTGCTCCATACACAGATGACAATCGATCCAATAGGAGCAGTTTCAGCGACTGTATCACTGGATATTTTGACTGCTAGGTCAGAATGCGATATGGCAGCACACCTCGATCTGCAACGCATTTTTTGCAAATTGCATCCTCTATTTCAACATCACAGAAACGTAAGCGTGAGCACTCTCACCATCTAGCTTTGGTTTTTACCGGTTCTTACCTCAAACACTAAGCCGTACTCATGAGAAGTGGAAAGCATCGAATTCGACTTAAGCAGCACGAACGCCTTTGTCAACTCAACTTACACTTTTGATCACTTTTGATTTTGAAAGATTTCGATGCAACTGCGTGGCCAGAGATTGCGCAGAGTCCATGTTTGCCAAAGCCTTGGCACCTTAATTACGCACAATTACTATGATTCGTCAAACTCTTATGGTGCGTAATTTTCTCAGTGTTTTCTGGTGCTTCCTGCAGCGCACGAGGTGAAACATGACACGCGGAGCCACACCGCCGATGGACGACCACACCAAGGTATGCCCGTGCGAGATGTGAGACTTGGATAGACTTGGATAGACTTGGTGATCTTAGTGGAAACTATGGAAATCATATAAAATCATGTTTGGTAATCCTACAGAAATATTATGACATATTGTGTAACAAGTTGTAACACTTGATCTGTAGAGTTGGTGCAGGATGCTTTTCCAAGTGGCCTTCAATCCTGGGCTACGATGCCAGCAGAGGCCTGTCCAATTGTCCAATTCCAAGCGCTTTTTCAGCGCTGCATCTCAGTACAAGCAAGTGGGTGTGTAAACGAATGTTGGACATATGAGTAATAGATAGTAATAGAATAGCACTTCGGAAAAAATAGGGGAAAAACAGAGAATAAACAATGTGAGACAAATTGTACCCTGCAATCGTTGGAGACACGACAATGTGGCAGGAAGTCTGGCAGCCCCTTCTCAGTGGTGTTCTGCAGGACTGGTCAAACTATGGCCTAATTCCAAGCTTGTCAAACTCATACCCGGACGAGAGAATCTGAAATATGTTTATAGCAACCCCAAACAAGATAGAACAATAACTTATCAAGGTTTTCGTGGGAGTTTAGGGATCATGCACAGACAAAGCGCGTGTCTCATCAGCCACTTAGAATATGTAAGACCTCCGAAATAGTGCATTGCATGACTCGGGCCCATCCTTACCAGAAAGAAGGGAGAGAAAGTACGTCAAAGTCATAGAGTCATAGGGATGAGCAGTGAGCAGTGAAAAGCGATGAGACTACGATGAAGCTATGAAACATCGTGAAACATCAGAAGGCAAGAAGTAGAGCAAGACCAGAGTTTCAGGATCATCGGCGACACGGAACAATGCAACAGATCCAGTTTGCTGATCAAACGGTGGTGGTATCAATTAATTCGTCGCGAGTTCAAGTCAGAAATTTGAGCCCCTTAGTCGTGTGCAGGAGTTTGACCACCGTGGGTGCCTGAGGAACTCTCACAAAGCAAATTAGTTTCTCTGAAAATAGGGTACCTCCACCCCAAAAATCCCATGGTTCATGTTGGTTTATCCTCATTTTAGATCATTTTAGCCCATTAAAGTGTTAAAAGCTATTTTGAAGTATTTTGGATTATATAATTTTATTTTCAGACGAATCTAACAAACCTTGGTTGTCGTAGAGTCCTGAGGCGTGGACCTTCCGCGACATAGCAAACTCCTGGAGCAGGTCAATGCCACTTGTCTCAGATCAGTTGAGATCAGTCGTCAAGCGAAAGTGGCGTGTCTACGTTCAACATGTCATATTTGTACATGTTATATAAGATACATATTAGATACATGTTTAATCAAGGTATATCAAGGTACATGTTTAAATATTTCAATGACAGTTCCAGTACGTTTCACGGTTGCTTGGCACACTCCAAGGTCACCACATTGATTTCCGCTGAACAAGTCGTGTTGGCTATTCAGCAGGTTCGGCAGATGCGTTGAATCGTCGTTTTCTGCACATGACAATGGTACGCTGCACTGGCGTTTGCTCTTTTTCATCACCAAACTTCTCTACCGCATTTGCATACATTTGCGGTGTTGGCATGATGAATTGAAGAAGTACATCGGGCAGCCCAAAAGAGTGATGAGATCAAATCAGCGAGCTTACGGCAGGAAATGCGCAGTGCTGGCAGGAGCTGGGGATTCAATTCTGCAAACACAAAGGGGTCTGCGCAAAATCCTCTACCCCCAGTGATAGTTTCGACAAAATGGCCCTGAAAGTGGCCCTTCACACCCTGAAGGATGTCCAACACCCTGGAATCTGGACGTGAACTTTCTACTGTGGTGCCTTGTTTGAGTTGCTGGTGAGGTCATGGGTAGTACATGGTCACATCATCTGCCAATTTCAAAACAGAACGTAGGCCCTGTGTAGGCAATGTTTGGGACACGAAAGATCCTAAGGCATCCTTGGATCTCGAATGTTGACCCAACTCTTTCCATGAACTTAAATCTTTTTCTTCCAAACTTGAAAATGTGGATTCCAGATTGCAGAATCTTGCGTTGAGGCGTTTGTAGACTCCCTGCACAGGCTTGACTAGAATGGCTGTAATGTATACTGCAGTATATTACAATATAATATCGCATAATAAAGATTAATAAAGTACAATAAAATATAGTAAAATACAATATCGCAAAATAAAGCACAGTAAAGTACGATAAAGATCGATAACGTATCACTATAAAGTACAGTGTAGCGTATGTATAATATATAATATATGTATAATTATGTACATTATATATATATATAGTATTATCATTGTATTATCTAATATTATATTATCTTATTCAGTATATTATATTATACTATGATTATAATGGATTATATTATATTATACTAATATACTAGTATATCTACAAATGTCTACAATGGGTTTCCACAAAAATCTCCGAGGCCTTTGATCTCGCCGCCTTTACGAACAGTGCTGGACCGTGGCTCACCTCAATGGATCATGGCCATGGTTAAGTTGTCCGAAACGAGGGTGCACCAAGATCCCAGGTCTTTTAACGTCTTACTTAATATACCTATATATATACATATATATTAAAAAAATATATATATATAATACAGTATATATATAATACAGTATATATATACACTTATTTATTTATATACACTTATATACATTTATATACATTTATTTATTTATTTATTTATTTATTTGATACATGGTTTTATTTGTTTTCTCGCTCAAAATACCCTACCAATTGCGACATCCCCCAGTTTTCAACGAAGCTGCAAGCCACTCAGCACGATCTCGGATTTCAGGTACACACTCAATGAGATCTACCAGACATTCAGCTTCTGCGACAAGATCCAGAGCATCCAAGACCATGCCACCAAGGAGGGCAAAGTGAGCCACTTCCCCCCAAATGATCAAAATGGCTGGCTAGAGAGACTTTGGAACTGTGACCCAGATGATATACCGGACAAACTGTAAGTTGAACATTTTTGGCATGAACTATTTGTCGTGTCTAATAACTTTAAAAAGAATTGGTCACAGAGCACGTCTATAAAGCATCAGGCGGTTGGTTCAAGTCCCGTAAGTTTAGAAATCAGTCCTCGCTAGCACTTAAGATACTTAAGTGATCTTAAGTGCAAGTGACAGGTCGCTGTAGTATGCTGTAGCTATCTGTAGCTGTTGAGACCGGGTTGTACAGAGTGCACCGCACCGAAGAGTCCCTTACTCCCTTGGCTCCAGGAGCTCCAGCGCCGGCTCCACATGCCTGGCATGTTTGGTTTCTGCGCCAAGGCTTCGCACAGCTCGATGTAAAGTAGCCATGCCATCCCATCGATCCCATGCCAACGTGGAACACATTTCAATTGATTTCAACATCCAAACGATGCAGCATACAGCATAAAACAGGGGAAATGGATCCAAGTGGAGTTTAGTCAAAAGCCCTCTGCGCACGGCTTCTCACAGGCGGTTCCGACGCTTCATGCTGAAGGTTCACTTTGGAGTACTTGCGCTACGCTGTTGAACGAGGATGAGGCCATGATGTCACTGCTGGACATGTGGCAGATCCAGAGTTGGTAGAGTTGACTCAAAAACCAATTGAAGCAGATGGCGATGAGCTCGTGAATTAGATGCAGAATGAATAGGATGATTAGGATGTGTTGATTGACATATATTGACATCAAACATTGCCACTCTGAATGACTATGGATGGATCTGGGCTGCAGGTGAAACCAAAGCCTGAAGATGGCATGGAGTCAGCCTCCATCGAGGAGTGTTGTGTCAGCAACTGTGGCAACTCGCGATCGCCTTGCCAGTGAAACATCATGGTTCTTTCTTTCCGGTCTTACCCACGGGTGTTGGTTTGGACACTTCATCCTTATCAAATTTTTCATCATGGCCGTTGTCTTTGTCCCCTCTCAAATTTTGTAGCTTGTCACCCCGACATCGCGTCTTAATGTCGTTGCAAGTTGGCACATGCATGAGAAATCTTGAACCCGGGTGAACGAACATGGACTCTGCTATGAAATTGGTGGCCGTGCACGGCTGTATCTTTTTGAATGTCACAAGAGATGTGCAGCTGAGCGGTGTTAACCAATCCATTTAATAGAAAGACAGTGGTCTGTCTGACACTGCAGAACTGGACCATGACATCACATAACATCCATGACTTGAGCCTGGTTCATGAGCGAGAGAGACTCAGACGGATTGTGGGAAGATTCTCAGCGATCCATTGAGGAGGAAGCCGAGCTAGGATCCCATGCCAGAGAAAGGCAGGAATGCCGTGAGATGCCGTGAGTATGCATGATGTGACATGATGTGGCAAAGCGATCAATTCTTTCCTGCGACTGTGGTACCTACTACAAGCGCGGACGCATCTTGTCATGTTCAGACTTGTCTATAACATTCCTGAGAAGAAAGAATGTCCCAAAATAACCATCCCAAAGGATCCCAAAGAACCCGAAAGGTATATATGTATAATTATATATATAATATATAGATAAGGTATATATAATATAATATATGATATGATATAATATAATGTATATATATATATATATTATACATATGCAAAGTGCATATCCTGTGGTGTTTGGAGCCCATTTGGGCCAGGTGGACACCTCCAAATCGTGAAGAGATGCAACTCTTCCTTCGTGCCGGGGCGCACCTGAACCACCCGGATGATGGAGGGTCGATGCCCTGGGAATCTACAGAATCCCAATGGGAGCACCGTGCGGAGCACCTGTGAATTCATCAACAATTCATCAATTCATCACACGTGAATTCTGAGATTTATTTTATCCAGATTTTTTGCGAATTCTGACTTGGCAACAAGATGCCAGTATCTCCCAGTATTTTTCACGTTGATTCCGATTTCTAGTGCTAGCATTGCTACAGTCGTAAGATGCCAACCAGTCCGGACCAGTGACTCCGCTGAGGGAGACCGTTTTGATGGTGGCTTGTCGGGCAACGCATGCCGCGTTTGCTCCATCCTGCCCACAGCTTTCTTGAAGCAACCGACAGTTGCAGCTTCCAATTTAGAAGCTGAGTGTGGAACACGAACTCTATGGAATTGTTTAGAATGAAGGGCATAGAAAAGGCAACCTGATACATCAACGAACCCCATCTGAAGCTTTGAGTCCTCATGAATTTTCGCAGATTGACAAGTCATCACATGATGCCCCATATGATTCAATATGATGCAATATGATTCAACATGACTCAATATGACTCAATATCAATCAAGGATCATCAATATGATGCCCAACATGATATGAGTAACCGACAAAATTATTGCAATACTAACTTAGTTTTGCTCCGCCTTGGCCTTTCTGAGGTTGCACAAAACGTTCATAACCGATAGGGAACGACTATTTTGTGCATGGTATCAAATTTAACAAATAATTTTGCCCGCTACTCGTATGCCCCCCACTTGTCCCTTGAGTATCCTTTTGTTGGACGAAGATCATAAAGTCACGCCAGGCAGCCTGCCTCTGGGCCTCTGAGGAGCCAGTGAAAAACCGAGCTTCGTAGCTGATCAGATCTTTTTACGCTTGATCCATTGAGACTTCCTTGAGACTTTCTTGAAACTTTCTTGGATTTCTGGGAGGAGCCAGAAACTCAGCCAGATTGGAACACCGCTCATCCCCAGGTGCCGGAAGTATCCGGAAGTGGTATCGGTTGTTTGCGCTTTGTCAGGCTCTAAAGTGCAACGCTACTAGTTGGGCTTCCCGATTCCTCGGATGAGCTATAGTGAAAAGAATTGTGAAAAGTATTTTATAAACTAAAACATCACGAATTACAGATGACAGGAGTCAAACCTTCATAGTTCATAGTCGCAGATTCATGCCAATGACATCCAATGAAAAATACAACACACAATCAATAGGAATTGAATATACAAACCAACACAAACGTACAAAGTCAGCTTGCCAGAGAAATTGGAGCAGCTTATTTTTATGGTATCCATGATTGCTCAGGATGTGGCCTTTGCTGAGACTGTCAGCTGCGTCTGTGAGGAGGCAAGTCTTGGGTGCTTTTGTGATGTCGGGATGCCTGCATTTTGCTGAGTGAAAGTTGGGATTGCAATGATTACATTAGATACATCAGCGTCCTTGGTGGATTGCACATGTTTGCCTCAGAATTCAAGATGGCTCAAAAAAAACAAAGCAGATGAGACTTGTTCCTTTTCATCGGCATAGATGCTGTCTATTGTGCTTCGCAGCATGTTTGGCAGTGTATGTCTTTGCCGGGAGAGACTTTGCGGTGCCCCGGCATTGCAAGCCAAGCGGGCCAAGCAGAGCCACCAGACGCCTTGCACAAAGAGAGAGCCCTCTCCATATTGACCTGGACTCCAGTGTCAGCGCTGGACTGGTGGCAGGAACACTGAAAGGTTTCATGGTGGGTTCAGGGCAATACTTGTGGCTAATCTGGCAGCACCTCGGTAGTTGTCCGCAAACCCTCAAAGCTGACGCAGCAGCCCAGTACCTTCGACCCTCAGAGAACTCGTTTGGAAGCTGGTGCCTCTCATGGTTTTCTTCGAGCTGGACCTTCTTCTTTGTGGATGTATTTCACAAACATATGATGGTGCAGGTTGCTTTACAAGTGACTGTGGGCAGTTTGTGCGCCATCTTTGTTCTTCAGCTCCTTTGGAGCATCTCCAGTCAGCAGCAAGGGCACATCTCAGAAGCCAGAATTGGCTTCAGGGCATGGAAAGCCGTCATTTCTCTTGTTTTTGCAGGGCTTGCGAGCAGGTTTCTCTGTCAATACACCCTGTCAAGATTCTGTGTTCAATCTTCGTGGACCAGGCTGCCATACTATACTGAGGGGCATATACTATGTGCTGTGTCGTCCGTTCTGGGGGCAACGCTGACATGCTCTTCTTTGTCAGTGGTCTTTGCCCAGTGCCACAAGCTGCTGCAACGCAGGAGCGGCCAGGTTCCTGTTTCACAGAGTGGTGCATAGCGCTCTATAGAAAGCACGAGGAATCATAGGAATTTGACGTGAAATTGTGTCTACAGAAGCCGGAAAGCCATCTTGCTGAAAGAGATGTGGCCCCGAGCTGAAGCATAATGTTGGATACAGAGCTCACGCTGCTGCCGTGTACAGCTGAAGTGAGGAAAAGACTACTACAGTTTCAAGTGTCCAAAGAGACAAATGCGCCAATGTGCTTGCTTGGCTTGCAGAATGTTCAGAAACGGAATATGCCAAGAGGGATGGCGATGATGCACGACATATATCAGCCAGGTACTTGTAGGTTGTTTTATGAGTGCCAAAGACACAGCTCTTTGTGAGATATGAAATGATGCTGCTTTGGTTGCAGACGACAGCTTTTGCGGCAGGCGCCCTCGACATGGTCGACGGAAGATCGGATCGGCAGGACACCAACGAACTCCCTTGGAAGCAACGATTTTTTCTTTGCAATTTCATGACATGCAGTTTCACCTTTCATTCGTTGAAACAGCAACACCGATGTTTGTAGATGAGAGTACCTCGTTGGCATCATTTGTACCGTTCCACAAGTTGATGTTCTTCAGGGTTCGTACTGGCGTGGCTTGCAAGGACGCCATTGGGCCTCCTAGCAGAGGCGGGGGTTCAAATTGTGAATATCTCGAAGTCACGAAGTCCTGTATGCTTGTAGACTTTGCTTATCTTTATTTATCTTTATTATTCTTTATTTATCTTTATTTCATCAAAACAGTAAGCGAAGCTTGCAGCTGCAGCAGCAATGTCGTGTATGTTTCCATATATTGCTTGTCGCTTCGACTGCGACTTGTAATGCCAATCTATGCCAATCTACTTGCCTCATTTTGTCATGAATGTTGGCCGAGAATCCAATTCCTACTTGCATAAGCTTTTGATATTGTTTTGCCTGGTAAGGCTATAGGCTTCTATTCCTTTCACATATAGTTTGAAGGCAGGTAAAGATAGGTAAAGCCTCCCTGTTCAGCAGGTTTTTCAAGACAGCTTGCAGGGTATGGCCGGGGACCTAACGAATCAAGATATATCAAGATGAATCAAGAGCCGAAGCTTTTGAAGATGCTGAAATACTCTAAATTTCTGCTTGCACGTTCTCTTACAACATTACGTGAGATCCTGCAACTGGATTCGAGACATGTCGAGACTCTTTATCCGACTACGCATAGAATTGACGCCATTTGAAGATATTTGAAGCCTCTTGTTCTCGTAAGCCGCTGAGCTTTGGCACTTTGTCCATCTTTGTCTATCTTTGTCCATCTTTGTCCCGGCTTGTCCCAGGTTCCCATTGCAACGCCAGGAGCCAAGAAGCCAAGTGTTGGAATCTTTCGGCGTAGACCGTATGTGTTTTTTGCTCCAAATGTTCAGTTTGGGTCCCCGTGCTTTCCAGGCATTTAAAATCATTGAAACATGTATGTTATATTGAAATGAACTCAACCAAGCAGTAACATCATAGTAAACCGTGCTCGTACATAGCTGGAAGCATTGGACGCATTGGAAGCATTGAGGCTCAGAGCATTGCTTGATGGTCTCAGCACGTGTTTCTCCAAAGCACCGAGCTCCATTATTTGGGCACTCAGGCAAGGCAGGTTTAGGATGTTTAGGACTGTGGCCATTTGTGGCCTAGGCCTAGGTGTTGTCAATTGGTTCATGTTGTCACTGCGCCAGAGCCCTTGCCCGCATTTGTGACGTCACACGACACCCTGTCAAGGATATTCAAGGATGTTGTTGCTTCATCAAGTGGCTTAAGATAAGCTTCTTTTAAAAGTTGTCGTTTGTTCCTGCTCTTATTCGTCTCTTCAGAATGTTGCAGGTGTAGCGATTCTTTGCGAAACGCAGCTGAGACTTTGAGCCGCTTCTTCATCAAGGACTCTGCGACACGAGCACTGCACGGCAGGAAGACAGAGTTGGCGCATGATGTGAGTGCTGAGTGGATCTAAATGATCAACAGCATACAGCATATCATGCGCATCTTACATCGTTCAAGTAGTACAGTGTCTGCATACACGTCACTATACGTCACTACACGTCTATATCATTCTATATACTTACTAAAAACACGTCTATATTGTTCATCATATTACGATTATTACGATACCTCAGGGCCTTGGCTTCACATCTCGCAGGAGCAACTGACTTTGCCGGTTCAACTGACCCGACTATTGCTTTGGATGGAAGTGGTCATGGGTGGAGCCTGGGAGGTGGATCACATGTGGAAAGCGTGTAGAAAATCAATGAAAATCAGAAAGAAATCGGCTTAGGGCATCGTAGAAAATCAGAAAGACTACAGGATATTACAGGGATTCATCGATTCATCAGGCGCATCTGGTTGTGTGGCTGTGGCCGATCATTTCCAACCTTGCTGAGCCTTGCTGCTGTGCCAGGCCAGCGAAGATCAGCGACACCTCACAGAAAGATTGCTGATGGACTCGGTAACCCTAGTCTGCGCCCCAGCCGCCCCAGCCGCGCCGAGAGATGCTGAGATATTCAAACTCCAAGTCACTGGCAGAGCCAAGCCTCGGTGAAGTTCATGCGCCTTTATTGAATATATTGAATCTTGATGAACCTTGATTGTCCGTCTCCAAGGACATCGAGGACATCATGGATTCAGCAATCCGTCTTCGTGAGTTTTCCGACCAGGCATAATTTGCTGTGAGCCTGGTGGTGTTGCTGTTTGTTGCACTATGATCTTGGGGATGGCAAGATATGGCAAAGATGCACAAGCTCTTCAAGCTTGATCATTCGAGTTTCTGACCGAAAGCTGACAGCTAGCCTTGGTGCAGATGGAGAAGAAAGTGGAGGAATGGGAAGCAGAAGAAGCAGAATTAAAGCTGGCGGAGTTCGAGGCAGAACTATGCAGAAAGTACATGTCCTGCACACTACATACTACATTTGAAACATGTTGAAACATGTTGAAACATGCGGGAGCAGGACTGTGCAGTTGAAATCATTCTATTTGAAGCTGCCAGTCACTGCCAGTCACTGCCAGTCACTGCCAGTCCACATCCTCCAGGCTCGGTGCGCAAAGAAAGCGAGCCAATACGAGGACCGCATCGCGCGCCTGGAAGCTGAAATCGCCCGGCGCGCTGGCAACTTGCAGTGTCCTGGCTGACTTGGCTCAGACATGTCTTGCAGAAATTCCAAGACTTGGAAAGGAGATAAACCAGATATAACCAGATTAAAACAGGCATCTTGGATCATCTTGGACAGATCAGAGTCAAGCTTTGCAGCATCATCAAGTTTCCAGTGTCTTGAGTGGGTCCTCGAAACAGAGTACAATACTAGTACAATATTTGATCAATATGATCAATATGTAGAATATTGTACAATGGCAAGAAATCGATTCATATCGATTCATATCGATTCATCGCTTCGATTCATAGCACTCCAAGGCTGTTGCCACAGCTCCAGCACCTTGGCTGTGTTGGTAGTGAGCTTTCACCGATCTTTCACCGATCTTTCACCACTGACATCGCTTGACATCGCTTGACATCGCTTGACAACTCACGAGTCAAACATTCTCGTAGGCTGTCGCCTCAAGAGGTTGAGAAGAAGGACGGATTCGTAAGATGACAGTTGGCAATGAACTGCGATGACATGCACTGAAATAGGAAGACAAAGCCACTCAAACATGTTCAGTCATTGACAGGATGCGGATGCAGATGCAGATGCGGATGCGAAATTGGAAGAAAAACCAATCAAGAAGCCACCAGCAAAGCCTCAGGGACGTCACTTAGACTTGTCCGTTATACGCGTGATGCATGTTGGACCTCTTCGATAAAAAGATAATAAGAGCCATGGTTTTGCGTGGGAAGCAAGTCCTCTTTCCTGCAGGCGGTTCTTTTCTTTCCGTTTAGTGCAGGCATTTGCTGGAACTCAGGTGTTCTCGAAGAGGCCAAACAAGTGGTCGAAGACATTCGATCGGACAGGCACCCTTTGCAATCGATCAAAATCTCAAGCTGAACAACAAATCACTCCCAAGACACATGACGTAGTCAAAGCTTGTCACAAGCGACCCGCAGCAAAAGATGCTTGCCCCGTTCGTGTTTGGAGACTTTGACGCGCAGGCTGGTGAACTCTGGTTGGGACGAAGGAGTTTCCGAAGAAGTGAAGAGTGGACTTCTCGCCCTGCGAAGGCACGGTTTGATGGTGAATTCGTCGATGTGTGGAAAGTCCTTATTGGTTCATATGGTTATTCACCTCCTCGGATTTTGTCAGAGTCTTTTCCATTTTCCCAATCTGACTTAATTAGAGTTATCTGAGAGTTTTTCCCACAGTCTTGGCTGATGAAAGCTTGCAGGTCACTCTGTGCAGCAGTCGAAAGGCAGGAAGAAAGTTGCAAGTTTCTCCCCGAGTTTCCTGAGTAGCCACAGACGGCCATGCCTGGATAATCCTGGCTACTGTAATCCTGGGATCCTCTGAAAACCAACCATTGGGTTTGAATGGCTGTGGAATGGAAGAGACAGCATTAGAGGCTGGCAATGGATCTTTATGCAGATGAATGCCATTGTCTGTGGGAGCTCATGCAAAATGCAGATGACAACAAGTGACCCAGGTCTTAAGGGAGATCGTCTTCTCAGTTTTGTCTCAAGAAAAGCTCACGCATCATCCCATGACCAAACGGAGGTTGACAACAGCTACATCATCTTGAACTCATATTGATATGCTGTGATAAATCTGTGATATATGTTGTGATCATCGTGATCCTTTGGAAGTCTCGGAATATATATATATTATATATTATATATTATATATTACATATTATATATTATATATTATATATTATATATTATATGTTATATATATATTATCTATTATCTATTATCTATTATATATTATATATTATATATTATATATTATATATTATATATTATACATTATATATTATATATTATATATTATATATTATATACTATATATATTATATTATATTATATATATATTATATTTATTATATATATATTATATTATATATATTATATATATAATATATATTTCGTGAATCCCGTCATATCTCGTCTATTCCCGTCTCCAGTTTGCAGTGCTATGCAGTGCTCAGGTACACGGGTGAAGCAGTTCCAGAGCTCACCTTGGCGCTGGAAGTGGACGAAGAGCGAGCCTACGTAGCAACCTCAGCAACCTCAGATTTCTTCGGATTTCCAACGGCCGAATGGATCGGATATCGAAGGATATCGAAGGATCTTTCACATGCTTTGGCATAGAATTGCTACACAAAGTCTTGTAGGTGACTCAGTGATTTTTTGAGAACTCTGAGTTTTGATTCGTTTAGGTTTGGACCTCCAACAACGAGATTGGACTATCTTCAGAGGACGCGAGAACGTCTAAACAAGTCATGCCTTCAAAAAATACAAGGTGACTTGCAAGAGGCCAGAGTGAATAACAGAAGCATCGAAATCAACCGTCACAGTGACACTGCTCTCACAGCCCTTTCCTTTGTCTCATGGAAAGGACGTGCGAGCTATCTGCAATGTAAATGCGAGCCTCAAAGGTGCTGGGCAGACTGGTCACAAGGCAGGGATCATGTCGGGACCATGCGGCTCTGATGCAAAACCTTGGATGATTTTGATGTCAAGTGGTGTCTGCTGGGCAAAGTTGAGACGCCCTGAGGGTATTGGTTGGAAGAGCGTCTTCCGCATCAGTGACTGTCCACATGTTCTGTGTGCTCCTCAGTATTGCAATTAGCCAGCACAAGGGACGTTGCAAACAAAGGTTGCTGACAAGATATCAAGATCGCAAAACTAAAGGGCTTGTTCTCAATTCTGAATTGGCTGATTTGAGGTCAAATGCCTTCGCGTTTAAGTTTGACACGCGAGGGCCTTTAGGCTGGCTTGAACAAATCGCAACAAAAACCAACAACCCTTGGGAGTCGATGGAGGTTCACAGATCACCTAGTGGACTTCACTGACCTGCAGGCAAGCTGGCGCTTGTAACTCCAACAAATCTCTCTGACGAGGCAGACAGCGTGGGATTTCACAGTAAATCATGATCTGCGGTGATCTTCGATTTTGAAGACAAGGAAAAGGTCAAGAAAGTCTAGAAAGTTCGGACAGTCTCAACGGTCATCAAAGGTCCAAGATGGTCAAAATATATCAACATAATTCAACATACATCGAATCTTGCACGAAGGAGGTGGAGGCTTTACCTGCTCCTGTTCGTGAAGCAAAGGCTTGGCCAAGTTTCCGTCCAAAGATGTCCAGTCGGCGGCAATGGCCCAGTTTTGGGGCAAATTTCACGGTCCAGGCTGCTGGCAATACTGCCGGCTGCTCAACACTGGGCATATGGTCCAGTCTAGACTGGAATTTGTCGCAAAACCATGCAGAACTGTCAAAGCGCATGTTTCTCCGTGTTTGCTGGTCTTCCGCAATATCATTTCCCATTCATTTCCCATTCCACCCCACCAATTGAACGGGACCCAGCCTTGGGATTGCTTCCAAGCAATGCGTGAGTCAATCAATACTTTGTGGACACCGATTTTTGCAGGACCTTTTCAAGTGATATTCAAAATCGAGAGGGTTTTCACATGTTTTCACATTTTTTCACCAGGCTGAAAAGATCACAGGGCACCGATGGGCAGCTCGAACACTGAGGTGATGTTCCTCCCCTTACGCTCCAAGAGTGATGCCTTGGCCGTGGATGTGGAACTGCGGCACATCGCCGTTAGACGCCCCAGTGGACAGCACTGGACTTCCTGTTTGCAGAAGTCCAGATGCAGCTGCCATGAATTCCATGGGTCTTGTTATGGACTCATCATGAACTCATCCTACGAAACACGGCTAGACGGTTAGACCGAGGCGCAACATTTGTGCCTGGCCTTTCTTCGGCGCCTACGACGTGTTCGGCTTCATTTTACAGAAGGCGAAGTCTCAGTCCGCATTCAAGAGGGGAAAAACAGGAAAACAGATACAAAACGTGCAAAGCAAATTTGCTCTGATGACTGACACTTTGAGACCAGAGCATGGACCCCCTGTAAACAGTTGATAATCTCAAAACCCGGGACACAAAATAAACTGCTTGATAGATCTTGATAGATCTTGATAGATCTTGATAGATCTTGATATGATTTGATATGATTTGATATGATTTGATGGCTTCAAGGCATTTCAAGGCCCTTCATGGCCTTCCCTTTTTGCAGGCTCCATGCTCTTACAGCGCTCCGAGGCAGTGGAGAGTCTGGTGATGTCTGGTGTTACTTTCTTTTTGTGTTTCGTGGTTTCAAGATGTTTCAAGGTTTTATAGATTTTCAAGTCCACATCATGACCACTTGTCATGGATATTCACTCTGAAGATCTCTGACTCTGAAGGCTGATCTTGCAAAGCTCTACTTTCCGGGGGCATCAAACTTGGTAGCTGCAAACGCCTCAAAGAACCGAGGGACCAGAAAGGCGTGAAGCACGACCGGACAAGAGGTTGTAGATGGTTGTAGATGGTTGTAGCATTCTTGCAAACTTTGTGTGGCCATGAGTGCACGACCTATGCCTCAAAATCAACAGAAGTCCGACCAAGAATTATTCGAAGTCTCATGAATTTTCACCGTGGGTGAAAAGCTCAAAATCGGCTCAGCTGTGAGGTGAAGATCACAGAGTTCACTGAGGCGCCCCAGTTCCATGTTTCTCCATGTTTCTTTGTCAGTTTTGAAGTCACCCAAGTCGAGGCGGGAGAGAAGAGGACCCAAATGCCAGAGTATGTCTGAGTCTCAGCTGATAAAATCTGACAAAGATCAGGAAAGGACTTTGAGTCTTTGAAGCTAAGGTGCTGCATCACCACAATGTGGCTCTACCGGGTGAGGCGATCAATTCCATTGAAGCAACCTGCGTGTGTCCTGTGGACAATGGGACCCACGGCACTCAAACACTCTGTGAGAGAACAAGACGTCAATTCTGGGGATTATGAATAATCAAAATACCTTTAGTAGTCTAGACTGTCAAATCAACATAATCAACATAGACATTCCCTGATTTTCCACAGAATTCGAATGTTTTCTGTTCCTGTTCAGACAGTGGCTCTTACACTGGCTTTCCCGGTGGCCTTTGCCTTGGCGACTTGGTAACAGCACAGACATGTCACCCCATGGACATAAATACCATGGGGTTAAATGGCTGCAGACTCCTTTGATGTAGAGGTCTTGATGACTTGATGTTGTCATAAATTGAAACATGTCATGGCAGCCACCGTACTTGCGGATGTCCGATTTGGAGACCCTGCGGCAGGGAAAGTAGTTGCTGCTGTGTTGCTGCTGTAGAGCTGGTAGATGCTGGTAGATTTCCCAGCAAGCCCAGATTTTCCATCACTTTCACTCTTTCACAGATAAATATATATATATAGTTATATTGTGATTTTTCCATTTTAACTTTAACTCCAGGTCCAACTTGATCAAAAACCATGTGCTTCCAAAGGCACCTTGGCTCGAGGCGAGCCAGTGGAGGGTTGGGCAGAGGTAACGTGCCCTTTGAGCCATTTGCCTGCGTGTGACAGGGTCACACCTTTAGGATCAGGGAATCCTTCGTGCTTGGCTATCCAGCCTTTCCGTTTTGCCTGGCGTGGACCTCAAACCATAGACCTCCTGCGACATCTGGGAAAACAGGCCGAACGATTGTTTCCTTGCTGGTGGCAGGTTGGCTTTGGACAGTTGGGACATTGGCAGCTTTCATCCTTTTCCATTGATTTCAGGTTCACTGACTCCTAGTGTGCTGCCAATCATACTGGTAGCGGAGCCTCGCAAGGGGCATCCGGGGCAACTATGACGACTGAATCTGGTGGTGGATCCAATGGAGTTAGCAATCAACTATCTTCACTGGTACCTGGGTTTGATCCGGCAGTTGATGACATGTTGGTATACCAGCAGAAAGTGGAGTTGGTTTTGGCCGCATGGCCGCCTACGAAACTGAAAGAATTAGTCACCAGACTAATCCTGAACACCAAAGGGACGGCCTTTCAGAAACTGCAGATACATCAGACTGAACTACTCTCAGGAGAGGAAGCTTCAATTCACAAACTGGTCGAACTGCTGGGTGGTCAATGGGGAAGAATCCCGCTTGAGCGCCAATATGAAGACGCTGAACAGGCGATTTACCACACCTTGCAGAAAACAGACGAAACAAACGATTCGTTTCTGGCCAGGGCAGACATCCTGTGGAGCAGATTGCTTGCCCGAAAAATCACCATAGCTGACTTGCAAGCATACATAGTGTTGCGAGGGTCACAGCTGTCGGCCGACGAGAAGAAGAAGGTGATCATGGACAGTGAGACCACAGGAAGTCTGACAATGAAAAAGGTGAGCGAGGCCATCAGGCTGTTGGGTGCATCGTTTTTTCAGGACATGACTGGGAAAAAGGTAGGTCGATCAAAGGTATATGACCAAGCCGCACTGGTTAGTGATTCGGTTGACGAGCCTGGCAGCCACCTCTCAGAGGACCCGACACTCACAGCCCTTGATGAAGGTATGGAAACTGAATTTCTGGACAGCATGATTCAGGAAGGAGACCAAGATGCGCTCCTTATAGCCGACTTTGAAGCAGCTGCCATGGATTTGATTCAAGAGGATTCAGATTTAGCTGTGGCACTGACGGCATATCAGCAGGCGCGTCACAAGCTTGCAGAGAAGTTCAGGAATCGAGGTTTCTTCCCATCCCGCCCTTTTGGCGGTGGTGGCAAAGGAAAGGGGTTTGGTCAGAAGTTTGGTGGCAAGGGGAAATCCTCTTTCTACCCGCAGCAGCAAAGAAGGTCCCTTCAAGATCGTATCTAGAACAGTTCGTGTAGAATATGTGGCCAAAAGGGCCATTGGAAAGCCGAGTGTCCCATGAAGTCGAACGTCCAGTCCACCACAACGTCAAGTGCAGCTCCGACTACAACTCTAGTCACCGAAGCTGGAGTTGACAGCCTGCCTCTGGAATTCCTTGGATTGCCAGAGACGAATGTGGACGAGCCTCAGTTTTGTGCAGCAAATTTTGAATCTTCAGTTTTGGTTGTTGAATCGTTTTTTGCAAAGAGTTCTCCATGGATGGACCCTAGGGAAAAGATTGAGGGGAATAGTAATAAGATTCATGGGGAATCCAACAAGTATGTCGCTCAATCTATTTGGGAAGATCCTCAACTCTCCAGCGCCAAAGAGCGCATTCGCAGATACCTCGCCAGGAGTGAGATTGCACCACCCAAGCATTCGATTTTGCCCACTGATTGCTGCCTGCCAAGTGAAATTCGCCATAGGCTAGCTATCCGAGGTCAGGGTCACTCAGGTTTGTGTCCAACATCAGTTCCTGCAAAGCATCGGCACGATCCCATCTGTTTTGCCACTCATGATGCATGTGGAGTGCTTGACCTTGGAGCATCCAAGACAGTAGTTGGATCCGACCATGTTGGCACTTTGATCCGAAGCCTTGAAGCCAGCGTCCGATCTCAGATCAGCCGTTGCGACTGTCGTATCACTTTTCGATTTGGCAATGAGGCCACCCTCACGAGCACACAGGCCTTGGTGGTTCCTATTGGTAATCTGAAGCTGAAGATAGCCATAGTTCCAGGAGGTACCCCATTTTTAATTAGCAATACCCTTATGCGTGCCATCCATGCCCAAGTAGATTGCCATCAAAGAGTTTTGACCAGTCCACAACTCAGCCATGCCATTCCGCTGGAGTTGACACCCAAGGGTTTGTTTTTGCTAGACCTGAATGAGCTTGTGAAAGCCTCGCGATCCGTGCAGAGCCCAGTTCCCCAGCCAACGAAGCTTGCAGAGGAGACTTTCATGGCCTGTGAAAATGTTGCCGCACCGTCAGATCAGGGTTTTAGCCTGAAACCGTTGACAGAATCATCCCCAAAGACAGCCGAAAATCAGCATCCGCTGAAGCCACATGAAAACATGTCATCGCATGACCACCTGCATGCAGAGTCAAAGTCACATGAGATGATGAAAATTGATACCAACCACGCCACAGATCAGTCTGGATCTGAATCGATTTCATGCAGTGAACCATCGGCCCAAAGCCCAGTTCAAGAGCAACCACCGCCGTGCGTGTACAGTGCTGAGGGAGACCATGTCGCTTCTCTCCCGTCTTCGAGCGTTGCAGCAGGAAGACCCAGTGCCACTGACCAGTTTGGACGACTTGACGCTGGACGATCTGATGAACGAGAAAGTCCAGTTCGGACAAAAGCATTTGGGCCACACGCACATGGAGGCATGGCAGGATCAACCTTGGATCACATACATGATCACTCACTACGGCAAGAGCCAGACTCCGGCTCACCGCCGACTGCTCCGATTTGTGGAGTTGATGATCGAGCACCACGAGAAGGACCAGGTGATCATCCCGGTTCGACCTCCCCAAGAATCCGTGGCTGGGTATGCAGGGACTTCCGGCCGTTCTGGAAGCGTATTTCCCCAGTCCAAGATGAAGGCCCGGCCATCCGGCCAAACTCAAGCAATCTCCTTGGACGACGGCACGGAGGAGGAGTTCGAGATGTATGCATCGACGACTATGAACCAGCCCATCACCGAAAACCCGGAGTTCAAGGCCATCCAAGATCGGATGTTGAACCTCGAGAATGCCTTGTCCCGAGTGATCCATCACCTCGAGTCCAAGATCGAGGAGGTGACACAGTAGATCCTGATCCTGAACTGAGAGCAGATCAAGTAGCCGAAACCTGTGTGACGGTTCATGACGACGTCCAGCATCTGTGGACCCTGATAGAAAAGTTTACCAAAGAATTCCAAACAGTCCAAGATCAGTGTCATGCAATCGGAAAGCCATTTGTGTTAGGGGAAATTTTCTGTAGCAGCCAGTCACCCTTAACTCATCAGGTCCACCAACTGGAAGGCCAAGCATTTCGCCATGGCGAAGACCAGGGTGATTTAGCCACAACAGAAGGTCGTCAGAAGCTTTTTCAAAAGATATGCATGCACAATCCCAAACATCTATGGTTTAGCCCGACATGCGGTCCCTGGTCATCCTGGAGTTCCCTAAATGCCAGCCGTTCAATTGGCCATCTGGAAGAATATCAACAAAAACGTCATGACCTTCGATATCAACTAGCTCTTGGAGTAGTGTTGTATAGATATCAGATCCAGCATGGTCGACATTTTCACTGGGAACAGCCACAGCGATCTTTGATGTTCCTCCACCCTGGCTTGAACGAAATACATGAACACACCCGATCATGCATGTTTGATATGTGCGAAGCCGGGCACCTTCGGGATCCAAAAAGTGGAGACTTCATGAAAAAGGGAATGCACATTCTCACCACCCACGAAGAATTGTTTAAACACCTTCATGGTAGAACATGCCGTGGGGACCATAAGCATCAACACTTGGAGGGGACCATCAGCTACAATGGACACATGTTACACAGAACCGCATTCTCAGAAATCTACCCACGAAAGTTTGCTCGTTCAGTAGCCAAAGTATTGGTAGGTTCTAAGCACTCATGGCCTTTCAAGTGGCAAGCACGACGACTATTGCATGGCTTAGTCTTTCCAGAGCCGGTGTTGGTGAACCAACAGGTGCGTTCCAACCAATTTGCCAAGAACCGGAATCGACCTGTGTTTCCGCGTTCTCAATTGATCGCTCCAGATGCTGACCCTCCTGAAATGGCGAAACGGAGGCGCCTCGATGGCAAACAAAGCCCAAGACCTAGTCTTGCTGATTGCCAAGAAGTCCTCCAAGAGATTCAAACAAGGGTTCCCAGGGTTGGAAAAATAGATATCCATGAAAATCAGATCATCCAAAAGCTGCAAGAAATGTTTCCCGATAAGCAAATCATGGCCGTACTTGCATGCAGGGGCACAGATCGCACCTTGGGCCCCCCCAAGAATATCCATAAAGACTCAGCACCATACCGAAAGTCCTTGATGATCCTCCGAAATGATGACAGTGTCAGGTTTGAGAAAGATTGGGAGCGATGGTCAGAGCTATCTAATCGACAGTTAATTAGGCCTGCCCATGCCTGTCGACTAAATGTGACTTTGTTTGCCAAAGATCATGAAAGGAGTGCCTCATCGACCTTGCCCATGAGAACTGCTGCAGTCCCAGATATGTCCCAGGGGTCAACAGAATCCCAGCCCGTCATGCCAGAACCGCCGAGCCCTGAGCGGCCCGAAACTTTTGACTCAGAGAACGAAGAAGTCTCTGAACAGCGTACCACGAATCCGGCCTCTGAGACCACAGAAACCACTGTCACACCAAAAGTTCAGCTGTCTGAGAATCCAGGACGTCCCATAGAAGTCAATCGAGTTCAACAGAGCGAGGCCTTCAAATCACTCCCACCATGGGAGCAGACCCAATTGATCCGTATCCATAAAAACTTAGGGCACCCTCCCAATGAAAAGTTGGCCAATGCCTTAAGGCTCCAAGGCCAGAGACCGGAGGTCATTCGGGCTGCTTTGGAACTTCGCTGTACAGTCTGCTCAGCTTGTGCTGCACCCAAACACCAGAGGCCTGGCCATTTGAAGAACCTGTTGGACTTCAATCACCGAGTGTACATGGATGGAATCAAATGGACCAACAAGACGGGTCAGTCGTTCCAATTTTATCATGTGTTAGATGCCGGAACCCATTTTCATGTTGCATTCATAGCACCAGCACACACGTCAGGTGATGTTATCCGACTTTTCAGCCAGCACTGGATGAACTGGGCAGGAGCTCCTCAAGAACTTAAGGTAGATTCTGGCACTGAACTCAACAGTCAGGAATTTGCAGAGTTCAACCAGCGTTTTGGCATTCGCTGTGAAACCACCTGCCCGGAGGCACACTGGCAGAATGGGAAGATTGAACGCCATGGGGATTTCATACAACATATGCTCACCAAAATTGATTTGGAACTTGGAATCCAAAACTATACAGATCTGCAGTTGGCCCTCAACCAATGCACTCAGGCCAAAAATAGCTTAAGCAGCCACCAAGGGTACAGCCCCGAGCTCATAGTGTTTGGTAAACAAAGCAGACTTCCCGGATCCGTTTTAAATGATGATGGAATCCCTTCTCATGCATCAGCAATTCAAGAAGAACAGGATATAAGTCCATCGGATTTCAAACAAATGCTCAAACTCCGTGAAGTAGCCCGTCAAGCCTTCCATACAGCAGACAACAGCAATGCCTTGCGGCGTGCCAAGTTGCGACGATCCTGTCCATCACGAGGACAGTTTGTGCCAGGACAGTGGGTCATGATTTGGAGGACCCAAGGTCCAAATCGAAAAGGCTGGATGGGCCCTCAAAGAACCATCATCCAAGAATCAGACCATACTGTTTGGACCTCCCAATCCGGCCGACTGTTCAGAAGTGCACCAGAGAATGTACGACTGGCTTTGCCTGAGGAGGGACACCCTGACAGCTCTGAGCTTCCCGAGGATCTGACACAATTGCAGAATCAGATCCGACGCATGAATCAAGATCCCAACAGCTTACCTCCGATAGATGAAGACACTCCGTTCAATGATTCCAATGTAGAAAATACTCAGTTTCCCGAAGAACCCCAAATTCCCGAGCGTCGAGATAGCCAATCAAGTGAATCGATAGCCCAACCAGATCATGAACCAGACCTTTCATCAAGACAACTCTCTCCAGTTGTAGACCCTCCGGAAGACTCAGAACAGGAAGATGCACAACCTCTCTTCCTTACCAGCTGTGATGAGCCGAGTGTTCTGAATGACCAAGTGCCTGCCCAATTTGCCTGGCGATGTGAGTATGAGATGACGATCCCAGAGTGTCATCGACATCGGCCACCTTCCCAAAGTGAGGCATGGGCCCTTCTGGTAACCAATGCAAAAAAGCAAAGATCTGAAGTTAGGTTATCCGAACTATCCAATGCAGAACGGATGGAATTTGAGGGAGCCAAACAAGCAGAGGTATCAAACTGGGTTGGCACTGACACCATCAGTAAAATCCTCAAAAACCAAGTGCCCTCAGACCAAATTCTCCGGTGTAGATGGATTTTGACTTGGAAACCCAGTGATCAGACGGGTGCCGACACAGCAAATCCGTCACAGAGGACCCACAAAGCAAAGGCCAGAATTGTTGTTCTGGGGTATATGGATCCTAATATCGAAAATATCCCAAGAGATTCCCCCACAATGAGTAAAACGTCACGCATGATGTTGTTGCAAGTCTTGGCCACTCATCGCTGGACAATGGAGTCATTCGATATCAAGGCAGCGTTCTTGCAGGGACAGCCACAGGCGGGGAGACTGATTGCAGTGGATCCAGTGCCCGAACTTAGAAAAGCGTTGAACATGCAACCTCATGAGATCGGTCGTCTCAACAAGGGTGCCTACGGTCTTATCGATGCTCCTTTTCTTTGGTATAGTGCACTGGTGCAAGAACTCATCCGCCTTGGAATGGAAGCCTGCCCTTTTGATCCATGCATCTTTGTGTTGAGAGAAGACTCCAAAGTGCCTGAACACCCCGATGACCAACCAGACCCAAAACATCGAGCAACTGGTAAGATAGTTGGCATCCTTGGTATCCATGTTGATGATGGTATTGGAGGGGGCGGAGAAAAATTCCAAAAGGTTGTCAAACTATTGGAACAAAAATATCCCTTTGGATCCAAAAAGAGTGGAGCTTTCACGTTCACCGGAGTTGACATGACCCAACATGGTGATTATAGTATTGCCTTAAATCAATCCTCCTACGTTCGAAAAATATCCCCTATCAATATTGATCCAAATAGACGCACCCAACCTGAGTTAACCATCACCAATGAAGAACAGGGTTTGTTGCGAGGTTTAGTGGGATCCCTACAGTATGCATCAACAAATACCCGGCCTGACCTGGCAAATCGCCTTTCTGGACTCCAGTCAGCCATCAATTCAGCCACTGTGGAAACTTTGCTGGAAGCCAACCGGTTGCTTCATGAAGCCAAGAGACACCATGACATGACCATCACGATTAAGCCCATTCCTGAAGATCCGTTGCGTTTCATGGTATTTTCCGATGCCTCATTCGCATCCAGCAACAAGTCTCATTCATATGCCGGTAACATAATAGTATGCACCCATGCCGATATCATCAAAAATCATGAATGCCCAATTAGTCCAGTATCCTGGGGTAGTAAAAAGATTCAACGGGTAGTCACGAGTACTCTCTCAGCTGAAACCACCTCACTGGCGACAGCATTGGACCAATTGTCCTGGGTTAGATTGTACTGGAAGTGGCTTCATGATCCATCAACAGCCTGGCATAAGCCCGACGATGCTTTATGTAAAGTAGAGCCTGCCATCTCCGTGAACACCGTGCCTTCCGAAATGGACCTCGCAGTTACAGATTGCAAAAGTTTATATGACTTGATTTCTAGAACTGCTCCTCCAGCTTGTTCGGAGTTCAGAGTTCAATTGGTGGCCAGGTATATCAAGGAAATCCTTCGAGAAAATATCAACCTTCGCTGGGTCCACACAGGAGCACAGCTGGCCGATGCCTTGACAAAGGCCATGGAAGCAAGATTTCTCAGGGAGACCTTAAAACATGGGTTTTACAAACTTCACGATGAATCCGCCACACTCAAAGAAAGAGCCAAAACCAGAGACAGAATACAATGGCTGAAAGGAAATACTTGAGTTTTGATCAACAAAAGAATTTTTGGGAGTGTGATTTTTCCATTTTAACTTTAACTCCAGGTCCAACTTGATCAAAAACCATGTGCTTCCAAAGGCACCTTGGCTCGAGGCGAGCCAGTGGAGGGTTGGGCAGAGGTAACGTGCCCTTTGAGCCATTTGCCTGCGTGTGACAGGGTCACACCTTTAGGATCAGGGAATCCTTCGTGCTTGGCTATCCAGCCTTTCCGTTTTGCCTGGCGTGGACCTCAAACCATAGACCTCCTGCGACATCTGGGAAAACAGGCCGAACGATTGTTTCCTTGCTGGTGGCAGGTTGGCTTTGGACAGTTGGGACATTGGCAGCTTTCATCCTTTTCCATTGATTTCAGGTTCACTGACTCCTAGTGTGCTGCCAATCATATTATATATATATAATGATAAAATATGATAAATCCATACGCAATACACGCAGTGAATTGCTGAGTGAACTCGTAGCCATGAAGTCTTCACAAGTCTGGTACCGAGGATACCACCCAAGGCAGCGAAGAGGATGAGGAGCTCTTCAAGGCGCATCCGTTTGCATCGGTTTGCTTCAAGAAGAGCTCACACCATGCAGGCCACTGCAGAGTAGGTACAGGATGGTACAGGATGGTACAGGTGAAATATGGTGAATTGACATGACATGTTTTTCCAATCAAGACACGCGTCAAACATCCCAAACTTTGCAAGAGCTTGCCGCTTATAATAGCTATTTGCTATCATTCGCTTGCTTAATTTGCAGGCACCCTTGCAGCCCCTTTTCACCTTCTTGCCTGTGAAAGTGGTGGGCTTCCGCTTTGCCATCCAAGGCGACATTGCTAAATGGGTCATATTATGTAAATAACATAAAAATGATAAACACATACTCTACACATTATACATGTAAATATATAAGTTTAAATAAGTATTAAATAGTATTAAAACATAAACATATTTGATAATATAAATATTTGTATATATTTGTCATATTTTGTCATGTCAGACAAATCCACGATGGATTTCAGTGCCAGAGCACCAGGTCCCTTTGACCTCACCGCAGATCGTGGGAACCTTCATGGGAAGCAGCGCTCTCAGGAATCAAACCAGGTGGGCACCGGTTCACAGCAATCCGATACTTTCAGAGATACTTGCAGAGATACTTTCTACATCTTTCTTCCACATCCTTTTCTATATACATCTTTCTTCCATTTTCTTCCCAAGGTCACAGCGCAATCGGTCCCTTTGTGCTTCTGTTCCGCTGGCATTCCAAGCGGCTCTACAAAACTTGTCCAGTTCTCAGAGTTCTCTCAGAGTTCTCTCAGAGTTCTCTGTCTTTCTCAGTTCCATGTTTTTGGTCGTGGATGATTGAGGCCTGGCCTGAGAAGCCGCGCACTGGACAGATGTTGGGATAGGCAGAGAGGCTCCCCTAAAATGTGAGGATGGAATTGGATGTTGACACAGGTTGGTATTCATATAATTCTGTTTGATTCTATGTCATGCTGGTGTACAACATCCCTTCTTTTGGGTCAATGTTAATGTTCTTGCTTTCTGACATTTCTTCCCTTTGTATTGGGACCGCTCAATTGCATAGATTGTAGCAGATGTCGTTGTGTACCAGAGTCTACTGGTGTTGAGCTTCACCCAGAGATATTGGTGAGTTCCCGGCTTCGCGTGAAGGACCTGCTCGGGCAAGAAACGCCAGAGGCCACCTGGCTACTGGTCCGAGGACAGTTGCTGGAGGCGCTGCGAACACATCCGTGCAATGCCGTGCAAGTGGAAAGATGTGGAAAGATGTGGAAAGATGTGGAAAGATGTGGAAAGGACTCTTGGACCATGGACTAGGTATCTGTCCAAAGGACGTGAAATACAGTCATACAGCATATAATCCCAGGAGACTGATTGAATCTGTAGAATCCAAAGCATTTTCAATGGGTAACTGTGTCTGCATGCAGGTGTCCTGCTTACTGTTGAGCGGATGTTTGCACATATTTCCTTTCTACAAATGGGCTTGCAGAGTGCCAGGTGCTGAAGGAAGCAGGAGGCTTTGATATCACTCACATCACTTTATTGCACGTCAATGCGTTCAGAGACACCAGTGCATTCAAAGACAAAGAGCTGAGGTTGAATGCATCCCAACTGAACCTGATGGGCAACTTGCACGTCCAGGCAGTAGCGTTTCCTGCTGACATGTTCAAATCGTCACACATACTCGAGTGCCAGGGCGGGGCTAGCATAGGCAATTCTCCGCACGTCTTGCATTCACACATACAGACACTCAGAGCAGAATCTGGAAGGAGTGAACTAGCGATTTGTGTGTTTCAAGTAGTTTCAAGTGTAAAAATGGCTACCCAGTCAGTATTGGCTATGATTATGCAGGAGAATGCTTGCTTCCTGCAGAGGACACTTTCCGTCAGTATGCCATAGTCAGATGGTGGATGGGTACATAGTACGTGCAGAGTTCACATCTTCAATGGAGTCCTTACCCAGAGTACAACCTCTGAACCTGCCTCTCAACTGCCTGGACAGGAGCCGAAGTTGGCAGAGGCTATGCAGCATTTACCACCTGATGTCCTTTGGGTTTGCGCCTGAGTCACCCCGCTCTGAGTAGGAACGCTTGAACAGATGGGATGATTTCATATGATTTCCGTATATTGCAACTAAGACCAACTAAGACCAACTAAACAGATTGCACAGGATCATTGCGGACGACGGCTTGTTCAACGACAGTGGGTCGTGCTCTTGGCATCCCAAAGCCGGACAGTTCTCTGTTGCATCAATGAGTGGATGGGACCCTTCAGAGCAGCATTGCTTCGAAGTGATTTCGCGCCTTGATTTCCTGATCATAGGAACAGCCAACTGATACAAGATGGGACATTTCAGGTCAGACATATGTTCAGAAATGTTCATAAGTTATAAGTTATAGCTCCTAATTAATGATTACCAGTAGTACCGCACAAGACGGCGGCGGAAGTTTCAAAAATAGGAAACCTATAGGAGAGGTTGGTTGTTGTGAATCACGGATGGCAGAGCGAAGCCACTGATGGACCGAAAGGTGGTTGAGGTCTCTTCTCTTTCTCTCTCTTTCTGTCTCTTTCTCTGACTATTTACCTACCTACCCACCTATCTATCTATGTATGCATCTATTTCTCTCTCTGTCGTGTAGTGCAGAGTAGTGTAATAAGTGTAGTGTAGTGTAGTCTTATGTAGTTATAGTTGTAGTTAGCGTGATGTAGTGTAATGTAGTGTAGTGTAGTGTAATGTCATTAGCGTAGTGTAATGTAATGTAGTGTAGTTGCAGTTGCAGTTGCAGTTGTAGTTGTAGTTGTAGGTTCAGTGCAGTGTCATTCAGAGCAGTGTAATGTAGTGGAGTGTAGTGTAATGTAGTGTAATTAGTGTAGTGTAGTGTAGCGTAGTGTAAATGTAGTATTGTTGTTGTAGTTGTAGTTGTAGTTGCAGTTGCAGTTGTAGTTGTAGGTTCAGTGCAGTGTCATTCAGAGCAGTGTAGTGTAGTGGAGTGTAGTGTAATGTAGTGTAATTAGTGTAGTGTAGTGTAGCGTAGTGTAAATGTAGTATTGTTGTTGTTGCAGTTGCAGTTGTAGTTGTAGTTGTAGTTGTAGCTGTAGTTAGTGTAGTGTAGTGTAATGTAGGCTGCCTAATAGTAAATCCCCCCTAAATAAAATAATTATTTTAAAAAAATTGGGGGGGTCAGCATTCCAATAGTAATTTTTTGGAATCCTATGGCTGTGGGGGCAGAGGTGGTGGAGGCGAAGGAGGAGGACGAGGAGGAGGAGGAGAAGAAGGAGAAGAAGGAGAAGGAGAAGGAGGACAACAAAATTGGAGTTGCGGAAAAAAGTTTCCACTATTGCCATGCCTGGTGCAGGTTTGTTATTGCTATTCTGGGGCTTGCAAAGGGGGTACCCTTTGTGGACCTGTTTTCTTGCCTTTTTTAATAAGGGTTTTACAAGGAAATCAGCTGTTTGGTAATTGGATCAGATTTCTGGACCCTAAGCTTTTGCTAATCAAAAGTGAAGGCTGCTTTGAAAAGGATTTGCTTTACTTGACTCTTTTGGCAATACTAAAAGTAAATGGAGCTAATTGACTTTTAGTATTAGAGAAAAAATTGGAGTTGGGAAAAACGTTTCCACTATTGCCATGTTGGGTCCACTATTGGCCATGCCCTCTGGACAAGGTCTGAACATGACTCTTTTGGCAATACTAAAAGTAAATGGAGCTAATTGACTTTTCGTATTGGAGAAAAATTGGAGTTGCGGAAAAATGTTTCTACTATTGACAAGATATCACTATTGGCTAGGCAACATTAGTGTAGTGCAGTTGCATGTAGTGTAGTGTAATGAAGTGCAGTGTAGTGTAATTGAGCGTAGTGTATCGGAGTGTAGTGGAATGTAGTGTAGTGTAACGTAGTGTAGTGGAATGTAGATCCCTGTCGAAATAACCCCTGTAAAATGGGGGGTCTTGAGACCCTAATAAAAAACCAAATTACAGGCTGGAAATGCTTTTTCAGATTTTACTGTAAAACGAACCTGGAGGTATGCATTTTACAGGAGGCTAATTTTGAGTATGTTTTGGGAACTGATAGACCTGGAAGATCCATTCTACAGTTCCTTTGTTGGGTTGTTTTCAGTTTGGAATATCCATTTTATAGAGGTATTGGGTTGGGCAGAATATCATGGAACTTGGTATAACCATTCTATTGGATAGAACCCGGTTCTCCATTCTACAGTTGGTTTTGCAGGTTTTTGGTGTGATTTTGGCATATTTAACCATTTTATAGGATTTATATATGGTTTTGAGTTGTCCATTTTATAGGGATCAAAGAGTTTATCTACCAGTACTAGTAGTACCGCACAAGGCGGTGGCGGAAGTTTCAAAAATAGGAAACCTATAGGAGAGGTTGGTTGTTGTGAATCAGGGATGGCAGAGCGAAGCCACTCATGGATCGAAAGGTGATGATCTCTCTCACTATTCTCTCTTTCTCTGACTATCTACCTACCTACCTATCTATCTACCTATCTATCTATCTATCGATCAATCTATCTACCCTGACCTAAAAGTAGATGGCTCAGAATCTTGAGTTGCGCCATCTATGTCAAAAAAAATGGGGGATAGATGGCTCAACTCCCTTTAAAACAGGGCAGTTGAGCCATCTATGTCCCTAAAAATGACATATTTTTTGCAATCTTCTGCGCTGGTTTCTCCCCATTTTTTTTCTCAACATCAAGCTGCTTTTTTGGGACATAGATGGCGCAACTCCCGGGGTTGCGCCATCTATGTGGGCATTCCCAGCCTGATTTTGGCGAAATGACGGAAGTTGTTTTGAGCCAGCAAATCGTTAGAAGACCTGTTTTGCTATTTTACAGTAGGGCAGGGTTGACCCAAAATAAATCCAAATAAAACAAGATGTTAAGTTTGGGATATTTTACTTGATTTTTCAAATGTTGGTATATCCATTTTACAGTGGGGAGCCATTTTGCATTTTATGGTTTAAGGTCTGAGCTAACCATTTTACAGCAACTCTGGTATATCCATTCTACAGTAAAAAAAAGTTTTTTGGTTAAACAATAACCATACTACAGGCATTTCCCATTCTACAGTGTAAAATGGTTGTTCCAAGTACCCCCTGTTTATTTCAACGGGGATGAATGTAGTGTAGTGTAGTTGTAGTGTAGTGTAGTTGTAGTGTAATGTAGTGTAGTGTAGTGGAATGTAGTGTGGTGTAGTGTAATGTAGTGTAGTGTAGTGGAAGGTAGTGTAGTGTAGTGGAATGTAGTGTAGTGTAGTGTAATGTAGTGTAGTGTAGTGGAGTGTAGTATAGTGTAATGTAGTGGAGTGGAGTGTAGTGTAGTGTAGTGGAGTGGAGTGTAGTGGAGTGTAGTGTAGTGTAGTGGAATGTAGTGAAGGTGTAGTAGTAGTTGTAGTGTAGTTTATTGGAGAGTAGTGTGGTGTAGTGGTGGTTGTAGGTGAAAATGCTACAAAACCTTCACGTTTGGCTCACTTTTGACAAGGTCCGCAATCCCTTGCGCCTGCCACGCGAAGCGACATCTGAACCTCCAAAAGTGGTCCGAAACCCTGGTGTTTTTAACATTTTGACTTGGAAATGTGCTTCGCGCCACAATGGCGTGCACTTTTTAGAAATCCCATCTGCCAAAAGTGGTCCGAGCATGGTGTGTTTTGTACATTTTGACTTGGAAATGTGCTTCGCGCCACAACAGCGTGCACTTTTTCGACATCTCAACTTCCAAAAGTGCCCCGAACATGAGGTGTTTTTAGCTTTTCCACTTGCAAATGTGCTTCGCGCCACAACGGCGTGCAATTTTTCATCTCTCATCTGGCCAGCTGGATCCGCACCGCCGCTTTAGCGAGCATACTTTTCAACCCTCCGGAGCCACAAATCATTGGAAAAACGCAGTGTTTCGCGACTTTCCTACCTTTTCGCGCACCTGGATCTTCTTTCTTCTCAGACTTTCTCTTTTGTGATCTTCTTTCTTCTTTCTTCTTCTCTTCTCTTCTCTTCTCTGACTCTTCCCATCTCTGCTTTTCATCTGTCCATATTGTCGGAAGTTTGACTTCTAAACTTCCTTCGATGAATATCTATGAACGACCCTTTAAGCAGCAGACTCTGACGATTCTTTCAAGAAGGGATTGCGCCATCGAGGCGTTGCGCCATCGAGCACAAACTCAGGGCTTAGGCTTAGAGGAGACATTTGAATGTTTGATGAGGTTGATGCAAAAAACCTAGATAGAATAGGCCAGAATAGGCAAGAATATGCTATTTGCCGATCCATCTTGCTGTTGCTTCATGAATCCTTCATGAATGCATAGAGTACACTTGATAAGCGAGTGTGCCAGGAGTTTGGTATCGACCAATGGCTCCAAGTTCTGCAGGTGTACACCGGCCCCTCAACATCCCCCAACTATCAACTGGCACATTGTTCAAATGTTGGCTGCCCTTGATCGCCTGAGATCTTGGAGAAAATCTTGGAGTCCCCTGGACTCTCTGCCAGGAGACGGAGAGCAGCGGCAAGAGGCCTGGGCCGTCAGTGGCTTCGTCCGGCTCCTCGTATCTCATAACGAGCTGGAGCCAGGAGCCTGGTGGCAGATGCTGCAAAGAAGGAGGACGCAGCAGGGTTGCTTCAGTTCACGCCTACTCAACCTTGCTCATGGCAGTGGTAGACTAAATTCGCAGCAGAATCATCTCTGGATTGAATTCAAGTGCCCAGGACCATGGCTTCTTTAAGCGACTTTTTGCTCTGCTTGACTCTTAGCTTCTAGTCATGAACACTGGTCACTCAAGACCTTTTCAAGCAAACGACGGCCTTTTGATGGAGTCCGTCCCAGAGCAATTCTCTTTGGGAGATTCAGGCTGGGAACAGCTTTAACAGAGAAGCCCGAGGCTGCATCTGAAATCATCCGAAGCTGTGGTGGGAAGGAACAAAAACACAAAGAAGGGCTGCTAGCTCCGTAACTCTTACTGAAGCAATTGAGAGTTGTGCCAATGGGCCAAACACGAAATTATCCAGCTATATCCAGCTCATGCTCTGATGTGCAAGCCTTCTGGTCCACAAAAAGTTTTTTTTGCATCACTTTTTCTAGACGAACTGTAACCAAGACACCGTTGTAGATATAAAGAGCAGACTACAATGATCGGGACATATGATATTAGGTTCACGACCGGACCGTTCTGGGTTCCTTTGAAGCCCAGCAAGACACCGACGAAGAAATGATACCTGAGTCTCCATGGCAGGTCTTGGAGGGCCTGTGCCAAGTGCCGCTGCTGCCAGATTCTGCAGGACGTGGGCCATGAAGAAACGTGACATCATCTAAAGAAAAAAAACGCAGCTGCTGCGGGGCACATCATTCAACGACCCACGGCGCTTGCCTTGGTGCATTCGAAGACCAGGAAATGTGCTTCGAGTCTCTGATGGGCTAAGATCTCAATGCAGTGAGACGTTGCATTTCCTATGCCATCAGCTGGATCCAGAGTTGGTTTCAATTATTTTTGATTTTCGACTGTATTTGGGATAATGATCCGTAATGAATGAATATTTTTGGGATGGGTTTCCAGTGCTTTTTCCTCGATTTTCCTCGTGTTTTGGTTGTGCGCATTTTGTTCCATGGGTTGCGAAGAGAGAGTCCCGCGATGCTGATGTGAAGGCCAGTTTTTTCCTCCTATGCTTCCGACGTGCCTAAGTGCTGGCAGAAGAAGCTAGAGGCACCGGTGTCAAGATGTAGCCCTTTTCTGAATGTCTCCATTTATGTGTATAATATATATACGATAACGACATTTAAATATGTGGAGGGCGGGCCAGACCGCGAGGCCCCGGAGGTAGTATGAAATACCAGTTCGTATATTTAAATGTAGTTGCAGTATGTTTAAATGAATTGGATTCCGTATGTTTAAATGGCTGGGCGGGCCAAGGAAAACCTTCCCGGAGATAGTCTAAAAAACCTGTTCGTATATTTAAAAAACCGTATATATATTTAAATGTAGTTACCGTATATATATATATATATCATTTTTTGTTTTCCATGTGTCACAGAATTGGATGACGGGAAAATTTAAAAGACATCTCTATATTTGGGGTAGAAGCGGGTTTCCTGTAGATTTTCCCTTGAACCTCCTTGAACCAATTTATTGAATGTGTTGATCTTTGTTTGTTTCACATCTTTTTTTTCTGCTTTCTTTTTCCCTCCTGTTCCCGTTAGGCGGTAGGCGCACTGCGTGTGCTGAACGACAAAGTCCACAGTGGCTTGGAGGCCGCAGGGCAACGCTTCCTGCGGCAGCTTGGTGCTGACCTAAGCATGTTGGAGCATCACGAACCCGACACTCAACCTTGGTATACCTGGGTCATCGGTCCTCATTTGTTTCAGTGGGATATTCTATATATAATATATGATATAATTATGCTATAATTGATATAATAGATAGTTAACATGTCTGTCATCCCTGGCAATCCTTGTTCAATCCTTTTTCAGATGCATCAGAAATGACTTATTCTACTTGCCAAGATGTGGCAAGGACGTTAATACGAAATCCAACCATTGGCACCTCGATCTCAGATCTTTTGCATCTGACTGAGGCGTTTCCAGGCCACCACCGTCCTTTTTGTGAAGTGATCCTTGGATATCCTTGGACCTTTGGACCGAGATTTGGCTGTGCCCTTACGTGTCCAGCTTCACGAAAAACGTCGCGGCTCAAAAGGCTTCACAGCCAGGGAACAGATGACGTCAATCATTGATGAGTGGAACAGAGGTGTCACATCTTTAGCTTTAGTCTAGCGCAGCTTGGGGCATGCAGGCAATTAGGCAATAGGTGCACGGGATAATTGATTAAGAGAATTAAGATGATACTGATGCTGGTAGATACTGGTAGATCCTGGTAGATCCTGGTAGATACTGGTAGATACTGGTAGCTATGTGTGGGCCTGGTTCAAAGGAATGCAGCGATCATGTTTGAGATTTGATACAGCTTCACACAGATCAAGTGTGAATGGGCCTTGATTGCCTTCGCCAGCCATGGCTGACTATGTGGGTGATGCCTATGTTTACTACAAAGGAGCAGGAGAGGAAGATCCGATCCTGACCTTTGCCTTCCACACCAAGAATCATCAGCTCCTAGTTGATGCGAGTGGGGATAGTGGAGATGCAAAGAAAGAGAGCTTTCGGCAGCGCTATGAGCGCGAGCTTTCCAAAGTACAAGACAAATACACAGATTTGGAGCCTGAATTTAGTGACGATGACATGAATGCAACACTGGAAGAGGCGGATAGAAAGCGTGGCTGGCAGTATCCACTGACCAAAACACAACAAAAGAAAGAATTCGGTTGTGTTCCGGCAGAGCAGCAGCGATTTCTATGGAGGTTGCAAGATGGTCACCTTGACATAGTGGAGGATTATTTGGGAAATCCCAAAATGAAAAAAGCCATTGACCTGAATCGCTATGATGATGAGGGACTCACACCCTTGCACCATGCAGCCAAGCTTGGACATGCGGACATCGTTAAGGCTCTGATCGAAGGCAGGGAGGGGTTTGTGCATTCTTTTCTGATTGTTCCATGTTTCCAAAACAAATTTGTTTTGTTCCCCTTCAGTTCAAACATTTGAACATATTTGAAATACCCAGTGAGATATTGAATTTATTTAATGATGATACGAATCATATACTTGAATCACGATGGAGTGTTTTTTCCTTCCGATTTGTTGACGAGGCAAGGCAGACCCACTTCTTCGAGACAAAGTGAATGGCCTGACTGCCTTGGACTTTGCCGAAGCCGGTCGTTGGGACTCCGGACCTCACGCAGAAGCAGCGAGAGCCATCCAGGACTTGGAGTTCAGCTGAGTGTTTCGCCGCTTTGCGGTCCGCCGGTGGGACTTGGCCCCACCATCTTCCAGTGAAAAAGAAGTACTGCTAGCTGCGGCACCATGCTGAACAATTCTGAATTCATGCTCGATCAGCGGCTGAATTTTGATAATTCTTGGGCAATCTAGTCACATTTGACCCATCATGTCATTTGGAGTGAGACCAGCAGAAGATCCGAGCTGCTTCAGCTTGTTGTGATGGCAAGGCTAACCCGTCAAAGCCTAGTCCCTTTGTGTGATGTTCTCAGTTGATGATGATTACTGCTTGGCATGTTGGAAGGATGCTGTAGCTATTGGAGACCTCATGGACTTGGCAAATTCGGTGATAAGAATTCGAAGAATTCATCAGTGTTTGCTCGGTCAGTTTTTGATCTTCATTCTCGCATCTTCAATTGTGCTGATGACCAAGGTGCAAGCTGGCACTTGGGTTTGGCGGAGACCTGGCTGAGAACATGGGATGGACATACGTTTTGTGCCCGACCATAGCAAGATGAACGCCTCGATGCAGCAACAAGTCATATATAGTCATGTAGTCATATGCCCAAGGACCAAGGATATCACGAACACAATGTGTAGTTATGTATAGTTCAGGTAGAATATGGTAGAATATGGTAGAATACTCAGGAACCCAGTGTGCCAAATTATATTGAGGCAAGAAGGGTTGCAAAGTCGCACTGGCTGCGGCTGAGGATGGCAATTTTCAAAGTGGCGGTAGCAGCAGCAGCACAGCTCTGCCAAGGTGCAATCAGCCAATCCTAAAGCAGATCCAATATGATTCAGTCATAAAGTAAGGTGAGCAGGTCGCCAGGTCGCTACGGGGCCATACCCTGGAGGTCTTCAGAGACATCTGTAGAGCTTGACGAGACGGGGTCTCCAGCTGAAGGACGGCCTGGAAATAATTTCTGATTAAACTCTACAGGTGTAGAAATTCTCTTCAGTTGCTGATTGTACTGGTGGACTGAAGCAAGTGAATTGTTGCAGACCGTGTCCCAAAGACTCGATAATAGTCTCCGTTGCCTCTTGACCACGAATGCACAGCATCTCTGTCCCTGTGCATGTCTTTTCCGTCAGACTTCTTCAGATGTCCCGCCACTATGGAGGAGTGAAAAGTTGTCCGTCAGGTACCTTGAGGTGCTGCAGAGTTTATGACATTCATATTAGGAGCTTTATTAGAATCGTGAAGCAGTGATTTGGTGAAGTGTACCGTTAACATCCGAAAACACAACCGTCCATGTCCTGTCATTGTGGCTTGAAGGTGTGCGGTCTGGGCCAGCTTGGCCTGCCTGCGCCAGCACTTTCTGACGGGCGCAACTGGGGTGCCAAGCCAGGACAAGAAGGAAGAGGCTTGGTTAGAAGCTCATGCTGCCAGATGTTGCCAGAAAATCTACAGCTGTGAACAGGGTTCGTTCGGCAATTTGGGGTTCCTTTGGGTTCCTTTGGGTTCCTTTGGGTTCCTTTGGGTTCCTTTGGTTCCTTTGGGTTCCTTTGGGTTCCTTTGGGTTCCTTTGGGTTCCTTTCTTTCTTTCTTCCTTCCTTCCTTCCTTCTTTCTTTCTTTCTTTCTTTCTTGTTGTTTTCCATGCATTTCTTTCCTCGATGCGGAAGGTGCCCTGGTCCGATCTTGGGCAGTTGTTGGTGCCATCCAGCAGCATTCGCAGTGGCCTGGGTCCCTGTGCGCGGCTCACGTGCCCCACCTACTTCGGTGAAGCTGCGGGCAGCGAGCTGCAGCAGGATGTACTGGTGGCCATCATGGGCTTCATCTATGGCGTTGAGGCCAGGAAGACTTGTGTCGTTGGGCTGGGGATGGCTGAGGGCAAACTTCCAGTTGTTCTGCATTTTTTGCACATGTTTGGTGAAAAAAGGTTGGGGCTAGTGGTGATGTTCATTTCTGTTTTTTTATTTGCTTATTTTAACCTGTCGGCCACAGGCGGAAGTTCGGGACATTGGAGTCTTTGCTGATGCTCCACCTGTTTGGCTCCGGGAAGAACAGGAATCGGTGAAGAGCGAGGTCGCGGACAAGCTGAACTGGGAGGCTTTCCTTGATGCCCTAGGCATGAAACCCTTGTCTCCTTGCACCTTCCACCGGAAAGTTGCTGGGACAGTCTTGAAACTTGCCAGCACTTGCCAGCACGGATTGCATTGAGACTAGTTACTAGTTTTTTTGCTTTGAAACTAGCCAAAAGGTTCATGCTTTGTGCGGGTTTTCCATACCGTACACTTTGCGCAATCGGATAAATCAATGCATTACGTAGAGCAAGCATGAGCAAGCCACTTTCCAGTCAGAGGACTAGCCTGCAGCATCCTTAAGCTTTGATGTTGAGTATGAATGATTATGATTGTTTCATCCTTTTTCCAAGGACAATCGATCTGGGTTGGCGGCTCTCCAGCTGTGAGTGGTGGCGAGCAGTTTGTGCATCTTCCACAGCTTTGAACTACATCGAGCTGCGTCTGAAGAACGCTGACCGGGTCGAGTTGACGTGGCTTCGTCAGTTGCGCACCCCGGAACGCGTGGACGTTTCTGAGCTCTTCTTGCGAAGCACGTACGTGCGCTATGGTGGCCACTTTTTGAAGCTCTGGCTGAACAGATGTTCAACCTTGATTTTCGTGTTTTAGAAATCTGTATACATATATAAGTAGGGCTACCGCCCTGGTGCCGCCGACCTTTATGGGGGGCATGGCAGTGGAAAGAAAGGAGCATGGCGACAGAATACAAAAATAAGTTTAATGTATATGTATGTGTAGATAGGTAGGTAGGTAGGTAGGTAGGTAGGTAGATCACCCACCCCTAAAAATGTATTTTAGGGGGGGGAGAGGTTGGGGAAAAAAAATACATTTACCGTTCTCCAAGAATTTGATTCCCCAGGACCCCCCCTAAATACATTATTTAACCGGTGGGTGTACGTTAAATGTAGGATCCATGGGTCGGGATATCCAACCCCCCCCAGGATCTTTTATTTTGGGGGGGTGGTTTAATACATTTTACGGGTTTGGTTTTTCCAGGATCCCCGGGAATGCTTAATTTTTTTCTGGGAATACCTTTCTTTGAAAAATGTATTTTAAGGGGGTTGGGTAGCCGAAAAGCACATCATTTTTGGAAAATGGAGGGAATAGATCTGGCTAAGGTAGTCATTGGTACCCCCTGCAATGCATACATTTCAGAATATTTAAGATCAAGTATATTTCAGCATCCCCCTTGGAATTTCCTCTACAGAATCGGGAACGTTACTTCCTGGAAAATGGTGCATTTTAACCCCCTGACTTAATAAGGGGTACCTACCCAGTGTCAACGCTTAGTGTCAACGGTTTCAATTTTATAGAGGACCTTGGGGCCTCTAATTCTATAGAGATTTCATGTTGAATACAGCACTGAGGACTAGTCAGCAGAGAGTCTTAGGGACTGCGATTCTACAGTGGGATACGTTCTCTTTGGATGCATGTCATGTTCTTCAATTTTATAGAGAAGCATTGGCAGAACCAATTTCCCACAACAATTCTTTCATCATCCTTCATCATCCTTGATCATCCTTGTATATTTTGGAATCATTTGGAATCTTGACATATTTTTGGAAACTTTTGGATAGTTTTGGGATATATTGGAGATTTGTTGGAGATCTATCATCAGGGTTTCATCAGTTATCATCAGTTATATTCAGCAAATATGTACAATTTTGACATTTCAATATCTCACAAAAGCAGCTTTTTCTTGTTTACAAACTATAAAAGCGACATTTTTCATTTTGCATCATTTTTCCGTTGTGTCTCCCCGTTGTGTCTCCCCTTTCTTTCTCCCCGTTGTGTCTCCCCAGTGTGTCTCACCGTTTTTGGGTCGAAGTCCTCGAGCCAGCCTTTCCGCCTTTCCGCTAAAAAAGAGCAAACGGATGGAAACAGATGGATACACAATGAAACAAAATGAAACAGAGCGACTTTCAAGATCTTTGAAATTGAAGGGGTTGACAGTGAACACTTGGAGCCTTTGAACTCTATAAATTTGGGAGTGCATAAGGCAAGCTAGGCAAGAGTAACTGGAGCATTCAGGTCAGCTGTCAATGAAGGAGACTTGGGGAACCTGATTTTATAGAAGGCCAACTAACCCCCCCAACCATCTACGAGAGTGACTTGGCGGCATCGATTCTATAGAGATTGTCAACTTGAAGATACCTTGGGGTCTCTGATTCTATAGATGCATTTTCAGAAAGAGGGTCAGGGCCTCCCGGATTATCATTATAAAATTGTCAACACCAACACTCTCACTTAATTCAAAGGGGGATATTTCAGCCATTTTATGGCCCATGGGTTTCAGTAGGTTTCCCAGGAAAAAAAGATCAATTGGATTGAGGTGCAGACCCCCCCATGCTTGCATACATTTAGAAAAGTTTATGTATCCATTGGCTCTTGTCAGTGGTGCCCCCCACAAAGCATACATTTTCAGGTTCAATACCCCTACCAATAATACATTTCCAGCATCTGGCACTCATACATGCCTCATTTTGAGGGGTTACCCCCCCTAGTTCCCATACATTTTTGGCAAAAAGTGAGGGGGTTAACCCCCCCCCTTATGTTCATACATTATCAGAAATGTAGGATCCACCCCCCCTACTCCTGAACCAGTTGGGGTCGGGGATGTAGGTAGGTAGGTAGGTAGGTAGATAGATAGATAGATAGATAGATAGATATACACACCCTCTAAGCCAAAATCTTGGAAAGCTTCTCGAAGGGCAGCTAGGTCGTGGCCCATTTGCTCGCTTTGAAACGCTTATAGAACAAGGTTCAAAAGCCAGCCAAAAGGCTCAAAAACGTACGTTTTGCCGCACTGAAGCAGCATGGCACTGCAGGACAGATCGTGCCTTCGAAGGGCAGCTGGTCGTGGCGCCGTCAGCTCCTGAACTGCTTGCCAGTGAAGGAGATGCCCGTCGCCACCAGCTACGTCGTGGCCCATTTGCTCGCTTTGAAACGCCTATAAATGGTCAAAGAAGAATGCCAAGAGCAGCCGCCAGCTCGAGAAACACCTTTCGCCACGCTTTGAAAGCATGGCAGTGAAGGACTGAGGGCTTCGCGCCGCAACCCGGTTGGAAGGCATCAGGTCGCCTTCTGAACCGACGGTCAAAGAAGAAGGCCAAGAGCAGCCGCCAGCTCGGGAAAAAGCACCGTTCGCCACGCTTTAACAGCATGGCAGTGAAGGACGGAAGGCTTCAAGAAGGGCAGCTAGGTCGTGGCCCGCTTGCTTGCTTTGAAACGCCAATAGAACAAGGTTCAAAGGCCAGCCAAAAAGGCTCAAAGAGGTACCGCCAGCTCGGAGAAAGCACGCTTTAACAGCATGGCAGTGAAGGACGGAAGGCTTCAAGAAGGGCAGCTAGGTCGTGGCCCGTTTGCTCGCTTTGAAACGCCAATAGAACAAGGTTCAAAGGCCAGCCAAAAGGCTCAAAGAGGTACCGCCAGCTCGGAGAAAGCACGCTTTAACAGCATGGCAGTGAAGGACGGAAGGCTTCGTGCCGCTGCCCGATCGGAAGGCATCAGGTCGACGCCAGCTCGGGAAAAAGCATCCTTGTCCACGCTTTAATAGAATGGCAGTGAACAACAGAAGGCTTCTTGAAGAGCAGCTAGGTCGTGGCCCATTTGCTCGCTTTGAAATGCCTCTGGAACAAATTTCAAAAGCCAGCCAAAGGGCTCAAAAATGTGCGTTTTGCATCGTTTTGCCGCACTGAAACAGCATGGCACTGCGGGACAGATTGTGCCTTCGAAGGGCAGCTGGTTGTGGCGCCGTCAGCTCCTGAACTGCCTGCCAGTGAAGGAGATGCCGTCGCCACACCGAAACAGCATGGCACTGCGGGATGGATCGGGCCTTCGCAGGCCTGCTACGTCCTGGCCCATTTGCTCGCTTTGAAACGCCAATAGAACAAGGGGAAGGCTTCGTGCCGCTGCCCGGTTGGAAGGCATCAGGTCGCCCTCTGAACGGTCAAAGAAGAATGCCAAGAGCAGCCACCAGCTCGGGGAAGCACCGTTCGCCACGCTTTAACAGCATGGCGGTGAAGGACGGAAGGCTTCAAGAAGGGCAGCTAGGTTTGCTTTCTTTGAAATGCCCTATAGCAGCTAGGTCGTGGCCCATTTGCTCGCTTTGAAACGCCAATAGAACAAGGTTCAAAGGCCAGCCAAAAGGCTCAAAAACGTACCGCCAGCTCGGAGAAAGCACCTTTCGCCACGCTTGAACAGCATGGCAGTGAAGGACGGAAGGCTTCGCGCCGCTGCTCTCGAAGGGCAGCTTGGTGGTGGCCCATTTGCCTGGTTTGAAACGCTTATAGAACAAGGTTAAGGTCAGCCAAAAGGTTCAAAAACGTACCGCCAGCCCGGAGAAAGCACCCTTCGCCACGCCCCGAATGCATGGCAGTGAAGGACGGAAGGCTTTGCGCCGCTGCCCGGTCGGAAGGCATCAGGTTGCCTTCTGAACGGTCAAAGAAGAGTGCCAAGAGCAGCCGCCAGCTCGGGAAAAAGCACCGTTCGCCACGCTTTAACAGCATGGCAGTGAAGGACGGAAGGCTATTGAAGGGCAGCTGATATAGTTTGTGGCCCATGTGCTCGCTTTGAAACGCCTATAGAACAAGGTTCAACAGCCAGCCAAAAGGCTCGAAGACGTACGCTTGTCCACACTGAAACAGCATGGCACTGCGGGACAGAGCGTGCCTTCGAAGATTTCGAAGGGCAGCTGGTCGTGGCGCCGTCAGCTCCTGAACTGCCTGCCAGTGAAGGAGAACAGGCCGCTGCGGAAGCTTCGCTGTCTCGGGCGCCTCCCCCTGCAATGGCAACGGCAGGGGTCGGCGGATATATTATTTAGATTATATAGGTTATAAATATATAATATATAGATTATATATATATAGATTATATATGTATATATATAGATTATATATATGTATATATATATAATATTATTAATTATATATATATAATATTATTATTTATATATATAATATTGTTATATATATATATACACACATAAGACACATGCACATGTCTATAGACATTGGAAGACTCAATGTCCATTAATTTTATGGGGTTTCTTTTCTTTGTAGCTGACATATACTGACATATTCATGACATCGAAATCTTGTGCACATGCAGCTTGACCAAGGCCATACATGGACATGGAGGAGAGTGAAGCTCTCAGCTGCTTGCAGCGGCTTCAGGTGGCAACTGAGCTCAACGGCCCGGGACTGCGGAAATGTCTGCGTGTTTTGCAGCTGCGTCGCTGCCACGACATCAGCGTCTTCGCAGACCTCTATGCTGCCTTGCAGGCCTTGCCCAAGGCAAGCTGAAACCTGCGGAGTCCCGGATGAGCTGTGCTACCCTACTAAAATTGCATGGAACCCATACGATGACATATGATGACATGGTGAGTGAGGGGCTCCTCATAGATTGAGGGATTTTGGATATACTGTGCTACCCTAGCATTTCAATTCATTGCTCAAAAGAGAAGCATAGAACAAGAAAATCCAATGGTTGGACCGCTGATTGACTGGACTTAAACATTTTAAACTATTTCAAATTTCAATCTATTTTATAGTCTGATCAGTCTGGGAAGGCAGAGCAATCCTCGACAAATTCCTGGGGAGCTTCGGAGAATCCAGCACAGTTCCAGGCTTGGATTCCAGGAAGGTAAAGCAATGCTGCAGGCAGCATCAGCCCTCACCCGGCACGCGTTGAAGTCAATTAAGAAGACAGGGGCACAGCAAGATGTGATGGAACGTAATGTACCATGTGCAATGCGTTGTATATTCGTGTACTGTATACTCATGTGTACTCCATATATACGTATATATATATATTATATTTCTAACAACGTGATTCCTGAGAGATGCATGAAGACGCCGACATTGCGGGACTGTAATAGGGACCTTTTCTCCGGAGGTGTTTCTTCCGCCAAGCAACTTCGAAATCGCCCAGAAGTGTCTGTGGACTGACGATGGCCGCAGCTGCCTTCGCTGGCTCTGTGGCTACCATGTGCTGCTGCCGGAATATGGAGACTTGGACTGCAAGCCTGGCAGCTTTGAAATTGAAATCTCTTGAAGCTGCAAAAAAAAACTGCAATTCAAGCTGAAAATCAGTGACAAGCTGCACTCGCATGCACTTGGACTACATCAAATCAAATCACTATCTGATCGCCGAGGCCGGTTTGGAAGCGCTTGCAGATCTTGGCTACTGGGGCCACACGTTGGAGTGCGGCAAGATTTGAATTCCCTGGAGGCCGCAGCTGCGCTTCCAGCACCACCTGTTTCCGGCTGTGTAGTTGAACATCGTTGACCTGCTCTCTCAGGGCAGGGCAAACAGATTGACACATTCATGCAGATCGTTTTGGTTCCTTCTCCAGCATCAAAGGGCACTGCTTCAACTTGGACGGAGAGATGTGAACACTGCCTTCATTCTTGCATATTCCACAAAGAATCTAGATTGTGTTACCTCTAATGTTATCCTGCCAGAGAAAACAAAGGCATAAGGGATGTGTTTCCGCTGGTCGTGTTGGGATAGCTTCTGAATTGTTGTAATTACGACATCTCACCAACAAAGCGTATTGAAATGTAGACTGCAGGCAGTTGGTTTTCATGTCCATTTCGGCACGTCACAACCGATAGCACCATGGCAATCGAACTTACGCCGGACTATTTCGACAATGTTGTCGTTAAGATGAATGCTGCTGTCGATAGCCTCTTGGCAGTTTTTCTCAAGGTTGCCAGAAATAGGAGATGCACCATGAGCTGTGCAGGAAATTCGTATTGTAGAAGGGTGAACCATGGTGAAGCCACTCCTGTAAATCAACATGGTACGTACCGCTGCAAGAAAAACGAAGACACCCCCCCAGGAGGCTTCAGGGGGTCACGTTCCAGTTTCAGTCATCGCCGGTTTCGCTTTTGCGAACAATATCTTGCTATTACTTACTGTAAGTAAAGCCCAATAAACTTCCCATGTGACAGAGTGGAGTTTGAGCATTTAGCTCAGGTCTCCTGCGGGCAACTGGCACAGTGCAGCGAGCAAAGGCCAGGCGAAATTCGATGGAAGTAAATTAATGACCTGAGAGAGAGAGAGAGAGAGAGAGAGAGAGAGAGAGAGTGAGAGAGAGAGAGAGAGAGTGAGAGAGAGAGAGAGAGAGAGACAGAGAGAAAGAGAGAAAGAGAGAAAGAGAGTGAGAGAGAGCGCTCTCCTGCTTTCTCTCTCTCTCTCGCTCTCTCTTGCTCTTCTCTCTCTCTTTCGTCTCTCGTGCTCTCTCTCTCTCTCTCGCCTCTTTCGCGGCTCGCTATCTCTTCTGCGCGCCTCGTCGCGCTCTGTGCGCGCGCGCTAGCCGCTTGCGATCGCGCGCGCTCTCTTTCTCGCTCTCGCTCTCTTGCGCTCGCTCTTCCTAGTCTCTCTCTCTTTTTCTCGCTCTCTCTCTTTCGGGGGCTCGAGAGAGAGAGAGAGAGAGAGTGAGAGAGAGTGAGAGAGAGAGAGAGAGTGAGAGAGAGTGAGAGAGAGAGGTTGGCAACATAATCAACATCTTATTCGACCGGAGAGACTGAGTTCCGTGAGTCCATGACAAACTCATCCAAGACTTTCAATGAGACACATGATGGCCTAGATAGTCAAGGCCAGAACAGTCTATGAACATTGTTGCAGTGTGCAGGCGGAAATTGAGCTTCTGCAGCAGGCTATTCTGTGAGTCCAATTTAGCCTTTGTGCCTGATGTACCTGTGTGCTCAAACTCAATAAGCGAGAGGATTGTTGTGACAATGGATGGAATGACATGCGGCATTCCACCTTGTGCCATGAAACCATGAAACTATTTTTTTTTGTGCAGGTTGAGGTTGCGAAGAAGTTTATGATCGCAGCTCGGATTTATCTATTTGATGTCTCAGCCTTTGGCGCTTCGCGCATCAGCCCCGCCTTCTGCAGTCTGCAGAATTTCTTGAAACGATTCGCACGCCTCACGAATTTGTTGAATTTGCTGAAGGGTCCCAGCAATATCCAGCAATGAAGCCTACCATGGCGTACCGCATTTCACCTCAGGCAATTCTCTGGGAGTCCACTGATCGTGCGTCATTGCAAGAAATCTTTGGTGGTGACCTTGCACGGGTTTGTCGTGTGAGGGATACTTGGCTGTTTGTGACACCGGCTGATCATGTCCATAACTTCCCCGGGTGACCTAAAGTCTGAACCTGCTTCAATTTGATCATTTTGATCTGTTTTGCCCTTGTTTCTGGTTGGTGCCAACGGCCTCTTATATATCTCGTTATCCAGGCGCAGATGTCATCCATACAGTGTTTGGCGTTGTTTTCTAAACTCTATCTTCGAGCTTTGGACATATTCAGTCAGGACGCATTATGCACTTTGTATATCTTTGTATGGCCAATGCTCCTTGTGCCTCAGGCTGTTTTAGAGCAACTTCAACTTGTCAAGCTGACCACAGGAACTCAAAGGCTGTCACAATGCTGCTTGGTCGGGACAGGAGAGATATATAATGATAATTAATGATATATAGAGATATCTTGTGAACTCATCCAATGCAAGTCCATTTACCAGCAGCACATCTTCAGAAAAAATCAGAAGCAGAGAAGACGCTCAGGGACATGGCACTTTGACACTGAGGGGATAAAAGAAGCGAGTGAGCACTCTTTCAATTTCAACAGCAAAGACACATTATGATGACACATGCAGTATCATTCAGTTCAAACGGTCACAAGCACAGGGAATCACATTCAAAATGCTGTATGAAGATATGAAGGCTTTGGACCACGCAGATCCACAGGGGTTGCACAATATGATCTACATACATTTCTCTGGAGCTAAGGCCTGCTAGCTTGTCAATCGATCCAAGATGTGCTTGCCGACCTCGGTGCCTCGACAAGTGGCCGTGTTGAGACGTCGATGTTTGGAGAAGCTGTGGCAGGTTGTTGTATCCAGTTCCATCAATCTCCATCAGACACTCTTGTTACCAGTATCTCTTGTTGGGATGCAGGCTTTGCAAGTGCGCTGCGGAAGATTCAGGAAGAGCAGAGCAAGGCTGTTGAGAGACTGAGAATGTACGGTATTGAGATGTATTGAGGTATTGCTAGTATTTGCTAGTTCAATCAAAAAAGATCCTTGATGATCCTTGTGGAACTCCAGAGGCGATTATAAATTCCAATCCTCAGATTTGGTTGTGTAATGTTGTGTAGTCTAGTTGGTTTCAATTGCTTTAACAAAGGCTTTGTGACATGCTTGGACGGTTCTCACTTCCCTGGGGCAGACCCAGCTCAGCCCCCTCAGGCCATGGCCTCTCGATTTGCTGGTGTTGAAGGCACATGATTCGCCAAGGTTTTCCACTTCATGGCTCTGGCTCTGCCATAGAATTCATGGAAAAAATCCTTGAATATTCCATAGGACAGCCATGACTGATAATAGCAGTTGTGAGTCACAACATGTCACAACCATTCTCAGAGTATTGTGGTCTTGAACACGTACCTTCTCAACTCTGCTCAATTAATCTCTGTATATCTCTGTCTTTTGGATGCTTCCGGCTGTGGCAGGAGCAGAGGACAGTGCCAGTGCGCCGAAGCAACCAGTGCCACAACGGCATTGAGAAAGTTGGCAAAGACTTTTAGGCAGTCTTGTCAAACTCTTGCAATTCCTTTCCAAGCATCACTGCTAGTAGCTTAGTAGCCCTTTTGGATTGATGTGGTCTTGTTATGTATTGTTGAACCTAGCGTCTATATCTGAGTCAAACAATTCGACCATTCCAAAATTCTGCATAAGACTTGCTGAGCACATCTGAGCACACGCCAAGGATTCTCCACCTGAACCTGCGGGTGAGCCCAAAGGCTGGTCTCGACAAAACTAAGATATCAAATGATCCCGCTGCCTTCCTTTGTACATCGAAGAAAGTCATACAGATATGAATAGATATGATGTGATACAATCACTTCCCTGGCTACCTACAGTATCCTTAGTCTTATGTGGACGCTTCTACTTGCGACACTTTACGGAGTTTCACAGTGTGCCCTGTTGATCCTATTTTGTGTGTCTGTGTGTGTGTGCAGGTGCTGAAGAAGGAAAAGAGCCTGTCAAAGAGGACGGTTTGGAGAATTTGAAGTCCAAAATTGAGTAGCTTGAGGGACTTCAAAATACTTCAAATTCAGTTGTTGTTTTGTCAAGATGCCTTTTCCGGGAAGCTCCGGTTTGATACTGGATCATGATGACAAGTGGTCAAGTACACAGTGCGACACAGTGTACAGGACAGAGTGCGCTCAGGAATTGTTTGAGCTCGTTTCTAATTATCAAACAAATGTCTTGACTCATGAACACCGGGGCCGATTCAAAATTGCCAGACACGGCGCATGGGTGACAGCTTTCGATCTTGACAAAATGTGCTTCCCCCAGGCAGATGTTCCGGTCACTGACACTGTGGAAGCCGATGAAGTTGCAGAGGCCTTTTTTTTTCCATTTTTTTCGACAATTATTACTGTAGCACCTTCTTGCAACAACTGCAACAACCGGAATGACAATGACGATGATAAGTCTGACAAGGTCATCCCTTTGTTAAAGGCAGATCTGAGATTTCAAGGAGAAACGCCAAGCCATTGGTGGGAGATTGAGATCATAAAAATGATCATTTGAGGTCATCATGGTCATCTGAAGTCTTGAAAAAGGCAGCAAAATATGCAAAAGCCCATGGTTTTTTGATGTTTTTTGTTTCATGGTTTGGTGAGGTCGGTGAGTTCGGTGACCCGGCTTTCTAGGCCCCAATCGCCCACGGCCCTCGGGGCTCTGACTTCCTGGTGGGTGCCGAGTTGGCAGAAGACTCTGATGAATCACAGGGGACGCCACCTGATGATGTACAGGAGGCAGACGCGATGGAAAGAAAGTCTGATGTATTTCCTCTTTGTAAGGCTTTATAGTTTCTTTTTGTAGTTATTTTGTTTGACTCATTGAGTCGCTGTTTGATTTGTTCGATCTGTTTGTTAGTAGAGATGCGGCCAATACTCGCGCCAATCATTTTGGGATGAGCTTTTCCAAAATCCAAACGTCCGGTGTCATATGGGATCAGCCATGATCAGCCCAAATGCCGCAGGCATGATCTGGAGGGGTGCTTGGTTTCAATGGGGATTTTGCCAGTGATTGCGCCTCCATTCTCTGTAGTTTGGTCGGGATTGCCAGTGGAACAGTTGCTAGTTGAAAACCATCCAAGCCGTTCGATGGTTTTCGCTGCATGCGAGCCATTTGCGGTTTCCTTGCAGGTGCGCAGCTTTTCATCGCTTTCTTCAAAGCTGTCTGACATTGGCTCTGGGCTCATGCATACTGCAGGCTGGGTTGGGTTGCCTCCTCAATCTTACCCCTCTTGCCTTTGGCGTTTGGGCTTCAGCGGCATTTCATAGCATTTTCAAAGGTTGAAGGACGCATCATTTTTACCTCATTCTTCATATTCTTACCTGCTTGACTCGGTGCTGCCTCTTACCATGTGCACTATTTTGTGGTGTCCATGTTCTTGAGATTTTGGTGTTGCCCATTGACAGGCTATGCGATATGCGGAGTCCGCTCAAAGGCGACCGAGATGCTTGTCTGCAGTTCCTTAATGCAGTTCTTGGGGCGAACGCTCCAGTAGTGTGTTGATGCACACACTTTAAAAGCTGGGTGCACCCTACACCCATCATCACATCTTTTCACATTTATCGCCCCTTCCCCTGGATCACAAGATCGAAATCGAAACGGTCCAAAGAGCCGTCCTTCGAGGATTGCTGAAACTGCGGAGAGGCGGAGCCATGGCATGAAATGTAGAAGTTCTGATAGTTCTGGTGTCCTCAGCACTTCATTTTTTTTGAGGCTCTTCAATTCTGCTACGGATGCTTCGAGTCTCCAAGGTTGGGTGAGTTGATGCAGAAAAAAACCACAGATGCTGGAGAAGTTGCGGAGAGTATCATTGCACCTTGGTATACCTTGGTGCCGGGATCGACGGCATCAATTCCTGGGAATTTGGTCGATAGACAGACAAACAAAAGAGCATCAGAGCAAGCAGACTCTTCTTTGTGGAGGGAGTCCTTCAGCACTGCCAAACAAATTGTATCCTGAAGCATCAACAGACCATCAACAAAGGCAACATGGATCAACATGGATCAAGTTGGTAACGTGTTCAAGATGGCTTGCTTCAGAGGCAAAGATGTTCCGATTGACATCGACATATCCGATTGCCCAGGTGGAAGTGGTGAGGGTGGCAGATCTGGGGGCTTCGGAGCATCGTGGCTTGGCGGTGCTCTTGTTGTACTCCATATGATGTGAATCCCAGCATCAAATGTCAAACATCCTGCGTGAGGAATGGGAGATCTAGCTGCATCAATTGCACGGGATGTGGGAGTGAGCCGAAAGTGCCTTTGCAACGAAGTAGTCCGGACAGAAGAGAAACGTTTATGGTTGGAAGTACCTGGATAGCTTGCATATGCTGGATTCCGTTTACTTCCGCACCACATGTGCATCACTGTGCCTATGTGAATGCATTACATGTTTGCGCGCTCTCGCAGAGAAAACACTTATTCGCATCCAGTTTGCAGTTAGGAGGCCACGCAAAGTCTACGTGGCACTTCAGCTGGGAAAGAATAAAGTGCGAACCTCTGTGCCGACCTTAAATTGACGTGCTGAATTCATGCAGATGGTAATCAGCAAAGTATAGCAAAGGACTTGTCACATTGTACTGTACAGATCTGTAGAGATGAGAATTGTCATGCTTTGGCAAAGCTTGGGATTTGCAGTTGTTTTTTGCATAGCAGCCTGATCCCACTGGGATATTTACATCCATTTACCTATTTTACCTTGAAGATCCACCCGTTGCATTTGCGGGTGCAAAGGCCAAAAGGCTCAACGAGGACAACACTCATGGAGACTTTTCCTCGCGACATTTGCTGGATCTCACTGCAAATGATAGGACTGGTTTGCTGATTGGTATGTTCCATCATGAGCACCCTTTCGGCACTACATTTTGCTACTCTGAGCAGCCCAACGGCAGAGCAAACTCTATTTTTGCACAGTGTCGCAGGACTTTGAAAGTACATGTCTTTGACAAGCGGAAAGTACAGTCGGTCCTACGTGGAGACCCACTGGTTGGAGAGACTTGGCTGGTCAAGCAGTAGAGCATAATGCCCCCTTGACATCCCTTGACTGTATATACCCAATGGTCTAAGCCCACCTTGACCATGCAGGTTGGTTGCCTCATGTTACCTGGGAGACTCAACTTTGTCACTGCTAAAGTCTTTGTGAAAAGTGAAGTCATCCTGGAACTTTTCTCAGACCTTGGAAACACCCAGGAAGGAACCTTACAGTTTGACGCAATTGGATCTGGCATTGAGGAAGGCATCAGCTTGGTGGTGTCGTTTGCTATTGTTTATTACAGATGAATCAACGTAAATCAGTTGGTGTTGTATCGCCGACCCAATCTTTCAACTGGCTGGCTCCGGCCACTTGTTGCAACTACGCTGCTGCTACTCTTTGTAGAACCGTTTGCAGAGCTATGCAGATTTTTTGCTTTGACAGGTCCAGCTAACACACTTGTCTAGATTTCATTACAGCTCTATCAGTATGGGTTTGTCTATGTTTATCTGAAAATATAGTACAGTACCCCAATTCCTCTGGCTCATCATAATTTTTCCCGTAACAATTGCCATTTGGGCGCTGTACCCCATTTTTAGACACACCCATGTGGTGCAGGTGAAGTCAAGCTCACACGGGCAGCACAGCCCATGGGGCAAGTCTTCCTCAAGTACAAGTTCATGGAGTTTAAGTGACTTTAAGGGCGGATGTGTCCAGCGTCTTATTCTGGTAGGCTCCAGTTTGCAAAGCCAGGCGAGTCCACTGAAGGAAGAGGAGTATATCCTGCTGTTCAAAAACGAGTTTATCAGTATTGGTGACCACGATTCATCCGGCTAGGGCTTGAATGGCTCATGTACAAGAAGTGCGTGAGAAGCCCAATAGTTTGCATCAGGTACTGTACCTGCCGAGGTGTGCTGTTGGACAGTGCCAAAAAAAAGGTGTTTTTTGCTGGGAAGACTCTTGAATCACTATTTCTACGGCGTCCACTCCTTGGCAGAGACCGTCAAGATACCGTCGATATGTATAAGTATTGTTCAAAAAACACTTGCTGGAACACAAAATGGAGGCCTCTGACTTTTTGAAAGCCCTACGATCACTTGTGGAGCAGGCTTGGTGTTGTCCTAGGTTGCCAAGTCTCACAGTTTTGGTAGTGTGGCGATGTTTCTCGTTGGTTCTTGGTCACTGTGAAGTGTCATTGGAGTGTCTATTGCTAAACAGATCTAAACAGTTCAAGAATGTCCAAGATCCCTCTTCTAAACATTTCTAAACTGGCTTTCCATGTCTTTCCCACAGTTTCACGGGCCTGCAGGCAGACATTGCCAGTCGCATGGAAGAGCGACAAAAGCGCCTTAGAGGTGCGGACGCCGGTGCCGATGGTATGCCGAGACATCCCGGGAGTATCCGGGAGTCGTTCAAAGGAGTCGTTCAAATCAGAAACGTAGTCGTCATAATCATGTCAGAGATATTCAGAGATGTATAGAGATGTGATGAAAATTCACGTCCGGTTGCTCTGATATGCCTTTATGTTTCTCACAGTGAAGGATATTTTTATTGAATGTTATTGATTGCAACCTCATCCCATGCGCATCTTGATATTCTTGTGCCCTTGCAACCACAGAGCCAAGTGGTTGCAGCAATGGTTCCTGAGCAAAATCGGAGGTCGAGACTCGCCCAGTGCAGCAGTTTTCTTGGAAGAGTTGCAGTCAACCGCAGCTGGAGTCTGAGCTCTCCGATTCGACAGATGTCGTAGTTCAACGGACATCAACAGACCTGCACCCTGCAAACCAAGTGACTTTGCATAGGACAAGATCTGAGAGGATATCAGGATGGTACTGGATGTTCTGTTTCCATGCTTTCCTTTCATGTTCTGAGTCCCGCAAAAGATACATGTCCGTTGATGAAAAAGACACCACATGTCCATTGATTGATAGGTCCACGCGTACAAATACTTGGCCAAGTGCTGTGTTGTCGAGAGTGAGGAGGACATTGCTGATTGTCCAGCAGGATAGGTGTTAAAGTTTCAATCATGTTTGTCCTTGATTTGTAGTAAGATGTCGCAACAGTCAGCGAATCCATTCATTTGTGTGTATTTATGATGACCAGGAAAGGAGTCGCGCAAATAGTGCAACTGCTCTTGCTTTCCAACATGAGGCGATGTAGTTGAACTTGGCTGTGTCCAACAGTGTGTTCAGAAGCCCCTGCACAAGAACAGCGGCAGCTACTGATGTCTGGTGAATGCACATCAGCTCGCTGGCTGGAATGAGGCCTTGATTGTGCTTACGGACAAGGACAGCAAATCCAATTCTATCTCTCGTCAACTTGCAACAATCTGCGCGTATTGAATCTATTTATATATATTATATATATCATATTATATATCATATATATCATTATATATCATATATCATATATCATATATATCTATTTGATTTGTATATTATACTGAATTATACTGATGTTTGAGGTCTCCGTTTGAGTCTAGCTTTGCAGCATTCGCACAAGCAGGACTGGCCGAAACCAAAAAGGTTGAAGACACACGAGGTGCTTCCAGTGGGCAATGCTGCAACATTGAGGTACATTCTGGATACATTTGAGCCACGTTTTAAACCCTTGTGTTCATGTTAAGCAAGGGGCCCCTTGTAAGGGTGTGGCGTAAGCAAAACTGTGGTGCGCGTAAGCCAGCGTAAGCTCCGCGTAAGACAAGATATGCGCGTAAGCAAAACCTGTGCGCGCGTAAGCAAGACGTAAGCAATGGCGTAAGCATTTCCTTCTTTGGTGCCACGATGTAAGACATTTAGAAGATGGCTCATTTGCGTTCTCCATGTAGATGAACACGGCTGCGATTAGAGGCGGAAGACTAAGAAATCACAGGGTCAGAAAGTTCAGAAGCATCATAATCTGGGAGAACCGGGGGGTTGATGTATGTTTGATATTCTTTGATGGTTCTTTGCTCTGCCGAGGCCTTTTGGGATGTTCACCCAGATCTTGCCTCGTCAAAAGCTGCAAAGTTGGCCCTGAAGGGACGTAGCTTGGCATACCATAGAACAGCTGAACCGTGGCACCTTGACGCTTTGGGATTCAAACACGAGGATAGATCCATTGTTTTAAATCATATTCTACTATGATCATCTATGATATATATATTATATACATATATATATATATAAATTATATATATTATATATATAAATTATATATTATATATATATTATATATTATATATATTATAAATTATATATAAATTATATATAAATTATATATAAATTATATATAAATTATATATAAATTATATATAAATTATATATAAATTATATATAAATTATATATATACATATACATTATTTAGAATTATTTAGATTCAAATCTTGGTTGTTGTCCTCTGATGCCAATGCGGTGCTTACCGCACATTGGGCGGTTTTTGAACATAGCCTTGGTCAAATCATGTCAAATCTGATGAGAAGGCCTGCCTCCAGACGACTTGGACTTGCTGAAAAAGTTCTTCGTGAATGTTGTGGGCATTCCGGACTGTCTGGGTGAACTGGGGGGACTGCTCTTGCCAGATTCTCTGCGACTTTGCAGCCGCCAATATGCAACAATTCTTGAGAGGGCCTGGCAGGCCTGGCACCCTAGTTCTTCCTTCCAGGAGAGCCTCACACAGCAAGACCTGGAAGCACGCCTTCGTGTCCCGTTGAGTCAGGAGAAAATCGGAGTTTCAAACTGTCTTTGTTTACCATGTGGAGAAATAATGAGAAATATCGACTTGGCTAGTCTACAGTCCGCAGTAATTTCGAGATGAAGTCATTGCACGCAATTGGTAGTCACTTCTGAGAAGCTGGGAGGTATGTATCTATATTATCTATATAAATTCTATATATAACCGTTAATATTCATTAATTATCATTATCATTATCATTATCATTATCATTATCATTATCATTATCTACCTATGTGATCTCTGTGTATGCAGTGGATTCCTCGGTCCATTGTGCCAGGAGCAACGTCAGGAGAGCAGCTGGCATGAAGGCTTCGGGCTGGCAGACTTCGAGGATTTTGCCACTGTGCGGCGTGGCTCGGGGGCCATGGTGAACTCTGCAATGTCAAAGCATTTCTGAGGGCACAGTATGGCACAGTATGGCACAGTATGGCACAGTATGGCACAGTATGGCACAGTATGGCACAGTATGGCACAGTACAGTCCAGTCTAATACGGTCTAATACAGTCTAGAGACTTGACCCGACTTGACAAGCACCCAAAAGGCACTTGAACAATGATGACAATGAACAGATACTGAGTGGACTGTCAGTGGACTGTCAGTGGACTGTGAGTTTTGCTGTCAAGGTCCAGGTGTTCTCGGTCCTGGTTCAGGCACCTCGGATGCTGATGGTCCAGCAATTGGATATGTCATGACTAAAATACCGCGTCCAGATGCGTCCAGTTTGTTTCGTTTCATGGTGTTTACGGAAATGCACTCCTTCATATCACAGAACAAGTGCCACCTGATTGCCTTGAACGTGCTCACTTCTGCTCGTAGACCCTCAGCATTCCCGACATGAGGAGAAGAAGACTTCTTTCGGCATGCTGACGATCTACCTTCAGGAGAACAACTTTGAAATATATGGCGCAATCATCTGCGCAATCCATAAGCCTTTATAAGTTATAAGTTATAAGCTGATACAAGCTGACTGCAGGAGAATTTGGTTCTTCATCCATGGGATCTTCAGGGTGCGCCTGCTAACGGTGAAAGTACAACTATCCAGAACTTGGAAAAACAAAACTTGCCAAATCTGTCCGACATGTCCAGACTGAAAAAGCGATTGAGCACATGCAGCTGACAGGTACCAAAGCCAATCAGGTGGACATGCAGCCAATCCAGGAGGCCCGCAGAGTTGACATCTTTCAATCTCAGGGTTTTGACATGTCTCACTCCAGCTGGGACTGGGGTTGGGTTCAAGGAGGACACAGCAGCTTTGCAGCTTCGAGTGGCTCCCAGGAGGCATGCAGAAATTGGGCTTCGATGTGCTTCGGGTTTCATAGACAGACCGAGTGTCCCGATGTCTGGGTGTCTTCTTCTGTTTTGAGCTCTTCTGGTTGAAGTTCCGAGCCTTGTCGAGGCAGGAAGTTCTGCTGACGAAGCAAGGAATACGAGGCCTCCACAGCCTGAGCAAGAAAGCAAAGAAAGTGAGTCAAAGGGTGCTCGAATTTGCTTGACATGTTGAGGATTGTTGAGGTTTGGGCAGACTGCGCCCTGTGAATTTTGTGGGTTTGGGGTTCTAAGACTGTCTTTGAGTAAACACTGCAGGCCTACAAAGTTGTCATGTTGTTGACTGACGGATGCGTATTGGATTCGCGGGGATTAGCTTTGCCACATCATTTTTCGTCATAAGGCAGAACAATAGTCCGAGCTGCTTTAGGGCAGAGGGGGAGGGAGAGAACCTTGGTATTGCTTTTCTTAGTGACGACAGGAAGGAATCAGAAAGCAATAGAACATAATAGAACACATTTCACACATTTTCGAGGCAAGATGCTGATACAGATGGCGCAGCTAGAGCATCAGGCTCTGCGATTCCAACGGAGTGTCATGTCAGTCAACGTGTTCTGCAAACTTGTGCATTGTGAAACAAAAACGATGAACAGCAATGATTGGCACTGGCCCGTCGTTTGCATGCATTAGCCTTCCAAAATTGCAAGCTCCGAATTTCACCAGGCAGTGCCGAGCCTCCCGCTGTTTGGGCCTCGCTGACTGATTGATGATTTAAATTGTTTGATGTCTCGTGGCTTTGCATGGCTTCGCCCTGGCACAGAGTTTTTTACTTGACAGGTACTGCCACAATCTGCCACAGATTTGGATAGATTTGGTAGGATTTGGCATTTTGTTGCAGATATCATACATTGTCCAAAGCCATTTTGTCTTTATGTAATAATATATAATCACTTGAACATTGAACATGACCATCATATATTTTCCTCAGGATGAAGCTCCGTTGGGGACTCGGATGAAGCAACATCCTAAAGTTTGAGTCGAGACTTGGCAACCCATGCATCGATTGCCGGTCCGAAGGTCAGGAGAGCCACAAGAGACCATTCCGGAAGAGGAAGAGGAGCTGAGAACAAAGTTGTCTTTTTGAGAAGTGAAGACCATTAAAAACATAGGTGAGAAATTGATCACATTTGCTCAGAACTTCTACTGTAGCAGCTGAAGCCATGATCGAGGAGCCAGAGGAGGAAGAGGAGGAGGAATTTGATTGGGATGGTCAAGATGCAAACGATCCCTACAAGGCCTTTGAAAGGCGTTTGATGTGTTGAGTTTGCCAAGATATGCCAAGATCATTGAGAGATTGAAAGCGCGATAGGTGCTGCATGTGGAGAAGGATGCTAGTGATGAAACCATCAAGTCAAGACCTAAGTAAGTCCTTTTATGAAGTCCAGCCATTGGTGATGGTTTTGCGGCTGCAGCCAGAACGTTTGCAGCCGATGATGCTGAGATATGTTGAGATATGTTGAAATACTAAGCCTGACACTTCGGCCGCCTGGCCTAGGCGAGCGTACAAAAGGCTTGCGCTGAAATATCACCCTGACAAGAACAGAGGCGGGACACTCTGGTTGAAAGATGTTGAGTTGAATGTACTCGTAGCACAAGATAGCACAAAATAGCACAAGTATAAGAAATGATACTGCAGCCCATCAGCCAATCAGCCAATCGTTCCAATCGTTCCAATCGTTCCAATCGTTCTGCCTGTGGAGAGCGATGACTCGCCATATCTTGGGAACTCTCGGGAGCTGCAGGCAGCGAGATTGCCCAGAAGCGTTTCCAGGTGCCGGGACACACTCGCACATACTCGCACTAAACAAATCTGTAGATCCACGGTGATCCACTGTGATCAATGCAGCATGTGCAGACTCTATCATATTCACAACGATATTCTTGTCTTCAGAACAACCGGATTTTGTAAAGGAGGTTCTCTACGATGAGATTTCAATAGTTTTTTCCAAGCTTTTCGACATGCGTTTCTAAGGTCATTGCCGCTGCCTACGAAACTCTCAGGGACCCTGAGAGGAGGAGATTTGTTGTTCTGGGTTGATACGACATGCTTCTCTGATTTCAAGACAGTGGGGGCTTAAAGATTGCTTGTTGAATTCTTGTTAGATGGCAACTGTAGCTGTGCACAGGACTGGACTCGACACTTCTTTTGTCAGCTTCTCTCGTTCTTGGACCTTTGCCCCATGACAAGGAGGGCCTATGACGAAGCAGCTGCAGCACGTGAGTACGCAAGCCAGGAGCAGGCAGTGGAGAGATACTTCATGCTTCTTGCAAACACAAGCCTAAACACATATTGGATTTGTCATGATTTGTCATTTCAACTCAGCCCTTCTGCTACAGACTTTTGCTCACAACAAGACTGCCCTTCGGATTTAATTTTTAGAAAACGAGTCCAACTTGACAGGATCGACCAACGCCTGAATGGAAGCCAAAGGTCTCTGTGGAAAAAGCTCGAGAGATGCTACTTGGCGTAGTGGAACAACCGGTCCAACAACTAGCTTCAATCACAGGAAAATGCACAGCTGGTTTTAAACTCAGGTGAAACTGTGCACTAAGCGATGTTCAGAAGAAGACTAGTTAATTGGCTTCGCTTAGCATACATTGAGAATTGAGTCGTTTCACCCTGTGCTTGTCATCATATTCATGATATGATATATTGTATACTATATATATGGCGGCTTAAATGGCGGCTTCAATAAATGGGGGGATCCCAAGATGGTTGGTTTATAATGGAAAAACCCATTAAAATAGATGATTTGGGGGTACCCCATTTTAGGAAACCTCCATATAATCATATAGATGTCATATTTCTTATTGTTGTTTGTTGTCGACACTCTTATTAAGATATCTTGCAAACATAGCTTGACTTGCCCATTCTTTCCAGCCGTTTCTGGACCCCGAGGTTTCGAAGCTTCTTTGGAGACAGAGAGACCGTTTCGGAGGCTGGTTGAGATCCTCTTCGAGCAGCATTGGTCCGGCGAAACTCGTCGCATGGCCCCAGTGATGTGGGTCGAATTCTATTGAGGCAGCACTGCCGCGGCGTCCTCCTGCCACACCTATGCAAGAGGAGTGGATTGAATTCTGTTGCGTTGAGTTGCCGGCACCACAACAGTCACAAAAGTTGGGATTCCGGATAGTTATGGATTTTTTTGAATGTCATGGATAAGTTATGGATACTTTGTATTCTGATCCTTTTGACCTTTTGACCCATGCGCAGGCTGCTCCACGTCCAGCAGATTCGTCACACGCAGCAGCTTCATCATGTGCAGCAGGTTCATCAGGACTTTCGTGCTGTCACGCAGTCTGAAGCTCTTGTATTTGCTTTGAACGCTGTAGAATTGATTTTATTGCTAGTTTGATATACTATGATATACTGTAGTTTGATTGCAGGAAAGAAAAAGACCCTCTCAAAAGAAGAGTGAGCCCCGACTCGTTGCAGTGTAAGGCACAGACACAGCAAGGTGGTCCAAGGTGGTCCAGGCCCTGCTGGCGGTGGATGAGCCACGTTTCTGAAAGATCTGAAAGGTACAAGCAGCTTTTGAATCAGCTTCAAGAAGCAGAAGAGACAGCTGCAGACCCAGTGATGGAGCTTCAACTCGGCAAACTGCGAAATTCCGGGTCAAACATCGTCAAACTATGTCAAACTGTGAAACAGATACAAAAGATACAAAATCCTTTGCGAAGCAGGGAGACAGACTGTTGGCTCGGAATTTGGTACGCAAAAAACATCAAACAACTGCGTACAGTAATTTTTGGGTTGCCCCTGACGGATCCCGTACCTACGGCCCTACGGCAACTCCAACCAGCTTCCGGCATTGATGAGCACTATTGGGTACGGTGTGAGCTCAGTTTGTAGCTTGACTCACATTGCAAATCAACTTCGAGGGATTGGAGACACATTTTAATTCAAACGAATTTAAAGACAGCCCGATCATTCTCACGTTATCTCACGTTATATCATCTTTGCCGTGATTCATGTGTCTCATCTTCACAAAGATCACAAAGGCCAAGATGTGGAATGAGGAGGCAGGAAGGGTCCTGGTGTCAAGCCACCAGCCATGGATATATTTTGTCATTCCATGTCCCTTTCCGCATTTCTCAGGAAAACGAGAAGACACCAGTCAGCTCATGTCAGCTCTGCGAGTATGTATTGATCACTCATGACAACTTCACTGATTTGGGCAGTGCAATTTTACTTGGATTTGTGCACTGCCCCCCTTTGCACGGATACGGATGACGACCTTCCAACAGGTGGAATTGGCTCGTCAGCAACTCTCAGAAGCAGAAGCAACCCGGGCTGCTCGGCAGATGGCTGAAACGTGGGAGAAGGGGATTCTTTTGGACAGGGTCGGTTCGCCGGTCTCTTTTGAGCCACAGTGGGAATCAGTGCGTGGGAACCATGAAGGTTGTGTCGAGACAGCACGAAGATGCATAAAGTCTGTACGGATGATTTGAGGACCGTTACTTGCGCATTCTGCAAGAGTGCTACGATCGTCGCAGAACTCAGCTTGAGCAGAATCCAGACAGCCACACTACCTGGACTTGGAACGCTTGTCGACTTATAAGTGCTTGTCTTCAGCGACAACATGGCCGGTGTATCTTCACCAAAGTGCTATGTAACATGTTTGACAAGGTTTTTATCAGAAATAAACACACGTGCTCAACTTGGCTAAACAGGCATAAACAGGCACTGAAAGAACGGATCTCTTGTACAGTGAAGTTGCAATCGATATCGAATCTGTCAATAAATTGCCTGAAAATATCGCTGTCAATTCAATCCTTGTTGCAAAGCGAAGACAGTGCTAGTTTTGAGCTCAAGTATCAGACTGCAAAAAGTAACCGTGGCAGAAACATGAGCCAGAGGCATGTGGGTCGGTATCATAATAATTTATCTGATACAGATATTACATGATATATTACTACTTTGAATGTTGATGGTGGAGGTTGAGATCCCAAGTTAGTCACTTCATCACCATCAAAACACCATGTGGCCATGATAGAACATTCCAGAATTTGATATTCGTTGGAATATGTTGGAATCAGCATTTTGGTCATCGGTTTCTTCGCCAAAGCATAGCGAAGCCTGCAGGCACCACACGGAGTTAACTCGGAGATCTGGAAGGCCAGGCTGTTGTGGACTACCAGTATGCCAGCTGCCAGCGCCACATCCATGAACGTCAGGACTTTTGCGCCAGAGCCTTCAGCCAGTTGAAACATAACCTGGCTCGATGTGACTTGTACATACGGGATATCTTTGGTCAAGGGCTTTCCGACTGCAAGCAGCAGAAGATTTTGGGAGCTTGGGGTGTCTCCAAATTTGGTGATTGCAGACAATTTAGGACAATTGAGGCAGATCACTGTATTCTTAAACGCACATCAATAGGAGGATTGAGTGTGGTCACTTATCCCAACAATTTCCACTGCTCTCACTTTCCGCTAGCTGTAGCCAAACGTGCTGAAAACATCTGAAAAAAGGCATGAGTCCGGACAAAGACAACCAGGCTTCGCATCAATCTTTCTGCCAGCTTAGCACCTCATACTTCGCGACTAAAAAGCAGCGCTTCTGGTCTGGGGTCAGTGAGTTCTTCTGACACAATCTCCTGGGATGCCTTGAAGATCCTTGGAGTAGGACTTGCAGAGTAAAAGGGTACAGTATATGTACTGTATTGGCTACTGCTACTGCATGGGTCAAAGAGTCTGGAAGACAACAAATACCGACTTAGAAGGCTCCATCCATTCATTTGGAATGATATGAATGCTGATTTTGGCACATACATGTACTAGTAGACATCTAGTAGACCAACAAATTTGCCCCTCGCAGATACGATTCCTGACGCACACGTTTATGTAACAGCCTGGAACTTAGAAAGCAGTGATGTTGCTTGCAAGGAATTCCATCTGCTGTCTCAATGTTTTGGCGAAGCAATGGTCACCAAATATTCGTACGGCGCAGCATTTCGATCCCTGGCTGCCCTGGCTTCATATTCAGATCTCTGGACGAAGTCACACAAGATAATCTTCTTGGCGACTCTGAGGTCAACTGCGTCCCTTCAAGTTCCCTCCAACCAAGTCATGGAACGTTCTGCAACAAGTGCGGTGCAAAATGGCTGAGAGTCCGCTGCATGTTTTCGTTGGCAGAGAGCGTTCGTCAAGCTGACGAGAAATCTGCTATTGCAAAGATTTCAGGTGCTTTGGAAGCTAAGGGGTACATCAGAGCAAAATACCCATAGAATTGTCTTCAGCAGTTGACCTTCATCAAATCTTCTGCTCCAAGACATCACGGTCTTCTCCATTTGCTAGTGTGGTGTGGCAAAGCACGGTTGGAAGCCACATTGCAGAATACTTCTAGATTTTCCTCATTTGTACAAAAAACAAAATAATGTCTGTTCTGTAGTGTAGTTACACAGATTTGCAGGAGGGCTGAACATTTCTACTGTATGGTGCGACCTGAACCGACCCGAACACTCTGTAACACGCCGCAGCAGCAGCCTGTCTTGCTCAATCTTTGTGTGTTCACCGCGTGCGCGTCACCCACAACGTCTCAATGGTAACTCCAAAGCCCGTTGAGGACGTGGGAACACGTGTGGGGACAGACGTGGGGACACTGATTCACCACCAATATTGGAAAGGCATGGAAAGGCTACCCATTCAGATCCTTGATGTACGTAGGTTCATGGTGGTTCATCTGCAGATTGTCAGCTTGAGACTTTCTGATTTTTTTTCAACATCTTCAACTTCCTCCAAGTCCGAACAACGCCTTAATCCAAAAACAAAAATAAAGGTACAGGATATTGCAGGATGAGCTGCGAACATCAGGAGAAAGCTCAGCTCACCAAAGATGAGAGCGACTCCACAGATTCAGACTCCGGTCAGGCTCCAAGCTGCCAGAATTGCAGCCTCACGGGGTTGAAAAAATAAGTCTCAAGGCTGAGTTGCATCTTATTGTTTCTTATTGTTTCTTATTGTATTTCTCTTTCATTCATGCTAAGCAGCTGCTACCACAACATCTCTGAAGTCCGGTCCCTAGAGATGATTGATATGCTGAGGTGACCTGCTCCGTACAAGGACCCAGCACAGGCTTCTCAGTGTGCAATGCTTTGGCGGAATGCAGTTTTCCGTTTTTACTTTTTTCGGATATTTCCAACATAATCCAATCGACAGGTAGCAGCTCTAGCTGCTGCAATCAATCCTGAATTGCGCAGAGATATTCGTATCTTCGGGTAAATCCTGTCGAGTAATTGAGTAACTCGGACCCTCTTGCATTTCAAGGGGAAATATGGATCGGTATGGGGCAATGTAACTAGCATCCTTCAAACTGTGGTCACAAGAAAAGACATGCTCCATAGATATCCATAGATATTTTTTGCTTCTAAACAGAATTCCGGTGACCCAGGGAGGCTGCATCAGACTCTGACGAAGAGGATGATTTTGCCTGGGACCCAGATGCAGTTCAGTCTTTGCATATTTTTTAATGCTCTATTTTGGGAAAGCTCTTTCAAAAGCACTCCATTTGTCAATATCTAATCTACTCCCCTCCAGTTCTGTTCCATACATTTCCAGGTTCTCCAAAGAACGGGCACAGTGAAGGATGGTCGCCAAACCGTCGAGCCCGTGAGCGCAACTGCCTCAGAATTTCGCATGCATTGGATTGTTTTTTTCAAAGGTGTTGAACTGCAGTTACCCTCAGCTAAAGTAACATAGACCCTGCCAGATAGGGGTTGGAAGATTAGTAGTTTCCACTTAATAAGGGCTATTTTCAGGGTCTATGTTAATGCACCTGAGGGTAATGTTTAAAGCTGGTGGCCCGGTAATGTTTAAAGCTGGGCCACACCATTGATGGCTGCAGTTGCCCAGGAAATGCCTTCCTCGAACCGCGAGTTTAGGGTAAAGTTTCTTGCCAGCAATACCATACCCACTTCTGAAACGAAAACTATGGGATACTATGGGAAGATATCGCCATGGCTAACATCGCTGCGGTTTCGATTTCTCATGTCATTGCTGTGGCAGTGATGTCGAGATTCTGTGCGCAGGAACACCTTCATCGAGGTGGATGTGGAAAGAACGGAGTCTGATCAGTCTGTCCAAGACCGTACAAGGTCAGATCCCTCAGGCCAGGAATTTGGGAAAGTCAGAATCTGACATTGATGATGCAATATAAATTCATATAGATTATATTAAAATCAACATATTTTTATTAAATCTATATGATATACAAAATATACAAATCCCACAGACATGGCCTTCCAGATTCTAAGTATGTAAATACTTGTAAATACTGTTCAGTTTGGGTTGCATGTGTTTCAATTTGACCAAGATTCTGCGTGGGATTCTGACAAAATGGAGGCTAGCGTTAAGCAAACTTTTGCCCAGGTTATCATTGCCTTCCAGTGGTTTGTTCAGGGGGACAATCTTGGGACATGGTTTGAGATTTGGTCCATGAATCGGCGGCCTTGAATTTGAGTGGAATTTTGCATAGTCCAAATCTCAATCCTGCGAGGTAGCAGATTCCCTCTGCCCGGACTACCAAAGAAATTGGTTCCGCGGGTCTCAGCAGTGCCAGAGGAGCAACTGACAGTTGCTTGGCATGGCACCATTGGCATCACTGGCAGTGGGGTATTCGGATGACCATAGGATGACCATTGGATGACCATTGGATCCATATTTGATGGGGGCCTGGCCAGTGACTCTCGGCCAAGGCTCCAGCGGAGCATCTTGTCGGCATTTGGCACCCGGTGAAACAGTGGAATGTTGGAGGAAAACAGGAAGCTAAGACGCTTTGCAGTGCTAGGAATTCAAATAAGAAAAGAACTGACAAGAGTACAAGTTGTTACAAGATGTTACAAGTGCCTCAAACTTTTTTGGACCTTGATTGAAGGTCTGACTCGGATGACTGTGGCCATGGCCCTAGATATTTGGTTCACAATAGTTCACAATGTTCATATTGTTCATATTCATCCCACAGGGAATCGACACAACTGTGGTGCGGCTGTGCGATGCGCAAGGTGAGGATCTGTCTGAGAGGCCGGACGCACTAATTCCAACACAGCAGAAAAGACACACATGAAATTTATACAATTTTATCACAGCACTATCTTGCGAACAATGGTAATAAAACTGTGAAAAACATCGGAAAACCGCAGATTTCGCGCGGAGGTTGGTGACCTACGACCACTTTTCTGCCAGCCAGCAGCCACTGCAAGGCTATCCAGGTCCTCAAATGCCAATGCCACTAGTTTGCAAAGGAATTCAGTAGCTGTCATGCATTGACTCCATTGACCAACAGCTTCCGGAGAATTTCAGTTGGTGAGCGATGACAGATTCGAATATACAATAGACGCCCTAAGAACTATACCCATACAAGCCTGATATAAGCATCGACAGTCTCCTTTGCCTTAAAAAGCTTGAACCTTTTTTAGTGTGACTGTGTTGGGACTGAGGCCAGAGATGGGAATGCCCATGATGGCTCCAATCATGGCCGCTTTGTTGCACAGGATGTGCGTCACGTGGAAAACAAGCTGTATGTGATTGATGCCTGATTGGAGAGTCTCTTCTGAATTTGAACAAACGTCGGTCAACCTTTCCGGATTGCCAGGAATCTCCTGGAAAGGGGATTGCATGCCTTTGAAACCATGTCGAATAGTGCACTTGACAATTCCTTCCCAGTAAGGTTGGAATGCCACAGATGGGCTCTTGCTTGGACTATGGCGGCTTGTCATCAAATATATCAAATCAAATTGGTTTGAGCTGCCAAATTCCGCGTTGAAAGCTGGTGGTGACTGAAAGTGCGCTCTAAGGTGCTTGGCCAGATCAATCTCAAGTGCTTTGACTGCACGTATTGATTGTACATATCCCAAAAATGGTCTCGATTTTGTGTGCAAGGGTACATCATAGCGACTTACCAAGATATCTTACTTGCATGATCTTCCATGTGTGGGGTAACGGCTTTAAGGATGTTTAAGGTTAAGGGCGGTAAACTATGGTAAAATAATAAGATTCACAAGATTCAATATAAATATAATTGCATATATTTATACATATTTATACATATTTGTACATACTGAAAAAATGCTGTATGTCAATTATGTCAATACCTTTTATTAACATCCCTTTTTTAAGATAGATCCTTTTAGGATGATTTGATGGCATTCCAAGCAGCTGCTCCAAAGGCTCCCCAAGAGGAAGGACAGGCTCCACCCTTTGGAATGCTACACAGCTTCCACAAGGAGGTGTCGCAGCTTGAAATTTGCAGTTTTGACGTGATCTATTGTGACCTGTTGTGTGATTGGTTGGGATGTTTATGTTTGTTTATGATTGTTTGTGTGTTCAGATGTGGATGCTTTTCTCAAGTTGATTGTTCGATAATGTTTATGCGTTCAGAACAATTCAGAACCACTTGAGAAAGACGTCATGATTCACAGTCCAAGAGGATAGAAGTATAGATGAAGTTCGTGTAAGCCACATTGGCAAAGCAATACTGCTGAACAGCCACTGCCAGGTGCGGGGATTTGGCTTGGCCAGCAACGACCTTCGACAGTTTACGAAGGGCCAGGCTCCTCCGGGCTGTGGACATACAGGGTGCTTGATTCAAGTTGCAGCATTTATTAGAGTATCGGTTACAACAAGAATAGTGGGAGTCGCAGTTTATTTATTTTAGGATATTGATGTGTTCAGATTGATCGATATGTTCTGAAGTTTATTGATGCATGCAGGCATGCGTGTACATATTCGAAGGAAGTTTAGAAGTTAAACTTCCGACAATATGGACAGATGAAAAAGCAGAGGTGGGAAGGGTCAGAGAAGAGAAGAGAAGAGAAGAAGAAAGAAGATTAGAGAAGAGAAAGAGTCAGAAGAAAGAAGATGCAGGTGCGCGAAAAGGTAGAAAAGTCGCGATTCACTGAATTTTTCCAAATATTTGTGGCTCCAGAGGGTCGAAAAGTAGGCTTGCTAAAGCGGCGGGTGCGGAGCCAGTTGGCCAGATGAGAGATGAACAATTGCACGCCGCCGTTGTTGCGCGAAGCACATTTCCAAGTCAACATGCACAAAGCACGTCAGCTTCGGAGCGCTTTTCGGAAGCTGTGATGTGGAAAAGTGCACGCCGTTGTGGCGCGAAGCACATGTGGTAGTCAAAACGCACCAAAAAACACCATTTTCGGAGCACTTTTGGAAGTTGCGATGTTAAAAAAAGTGCACGCCGTTGTGGCGTGAAGCAAATTTCGAAGTCAAAAATGTACAAAGCACGTCAGCCCCGGAGCACTTTTGGAAGTTGAGATGTTCAAAAGTGCACGCCGTTGTGGCGCGAAGCACTTTTCGAAGCCCAAATGTGCAAAACACTACTTGCTCGCGCCACTTTTGGACGCTTCAGCGTCGTTTTGTGTGGCAGGCGCAAGGGATTCTCCACCCTGCCCAAAGTGAGCAAAAGGTGAAGGTTTTGTAGCATTTCCAAAAACGATGGCAGGCGTGTGACATTTGAAGAGGATCTGCAAAGATACATTTCGCGTGGCAGGCGCAGTGCAAAGACATGTTCATCAGAGATGTTGGGAGGTCAGGCCGCTGATTTCCTGAGAGGTGTTGCATTTTGGAGCATCAGACCTTCAGGTTTGCGAAGGTGATTTTGCGTGACAGGTGCAGCACTTTGTATGACTTGGCATCACTTATTCGTGGCAGGCGGAGTGGAAAAATTGCAAAACGCATTAGTACGAGAAGGAAGTCTGGCAGAATTCTTTCGTTTTTGATGTTGCCAACTTCAAAAATTGAGGAAGTCTCCCAGAATTGCTGTGTTTTTGATGTTGTCACCTTCGAAAATGGAGGAAGTCTTGCAGAATTGCTGCGTTTTTGATGTTGTAAAGCTCAAAGATCGAGGAAGTCTCGCAGAATAGCTTCCCTATTACAACAAGAACAACAACAGCAACAGCAACAACAACAACAACTACAACTACAACTACTACTACTACTACTATTACTACTGCTACTACTACTACTACTACTCCTGCTACTACTACTACTACTACTTCTACTACTACTACTTCTACTACTACTACTACTACTACTACTACTACTACTACTACTACTACTACTACTACTACTACTACTACTACTACTACTACTACTACTACTACTACTATGACGCTACATTACACAACACTACGCTGCACTAATTACACTGCACTACGCTACAACTACAGCTACACGACACTACACTACAACTACAATTACACTACTTCACGCGCACACGCACCACTAGACTACACTACACTATACTACACTAGAGTACACAACACGACAGTACTTTACACTATACTACATTACACTACACTACTTTACAGCTACAACTACAACCACAACTGCAACTACACTACACTAGTGACACTGCACTACAACTACGACTCCACTACACTACAACTACAGCTGCAACTGCGCTACACCACACGACATCCAGCAGTTGTGGGTGAGGTGACCGCTGCAACCATTGCAACCGCTCCAAAAAACACAACTCCAACCACCTTTCGGTCCATTAGTGGATTCGCTCTGCCATCCGGGATTCACAACAACCAACCTCTCCTATAGGTTTCCTATTTTTGAAACTTCCGCCACCGTCTTGTGCGGTACTAGTGGTAAATGTATGTAAATATATTTAAATACGTTGGATCACAATGCATCGCAACCAATCGAGTCGATTGCGCCAGGATTATGAAGGCAGGCTGTCCGTCATCTCTGGCTCCGAGGTCCAAAGGGGAGGCGTCCGAGTCTCGATGCCGAAACCACTGCAGTGATAGGCCGAATGGGTTCGAAAACGGGTGAGGTGCAGAGATATTTGATGCAGTTCTCTTATGGTGAGCTCACCAAAGCGGACGGCATCGGCTTTGTGCTCCTTGACCTATGTACTTGCCGATGGACTAAGAGTTTCTTATTGAGTTGCTTCTCACCGCGTGATTCAGCACAAACAGAGAAAATTTGGATTTTTCACGCTTGACCTTCAACTAGAAGTCTGTTTTTTCGAGTGTTTTCTGCGCGGTAGAGAGGCTACACAGACCTAGGTTTGCCTCGCGAGTGCCATGCGCAAAGAATATTCAAAAAATTGTGACTTGGCGCCATCGTAAGTCCACTCATGCCAAATGTCTACTGGTCAGAGTCAGAGATCTAATTGCAAGGCTTACAAGGTTGGCCACAAACAAAGCGAAGTATTAAGAACCAAATGGATTTGGGGTGGGTTTTGTTTTTTTCTGGATTTTTCACGGGACATGGCTGCAGAGTCTTGAATACTCTGTCATTACCGTCTCTCTCGCTCTTGGTGCATTGAAAGGTTGGAAGGTTCTTCAGCTGTTCTGCTGTCCTTGACATTCACGAGATCCAAAGATCCACTGCCAAGGTCTCTGTCTTCGTGAATCAACGAGGGCGCATTTGCATGCGAGTGTTTGGTGACATTCTCAAGGCAAAGAAGCATGTGAGAGCGCTTCAAATAGGTGACTGGATCGAAATGGTGATTGACCTCGAGAGCCTCTGGCTGAATTTGGCTGAAATATGCAGTGATTTGGTCACTGGAGCAGTTGTAGGGTTAGCACCAGAGTTGACGAGAAGAACCTCATTTGTTGCACCAGCTACTCAGACAATGCTGATGCAGCTTCTCAAATACTTGAAGGAATCTTGCCGTACCAAGGAACAGCGTAGCTACATTCAAGGTATGGCCATATGAGATGGCTCCCTAGCAAGCAATGAGTACCATATTTGTCAGTGATACACAGACCGGTCAGCCTGTGAATGAAAAACATCGAAGAACACAGTCAGATGAGTCAGATACTTGTTTACTCCAGACACGCTCAGACGGAATCGTTTCAGGTTGCCAATGGTTTCATGCCTTCTGAGCCAGAATCCACAGCAGAATTTCACTATGGGTGCCTTGGCGGCGTCGCAGATCCACAGATGCGCAACCGTGGCAACTGACTGCACCAAGGAAGCGGCTGGCACAGGCCCAGCAGCTGGCATCGAAGCCTGCGCCTGGGCAGCACTGTGCAGAGATGTGAATGAGGCTGTTGGAACATGTTGGAACAAGTCCCAGTGATTGATACTTGTTGTATGATATTGTATGATGTTGTGTGATATTGTATGATATGTTATGCATATACAGTATAAGCACACACACATATATATATAATACACATATTATAGATTATGCTGTTCTCTCCTACTCCTTGGTATTGTTATGTTTTGTTTTTGTCTGCATTTCCAACTGACGGTGAACGCCTTGACCATGATCATGGAGAGACCAAAATCATTAGTTTGTGAACGACATAGTGACGTCAGTTTGGCAACCTTTGCTGGGGGGTCTCTTGGGAAGTGGCAAAGCTTGTGGTCACGCCAAGGTCAAGTTGAACGTGGGGCATTTCGCTTGCGTGATCCAGAATGTGGGAGTTACAGCAGCTTGGAACATTATTCATATACAATATACAAGATGTCACAAGCCAAAAAGTGGTACTTCCTTCTACAATCTCCCGCACCATCCCGCACCACGCACCAGAACGTCATGCTTCGTACTTGAGTTGTTGAGATTAGCAGACGAGGTCACGATGGGCTCTTGATCAACTTGCCGGTGAAGCATTTGAATGTCTTTTCACGGGAAAAGACTTTTTGAATTGAGATTCGTCTTCACATCTCATTTCTCACCGATGGTTTCTTTGCACGCTTCGTTCGCCTTAGTCTCACCGCTCGCAACGTAGTACAAGAAACAGCACCTCTTCTCTGGTGCTTTTCCATGAAACAGAGATGAATTGTACAGCTCTGTCATGTTGCCTAATAGTTGCCCTAGCAACATATACCGCTATACGGGCTTCACCCGAGAGCAAAAGCTGCCGCCAAAGAATTGTGTTGCCAAATTTTCAATGGATCTTTTCAAGCATCAGATAGATTCAGATAGCATCAGTAAGTCTAATTATAGTCTAAGTGAGTTCAAGCTGTGAATGGCGAGGACCCTGAGGATGGGCCCAAGCCGGTGAATGGTTTGGAGGTGCAGCACTCTTTGGATCTTCACATCGGGTCTCAAAGGATTCCAGGATAGCGAAAGAATGAGAAAGACATAGAAAGACATAGCCTAGAGGAGGATCCTAGAGCAAGATATGCCAAGATCCAATTTGAAAAGGGGTTGTGTTCTTCACGCCAGAATTTGCCCAGCTGTTCCTCTGGCCTTAGAAACATGCACGCTTTGCACGTTTCTGTGCTGTATCCCTGAGATGATAATTCCTTATAATTCCACGGTAATTCCAGACATGCAACGCAAGAACATCCTCTGGTCGCAGGCTCCCAGATCTGGGAGAGCAAAGGACGTGGTGCGCTATTTGTGGGAAGAAGCTCAATGTGATCCAGTTCCTTGGCTTGTATCATGCACAGCCTTGGTGGCCAAAATGATGGGAAAGAAAGGCGTTTAAAGGGATCCATAAGCAGATTTCTTCAATTGTCGAAGGAATATCATGGCCACTGGGCCACTGCACTCTATTTCTCCCTCAATGTGGAGGGACAGCTGCTTGGAGGATTTCCAGGTGGCATTATGTCCATTATGTGAATCGTATTTGAATGTTCCTTGATACAGCAGAGCATTTGGCTCAAGCTTGCCCGGAGACCTTGGCCTGATGAGGCCTGTAGAATTTTCACTGCTTTGAGAGATCTTCCTGTGAAATAAGATGAGCATGCAGGCCATACAAGTGCTACGTGGGGCAAACATATCATATGGAAACAGAAGATTTGAGTTGCTGCTATTTGATGTAGATATGAAGGTGAGTTTGTTTTCGAAGAATGGTGCCAAATCCATCCAAATCCAAATTTGCTGGCTAGGGCCGGAAAAAGAAAGCGCCGAGGGAAGAAGGTAGATACCAGCAAGGTCCGGGCCTTTTGGATGGATGGGATCACACACTGATCTTGTGGATGCTTGTCATATCTTGTCATTTTTTCACTGTTTAGCCTGTTTGACAAACATGCCTTGCTGAAAATGTCCGAAGTTCGTCAAAGGAAAGACGCCAAATGCACTTTGAAGTGAGCGTTCTTGCATGGAATGATGAACTGTTCCTTCACTGTCCAAGATTTGTCAATGCAGTTGAAAGGTAGAGTTCAAAGTCGCCAAGAAGCGGGGAAGGACCGTTGTGACGTTGATCCCTCAGGGCCATGTTTCCAGCAGCCTGTGACACCCGTTCTTTTGAACTTTCCTGGGAAACAGATGGTATGGACATGTACAATCTGAACCAAGGGCAGAGAAGCAGCAGCAACGTTCCAAGGTCCGCTGCAGTTCGTCATATCGCGGAGAAGTCATTCTTTTGAGTCAACACAGATGGACAGATATGGAAAGATGCTGGGCAGGCCCAGATAGAGGAGGAGATCAAGAAGTTGAAGGATGCCAAGTCCCAGACTTAGATATGTTGAGGTTGCTGCGAGTCAAGCTGGCACAACAAGCCCACACAACCCGTGGAACATGTCTTTGAAAACGTCTTGGAGATTCTTTGAGCATGTTTAACTGTTTGAACATGTTTGAGCGTTCATTCAGCAGTCTTTGATCCAAAATCCAAATGCCCCCCACGCCTGTGAGTTTCTCATTTTCGCAGTGAGGCAAGCCTCAGCCAAGTCAAAGGCAAGAAGAAGGAAGCAACCGGAGCAACTCGGCCATTTCTCTCGATGGTTCTGTCAGCACTGAAGGACAACCCAGGTTGGTTTCATCCAAGAGAAGATGCAGCGTGATGCAACAGCTTTCATTCGGCCCTGGCTTTGCTGTCTTTGTCACAGCTGTGAGAGATGTGAGAGGTATTCTGGTTGGTCTCTCCATCTCTCCAAAGGATTGTGATGGATTGTGGTTTGTCTCCTCGAACAAGCCGCAACCTTCCCAAGGCCTATCCAAAATCGAAAGCAGTTCCATCCTCAGAGTGGAAAAAGCTCTGCTCCAAAGTTCCTACTGGTATTCGTTCTGGAAATCTCTGTCTGAAATATTGAAATTCTGATTGCTTGATTTTCTTATCTTTTCTGGGTCGGGAAACAGCTCGAGGCTGGACTATCTTCCCGTGGAAGCTGGCATGAGGAAAGACCATGAGGCACTTTTCATCTCTTTCGGAGTTGCATGCTTGTTTCCAGCGCCCGTGGCTGCTCCTAAAGATGTCATCCAAGATTCAACCCGGAGCTAAAGGATACAGTACTGAAAGGATACTGAAAGGATACTGAAAGGATACTGAAAGGATACTGAAAGGATACTGAAAGGATACTGTAGTTTGAAAATGTTTGAACATGTATAGAAGACCACCGTCACGTCTCGCACGTCCCGCGCGTCCCGCATGTCCCGCACGTCCCGCACGTCCCGCACGTCCTGTTTCCCAAGCTGCCTGGAGGCCAAAATGGCACAGCGCGAGGCGACACGCGCTGAAAGAGAAGAACGGCGTGCCAGGACAGAGCTCTTGTGTTGTGTGAAGAACAACATAGGAGAACGCTTGAAGGTGCCAAATAGCCTGTCATGACAATGTCATGACAATGTTACGACAGCGGAACAATGCATTTTCCATTTGCGTCTTGTTTTTGACTAGGTAAAGGATTCGTAGCTGGATATTTGCTTATAGACTCAGACTTACAGACCCAACTTGCGTTCAAGTCGTGCTGCACTAGAGGAGGCAAGAGGCCCGTGAGACGAAAGAGAGGCGCTGCCATGAGTCGCCATCGGCTTGGCTGTGTGTCATGCGCTTTCCCATCCACGTCTGCGATTTGCTGAGTTTTTCCATGATTTTGACATATTCTGACCGATTCTGATGATTCTGACAGGCTTGGAAAAGAAGAAGTTTCCCTTCAGGAGAAACGGTTTCTGATTGAAATGTCAACGGTGGGTGTTAGATGGGCTGTGCAGGACGTGCTTGGAGGCGACTTCTTCGGTGGCGACGGCATAGCGCCTGATTTGTGACTGCACATGAATTGCATGTGTTAGTTCGTTGGAGTTGGGATGCAGCTCGATTCTGGTCAAGATCATATCATATCATATCATATAATATCATATCATGTCATATCATATCTCTATATATATTATATATATACACATAGTCTGTCTATACTCGTAGCATCCTTGATGCTATTCTCTTTCGTTTTGCTGTATTTCCAGTGTCCATGTAGACAAGATAATGCACCCGCCAAGAAGGCATTGTACACAGGGGCTGTGCAAAATTCACAGCTGGATGATCACAATACAGCGCAAGAGTTGCAAAATGATGGAAAAGAAATCGCGGTTTGTATGGTACTGGTATAATTAGGCATGTATAGGCACTGAGATTGAGTCTGACATGTTCCAATCAAATCCCCATATCAGCCAGAAGTAGTCTTTTTTTAAAACTTTGAAGCTTCACATTCTGGAACAGGGTGACTTCACCAACTTTGATTGCAAGAGAATCACTTGACAGCAAATGAAAATGCAATGCACAGTGCCATAATCTACAATCTACCATTCATCAGAACACTGCGACGTTTGTGTCATCATGCTCCCAAAAGACTACCAATGGATACCAATGATAGAATTACCAGTTCTCGCAACTTGCCAGCCCAAAGCTTGCCAAAATGACTCAAGTTGTGTCACAAAGAGTTGATCTAAGATCCTGCTTTGGCTTCTCCAAAGGTTGACCCAGTCGAGAAGATCATGTCGCAATTCAGCGAAGATGCTGTTTACGAGGACGGTCTCAGACACGCCATCGATTTCAAATCAATTTCATGGCAGGAAACATATTTTGTTTCAACAAGTGTGGATCGTAGACACCTGGTGAAAAGAAATAGACAATGCTGGAAGCAACGTGTATTTTGTTGAGATGGACATGTCGGATGATGTTTGTGAGGATCTTACTCGAGAGGATTCATCGTTCGTTGGCTGGGAAGCAATCAAGAGGCAGGGGAAACAGAAGATTGGAAAGGGTGCAGCATATGAATGTGTTTGCTTCTGGTTGGAAGTTTGGCTCGACAGGTACCAAGAGGAGACGAAGGAGAATACTCCTGACAACATGAGGCAGTGCTAGTCGCTTGTGCTGCGAGCCGTCCTCCTGTCATCCTTCCGTCTCTTTCCTCAACATTTGCTTTGGAAGGTTTGTCCTCGACGAGATGACAGATGGCGAAAAGGCCGCCATTTGGACAGAGCTCTTACTATGCTCTTACTTGTACGTAGTGATATTCTCACCGACTGCTCATTCTAGCGCTTGGTCAATTTTGCAAACATATTGCACATACCTGATTCTGGGAGGCCTGCACAGTGATTTGGCATGTAGAGGCAGGATTTTCTTCAAATCGCAAGCAAGAGAGACAACGAGCTTTCTAGGAACAAGTCAGAGTTGGTTGCAAGTTGTCAGCTGTGGCGGGCCGGCTACATGGAAATATTATGATTATTATTTATTATATATTTATATTGATAAGTAGATGAGTGAGTGAGTGAGTGAGTGAGTGAGTGAGCGAGTGAGTGAGTGAGTGTGTAGAATGTTGCCATTAATTGTGATTCTTTCCACCATGACTATGTGCAGACGCCTTGAGCAGACTGAGTGAATGCACCCAAGACTCAGTCGCTTGTCTTGCAGCACGTTTGTCTTGGTCAGTTCAATACGCGGCTCTCACCTCGTGGTGTTACATACTACGAGTTGAACGATGAGGGCAAGGCCGACTTTCGGTGTCGAAGCCAAGCGGCGCTAACTGGGTAGCCGATACTGGATGGATTTTTTGCGTTTTTTGTGACCTTGCAATGTCATCGATCTCTCCTTTTGTTGCAGGTGTGCTATGTCCGAGCCGCCTACGACATCAGCTTCTGAGAATATCCCATCTTCCATTTGTAGCTCGGTTGATTGGTTCAAGTTGGAAAGAAACAAGACAGTCACATGTGATGAACGCATCAAAGATGTCAGCCAGCACAAAAAACACTGCGAGGTACCTTCTAAACACCGTAAGTT